CATTCCCCATGGCAGCTCTCCCTCTGGCAGCTCTCCCTCAGGCAGCTCCCCCTCTGGAAGCTCTCCAGCCCACTCCGGCAAACCCTCTCAGCCCGAACCCTCCAGCTCCGAGCCCTCCGGCGAATCCCCCGTCTCCCCCGGCGGCAACGGTGCTGGTTCCGAGTCCGAGCAGCCCAGTGGTGTTTCTCCCGAGAACCCTGCCTATACGGGTGCTGCTGGTAAGACCCAGCCTGCTGTTGGTGTTCTGGTTGGTCTTGTTGGACTTATGGCTTTCTTCTAAGCTGGTTTTGTGAGTCCTCTGAAGCCGGCCTTGTGAAAATCCGCAAGAAATTGTGTTATGGTGTTGCGAGAGTATATGAAAAGGATTATTTTGTTTTGATTTCTCTTCTTTCTGTTAGAATTACATTAATGTTTAATACCGGGGCTCAACTGGATTGTTTTTAGAGTTTAGTAATAAAAAGAATGGAGTTATGGTTATGTCGCATCACATCCGAAAGGATTCATCAAAGTCATCGTGATTTGAAGTAGCGAATATCTGCAAAACTTACAATGCACACATGATAGTGCAACTGCCTGAGTCCCGAACTTCTGCCATTGAAACAAGAAGACCACTATGACAAGCAGATGCCCATCGTGCTCGGGAACCGTGCACGTGCAAGGTGCTATGCCTTGAATATTAGTGTAAAATGCTGATGTGGCACAAGATCGTTCATTCTATAATGCATTCATCTCATCACATCTTATGCTTTCGCTCGTTAAGTAAACGAAATGTAGGATATATAAAAGATTGCGTGCACGAGATCCCAAATCGTCTAAACATAATAAAAAGAAAATTAACTACCGCAATCCCTGCAACTCCTGCTCAACCTCTGCCTTCACAAGCTCCCGCACGCCCTGCCAACCAGAACCAGCAGGAACAGGGGTAGACCTGGTCTCCCGCTGCTCGATTCCAACAAGCTCCTCCGGAAGTACCTCCTCGAAGTTGTAGCCATCCAGGTCACGCAGCGCAAGGTCAACAGAGCTGACAAACTTGGCTGGGTGGGCGGTGGAAAGTGAGATGTGGCTGATCGCCGGGTTGCGCTCGCCAGAACGCAGGGACGCCGCGACACCGACAGCGGAGTGAGGGTCCAGGATGTAGCCACCGGTCTTGGAGCTCTTGGCGCTGCCGGGGGTGGCATTGGTGGGGAAGGAGGAGGTGTAGGTAGAGCGGATCTGCGTGATGGTTTCATCGTTGCTGACGCGCTCGCTTTCAAAGTCGGCCTTGGCGCCTTCAAGGATAGCAGTGGGAACGCTGAAGCCGCCCTGGGACTTGAGCTGGTTGAGCCAGTTGCTGACACTCTGGCAGGCATTCTTGCGGCGTTCGTCCTCGGAGGTTGCGGAGTCGGTTTCGAAGGCAAGGAACCAGAGGAGACGCTCGAAATTGCTGCTGACGAGGATGTCCATAGCAGGGCTGTGGGTTTCCTTGACGCCGGATCCTGTGTCCTTGGTGTAGTGGCCGCCACTGCGGAAGAAACGGTCCAAGATGTCGTTTTCATTGGTGGCAATCACCAGTCTCTCAGCAGGGAGACCCATGCGCTTGGCGAACCATCCAGCCATGATGTCGCCAAAGTTTCCAGATGGAACAACAAAGCGCATCTTCGAGTCCTTGTTGTAACCGGGGGTCTTGGTTAACGAGAAGTAGGAGTAGAAGTAGTAGGTCATCTGGGCCAGGATACGAGCCCAGTTGATGGAGTTGACGGCAGCCAGGTTGTGTGTGGAATTCAGCTCAGGGTCCGCAAACAAGGCCTTGACAATGTCCTGGCAGTCGTCGAAAGAACCCTGAACAGTGAGGTTGTGGACATTGGCATCCAGGACAGTGGTCATCTGAGCTTCCTGGATAGGTGAAACCCGTCCATCGGGAAACAGGATGAAAATAGACACATCCTTCTTTCCCCGAAGACCGTAGATGGCCGCAGACCCTGTATCTCCACTGGTAGCACCAATAACAGTCAAGTGGTGCCTCTCCTTGCCCTCCTTGCCTTGGTTCTTCCGCACCAAGAAGTATTCAAACAGGTTTCCGAGTGTCTGAAGGGCTACATCCTTGAAACTGGAGGTAGGACCTTGGAATAGTTCGAGCAGGTGGAGGTTCTTCTTGCTGTCCAATTCAACCAAGGGAGTCCGTTCAGGGTGGCGGAAGGTCGAGTACGAGCGGTTGATGATGTCCTTGAGGTCGTTCGCAGGGATTTCCGACTCCGAGACGTAGAGAGACATTATCTGGAAGGCAAGCTCTTCGAAACTCAGATTCCGCCATTCGGCTTCCCAGTTGGCAGGGAGGGCAGGGATGTGCTCAGGGATGAAGAGGCCACCGTCCGAGGCCAATCCTTTGAGAACGACATCTTCGAAAGAAAGCTAGATGCCCAGGCACTTATTAGCATCGCATCTAGATATTGTAGGTAGACAGGGGAAACATACACCGGAGGAAGCACCCCGTGTACTAAGATATTTCTGCGAGAGGGTATGCGACATAGCGATGGCGAGTAGTGGGGTGGAAAAGGAATTCTAACTCGGCTCAAGCTCTGCTATTCAGCAGCAGCAATGTGGAACAAAGTCGTGTCTTTGCTCCGGTCTAATTCCAGTCTGGTCTGGTTGTCTTTTTAAAGAGATAAAACAAGAGAATATCCAGCGAGGAGAGGAGTAGAAGTTGATTCATTTCTCGCCGCAAGGAAAAGTCCCTTGCCGTATCGGGCTTAGCCCCTCCGACAGCGGGGGATCTGATCACGTGCAGGAACCGTTTATTCTCTTCATCTACGACTACCGATACAGATGCATGCTCTATTATGACATTTTACAATTCATACTACAGCAGAACTTGCATATAGGAAAAGGCCTCGGCAAGGGGCCTTGGCTGCTCATATTCAGCCAAATTTTCCATCCGACTACTGAAAATGCGTTGTATATCAGCCAGGGCTGATAGTCCCGAATGCATCTTGGCATCTTCTTGAGAGATCAAGGCGGTGGATTACGTGGACAAGATGCGTCTTATATGCTCCATAAGGAGCCAGTCATGCGCGATGTTTACGGAACTGTGCTTCCTGCTTATAACAAACCGGCGCCTAGTTTGCCCGACTATTGTTCATCTATGAACACGGAGGACCCAGGCAGATTAGAAACACTTCAATATAACGTCTCCAACGTGCTCGCAGCGTCAAATCGCATCATGTCTGGTTTCTATTTAGCAAGAAATGCCACGGAAAATGGCCCGCATGTGCCTGCAGATATTTGCGAAAAATGCTCTGATTACCCGTTATACTCTGGTCAATCTCTCCACCACTACCTTTTCAACTCGTGGACTCACCGGGTGGTGTTGGTGAGTTTCTGGCTTTCTGTAGGGGTATGGTTCATCATCGCCGCCCTATTGGGCTCAATCACCACCGCCTCTCCCCCCCCCCCCCCGGGGGCTACCCCCGAGCGAGTGATGGCAAAAAGGCACTTTTGCGAGTGTGTGAAAAGAATCATTTGCGCTTGGTCGAATGGCTTCTAGAACGTTGTGCCAACTTCAACACTCTGGATAATGACGGCCAAAGTGTTTTGTAATATGCAATTAAGGCGGGAAATATTGAGATTGCTAAGGAGCTTCTTCGCTATAACCCTGTTCTGGATCTGGCTGACCGCAAGCTGGAAATGCCACTGACTGCTGCAATAAATTACCCAGAAATTCCACGTCTATTCTTTAATGCTGGCGCTGGTCCTAACATCCCCAGCCAGCAGGGCCAATCACCAATCTTCATTGCTGCTATGCCGGGTAGCGCAAAAGTCATTCAAAGCCTGATCAAGATTGGCACTGACCCAGAAATCTTTGACAGCTATGAATGGACTCCTATTTGTGCCACAGTTGACTGTGGACACAACGACACCATTTTACGAGTCCTGATTGGTGGTGGTGCAAACATAGCCGACACTATTACGGGCATCGGTAGCAGGCCGCTCCATTTGGCCGTCTACAAACCTCCCCATGTTATGCAACTTCTCCTTGAATTTGCAAAGCGGTTAGATTTGAACTAGAGGAACTTGGAAAATATTACCCCTCTTTTCCTCGCAACAAATCTCGCAAAATTGTCTCCGACCCTGTTGGTGAACGCCGGCATTGATATCAACCTCCTAAATAACCGTGGGGAAACGGTACTCCATAACCCCATTGCATGAGATGGGAGGGCTTTGTGGTTTATTACTCGCGCAAACTGAAATCGAAGTAAACCACTGGTCTGCTTATTTCAGAGCTCCCTCCATTTGGCTGCCCGTTGAAAGTAACTGGACGGCGTGACAGCTCTGTTAGCTCGCGGTGGTGACTGTAGTCTCATCTCTCCATGTGATATGTACTTTATCCCGCTTATTCCTGCATTACGGCCAAATGAGATCAAATGTGGCGATGTAATCGACGAGGTGGTTCGAACTCTCGTCCTATCGGGAGCTAATGTTCGGATGACCGTCCCATCAACATTCTACAATACCCTGGCGACCCACTGTTAAGGCGCAAAAACAAAAACCACCAAATTCCTCATCGATGGAGACGGGCTCCTTACTCTGCCGATCCCATCTGAGGAAGGCTTCCCATTCATTTGGCCGTCGCGAGTGGGATTACCAATTTCCAGATTATCCTTCTACCACATCGGAATGACATGATGGTAACTGATATTCACAAAAAGAACCGTCTCCCTGGGCAACCCAATTTGGCAATTCCCGCACTGTCGAGCATATCTTGTCTCAATGGCAATAACAGTCCAATTGGAACCAGGCCGTGGTACAGGTCGACATCGATGGATGAACGTCACTTTGCGGGGCTGTCTGTCCTCTTGAAAGTGGCATTTGTTATCCAATACGTTCTGAGCGCAAGGACCATGTCAAAACCGTCCGCATATTATCGCAGCATGAGCCGAGCCCTACGACGGAGTGTCATCGAGGCGAAGAACACTAGTGCTGTTAGACCTGGCCCAGCGAAGCGATGCTGGAAATGAGAGCATTCCTCTCCTCCGAGAGTACTTAGATCGCGAGTCCGAGTTGGTTCCAGAACCTATATTTAAGCATTTACGAAAGTACATGGTACACCACGGGATATGCAATCTTTGCCTAATGTATATTGTCTGGTGTTCCCTTTCTGCGAAATCGCCAATTCATCGTTGCTAATCCTTGTTTACCATCTCGTACGTTAGTGTATCGTTGGGAAATTGCATACCTGCAGCGCCTGCCCCGGCTATGGCCTCTGTAGCGAGTGCTACCAGTCGCGGGCAGATCTTCATAACTAGGAAGCCTTGAAAGACAGCCAGGTCCGTGCCTTCAACTTAATGCCTGATACAGCTGAGTACCAGAAGCCAGATGCTTCGTTAGATGAAAAAGCTCCTGGCATGGAGGGAGGCACATTGAAGTCTCATAATCCAGTGGCTGCAGAAATGACGGCGTCGGATGAGAGAGAACTGTATTTGGCGGGGTTACATGGGAGGATTATGTGGGGTTAAAGGAAATGCCTCTGGATAATGATGACGAATGGTGACCCCCAATGCCATGAAAGACACATACGTTCAGGAACGCTGGCCCCTCTTCATCCATACACATATATTCTCTATTATGACTATTTACAACTTTATAGTACAGTACAGTACAGTACAGTAAAGGGGACATCCCCTTACTGCTCGTTAACCAGTACATAACGATAACGAGCCTTGCCAGCCTCCATATCCACCAAGCCCCGGTTAGCATCCTTCATCGGAATCTCTTCAATCCAGGGCTTGACGTTCTTCTCAGCGACAAGCTCCAGCATCTCCCTAATCTCACCAGGGCTTCCAATCAGAGAAGCACCAACGGTCAGACGACGCATAAGTCTGGGGATAGGGGCGTTCAGCACGCCATCGTCAGGGAGACCGACCTGGACTAGGCTACCGTCGGTTCGGAGGAGGCCGATATAGTCGTTCAGGGGCATCTAACCCATCAGCTTCAATTTAGGTTGAATGTGAAGAGGGCCTGCTCACCTTCGAAGAAGAAACAGTACAAACAATCAAGTCCAACGAACGAGCATATTTAGTCGCCCAGTCCGGTTCATCATCAGTTCCAATATAAACATCCGCACCCATCTTCAATGAATCATCCGCTTTATCAGTCTTCCTCGAAATAGCAACAACCTGATCCGCACCCATAGCCTTCGCAAAAAGCAGCCCGAAGTGTCCCAGCCCCCCAACACCAATAATACCAACCCTCTTACCTGGTCCACAACCACCATGCTTCAACGGGCTGTACACAGTAACACCGCCACACATCATGGGTGCGGCATGAGACGGTGGGATGCTGTCAGGAATCTTGACGGCAAAGTGCGCAGGCACACGGTTGTACAACGCATAGCCGCCGTAGGACTTGCCACCGTTGATAAAAGTGCTGTTGTAGGTACCGACGAACTTGTGGGTGCAGTATTGTTCCAGGCCCATGGCGCAGTCGGGGCAGTCACCTAGACGGCCTAGGCAGGATTCACTTTGCGCGCCGACGCCGACACGGTCGCCTACTTTGATGCCGTTGGTGACGGAGGAGCCTACGCGTGCGGCAATGCCGACAATTTCGTGGCCGACGCAGCAGGGGTACATGGTGGGTTTCTATACAATTAGCATACCTTTTGAATAAAAAAAGAAAGAGACTTACCCATCCAGACCGCAAAGTGTGCAGGTCCGTACCGCAAATACCACAGCACTCAACCTTGATATCAACATCGGTCTCCTCCCAAGGCTTGGGCTCAAACTCCTGCCAGACCATTTTCCCGTCAACAGAGTCCTTGTCGAGACCCATCCATCCTTCGAACTTGTAGTCTTTCTGCGCCATTATTGCTGTCAATTGCCGTTGTCAACGATTTGTAAGGAGAAACCGCAAAACAAAACAGGAGTGGAAATGCAATGCTAAGCTTAAATGTTTATCAGACCGGGACATGGCCGTTGGATTTATAATCGCAGCACCGGCACCGGCGCGCCGCTAATTCGGGACCCCTTTTCTCTTCTCATGCTCACTGGTGCTGGCCGTTGGGCGTCAATTGGTACAATTTTGCTCTCGGTCGTTGCGGGTTCCACTGTTTGGAACCGAAAAGAATTGGAGATGATTAACTTAAGTCCTAAGTCCGAAGTTGGGGTTGCTTACCAATTCATAATTTATGTGGATGTGGTCTCGGGGGACTTGTAGAGACAAAGCAGTATGATAGTGTAGTAGACGGTAGTAGGTATTGCATGTTTTGATCATGTTTTTCTCTTTTCCTATGTGAGCATAATTATGCTGTGTGCATACACATATAGAGACTTGAGTTATCCCCACATTGAAGATATAAAGCGCAGATAACAGAATCCAATTAAGAGATGCAAAGAAATGCCATGTCAAAATAAGCATAAGAGAGTTATCATATCAGATCTCGATCTCACGTATGACAGCATCTGCAGAGATCTAAGCTTCTAGAACGCCACTAGAAACCGCCATTAATAGACACGAGGAGCTTGGCAGGGACCTTGGGGGGACGACTGTCAACGGCCAAGAGGAACTGATCTATATTGAACCCATAAAGACTGAAAATATTGCTTCTATGTGACCAACTAAATTGCTAAAAGATGTACAGAGAGAAAGGGTGCGGGTGGCTAAGGCATAGGAGGCTATGGTAAAACAGAGTCTCTTCAAGTATCAATAAACATAATAAGGGTAAAGGCGGTAATAGTATAATAGAAATCAAAAGTAAAAAGGAAAATAAAGTCCTCTATCAAATGCCGGCATTGATCGCTATCCATGTATGCCTCCCATCGAGTTAGTTCACTTCAGCCAAACGCGCTCCCCAGAAAAGCCACTCCTTTTATGCTACTCCTAAAAAAGCGACAAGATATCCTCGTTGGTCTTCTTCTGCTGGCCCCCTGATGTCGCCGGTGGCGGCGAAGTCGTAGAGTTGCCACCAATATCAAGTCCATCGAGTCCGTTCAATAAGTCTGCACCGGCACCTCCACTAGGCGCCGCAGTTGATGGACCCGCACTTTTCGATGATGCGGGAGCTCCCCCGTCTCCAAACACCCCAAGGAGATCGTCCAGGTTGTTGCTGGGAGCGGCAGCAGGGGTTGCTGGCGACTGAGCCCGAACGGGCGTGCCGGATAACCCTTCGAGGCCAGACAAGCCGTTCTCTGGCTCCTTCTGTGCAGATGCGGGCGCCCCGCCGTCGAAGTCGATATCGAGTAGGTTTTCGACATTGTTTTGGGCTTGCGGCGGGGGCGTAGTACCTGTGACTGCTGCTGCGGCTGCGGCTGCTGCCAAGGGATTTTCGCGTGCGTTTTGGATTTGTTCCCTGATATATGTCAATAGCTGTGATCGCACGTATAGTAAGAAAGCAAAAACATACTCAATGGCAGCACGCTGGACAGCATCGGCACCAAATCTGCCTTGGCCAACGAATTGCTCTGGTGGCTTGTGGTAGACAGATGCCAGCGTGGAAAGTTCGTTGAGGAGTTGCTCGAGAAGGGTGGGAGGTAACGATTGGACGGTAGTCGAGATCGGGGGCTTCTCAGAAAGGACAATATTCTTGGGGGCGCCAGAGTCGGTAGTGTTGGACAGAAGACGCCAGTACACATACGCACGATCACGAACATCAGGGTTGTCGTTCTCTGCCGTGGCGGCTTGGAGAACCCGCTGCACGAGTCCTTGGGCCTTGTCGGGCCGCTTCAGGAAGAGCTTGACAACCGAGGTCAAGATTTGCAATTGGGTCTGATGACACATTAGCTTTTGACATAGTTTTTGTATGATGCAGGTGACAAACCTGTGAGAATTCTTCATTGAATCCATCCACAAATCCGCCCAGGATATCACCCGCATTGCTAATCTTCTCCGCGTATTCACCAACAATCCAGATGAGTGCAGCTCGAGCATTTGGTTCATCTAATTCGTCAATGCATTTGCAGAGTGTAGGAATGATGCCTTCGTATCCAGGGTATTTCCGGAAAATGTCCTTAATGACCACAATAGCCTCCTGCACAACATAATTCACCTTGGTATTGATAAGATCCAACAGCGTGTTGACGCATTTCTCGCTGGCACTCTCGATCTTGATAGCAACCTGGCCAATGGCCTTGACGGCGCGCCGGACGAAATCCATATCAACTTCCAGGGCATACTCCCTGAGTTCCGCCAGAAGTTGGTCGACGTTGCGGTCATTAGCTATGCGAACCATAATCTCGAGCTTTTGGAACTTGACGTATGGAGGGTCGTTGTATTTGCAGAAGAAAACACGAAGCTCCTTCTGGAGAATATCGGGCTGTTTCTGAAGCAGGAGGTCAATGTTTCTCAAGGCAACATATTGCACCTCGGGTGCAGATGACACCAGTGTCACTAAATCGAATGTCAGCACAACAGCGTCCCATGGATTGGAATGAATACATACCCAACGGAGGCGCCATCTTCTTTAGGTAGTTCTTAGACAGTTCGTGGTTAACATTCCTCATGTGCAAGAACACGACCTTAACAGCAGCCAGTACTACACTTGGGTTAGCGTGCTGGAACTGTGGTGCAACGCGTTCACAGATATGCTCCGAGTCCGCCACCTCAGCGGCCTTGTATTCGGACAAAGTAGTGAGAATAGTGACTCGTCCCCATTCGGTACATTCATTGAGTGCCATCAGCAACTTCCGTAACGTGTTCGACGTAACTTGAAGGGCCTTGGTCTCTGGTGCAGCGTGGTATATCTCCGAGAGTGCTGTAACCGAGTTTGCGACCACCATCGGATTAGGGTCACCGATCATTTCCTGCAGCATCTCGAGGAAGCCGTTCTCCAGGCACATCGAGGCATTAAGATCGAATAGCTTTGCCACACAAATGGCCGCGGTCTTGCGCACGTACGGCGACTCGTCTCGGAGCGTCTTCCGTAGCGGTTCCTCCATGTAGTCGACCATCTTATCCACCCTAATGCATCCCATTGTCCGAATCGCTAAGGCTCTGATAAGTGGGTTTGGGTCTTCGGAATCTTGGACGAAAGTGTTCACGGCCAGAATACAGAGGTCCGGATGAGATTTTGCATAGTTCCTACGGTGTTCAGAGTCGTTAGCAACTGGCCAACGAAAAGGAAGCCTAAACGGACGACACTCACATAAGGTACAAATAAACAAGCTTTTTCTGCTCGAGATCATTCGTGGCAATGTTCTTCAAAACGTCAGGGAAAAGAGCCGAAACATCTTTCCCGAGAGTCATGGCCATGATGGTCTTCTGAATCGCTTCCTTTCTGCGAATTCGGTCAGTCGCCATTATTTCCAAAGCCCAAAGCTCAAACGAAGAAACCTATAGCTACATACCGTTCATACGCATACTGGGATCTGTATCACCCGTCAGCATCACTATACCCATGGACCAGGGATACGCAAGACTCCGTACACAAGACCAGCTCGTAATTCAAACGTTTCTCCTTTCCGAGGCACGGCAAAAGCCCCCCGGATCCTGTTCATCGCCATCGTGGCCACCAGAAAACTTCAGCGACGACTCCGTCGCGCTTTCGTAGCGAATTAGGCAGTGGTCGAGGCCCGGATGCTGTAACGGTGTCGTCTGCGCGGGCTGCGGGGAATGAGCGGCGAGGGAGCTTCAGGGACCACGTTGCGCGCGACACGGGGATATCGGACAAGGACTGATTAGATATCCCCTTGAATGGTGTCGGGGTTTAATTCGTAAAATAGAATCAACGGCAAAAGTGTTGTTTGTGGGGAGTTGTTGTAGAGGCTGGGGAAGAGGAATGGGAGGAAAAGGGTCTAAGATAAAGTTGTCCACTGAGAGGAAACGCGGCTCTGCTCCGTCTGGTTAAAATTAGACGCAGCCCAACTTTACCTCAACCCCAACTGCCCCTGACAGCTACTTCACACTTGACAGATAACAACACAATGGTAAGTTGTTTAGATACTGCTGCAATCGCAGTTACTGACTAACAGGCCAACCTGCCTAATCTACGTCGGCTGTTCGTCGAGGCCCGCTCCGAGGCCGAAGAGAACGAATATTCGCGGACTGCTGTAAGAGCAAATTCTAGATGGCACTACTATCGAAGATGCTAACGTTGGGGCAGTTCTATAATTTGGTCCTTTTCATTTCTTCCGTCGCCGTCTTCAGCCTGACAGCACAGCGTATTAGCGGAGCCAAATCGGGCAAATAACGGTGTGGATGATGTACAGAATTATGTCATTTACGCTTCAGACTGCTCGATATGGATTATTACAGCCGCGCCAGGCAGGCGATGAAACTCCTGCACTGCAGGTACGAATGCACGTCTCTCGTTAATCGGTTTCCTCGCCATCTTCGTCCTCCAAAAAGGCAAGGCTTTGGCGTCCTCGGTTCAGTCTCCGTCGCCGTGGTCCGCTATCACTTGTTTCCTCCGCCTCTTGACTGCCCGTGCCCCATTGTTTCGCACCCTCTTGGACCATCTCGAGATCCGCTTTGAGTTCCCGCTCCTCGTGGATCTGTTTAGCCTTTTCTAGAGAGTATCGCCCCTTCATTCCCGCGTCCGCCAGCATCTCCTTCAGATGTCTGATCTTTGCCTTCGATGTGTCGTAAGGTGCCAGCTCTTTTGACCAGAACTTGCGAATACCGCACTTGATGAGCCAGCCTTGCAAGCGCTTGATCTCTACCTGGTCGGGGTCCTGACCCACGTCCTTTGCTTTGGGTGCCGCCTTGGGTGCGGCCTTCTTTGTCGTTGTGGGTTTCTTCCGCTTGGATACTTCAGAGCTCTTTTGTCGTTTCCGACTAGGCTCAGGTTCCTCATCGAGCACGATAGACATTTCACTTTCCGAGGTGTCTTGCTTCTCCTCTTCGTCTTTCGGAGGCTGAAAGTCCTGTTCTTCTTCGGAATCAGAATTGTCTTCCATTATGTCCTTCGAGGGAGTCGGTTTTGGTTGGGTTTTCTGCGGTGTCGCCTTTCTCTTCCTTGCCGGCTTCTTCACCTCTTCCATTTGGTCTTCCTTGTAATCTGAGACATCGTCACCGTCATCTTTGGGTTGTGGAGTAGCCATTTGCTGACGTTTTCGTGGGGCTGGGGTGTTCTTCTTTGGTTGTGCTTTCGGCTTTGCAGGCTTCGGCGCAGTTGCAGGAGATTCTTCCTTGATTCTTGCTTTCTGTTTTCCTTCTGGCTCTTCCGGTTCCTGTGAATCTCGATCGAGTGCTGTCTATGACCCGAATCGCGTTAGCCGTAGGACTAATGGCACACTTCTCCATCCATAGATTATCTCCGTAAACAAGGACTCACCACTTCTTCCTTTATAATCTGATCACTTTTCACCTTCCACACATTGTCACTCCTAAAGAACCCTTCCTCGATCCCCAACGCCTTCTCCGCCGCAAGTCGCATCCGCTTTACCGTCAATTCATCCGTCTTACCTGACTTGAAGGTATCAGCGACGACATCACGTAGCGCTTTGTCTAACTGATTATCGGAGGGGCGGGAAGTTGTCAGGGATTGGTCGGAGTCAGAGTCGAATTCTGGGTGTGCTTTTCGTGGGGACATTGTGATATCTCGTTCTGTCTTCTAGTCAGTGGGAGGAGTAGTTTGTAGGTATACTTGATTCGTATGACGCGATGAAGAACTAAGGCAGGCCACACGCGCTGGATATGCGAGAGATAATCTAGAAGAAAACACTTTTATAAATGCAATTGAGCGGAAAATTCGAATATATTCACTGCAATGCGTAATGTCACAATTCCTTTGTTTATGTATTAGTCGCAAAACAAGTATTGCGAAGAGGCGAGATCGCAGCACGACTTCCATATCGGGTATCATTGCTGACAAAGCAGAAGATCTTCGAAGTAGACCTGCGATTCGTGGTTACAGGTCGGTCGGGGTCCTTTTTCGGGTCGCGCGAGTGGAAAAGATGATTATGTAATTTATTAGCATCATGTGACCCACATTGAATAATTTACCTCCTTGTAATATTTTTCACCTCGCATGACCTTTTTCCAATCAATTACCAACTAACCATCAATCCCTTGACGATTATGGCTTTACTGAGCAGTAATGTAAGTCTTTTTTATCAGTTTTGCAGCTAGTAGACTGTGATACAGAGCTCTAAATAGTTCTTTTAGAAATGGTATAAAGGATACTTGCAGAAGGTTGTCAATGGCAGCCTTGAACTTCCTGCGTACGACCTGGTAAGTCTTCTGAAAATCAATTTCAATTTAACTGCTTCCTAACTATTTTGTAACCGCTCAGACGGAACCATCAAGATCTACTACAGCGAAGTCTTTTGTCGGGTGGAGGATTGTTCGCGTGCCCAGGTGAGATTTTCTTAGCTAGATGCTTGGTGGTCGCTTGCTAACTGCTTGTCAACTACTTAGCACCATTATAGTGCCACGAACAATTTAGTTTTGCACATCAAGAGCCATGAGGGCATTCATCTGCAGGAGGGCCAGAAGGGCGGTCGGATTGCTCAGAAGGTGGTCGATGCTGCTGTCAGTAAGTGATTCCTCAGCGCTTGCCAAGCGGCTTTGAACTGATTATGACCTTCAGAGTGGTACAAAGGCTTGATGTTGGGGGCTGAGGCTGAGGTGCCCAGTGCCATTGGATCTAGGTCTGAGGCAGAGGACGGGGGTCATGAGGACGAGGAACATGAGGATGAGGAGGAAGGTGATAAGGAAGGGACGGGTGGAGAGGAAGCATCGGAGAGACCTCCTTTGCCAATGAAGAAGAACGGGGGTGTAAGTGCTCCCCAACTGCTTCTCAGCTGCCTGGCAACTGCTTACTGAGTATTTAGGTGCATGTGACAGACATGCGAAAGCAGGTGGTCCTCATGGGCCATAAGATCCCCTGTTCCGCTTGTGGTAATCGTAATAATTGCTGTAAGGACATGGAGAGCTGTGAGTACTTCCATCTCTTTCAGCATGACATGGACTAGATAGGTAGATGCCAGGTAGACTGCTTCTCAACTGCTTCCTAGCTGCTTCTTAATCAATACAGTAAATTTTGAAGACTTATCATGAATGTGTATATATATATGTGTTGCACATGGAATTGAGGATGTAAGCAGAATTCTGCCTGTACATCAATTCTCTTTACATTGATATGAGTTTTTGAGTCTGAGGGTGAAGATGATTAAAAATATATTCTTGCATAGGCTACAGGATGTGACTTGATCTGAAACTGGTGGTGAACTGCTTAGAGATCACTTGCTGATTCCTGAATTCTGTTCCGCCGCTCTATAAGATCAAGCTCTAATTTCTCATTCTCAAGACGTTGTTTTTGAGTCTCTTCTTCTTGCTTTTTAATATCTGCTTCAAGCTTTCGAAGCTCAAGCTCTTGACGTCTTACTTCTAAACTTGATGCATTTGTGGAAGCAGTTCGACGGAGATCTTTTGAAGATATTCTAGATCTAGCTGGTTTTTAGCTGCTTGGAAAGTGCATGCCAGGTACCTGGAAGCTTACTCATTGTCACCATTCTGTGAAGAGGATTGGGACTGTGATCTTATGCTCCTTCAATGTGATTGAGATTGCCCTGAAGCAGTCTCAGGACTATGGGTTGAAGAGGAGCGTTGGCGTTTGCGACTGTCTGTATTGAAGTAGTCAGTAAGTACTTGCTAATAAGCTAGGAACTAATCAAGGTAGTTATCCAGGGCACTTGCTTTCCCGACTCATATGACGAAGATAGTTGGCTTCCATATTTGATGTCCGATATGAATGATGAATGTTGAATTTCCTGAAATTATCATATTGAAGAATATCATCTTTGTCCAACTTTGCAGAACTAGATAGCATTAGCATTGTAGTAATAAAGTGCTTTATAGGTGGTTAATAACTGCTCAACACATACTTCTTAACAGCTTCAGTCAATGTTAAATACTTTCCAGATGCGTATGACTTTTGATGTGACTGTTCAACAGCATTTGTATGATTGCGCAAAACAGCAAAGTAATGAGATTGGATTTTAGAGCATGCTTTATTCAAGCCTGCTTTAATAACTGGACTTTTCTTTTGTATTGCCCATGTCTGAACATTGGCATCTTCAAATTCTATTTCACAGTTAGCAACTGGTCATGTACTGCTTAGAGAGAGGTTATTCACTGATTAGTAGTTCAACTAAAGCATCATAGTCAGCCTCTGATTTGCAGTCTAATAGACTCATCATACGGCTCCAAAGTGGAGATCCTTGATTTCTGGTCCCGATGGTATTCAGAATTGATCGTTGAAAATGGACTCGGCAAAACATTATTATATGTTGCAGATGCCATGTCACATCGTGATTTTGAGGGTCAATTTCAGACAAATATTTACCAAGTCCTAAATGGTTATTGAGTGCTTGAGAGGTGGCTGTGAAGTACTTACCAGTGTATTGTTTTGAGTCCATATCAACAATTATCCCATGAACACCAGTTCCATGAATTGAATCAAAGAGTACTGGATGACCAGTAATTTTCTGAACTAAGTCAAAGGCCCGTTTGAAAAGAAGATAATAACCCTCAGTGGAATCCACAGTGGTAAAGACCCGTAGTAAAGTAATGACTAGTTGTTTATTGGTTGAGAACTGTCTGTCAAGCACTTGGAAAGCACTTACCTTTACACTGGTCTGGCAAGAATGTTGCAAAGAGCACTTCATTCATGCTCTTAGATCGGATCCGCTTGTAAGACATATCAACTTCAAATGAGGAAAGTTGAGATAGAAGCTCAATCTGTTTCTTGAAGCCACATAGGATCATGGTATTCTGTGAATCATGATATTGTTCTTGGATATAATCCTAAGAGCTTGATAAGTACTCCCTAATCATATAAGTACTTTGAACATGAATACCTTAATATGTTGATCAGTGTTTTCAAGGAAAATGAGACCATTGACATCCTGCCCGCTTGGATATGAAAGCAGGCGCTGTTTTTGGATAATTGCTGCAATTCGATCTTTATTACAGAAGCTTGAGTGGATTTCTGTCAATGTAGAAGCATTATGCTGCTGACAAAAGGCCTCTAGCTGTGGATTTCGCAGGAATTGTGCTGAATGACTGTTTAGCAAATGGTTAAGAGGCACTTATGAAGTACTTACCAGTGGTTAAACTTGGATCATGGATCTGCTGTATGATCCTTTTCACTCCCTGTAAGATCCGCTCTGGTGCTTTGGTTGGGGGTGGTGGTGGGTGTTTATGCACACCATGTGATGTGAATAATATATATGGGCATTGGCCTATATCAACTGGGACTAGAGCATTGAAGATAACATCACAAGGTGTATGTTGCAATCGACCTGATCCTTGAGGATGATCCCGGCCTTTGAAGCAGTTAGTGACCAGTTGCCAAGTGGCTGATAAGTACCTGTACCTACCACAGTATTTTCGTCGGGATGACAATGATTCAAAAACACCACACTCTTCAGTCGCTGGTATAATCTCTTTATTAAAGAGATCTTCAAGAAACTGCAAGTTAATCACTGTATGGCCTTGAATTGCTCCTCTATGATGTTTTGTCAAGACACCATACGATTCATTTATACAGCCAATATAAGGATCATATTCGCCATGAACATTCTGAAATAGTTAGAAACCGCCTGATAAACACCTATGAGATATTTCAAACCAACCATTTGGCTGTATCTCTTGAAAACTGGTTTACAAGAAGGGTGTTGGTCAATACAGGCAAGGCCTTTCTCAAAGAAAGCAACTTTGGATCGATAGTAGCTAAAAGCAGTTAGTAACCAGTCTGTAGCCAGTTAAGAAGCAGTTGGGTACCTGTATGCATTCCGTCTGCCAAGGTCAGACTCTAAGAGCTGAATATCCTTTTGAGACTTTTGGATTTCTTGCCAAATAACATCATCAACAAAGGTATGATGACGGGATTGAAGGAATGAGTTCAGAAATTCACATGCATAGATTCCAGAGCATTTCCAGGTCCATTTTTTGACATGGCATCTAAAAAAAGGGCAATAGACTGGTCGTTTCTGTCCATATTGCAGTCGTTTTGCATATTGGATCTAATGTATACTTAGCAATTGGTCATAAAATACATTATGGTCACTCACGTCATGTGCAAGTTGCTCCATTTCAAGCTGTGATCGCCCTCTTGATGCAACAACATATGAATATCCATCAATATGACTTGTTGGATACTCTGGTAGGTCATCATTATACTCAATTTTGAGCGTTGTAAGGCCAGGTCCTTTAGCACTAGTAAGTGGAATTGGTATAGCTGGTTTCAGTTCCTGTATCAAGTAGTTAGTAAGCAGTTAAATACCACTTAGCTAATTATGGAGTTGTTTCTCACCTCAATATCCGCTTCAGCATCGAGATCCAGTCCAGAAAGCTCATTCATGTCAATGGTAGAATTATTAACGTCCATCTTGATGTAAAATTGGTAATATGATGAAATTGATATTAACCCACTTGTGAATTGCTTAAATCGTTCGGAATATTATGAGCAGTGAGAGGTAATCATGGAAAATGAATTACAGGTGTATCTGTATGATATTTTAAAGGTCATGCGAGCCGTCCTTGCTTAATAATGATATTGGCAGTCACGTGCTACTGGTTCATCTCACATGAGCTTATTTGAAAGCTCGCGTGGGCTGCGTACACCTGCGATTCGGAGATTACTGTCACTACATGTTCTAGAAACCAATTTTACGGAATTTTTAAGGCATAACGATATCACACTTTATGAGAACTTGATCTACTTGGTTGTACTGCTACCTTCCTCCTCCGCTCGCCGTCCGGTCTACCTCCGAGTTTCTCCGCTGCACACCGGCGCATTATAAATCCAAAGTCTGAGAGAAAGAAAGATACCTAAGTCCTACAGCACTTCTCGACATTACTTGTCGAATCCCCCTGCTCGCAGCTCATCAATACATACAATGCCAGAACCAACGAGAAATGAGGAGACCCCGCAGACCAACCTGCCCAAGGGCGTTGTACTAGACAAGGACGGTAAACCGTACGTATCCAACGCTCCAAGCGTAAAAGCAGACTACCAAAATACAGACTACATTCTTCTAACGTATCAATCTACAGATGCCGCACCTGCACCTCCGCTGCCTCATGGCGCGCCCTCTCCAAACAAGCTGCGCAATCCAATTCCGATTCCAAAGACAAACTCCAATCCTCCACCTCTCCATCATCATTCCCCCTCCCCAAATCCATCTCCTCCGCCGCATCAACCAGCACTCCCTCATCCTCCCCATCCTCGGCCACCGACAACCAGTGTCCACCGGACGTCGAAGCCCTCGGCCGCTCAACCTGGACCCTCCTCCACTCCCTCGCAGCCGCCTACCCCACGCACGCCACCCTCGAGAAACAAGACGAAATGCGCACGTTCCTGACCGTCTTCTCGAAGCTTTACCCGTGCTGGGTATGCGCGGATGATTTCCGGAATTGGATGGCGGAGCCTAGTGGGAGGAATCGGCCAAAATTGGGGGGGAGAGCAGATTTTGGGTGGTGGATGTGTGAGGCGCATAATGAGGTGAATCGGAAGTTGGGGAAGAAGGAGTTCGATTGCCGGTTTTGGGAGGAGAGGTGGAGGACGGGGTGGAAGGATGGGAGGTGTGATTGAGGGTTGGTGTTGATATTGGAAGTAAGTATATAGCCGGTTTGGACATCTTGTATGAATAGCCTCTAGAACTTGTATTTTTTATGGTCAAAATAAAAATGGCAACGAACATAAGCATATTTATTCTTTCAAATTGGCCGCAACTCAGAATATATATTTGTAAGGTACATTACAACTAGAAGTGGACAGGACAAACTACTTCCCATTTTACAAACCACAAACATAACAAAATCTGAAAATAGCTGAAGCCGCTAAGAAATTATATGATAGAAAAAACGTGTAGTAAAGGAACAAGGACGTCTACCCATGGCGCCGCCCCAACGAACAAGTTTAAACACATTTGACGCTCCATATGTCAGGGAACTGAAAAATGCAAGACACTAAAATCGTCACATTTCATCATCTTCAGTACTGGCCGGGGACGAACAGCCGCAGTCCGCTGGCCGGTGCTCCGATCTCGGTCACGTCGGATATTCTACACACGGTGCCCTTGTATTGTTCGTGATACTTGGCTCCAGTGAAGGGGTCCGACACGCTCGGGGAGCCGCCGTAGATAGGAGTGTGCGAGGCTGCGCAAATGTCGAATTCGGCGAACTGGTCGAATTCGGTGTCGATCTTGTCCTGAGGGTTGCGTTCGCACTGGGGCTTGATCTTCCGGGCCTATTGACGGGTTAGAATACAGTGTCATGATATCAAGGGTAAATGAAGCATACTTGGTCCAAAAGCTTAGAGGAGCCTCCGTTGGCCAGCATACGGTTGGCAAAGCTGAGAGCGGACGAGTAGTTCTTGTTGGCAAAGGCAAACTTCATTGCTGCCATAAGTGCAAGCTGTCGATGAGCAACCTCCAGCTTGGGAATGGTAAAGTATGCAGAAAGCTCAAGGCTTCGCTTGAGGTTCTCGGGAGATTCGGTGTCGAGGGACCGGCGTTCCAACTCGATAGACATCGCAAGAATGTACTCTCGGGCGGTTTCAATGATTTTCTTCGCTTGCTCGACCTCAGCCTCGGAAGCAACGGCATTGACCAAGACAGCGTGCAGAATTCTACGGAAGATTTGGACACCATCCTCTAATTTGTTGGCCCTCATAGCCGCATATCCTTCCTGCAAGTCCGCATTGGCAATAGTCTCCAAGTCCCTCGGAATGACAGGGAGGAGTTTCCGGATATCTGTCTCTTCAGTAGTCCGTCGCACATAGTTGACCAAGTGGGGGAGACCGGCGGTGGCAGGCAGATATGTTTTGGACGCCTTGTAAACCTCGAGAAATCGACTCTTCAGAGGAGCAAAGTTCACAGCTCCCACTTGACGGTTGAGAAGCTGCATGGCAGACTCGAAAGAGCCGGCAGCGACGTGATCAGCGGCCAATGGAGAGTTACGAGTCCAAAGGTCAGCCTCAGAGCTGCCTGCACCAATCTCCGCACTTTCCACATTGACAAAGTCAGCATCTTCCTCGACATTGATCTCGTCACCCATATCCCAACCGTCGACATCCTCTTCTTCATCCTCAAGAGTCTCACGAGCGAGGCCAGTCTCTTCCTCTTCCTCCTCGGCGTGCAACCCGCCAGCTTCGACTTCTTCGTCGGCCAAGCCAACCTCACCAAGAAGTGCCTTTTCGAAAGAAGAGTGAGCCGCCGGCTTGACAGGCCAATTCGATTTGAAGGTGGACACGATAGGCTGTGCGACACGGATAGGTTCTTCGAGGATCGGAAGGGAGATCTGATCTTCGGTAAGACCACAGGCCTCAAGAATGGATTCAGCCTCCTCGGTCAAACTGTTAGCCTTAGCGGTGAGGTAGGCAAGAGGATACAGATCGACTTCCTTGAACATCTGGATCCTGTCTTCAACGTCACCGCGGTAGATGGCATTCTGGAAGCGTGATGTGAAATCGCCGCGGTGCTCAGCAATCTTGGCCATTCTGCCCAGCTTGTCGGAGTCACCTGTCGACAGATAGAGGAAAGAAAGCTTATCGAAATGACGCTGCTTCTGGTATGTCATCTCCACCGTTTGGTGGTTGCCGTGGGCCAGAGCCTCAACACCGAGTCTGCTCCACAGGTTGGGGCGATCCAACTCCTTGGCCATCTCCACAGCAACTTCAAGGTTGCCGCATTCAAGCGCAAGTTCGAAGCGTGTTTGAGGGTCTTGAACGAATTGCAAGGCGATTTCCGGATAACCCTTCTTCTGGAGATAGGATATGATGCTCTGACCAACCAAGCTGGAGGTCTTGATGATCTGGAGCATTTCGTCGTAATTCCTCTTGACCAGGGCAAGCTTGAAACGGTACTCAGTGGGATCGATCTCCAGGACTTTGGGCTTAGCGTAACGGTCAAGGCTGTAAACGTTACGTCCCTTGACCTTGACAAGGTAGACGGTTTGGTCAAGGGTACGGATAATACCATTATCACTGTATAATTTTGTCAATCTTCAGCTATAGCCAAAATGGTAGATATTTGGTAACATACCCGTTCAGAAGAGAATACTTGATGTGGTTCAAGGTGGAGTACAGGAGCACGCCAGCGTCGTCCCAAGCGGCACTCTTGATACGGATAGTCTCGTGCAAACTGCTCACTTGTTCCAGTGTCTTGGTGACAATGGTGACATTGTGCTTGCTAAGGAGAGCTGCGTAGAGACCATCGTTAGACCAGACGACGTACTTGACACCGCTCACGGCTAGCTCTGCCAACTGCTTTTTAGCCTGGATGTCGAAAAGGACGACAGAGGTGGGGGTGATGAAGAGCAAGCATCCGGTGCCACCAAAATAGATGTCGGTAGTTGCAGGCGGGGGCTTGATGCTCTTAGTAGTGGCGTTGGAGAGATCCTTGATATCAACCTGCTGGGCGGCGGCACTGAAGACGGCGAACCGATTGCGTGCGACAAAGACGGCAGACGAACCAGGGCCACGCTTCACGTCGGTCGGCTCGACGGCCCCAGTGGCATCTCTCGGAAGGTGAATCAACTCGTAAGTCCCGCTATCAGTTGGCGAAGTGACGAGAATGGCTCGCTCAGCGGGGTTGTAGGAAACTGTCCGCGGGGGAACCCAAGCGGAACCAAGCTTCCGCAGCGAAAGCATGGGCGGGGACTCGATGTTCTTCGCAAAGTCGTATGACTTGACATTCTTCTCTTTGGTGATGTAGAAGAGCTGGTTCTGATACACGGTCGATGCGGGCCTCTCTCTTTCCAACTTGAAGACCATGACACCAGTGTCGTGGCCAGCCGCGAACAGGTTAATCTCGGGGTGAGCGGCGATCACCCAGAATCTGTCCATATCGCGCTTGAATGACTGTACCGAAGTCCTCTTGTTCAAATCCCATACTCGAATCGTCTTGTCTTCGCCGACGGAGAGAATAAGGTCCTGGTGGGGGTGGAACAGACAGGCCGATGCGTTCTGGAAATGGCCGCGGCAGGTATCGACTTCCCATGCCTTGGTCTCTGTTGGATGAGGTCAGCGGGTGTCCATGGTGGAAATAGAGATAGGGACAGTCCTACCGCTCATTCTCCAGAGCTTGATGAGACGGTCATCACCAGCCGAAACAATCAAAGGTAGCGTCGGGTGGAAGGACACCCAGTTCACACCTCGATCGTGACCCTCCAGAACAAACTTAACAATCGCATCCGTATTTCCGAACATATCAGCCTGGTTGTTATTGGCCCGGGCTATCTGGTCTTCGAGGGAAATCGAGGTCGGGGCAGAGTGCTTCTTCCGCAATCCTGAAATGTCCCAGATACGAACGGACTGGTCGAGCGAGGCCGAGGCAATCAAGTCTTCCGTAGGGTGAAACTGCGCGCACATCACATAGTGGTTGTGACCCGTCATTGTACAGACTAGACAATGACCCTTGTGTTAAAATCCTCCTAATTGTTTGGAATTGGACAGGTGGCAACTTACTCAACGACCTGTTCTGCCAGTTCCATATCCGGATTGTCTGGTCGTCGGAGGCAGACACGATCCAGGGAAGTTCATGGTGGAAGAATACTGTCCGCACGTAATCCAAATGTCCATTCAATGTGAACAGACATCTTCGTGTCTGGTAACTCCACACTTTGATCTTATAGTCGTCACCTCCGGAGACGAAGAGGGGCTGCGTCGGGTGGAAGTCAATGCCGCGAACGGGGCCATCGTGTTCTTCGAATCGGTCGATCAGGGTACCCATGCGGTAGTCCCATAGTTGAATTGTGGATGAATGAAGGGAGACAAGGATCCATGGTCTGTTGTCGATGTAAGGTCAGTCAAGCGCTCGCGGGTTGCGACGCATCAACACCATCTCCGAACTGACCGTTTAGGATGGAAAGCAATTCCCTTTGCTCGGGACGATTTCGATTCAAACTATAAAACAAATAGCGGTTAACCATGCCCCAGTTAAAGCGCCGTACATATGACAGGAGAGACGTGCCTTGGTGAGCATGTTTGGGGAAGACTGCATCTTGAACGAACGTAGGCCGGAGCCGCACCATATAGAGCAAGCTCCGCACACTCCAGAGGGGTATCGAAGAGATTAAAGAGGGCAGAATTGTCCGCCGTATTCCACCTGTAATTCCGCACGAAAAGAGACAAATCAAGATAAAGAATGGAAGCAGATGAATGGCAGAGAGCGTTCGTTATAGGGGAAGGTTGACCTGGAGAGCGGTAACGTGGACTTTCTGGCGTCGAGCCAATAAGCGAATCCCGCGGGCCAATGATGGCCTGGGCGGTGAGCGCACTTCTACAGGAGGCTTTTCATCAAAAGACTACATTCTATTGCTGTTCTATTTGTTTGTTGTTTTTGAACTGTCTATCTAGATATGATAATTCCAGATATGGGTGTCCCAAAGGCCACCGGAGTCTATGGCTGCCATACGCCAGACCTTCCTCTTTCCGCAAGTGGTTCGAGACGCTTCCATAAGGATCGCGAATGATAACATGAACCACTCCTCAGAACCGCGTGTCGGCCATGGTTTTCCTCTTTTGCTCTTACATTTCCCCATTCCTGCTGACGTTAAACTCAAGCTGACCATTTCGTCAATGGGCTTCATGGCATACAACGCTGTAGAAAGTCTGTTACTTGAGAGACTCTCGCTTGATCCCCGCATATACAAGATAAGATGAATGAGGAACGCTATCCGGGCGATTACCATGCTCAAGATGACCCGTCGATATACTGGCAATATCCGAAGAACAATACCTTTACAACGTACCAGGAGCTGGTAGTGAGACCCTATGCGGTTGAGGAACCGCATGATGATGCAGAGGACCATATCTGGGAAACTACGGAGCCAATTCCACAATGGCAGAGAGAACTGGTGGAATCACTGGACGAACTTGCGTGCGAGTCAGATACTAGTGCTCCTTCGTTGAGATCCAGTCCAACGAGAGGCCAGAAGAGAAAGTCCGCCAGCACATCCTCTCAGGATTGTTACCCTGACCAATCGCCGTCATCGGACCCGGACCTTCGATCAGATGACTCCGAACCCGAGACGACCAATATGAGCCCGAAAAGACGGCGTAGAAAGTGCCAGAGCAATCAGTTCAGAGCCAATTTGGATGCTGCTGATGCCGCGTTTCTACCTCACCACAGCCACGGGTTGTCCATGAGCCCCAATTCAGAATCCCAATTTGCAGATACAAGCAGCAGTAATTCCACGAGCAATGGAGCTGCTACCCCCGACGCAATGGACATGAATTGAATTCGAGCAGTACAAGTCGAACGGCGAATGTTGCGCTCCGATTGGCCGCTGTCAGTCTTGTCACGTGACATTACGTCTCGACGTTATCTAAGCATATATGACGTCACACAGTCATATCGCCCTTCGACGTCCATCGGTTTTCTGTTCCATTTCAGGTCAAACGGCTTTGAACACCGGATTCAGGGGACATCAAATAATTTAATTGAACTATCTGTCACGACAATCGCACCTGTCACGCAATAATGGCTGCAACGCGAACTTCGTCCCGCCAGGCCGCCCAGAAGGCTAAGGAAGCGATTACAAGCAGTGCGGAGCCTAGAGGTCAAGGAACTACTGGAACCAAGCGCAAGGGAGCTACCGAAAAATTCCCAGAACCAAAGAAGGGAAAGAAGGACGACCAAGAGCCGAAGAAGGAACCGGAAGAGAGCAAAGAAGTAGACCAGAGAGCGAAGGAGGAACCTCCTAAGTCATCTCATGACAAAGACAAGGTAAAGGAAGAAGATAAGACAGCGGGGGAGGAGAAGGCAGAGAAGGAAAAGGAGAAGAAGGATGAAGAACCAAGCAAGGCTGGTGCAGGTAGGGTCCATATAATCCAGCATTTTGCACACAACATTGAGGCTAACCTATCGCATTTAGAGGCCGATGGAAAGCCCGCTATAGAAGACGAGAAGCCATCCGATGATATTGAAGCCGGAGTCAGGAAATCGCAAGAGAGAGAAGACATCGTGCCATCAAACATACTCGAAAAAGGCATCATTTACTTCTTCTATCGCCCGCGCGTCAATGTTGAAGAACCACATAGCATGAAAGAAGTTGCCCGAAGTTTCGTTGTCCTACGCCCAACACCAATAGGAGCGACAATCGATGAGAAGCAAGGCTCGCTTGAACCTGGTGCGAGTTGTCGCTTGATCATCCTTCCCAAGAAGAAGTTTCCAACATCAGCTAGAGAACGGGATATGGCATTCGTGGAGAAAAGCGGCCAGTCCATGAAAGAGCTGAAGGAAAGTTTCATCTCTGGGGGCAAGTACGAAACCTCGACACGAGGCGAACGCACAGTTGAAGAAGCCAGGCCATATGCTGAAGGGGTATATGCCATCACTTCAACGAAGCGGGCCTCACATCTTGCGTACATCATTACTATTCCCGATGAACTTGGCTCGGTGCAAGAGGATTTCGGTCTTCGTGGACGCGGTAGCTGGATCGTGCAGGCCAAGAACCCTAAATATCCTGGTCCAGCTACTGCGCAGCTTCCCAAGAACCCAGAGTATCCTGAGGAGTAAGACACCTTTTATTCTAGGAGATTTTCGTGCATGACGACTGACAATGATAAGAATCCACGAGAAATTTGCTGATTACCGATGGGTGCCACTGGAACCAGTATTCATCAACTATTCCAACGCGCAGATCCTCATGATCGGTGAAGCGCAAAATGAACTTGGAAAGGCTGCTATTGCGGAGCCTGATGGCAAGAAAGAGGAGCAAGAGCAACCGGGCGAGGAACTGGAGAAGCTCGAGCATGAGAATGAGGAGCGAATTGAAGCTCTGCAGGGTAAGTTACTTCAACTTAGTGATCTCACACGCATGATCACTTACTGATTTCAATAGGCGATGCCACTGTGTACCAAGATTTGGGGTTAGATGCGGAGAATTATCCCCAGGTGCCGACTACTTGGGATGACCTTTCCTAACTCTGCGCTGGAGAATCGCCGGTAAGCTCGTGTACTATTAGGATGCAACGAATGTATTGATATACTACTATACATGTATGTGATAATATCTGACTGCTGTTTAATAAAGGCCTTTCCTTATTTTATATCGGATACTTTGTTCTCAGCCGAAGTTTATTGTCATACTTCGCAGCATTCCATGCTGATATTTACTCCCAGAAAAGGCAATACAATTCTATAATTACTATTCATATCTTTCATATCGTATAAAGTACAAAATTAACCATTCATACAAGCGAGATTCATCTCGTGCTCATCATCCCACACTGACACCATTAACTTCGATCTGCACGTGGGGATTTGATTGGTATATATTTAACAACCCATCGACTAGAACATCCAAAACTCTCATTGTTTCCTATTCTCTCAATTTCAATGCGAAGTTCGAAAAAGTCATGAAACTTTCATCATTGATATCTGCATTACCTCTGGTAGCTGCCTCTACGGCTGCTGCGAAGAATGCCGTGAACCAAACCACCTGCGGAGGCACGACATACACATACAACGAACTAGCCGGATACGGCTTCGTGCCCTCAAACGAAACAGATAAATACGGCGATACACTAGGGGGCTATGGTAGTTCTGCTGCAATTGACCAGTCTTCCTGGCGCAAGACGGGCAATAGTTCGTATGCGGGAGTCGTCTATACTTTGCCAGATCGCGGGTGGTAAGAACCTATTATGTGAAAAACTAATGAACTATATCGCTCAATTGATTGGTTGATGATGACAGGAACACAAACGGAACCCTTAATTTCCAATCCCGCATCCACAAACTCGCCATCTCACTTACCCTCGCCCCCCACGCCTCAGCATCCAACCCCTCAAAACCAAACCTTCATCTGAAATACCTAGACACCATCCTCCTAACCGGCCCAGACGGTGAGCCCACAACCGGTCTCGACGCCGATATCACCGGCTATGCCTCCTACCCAGGTTTCCCCCCACTACCCGTCGCGACATACGAAGGCGATGGCTTCGGAGGCGCAGGACCTGGGGGGAAACGTATCTCAATCGACAGCGAAGGTCTAGCACTAGGTCATGATGGGACGTTCTGGATCTCCGATGAATACGGTCCATATGTGTACAAGTTCGACCACGATGGGAAAATGCTCCTGGCCATTCAACCACCAGACGCTTTCCTCCCCCGGCGCAACGGAAGTATCAGCTTCAACTCTGATTCCGCGCCTATCTACGCGCCTGACAAAATCTCCGTCCCAGAGGATACAGAGACAGGCCGTAATAATAACCAGGGTCTTGAGGCTATCACCATCTCCCCTGACGGAAAGACATTATACACGATGATCCAATCCGCGCTGGACCAAGAGGGCGGGCCAAAAAAACGACATCGTCAACCGGCGCGAATTCTCGAGTATGATATTTCTTCCCCAGATACACCTGTTTACAAACATGAGTACGCCGCATTGCTTCCAAAGTACAGAGACTACACCAAGTCTGCCGATGACAAGAAGGCCTTCCGCGTCGCGAGCCAGTCTGAGATTCATATCCTCCCGTCAGGCGATTTCCTAGTCCTAGCCCGGGACTCGGATTTCGGTAATGGCCAGGAAAACACACGTTCCGTTTACCGACATGCAGATGTCTTCTCTATCTCGAACGCTACGGATCTTAAAGGTTCGAAATACGATTCCGCGAGCGGATCTATCGCATCTAGCAAAGGTGTTTTGAACTCCGGTATCATACCAGTAGAGTACTGTGAGTTCGTGGACTACAATGTCAACTCCGAGTTAGCGAGATTCGGACTGCACAATGGTGGGGAGACGGGTCCTGGGCTTCTGAATGAGAAGTGGGAGAGTTTGGCGCTCGCGCCTGTGGAGCCAGAGTCGAGTTCGTCTGGGAGTGGGAGGGAGTATTTTCTGTTAAGTTTGAGTGATAATGATTTCATGACGCAGGATGGTAAGTACCTTTAACAATATCCGATTGGATTATTATGGTAATGCTAACTTGCCTTTAGGGCATATGAACTTTGGGAGGTTCGATTATGCTGATGAGTCGGGTTACAATCTGGATAACCAAGTCCTTGTTTTCAAGATTTCTTTTTGAGCTTCAGCAGTTTTTGATATTTGATAGGAAACATATTTCATAAATGAAAAATGGAGCGGACATTGGTCATTCTGTAGTACTGATAGAAGTCATCACTGTCGGTTATATATATTTCCAGTAACCCCAATGAACACCAACAAAAACGCCCATCAAGATTAGAATAAAAAATTACCCGTAATATATCAATTAGAATAAAACGAAATCACATGGCATTTTCCCTCTTGCTTTTCCTCAAGACTCTCACTGTATGAGCTTAATAGCCCGCAAGATGTCATCCAGCGACCATCCAGGACCACCGGGGACAATTTCAGCCCAAACACTCTCTGGAACAGCATCTTCAGGACCCAAGAGACTCCAGTTGGGACTGGCTTCAGGTTTGATCCATTCAAAGTCTTCAACTTGGCTCCAGCGGTCTTCGTAGTCTGGGCGGTCGTGGTCGAGGGCCTGATGATGTCTGTTAGCTTTATTCACAACGATATTGGAGGGGAAGGACTCACATATGCCCTAGGCGTGCGCCCGAAACGGACATTAGAGCATCCTTCAATGATGGGATTACTTGTTGAGCTCAAATAGACATCTACATCACGGCAGTCGTGCATGCGGAACTGGCGGCAAGACACCACAATGACGCTATGCTTAACCCCAGTGATATGCGCAGGACCGTTGATCTGCCCGCAGACTAATAAGCTCTCCTTGACATTATTCACGGTCAAGCTAGCATACGGCTTGCCGTTGGCGGTGGGAATGGACATGTCGACGACGCAGTGGCGCAACGAGGTTATAGAAGCAGGAACAGCAGAAGCAGATCCAGAAGCCGGGAGCATGATATGAAGGTCACGGTGGTTATCCACCGATACAGAGGACAAGATATTCGCCGCAAAACCCTTCTGTTCTTTTTCCTTGGGTTTCTCTTCGGTATAACCGACAGAAATGGATGGAACAGAAGTTGGCACAACCTCGGGTCTATGCTGTTGCAAGATATTGTCCGGCTCGTTCAACGGTGTCGAGGGATAGAGAGGAGTGTTATTTGCAGATGAGCCAACTGAGGACGTTCCAGGTGAGCGATACCCGGGGATACCACGACAGCCCTGGAAAGCCATATCAGCTGCGTCAGAGAGAGAGATAGCAGCAGGAGCTCTCTTCGTCTTGAAGCTAAATTTCGAGCGCGGCTCAACGACGGCACGAGTCTCTGCTAGCTTGTCTTGGAGTGCTTTAATAGCCTGGACGCTTGTCAACATATGTCAATAGGGTCAATGCCAGATTCACCTACCTCTGCATATATCCGCTGATCATAGGTTGGAATATAACTCGCCGCATCCTTGACCTCGTTGGACAATCGTGCAATTCCAGCTAGACAGTGGTCTGTAGCATCAGTCCGCTCTCCGCCTACCAGCGATGTATCCGCCAGACGTTCCATCTGCTCCTGGAGTGCTAACTCGAGTCAGCTTACTGAAACCAATAGCTAATCTGATAAGGTACCAACCAGTGATCTCATGCTGGAAGTAGCGGAAAAACCGTTCCTTGAGCGGGATCTCGGCTCTCAGGATGGTCTGGCTCTCGGCCTGCGACAGCCGGCGCGGTTGTTCGAGCTCGGGTATGGACATGGTGTCTGTAACAGAGTGTAGTGCTTTATCAACGGGGTATGCTAGGGGACGAGGCCGGTAGATGTAAGATAATCTGAGGGAGAATGTATTGATGACGTCGATCCGGTGTCAGTCGGTTAGCCAATTTTACGTAGCCGGAGTATCAGTTGAGAATGTGGTTTAGATAGAGAAGACAATGGCAGCGATTCTCCCCGGTTCACAGCTGAGAAAAGAGGGGCAATGGTCTAGATATGGACAGTTATTATTGATGCCAATCAGGCAATCGGCGGGGTTGGTCAGGAGGAACTGATTCTCTGCAGAATCAAACCACACTGGGTATGGGAATAAACTCAGTATCTATCAAGAAGTAGTAGATTAGGCTCTCAAATAGCTTTATCACAAGACAATAAAAGATCAGAAAACAACTGCTATTTCTCGATGACGATAGTGACGTCGTCCACAAAGCGGGGGCCGGGGATTATTTTCTCCGGAAGATCTTCCGTTTTGGCATGTCGTCGCCTGAGGTAGTCAGTCCTATCGAGAACTATATGTCGACCTGTAGACTAACATGTACTATTTCTACAACTAGACGCTAAATACAATCATAATAACAATTAATTCGACGCAAGCTCCGGTAAATCAGGCCTGAGGCTAATTGACGGACCCCTTTTCTCCACAACAGGACTGGACGGCACACCAATCCTCGGTGACTGCGTCCTTGAGCTTGCATTTGGTGTCCGCTCTGCCATCAGACGCTCAAGGTCAGCCCGAAGGTCGTAATCGCTGATCGTCTCGCCATTATCATTTAGTCGAACTGTCCGGAGCATGAGCTTTTCGTCCTTCACCCAGAATACCAGGAGGATGTTTTCTTGAAGAAATGAAAGTAGTAACTTCCCGGGTCTGAAGGCCGATGAGGTTATTTTGGAGGAGGCTTTCTTAATTCGAATAGGGCTAAATGGTCCGTCTGATTTGTAGTCGCATATATATATCTCGTTGAGGCAGTTTGCGAATGCATATCGCAAGCCGGAGGGAGATTGAGCAGCATGAAGAATCTTGGTGCTGAATGAGGAGCCAGTGGCTTGCCCATTAGATGTTGAAAACAAGAGAGGGTATTCTTTATTCGAAAAGGCTGTGAGGAATATAGAGTTATGAAGACTGTTATAGAACGCGCCAGTAAGGCTTCCGTCAATCGATGTATTCTATGCTGTTAGCAATTGCGATAGTTAATGTAAACAGAGGGCATGAACTTACTTTAAGAGAATAAAAGCCGCCCTTTGCAATATTCCATACATCTGTATCGCGGTGCCACACATCGAAGTATACAGATTGACTCTCAAGACGAGCAAGGACAAGACCATTTCCATCAGCGGAGAATGCGATCTTTCGATGAGTAGCTGCTTTCTCCTGGGCCCATCTAGGGCTTTCATTGACGGCAACTTTCTGAATGGACCTAGCTTCCAGGTCGTAAATGTTCCCGAGTTCATAGACGTGGACTTGGTTCTCAAGTATAAATGCAATATGCCTATCATCACGGGACATAGTCATACAGTTGGAGGGAAGAGAAAGACCTGGAGTGTCAATGGTTACAAGGGCTTCTGCACAGACGCCATTGGGCCCAAATATAAGGAGCTCATAATGCTAGAGCAAGTCAGTATCAGCTTGGACATCGAAACAACCAGGGTGAATACCTGTCCCACCGAGGAAATAACAGCGCAGCGCAGCTCTCCTGCTGCAACACACTGTACGCCCGAGACATCATATCTTAGTGCTTCGGGCTTTTGTCCATCTATAGTCGGTATATCAAAACGCGATATGCAACTGCTATCCTCGCCCCAGAAAAATAGACTCTTGCCACTGGAGGAGAAGCAGAATTTGGGTTGGCGTGACAGCCGCTGTTCTCTCAACAGACCTTTTCGAATTGACGACGCCCGACGAACAGGAAGAGCTAGCTTGACGCCCTTCAGCTCCCTGGACAAAGACTTGACCGTCTGCTTCTGCTGGCTCTTGTCTAACCAGGGCGCGGAGAGGTGGTTCAGCGAGCTCGCCATCGCATATAGAGATTGACTGCTTTTCATCTTCGGCATACTGGTATTTGGGGACGATGGTTTCGAGTCACCAAAACCAACAGAACGACGGGTGGAATGGCTCATAGAGCTTGATCGGGAGGCTGTACGTCCGGATATTGATCCAAAGGCTGATCGTCGGCTGAGAGTACTTCCTGATTCGGAACCATTTTGTATCGCACTTGATAGTTGTTCCAGCGGTTCTATAATCCGAGCGTGTTGGATTCTCGTGCCTTCAGGGCAGAGTGGACAAGAAGCGTCGATTGAGAGGAGTTCTGGTATTGTCTGAAGCTGTTATATGAAGTTAACTCCAGGAATCTAGCACGCCGTGTGAGATAGGACATGAGACTTGAGCCAAGCTTCTTGAGATATGACTTACATCGTCGATATCGCTCCCGGTCCTCGTCAACTGTTCCTCTAACAATACCTTCGGAACTGGATGGACAAAGGGACAGTCCACTACATATATGACACCGACCTTATCTGCTTCGTTAGCTTGCCTTTCCATTTCAGTAGGCGACGAGGTGTGTAGCCACTGTGTCAAATGCCGTTGATACTCGTGCGACACGGCTTCTAGTTCACCGTTGCAGTCCCACAGTTGCACCCTGCGATTGATGAGCCACCTTACAAAGTGGCTTAGAGAGCAATCTAACTCATTCCTGAAGCCGGCCATCTGGTTCCACGCATCTCTGACCTTGCGTGTTTGCAATGGCGGGTTTCCATCCCCTGTTTGACTCAGGATGATAGTTGCAAGAATCTTGAGCGCTGGTTTATCTGCTTGTCCATCTGCTGCGGCTAAGATGGTTCTTGCCAACCTCTTCCTGGCATCTCCTGTCTGGACAAATGCCCCTTCGATGTTGGACGTCGTGTACAAGTCCCCTTGCTGTTGGGGTATTCGGCGGGAGTCAACATGGCATTGAATAAGTGCGGATTCGGCCGCCCATGATGTATCAAATAGTGTCCAAAATGACGAGGTATGATCCGGTCCTTTCCCGACGATGCCAGTTAGGAGATCGGTAATATGCGTCTCGGGTACACTAGGAAAAGGGTACTATGCGGAGTTAGTTGACACGAAAATAGCAAAGATGCAGGGTATACTCACGAGTCCCGAGTTAAATGACGGAAGAAGACGCCTTCCAGAGGCTGCCAAAGGGCTCTGACCGTGTGATGTATCTGCGCCGCCTCCAATATCATTGATAGCTCTCGGCAAAAGCATGTTGACCAAATAGCTCTCCTCATTCGACAAACCCGGATGTTGCCATGCCATCTTCATCGCGCGCTCCAAATTAGATCTCATCTCAGCATGTAAGGATTCCCCCCGCAACAACAACAATCTGACACCTGCAAGCACAGCCTCCGCCATGAAATACCGGTACTGCGCACGATCACAGATCCCAGCCGCCGTCATGGGTAACAATTCTGCCTTGGCTCGAATCAGGTACATGAGGGTCGAGTAGATAGTCTCCGATGGTAGAAGATATGGGAGCAGGCTCTGGGGACATTCGCGAACGCTGGCTAGGCCTTGTAAATAGGACCGTTGTAGATCGAAGATTGCCTTGATCCAAAATACCATGCGCACCAACGGCTCGACATCCGCAACCAGTCCATTTTGCACTTGAGAAACGGCCAGTTGCGCAGCATGGTCTCCTATGATCTCTCGGAGGATGTTGGAAATATCAGTGCGACCTAACTGTTCCCACACAGCCGCCACTAGTGGATGTGACATGGAGACAGAGAGGAGAAGGAAGAAGAGGGAGAGAAATAGGGCGAATACTACTAGGTGGTTGGTTTTTTTTTTTTTTTTTTCTTCAGCAACTCATCCCCTGGCAGCAATAGAGATGAGATATAACCTGGGAGTTCCTCGCATGGACGCTGACAGTGAGGCATAAGAGTAGGAAAAGAGAAAACGGGATTAGGCTGACGAGAGGAATTTCTGTCCTTCTGCACGAATGCGTGTTGGACAATCAACCCCGCTAGACGCCCGGTACAGCAGTAGACGCAAGGGCCGTTTCAACAGCAGTAGCCAGGGAGACAGGAAATGAGCTTCGTTTTGGCAAAATCGACTGGGGAGATTTCAAAAGGAAAGAGCTTCGGTGCTCATCATTCCGGGGAAGTCTTTGTCTCGCTGCGTTTGTTCTATTGCTTCCGTTTCTTTGAACTCGGAGACGGAGTAGCATTGACGGGAAAGAGGACATGCTGCTAATGTCAATTATTTCTCTTCTATGAACAGATTCGAGATTCTCTTTCTGTTTCGGGTGTAACTGGATAGTATGAGTCTAGCGACGGTTGTTGTGAAGAAGACGGAAACATGCATCGTTGGACTTTAATTAAGCGCGTTCTTACGGATCAATCTGATGGACCCTCGGGTGATACACCACGGAAAGATACCATGTCAAAGAGCATGATCAGTCAGATCTAATTTGTTTGTTATCTTATGTCTATCGTGACCCTATTTATTATACAATTGCATAAATCATTTATTATGTGCTGTATGAATCACTTCTGTTGGATCAGCATCCTCCGACTTCTTTCCATTGAATGAGTGCGACGATGGATAACTGGAATTGTACAGATTCTCAGCCAGGAAAATCGTAATGGCCGACGCCTGTGAGTGAGTTAATGGGTGGACAATCATAGAGCGTGCTTGAACATACCAGCGAAAGGTCCATCCCCTCTGCGACTTCCACCTCCCATGAGATGCGCTTCCCTGGTATATACACGGCGACCATATCTGCCAACTTCGTCCTCATCACCAGAGCACCGTTAAAATAGACATGCGTCCACTTCTTCCAAACATCCTGCCCGCGCACTTCGAGCATCACCTCCTCTCCGTCCGCAGCAGCATTTGCAAGATAGATATCGCATTTGTCCTTGAAAACACTTGACCTGGGCGCAAGCGTGGCCAATGGACGGTCCTCATCGCCAGGAATCTCAATGAAGAATGTCACGCCGGCTGCTTTCCGACGAAGGTCAAACAGGGGGAGACCGATGGCATCACGGAAGATCCGTCGCTGACTCCATGATGTAAGTTTGCCGTCGACAGTGAATAGCACCGGTGACTCTGAGCCCTTGGAAGAGCTGGCGCCTTCAGGCGCGACGGTTGTGACTTTGTAATCAACCCCGGTCCGATTAATGTGTTTGATGCGGAGTGTAGTGGGGGCCGAGGCGATGTGCTCTGGGCGAAGAGCGATAGGTTGTTTGAGTAGCGCGAGTTCTGTTGCCATGATTGAATATTAGTGCTATACTATAACGGCTTGGGATGCACATGTGAAAATTGCCGGCAAAAGAAATTCCGTGTTCTTGCTTTTATTGGGATTTTCCTCCTTCCGAGCCTCGTATTTCCTCACTGCCCCGCGTCTAGCAGATCTTCCATAGCCACATGGCTTAGTGGACAATACCATCCAAATTCGTATGTGACTTCAAATATTCCTTTAAATTGCTGCCACGTAGGCTCAGAAAATGACTTCAGGCTGAGATGCATATTCCAAGCATTATGTGCTGGTGCATGGTTTGGTGGATGGTCCACATCTTCACGAATAACTCCCGTACTTAAACTGTTGCGTAGCACAGCAACCCGGCAACTCCTGAGGCAAGCGTGCTGCGTGCATAGTCCTCGTGACCGGGGCCCGCGGGTGAGTCTGCATTGGGTTGGACCACCAGGCTGCGGAGTATGAACAAGCGAACGGCGGGGTGTTTCAGGCGCAGTTCTGGGATCAACCAGGCCTTGGCATTGTATGAAATATGGGAGTATTCAATATTGTAATGCACGCGTACTCTATGCAACCGTGAAGGATAAGCCAAGGTCATCAGCTGATTCTTGGGTTTCAGATACTGTCAGAAATGCGAAAAGGATCCTCCCAAACCAAGCCACGCAATATACGTCATTCCTTCCCATGTGAGTCCAGAGACTGGTGTCTGATGTCTTACCACATTGCACTAGTGTATTCCCAACACAGCAGCTTGTTTCCAGATGCGGCAGCATATCGGCAAATAGACCCAAGGCAGCCAATAAGAACGCGGCCTAGCCCACTTAATTGCCCTTTTGGCGTGGCAAAAAAATCTCCATTGCCATTTTGGGGTTTCCAATGGAGCATTGTCAGTTGGGCCGGATATCTCAGCTTTGTGATTCAAGATGCTATTGCACTCACGTTCCAGGTTGACAATGTCAGAGATGGGGAACATAGAAGAGCGTTCAGATCTCAAAACATGTGGTATTACCCTTGGTTGCTGGTACCCCAGTCGATGGCCCTTGGGGTCAATTTTCGTGACGTTTACTTGGAGTAGACTCGTATCCCGATGTCCCGATATCCCGCTATCCCGGTTATGCGAGACCAGAATCCAAGGTCCAGCATGTCCTGACTAACACAGAGTAGCGCTTGACAAGCAACGGAAAGCTTGGGGTAGGACATCATATCCCGCGAATTGCCGGTCGAGCAAACCCTAACCTGATTTGCCTCTAATCAATGGCTGTTTTTAGAGATTTCCCCGATTCTAAGATTTTTGTGTGGTACCCAGTCGGTATTTTTCTGGATCTTTCTTCATGAATTTGCCTCGCCATCTAGTATATACGGGGTGGCACTCCTGTCATTCCTTTGGCATACATTTGACATACATTCTTTCGTTTACTCCGAAGTTTGCTTCATACCTAACCTGTTGAGATCTGCATATTTTGGATATCTCGATGGTTTCATTTGCTTTCTTGTGGAGGCCTATGTGCCTTTTCCTTTCATGCTCACAGACTACTTTCCCGGAGAAGTCTAGTCATCAAATCGTCGAACAGCTTTATGGCGTGCCAGACGGCTGGACAGAAAATGGCGTGCCCTCACCATCAGCGCCGATAAAGTTTCACATGGCAGTAAACAACGACAGAATGGCAGAGTTCGAGCAAAGGGTCATCGATATCGCTACTCCTGATCATCAGCTCTATGGCCAGTTTATGACACGCGATGAGGTCGGAGATTTTCTGCGTCCATCAGATGATACTGTGGATAGGATTATTGCATGGATGAAATCGGAGCGTGTGCCCAACAAATCAATCGAGAGACATGCGAATTTGATCACATTCACGGTCCCTGTGTCTCAGGCGGAGGATATGCTCAAGACACGGTTCCACAGCTTCCGCAACGATGTTAGCCAGGAAACCACAATTAGGACGCTGCAATATTCCGTGCCACAAGATATCCGTGATTCTGTTCAAATGATCCAGCCGACGATCAAATTTGGACAATCCAGTGCCCAGGGTGCTCAGGAAAACCAACCAGACCAGGAGCTTGTTGCTACACGCTTCGATGACTTGAATGTCAACTGCTCAACCACTGTCACCACCAAATGCCTCCGGAGGTTGTATGGTATCTATGATACTGAAGCGAAACCAGATCCACGAAACAAGCTTGGTGTGTCTGGATTTTTGGATCAATACGCCCGCTACGACGATTTCCACACCTTTATGCGCACTTACGAACCCGATCACACTGATGCCAATTTCAGCGTGGTTTCGATCAATGGTGGCCGCAACGATCAGAACTCTTCTTTTAGCAGTACTGAGGCAAGCATGGACATTCAGTACGCGGCGGCACTTGCCTATAACACCGATACAACATATTACACAACAGGAGGCCGTGGCCCCTTTGTGCCAGAGGTCGACCAACCCAACGTGGGTAGTTCTGCCAACGAGCCCTACCTGGAGCAACTCCACTATCTTCTCAACCTCCCAGACGAGGATCTTCCTGCTGTTCTGTCAACCTCATACGGTGAATATGAGCAGATTATCCCCGCATCTTACGCAAACATCACCTGTAACATGTACGCCCAGCTCGGAGCACGTGGAGTTTCGGTGATTTTTGCAAGTGGTGACTCTGGGGTTGGGGGATCCTGCGTGTCCAATGACGGCACCGGACGGACAAGATTCATGCCAACCTTCCCAGCCACGTGCCCTTTTGTCACATCTGTCGGTGGAACGTTTGGGGTTAACCCAGAGAAGGCTGTTGGTTTCTCTGGGGGTGGTTTCTCGGAATACTTCCGACGTCCGGCATACCAGGATGAGAGCGTTCACGGCTATCTCGATCAACTGGGTGACAAGTGGGAAGGCTTGTACAACCCAGAAGGAAGAGGATTACCTGACGTTGCTGCCCAAGCCAGGGGCTTCGTCTTTGTAGACCATGGTTATTTCACGAAGCTTGGTGGCACAAGGTTTGTCTTCCAATCCTAGGTCTTAGATGAGAAACAAGCTAACAGATGTCTCTAGTGCTGCCGCGCCTGTCTTTGCAGCTATCGTCTCCCGTCTGAATGCCGCTCGTTTAGGGCGAGGACAAGGCAGAATGGGTTTCCTTAACCCGTGGCTCTACTCGCTCAACCATACGGGTCTTACAGACATCTTGGATGGAGGATCAGTTGGTTGCACCGGATACTCCGATGTTGGTGGCCGTGCATCAATCGTGCCACACGCTAGCTGGAATGCCACACCTGGTTGGGATCCTGTCACTGGCTTGGGGACCCCAGATTTGAATACTCTCATTAAAGTCGCGTGTTCAGGGCACATGATGAGAAATGATAACACTCATTGAAGGCTAAAGTATAATTCGATAATATGTATATACCCCATAAGTAGACGAATTCGCATCGAATTAGCCTGCCAGGGTTCCCCAGAATGTAAAATCCCCAGTATCAAGTACGAAGCATAGTTAAGACCTATGGGAGTCGCCCAAAAGGACATGGAAATCCACGTGACTCACCGCCTGCCAGAGCTTCGCCATGAGCTGCGCCGACAACGTCAGAACACCTTCTCGCCCAAGTATCCTCTCACGTTTCAACCCCGTCTATCATCGTTAATCTTTACTTCTTCCTTTTCCTTTAAATCGCTCTTCAGAATACCTTACCATGTCTGATCTTCGGTCAATCGTCCCAGAGCTCCGCAACGCTCTGGACCGCAACCAACTCGACGCAGCCAACAACCTCCTCAGCCGCGCAAAGCGATCCCTCCTGCTGGAAAATGCCTTGATCCCGACTACCTCGACATCTCCCCAGCTGATCTCCTTGGCCCGCGAGGTGCTTGAATTTGGCGCTATCGCTTCAATCAGACAGACCGATGCAGATGCGTTCACGAGATACTACCAACAGCTACAGCCGTTCTATGACCTGGAGAGACATGCGTCGACGCCCGGAGCGAGCGCAGGGAACGTGGACCTTAGCACTAGTCAGCGGAGCAAGATTACAGGGTTGTATTTGCTGCTCTTGCTGAGTTCGGGTAATAGCACTAACTTCCACACCGTGTTGGAGGGACTGGTCGAGGAGGCTAGTTTGAATGGAAAGAGTGTTGAGGATGACCCGTATATCAAGTATCCTGTTGAGTTGGAGAGGAACTTGATGGAAGGGAGCTACGATAAGGTGTGGAGGGAGACTAAATCGGAGAGAGTGCCGTCGGAGGATTTCGGATTGTTCTCGAACGTATGTTTGCTTGACGGATGTCTATCTGTTTTATGGACGGGGAAAAGGCGCTAATGTAATAATCTTCAACAGGTCCTTGTCGGAACCATTCGCAGCGAAATTGCAGACTGCTCCGAGAAAGCCTACCCATCCCTGCCCATTTTCAACGCCAAGAACCTTCTCTTCCTTGAATCTGAAGGCGCTGTTATTGAGTTCGCCCAGCAACGTGGTTGGATCCTTCGTGATGGTCGGATACACTTCCCTGTCGAGCCGGAGCAGGCTGCCCGATCCGAGAAGGACATCTTGGTGGCCAGCAGCACTGTGATTGAAAACACGATAGGCTATGCCCGGGAGTTGGAGACAATCGTTTAATTTACTGTCTATACGGTTGTTATCGTTCTATCCAATTTCGGTCGTGGCTGTATTTCTATCTCTTTCTTGCATTATGATCTAATCGAGCGTATTTCATGACAATCTATCACGATAATTTTGGTGCCGTTTATATCCAAAACATATCTCGCCAGATTATACATTCACTCTCCATAAACACACGCGACGGTCATAGAAACTGGAAGATAGGCAGAGCAATTCAGACTTTTCCCCTCCGATTCCCTGACCCCCCTTCCATACATCAGACGCATAATTCATACTTTCATGTTCCGTAAACTCAGCAAGAACCTCGATGTTCCACTGATGTTCCCCGTCACCCGTGATTTTCACCACTCTTGTTCCGCCGTGCATACAGCTGGCGAGAACCATGAATTGCCATTCTTGCGGTCCAGTCCCCGTGAGGAAGGTCATACCTTTCACGCTAAGTGGCTGTAAGCGCCATACACCACCGCCCAGAGACAATTCAGCAAGAACATTCCCCCTCCTAGTTGCATGATAGATTCTCAGATGCTCATCGTAGGATCCTGTAAGGAGGAGAGGAGAATCTTCAACCATCGGGAAGGGAAGGGGGAGAATAGCGGTCACCCCAGATGTATGATGGCGGGCACGGTCATCATAGTCTAACAAAACAGGGGGCATGCCCCGTCCGTCATCATCCCCATCACTCAAATTCTCCACGTCAAAGCGACGCGTATGTAAAGAGCCAAAATCATCTCCTGTGAATAAGAAAGGTACTCTAGGCGCGGGGCTATCCGTCTCTTGTTCTTCGCCATCGTGAAAGGTAGCCAACGCAATGAACCATACTTCAATCATTTGCCTCGCGCTAAACATGCCCAAGTCGGCAACCTTATCCGATTCCGTGATATCGCCATTAGTCCCGAATACGGTTGTTCGGCCGTCTGAGAATGTAACGGCAAACCCGTCCGCCTTTTCCTGTGTAAGCCAGTGTTCGGGTGTCCATGCCAGAAATAATGCGGGAATCGACAGGTCTTCGTGAACGGAAATGGTCCATATCGGGGTAATCGCTTCATCTACGGACGATGCCAGCGACACCTTGAATAATGCCACGCAACCGGAGCTTCCGGCAATGGCCAGCAGCGTGGGATCTCTAGGATGGAAATGTAGGTCGAAAACGGCGTAGGGCAGAGGTAATCGTTGGATGCATGATCTATATCCATACCGGTTAGTCGCGCTGCTAACGAGCAAACAGGGTATCGACGTTCTTTTTCCCCTTACAACGTATTGGCAATAGGGTCAATCTTCCACAACTGCAGGCTCCCAGTCTTAGTCTGCTGTACGTCTCCTTCGTCTTCACCATCTCTCGTCTCCGAGAGCAGATACGTGCCTATCACGACATAGTCCGGCGCCGCGGGACAGAACTGAAGACAACTCGGGGGTTGGTCGAGGAAGACGGTGGAGGCGGATTTGGGACGTTGAATTGCGGATTCCATTATGGAAGTGTATAGAATGTTATTAATATACACCGTATAGACCTCATCTCCTCTGCTCCCATGGCTCGCAAAAGGGGAAAATCGAGAACCTTGGGCGGTGAGAATTGAAACTTCTCCGGGGTGAATCTTATCGAGTCAGATGACTTCATTGACCCCGCAGATGAAGTCTGGCAGGCATAATGTTATTATCAACTTCTTTTTCTTAAAGCTGAGGATAGTATACGAACTCTGCGATAGCAATGTCTTCATCGTTTAGTCGACTGCCCTCTACGGCGAAAGTCACCCCTGCGCCGTTCAAGGTATCCTTCTCAAATAACGAATTGGAGGATCTGAAGACGCTGGTCAGACTCTCGCGGACGGCACCTCGTACCTACGAGAATTCTCAGTCAGACCGTCGCTATGGTATCACGTCGGATTGGCTGAATGGTCTCAAGGAGCAGTGGACGAAGGACTTTGACTGGTAATCAATCCTCTGATTCTAGATATCCTAGTCACCTTGAATGACCGGAGCAGGCAAGCAACCGAGTCCCGTATCAACGAGTTTCCACAGTTTAATACTACCATTGAAGGAATGAATATTCATTTCGCGGCCCTGTTCTCGGAACGGGAGGACGCTGTGCCCATCCTTCTGCTTCATGGCTGGCCAGGTAATGCTACGCCTGTTTCGTCGCTAAGAGACGATTTCTCATAGATTATCTAATAGGGAGCTTCCAAGAATTCCTGCCTCTTCTAAAGCTTTTCCGAGAGGAATTCACACCGGCTAATCTGCCTTACCACCTCATTATTCCCTCCCTTCCGGGATACACCTTGTCGTCTGGTCCTCCGGTGGACAAGAACTTTGGCACCGAGGACATTGCTCGGGTCGTAGATCAATTGATGAAAGACCTTGGGTTTGAGAGTGGCTATGTAGCTCAGGGAGGGGATATTGGGAGCAGAATTGGGAGAGTGTTGGGTGTGGACTATGATAGCTGCAAAGGTTTGTCCGATAACTGCGTCCAACCATTACACATGCTAACATCAAATAGCGGTTCATCGTAAGTCTATACTATAGTTATAGCTATGCCGGACTCAAGGCTAATCTGCGCCAGTGAACGCCTGCTTCATGCAACGCCCTGAGGGCTTCTCGGATAAGTCTCTCAACGAGTTCGAGCAGCGCGGATTGAAGAGGGCAAAAGACTTTGTGACAACTGGTACTGCCTACGCTTATGAGCATGGTACCAGACCCAGTACTATTGGTCATGTTCTGTCGTCAAATCCTATTGCCCTGCTTGCGTGGTAAGTTGATCAACCTGATATCCAGAGTCGGGAGTCATTTTATCTTACGATACATAGGGTTGGAGAGAAGTACCTGGACTGGGTTGACGACCCTCTTCCATCCAACACCATTCTGGAATTTACTTCGCTCTACTGGCTGACAGAGACATTCCCGCGCGCAATATACCCTTATCGCGAGGTTCGTATTTCATCCTGATGCAGAGGATCCATGATAGCAACTTCGATGCTGATTATTTTTTAGAACTTCCCTCCTAAGGGTATCCCTGCTGGTAATGACCCGCGTTGGTATATCTCTAAGCCACTTGGCTTCTCGTACTTCCCCAATGAAGTGCTTCCCGTTCCACGCTCTTGGATTGAAACTTCAGGAAACCTGGTATTCTGGCGGGAACACCAAAAGGTATGACAATATAGAGCCTACGTTTACATGGTTACCTCTGCTCACTATTACCAGGGTGGACATTTTGCTGCTCTTGAGAGACCAGAGCAGATTAAGGCAGACTTGACGGATTTTGTCAAGCAGATCTGGAAATGAGACTGCCAGATAGCTACCCTAGATTTCAGTAGCGTAAACATATGCCAGACGGCTCTCAAGAGCCCTCGCTAGTTTGTATAGCAGCATATTCATCATATAAAAAAAATGTTCATTTCCCTACGATTCCGTCTTTCAGCATCGCTTCAAAACGTCTACATCTCATACAATCGATCAATTGGCCAATCAGTGCCCATATTCAGTCTCCACCTTGATAAGATCAGGTTATCAGTCTGGAGGCAAAGAATAAACAACATCCTAGACATAGCTCACTGCATACATGCACAGAGCTTGGACATCTAATTCATCACATTGAACAAACTCCTGTATATAAGCCCCTCCTCCCTCCATGACTACTTTCATCGAAGACACAGAATTATTCTCCGACGAATCCAGCTTCTATGGTACGCGTTTGCATAGTTCCCCGCTAGCAACAACCACTAACCTACCCTCCAGGGGACGACACCCAAATAGTCCATTATGAAGAACTGGCAGAGAGCTACAACCCAGAGCCATATTGGGCTGAAACACATCACCACCTCCTAAGCACCATCCAGCACAATGCGCTTGCACCGACACCACCATCACTGCCATTGAAAACCACCGCTGCGCTGAAAGAAGAAGAGGGTTTGCCATCCATAGGGTCTCGCGGGCTGCCACGAAATGCGCGAGGTTGGAACGAGCCAGTTCCCGATTTTCTCGCGCGTCTACCGCCGTCCACTACAAAAGAAGAATCCATAGGACCGTGGATCTTTGTGTCAGAACTAAACAGGCGGAAAGGCTTTGATGAAGAGGAAGAAGGGGAACTAGCCAGCTTTATTGCGAAGGGGAATGGGCTATTAAGAGCGTTCGAGGAGAAGAAGAGTGAACTGGAAGAGGAACACGACCGATCTGGTGCAAAAACAAAAGCACCGCTTACACGCAAGTTAAATGCTCACCGGCGTGCGCTAAAAGAAGACATCTTCGCGCTGGCGCGGGAGAATGACGTTGTCTCCGGGAAATGGATGTTATTTCCGTCTGTCGACCGCGTGGACGCTGTTTGGAAAGCGGTGGTTGAGGCAACAGTGGATGGGGAATTGGGGGATGGTGCGAAAGTTGCGACAGATGCAGGTGATCGTATGGTGCGAGGGATGATGATTTATACAAGAGATTATGGGAATATTGATGATGTTCGGCGGGTGATTGAGAAATTGGTGGAGTTGGAATTGGTGAACACTGAGCAGCGGGTGGGGATTTATTACAAGGCAGATGCGTTTACATATTTGAGGATTCTTGGGGATAATCCGTATGGATTGAAGGCGAGCCTGTACTCGAGTAAGGATGTTTTGGCGGGAAAGGCTTGATGGGGTTTTCATGATGATATGATGTTCATGTACGGATTGATGATGATTATGTGCTATATTATGTTTTGTCTATTGAATTCATGCATCGCGTGTCCATAGTCTGACCAGAAGCATGTACTTCAATCTCCTTTAGCGGCTTCAATCGCGTTGGCTCTCGTTTGTAGGACTGTAATTTCAAGCCCTGCAGGACCGCGAGAAAAGAACGGTCCGGTAAGAGCAATCGGAGACATCATGGAGAAGTCGAAGGGCCGGTAGCCGTGAGCTCTTATAGACCTTAGAGCCTTGCGAAGGAATTGTGCAAAGCCCAGACACTTAACCGTTTTCTGCTCATGATTCCTTGTCTTCTCCGGTATCCATGGCCTTCAAACATGCCTTCTTGACTTCAGACACCCCTTTCACGCCTTCCCATTTGTCAAGTAAATTCTTCACCTCGACCCAGTCCTTGTCGGCCTCCTCTTTCTTACCATCCGCCAGAAGTTTTTCCAACCGACTCGGTGCCCCCAAAACCCATTTCACAGTCTCCTTCTCAACCTTATTGCTACCCGCCTGCTCCATAGACTTCGCCTCCTTCATCTTCCGCCGCTGCTCCTCCCCCTCCTGAATCAAACTCCCAGCAGTCTCTGCCACAAACCCAATCGCCGGCCCCAACGTCCTAGTCATCTTCAACGGCGCTCCCTGATCATCCATACTCCTCCTCATTTTCCCAATCGTCTCAACCGCTCGAATCAACTTCGAATAATTATCATAAACCAACGCTTTACGCTCACTGTCCAGGGTACGAATATCCCCAACAAGACTATTCTCGGCCTTGAGCACCGTAGACAGCGACGACGTCGCTAGTAACTGCTCAACATAGTGCTGCGCGTTGAAGTCCGGGTTATCGAGTTCCGTGCCTGTTGCCACAACGGACAGATTGGTGTTGGAGATGTCGCCGGCGTCGGTGTGTCGAGGGACACTGCGGGAGCGGCGGGCGTCTGCATTGCCTGCGGCTGCGGCTTCGGGTTTGAGATTGTAGTAGTCTCGGAGGGCGACGCGGTTGCGGCGTGGAGGGTGGAGGGATGGGGAGACTGCTCGTGCTGTTGAGGGTGTGGAGGATGCGCTGAGGCCTGCGGCGCCGGTGTTGGTGTTTAGAGTGTCGAAGGAGGGACGGTGGGAGGATGTTGGTGTGGGGGAATGGGCGCGCGAAGAGGCTATTGATGGGCGAGGGGAAGATAGAGTTGACATGTTGATTTGTTCGTTATAGTAGTGATGAATAGGAGAGGTGAATGTTGAAGATGAACTGTAACTATCGCCGATAAGCGGTGTTCCCGTGCTTTTTTATCTTTTCCCCGGACAACATTTTGAGCACTTCCACTTTACAACCTCTACACACAACAACTCACAGAACATTATCTGCTTTGTTTCCTGTTTTACTTTGCATAGCGGAGGCGTCTTCCTACAACTTCTATCATCAACTGAACAATTAGTTACCACCATCACCTACTGCACCCCCATGTCCACCCCTCAATCCCAAATCGCAGCTCAACTCCAGAGCGCAAAATCCCTCTCCGTCTCCCACTCCTGGCTAGACACCTTCGTCGCCTCTTCCTCCGCCTCCCTCCAGCGCAACATCCCCATCTCCGCCCTCACCCAAACAGCCCTCTTCCGCGTTCTCTCCTCCGACTTCCGCGACACCCTGATCACCACGAACCCCTCCTCTGTGCTCCCCATGGATATCTTCGATCCGGCTGTGAAGGAGAGACGACTGGTGGGGCCAATTCCAGTGCAGGTGCTTGATATTGAGGATATCGGGTCCAGTTTATGGAGTCAGGTTGAGGCGATTGAGCGCGTAGAACGCGGGGAGGCGATTCGGGGGAGGGAGATTGTCCGGACGGTGAGTGTGGGGGAGGAAATTGAGGATCGAGCGAGTAACAATAATAACAGCGGTAATAATAATGCTGGAGGTAATGAGGGTGGGGGCAATGGACCTCATCGGTTGATTCTGCAGGATGCGGCGGGGACTCGGACTGTGGGGATTGAATTGAGGCGTATTAGTGATATTTCCATTGGGAAGTTGCCGATTGGGGCCAAGTTGATATTGCGGAGTGCTACGGTTGCTCGGGGCATGGTGTTGCTGACTCCAGACTGCGCTACTGTATTGGGTGGGAAGATTGAGTCGATGGACCGGGCGTGGAAAGAGGGTCGCAAGGCAAGGTTGATGGCGAGAATCAATGAGATGGCACAAGAGGGACAGATGACCAGAGGCAGAGGTGGAGATGCAATGGAAGAATGAGTTATGGAAGGAGAGAACAGGTAAGAGCTGTTCTTTTCATTATACAATGCTACTCTCTACATAATGCGTCCCTGTCAAATGCATACAATCAAGCTGATCCAGACACGATATGATTTAGTTCCTCCCAACCATCTTGCTTCCATGGCGCATACATGATTGCCCGCAGCGCGTCGCCAGCCTTCCCGGTCTGCGTAAATGCCTTCGAAAGGTCTACAGCGTCAAGGTTGCTGCGTGGTGGAACACTGCGCAACGCTCTCTTGACTGCCATTTCGGCAGGGTGGAGCTCGTTCGAAACCGCGGACAACTCTATCCAACCCTGTGGCTGATCCGGCGCCCTCATAACAGCCACTGTGGCCTCACCCATACGCCGCGTTTCCTCTGGGATGTTGGAGTCGGTAAGACCCAAGGTGGAAACTGCAGTCAAGAGCTTGATCAGTTTGGTCCGACCATGGATGTCAATATCATCCCTAGTGATCATGCCTTGGAGGTCAGATTCGACAGCCTCGATGGCGTCTTTATCAGAATCTAACAATGCAATAGCCCCCAATAAGGTAACGGCCCCAACATGGTCTGTATTGTTCTCAACACAATCAAACAGTTGCTGGCGAGCCACGGCGCGTTCCTCTTCTCCGCCCTTGGCCCATAACACTTGCGCAAGAAGGCAGACCACTTCCGGTGCGTTCTCCGCCTCTTGAAGTGCATCACGGAACATATCAATGGCACGGTCCATGGACTTCAAGTAGTAATGTGCCAGACCGGCGGTCAGGTGAGCTGACAAGCGCAGTCTTCCGTTTGTCTCGGGATCGAACTTCTCCGCGTCCTCTTCGCCAGATAACATGATTGCAGTCTCTGCTTTCTCTGCTGCTTCTTCAAAATCATGGCGCGCGAGAAGAATACGCGCAGCATCGGCGTTCGCTTGTGCAAATCTGAAAAGCGATGCAGCTGACTCAGTAACTTCGTATTCCTCTTCCATTGCTGCGCATACACCTTGTAGACTAGCGTTCGCGTCGGAGAATTCGCCAATTCTTTCTGCCAGGAGCGACGAAAGGTGGGCAAATACTATATCTGACGGGTCCTGGCAACGAAGCTGGTGGAGGGCGAAGAATGGTTGGATGAGGTTCGACAGCTCATTCGAAGCCGATGGATCAGACAGAAGGTGGTCAAACAGGGTCGAAGTGTACTGCTTCTTAGATAAAGCTAGCGATGAAGTCGAAATGTCAAAGGCGTGTTCAAACAGACCTCGTGCCTCCGTAGGCGCTCCAAAGAGAAGGGCGAGGAGTCCTTGGCCGATCCAAGCTTGTGCATAGTCTGGGTCTGTAGATTGAGCACGAGTAAAGGCTTCATTTGCAAGCTGGATATCATTGTGGATGAGATAGAGTGTTCCAAGGTTGCCCCACACTTGGGCACTACGGTCATTCAAATGGAGACTTCGCACGAAAGCATGCTGCGCGACCTTCGGACTCAAGTTCGTTGTAACCACACCTAGAGAATTCCAGAACTCAGAGTTTCCGGCCTCAAGTTCAATTGCTCTCTTGAAGCATCGGATCGCTGCCTTGAGGAATTTGCGAGGTTGTTTCCTGCCCTTCTTGGCCGACTGCGTCTGCACGGATCTATATGACTGGTACTCAGCCCATCCAAGGTTATACCAAGCGACTGCTTGAGCGTGGACATCCTGGATAGAGACATGTATAGCGCGCTTATATGCTAGAATGGAGGCATATACGCAAATATCAGACTTAGGCAACAGTCCAGTTTCATCCTCTTCCGGAAGCGAGATGTAGTTCTGTCCCATCTCGTCGACATCAGTAAGGATATCAAGTGCAGCAGGATCGAGTTCGGTGTCGAGTAGTTTCCGGACCTCATTGATTGGCAGTTTATCTGCCTTCAATTTGATATAGGAGAAGTTTGCGCAAGCATCTCCGACAGCCTTCCACAGGTTGAAGATGTCAGCTCGTTCGTGAACCAGTGTCGTAGCCACCCGAATAGCTTTGCTTGCCAGCTCAGCGCCGTCATTGAAGAGTCCAGATTCGATGCACTTCCATGAATTCTCGGTGAGGGTCTGGAGTAGTGCAATCGTAACACCAAGCTCATTCCGTCGGATGCTCAGCACGTCCTCGTATCTCGAAATGGCATCATCATATTCTCCAAGTTCACGCTTGACATTGGCGAGCATGTACCGCGCAAACCAAATGTTCTCCTTTTCATCGTTCGAGAGATTTCCCTCCAATTGCTGAGCATGGTCGAAAGCCTTCGTAGCGGCAATGAATCGGCCGGAGTGATGGTAACTTTCTCCCAGTCCGACCCACGAGTGATAATCGCCAGGAGATATACGGAGCGCTGCCTGGAAAGACACAACACTTTTGCTGTACTGCTGCTTGTTCACTTGAACTGTACCCAGGGCTGCGTATGGCCAGCTATAACCCCTTCGCTTGGAACCTGGGGCAGGCTTGGCTTTACCTGAATCCACGACTCGTTGAGCTACGGCCTCAACAAGATCCCACTCTTTTTGATCCGCGAATGTCCGAGCCAGTCTCTCAGCGGCTTCAACCTCAGATGCAGACAGCTCGAAGGCTTTGTGGAAACATCTGCGTGCACGAACCCTGTCTCTCTTGTAATCGGCGTAGTAAATTCCCAGACTGGTATATGCCGGGGCAAAGTTCATGTTCGCTTGTATTGAGGCGAGGAAACTAGCGTATGCGCCATTGCGATCCTTCCGTGCAGCAGATGACGGGTTCAATTCCCACTGGCAGTATCCGATCCGGTACAAAATCTCAGACTTAAAATCACGGTTTTCTGTACGCGACTCCTGGATTTCCGAAAGAACCTCTTGGAGCCCCTCGAGGCCAGATTCGAAATTTGCATTAAGCGCCCTACACCATGATAGCTCTGCCCGAACCTTGATGTTGGCTGGGTCGCGCTCTAGAGCACGCTCCAAAAAGTCGATGGCTTCACCATAATCCTCATCGACCTTAAGGATCAAACCAATGCCAAGAAGGCAGCTGGTGGATGTTGGCTTCCTCTTCAAAATGCCTTCAAATATCACCTTCGCCTCCGGATGATTACGAGGAAGCTGGTAGTAAATCAGCGAATTGGCAAGCATGATGTTCACGGCATCAGCGGTGTGTTGGAGATCCACACCAGACAATTTTACCAAATCCTGGATATTCAAGATTCCTTTGCGGGCGACATCAGCCACGCTTTCATATTCCTCAATGGACAAGTAGAGCTCAGCCATAATCCGATGTGCCACAATCGAGGAGCGGGCAGAGTCTAGCCCTTCAACCATAAGAATCAAACGATCCTGCACCGCCAATTCCTGATAATCCCCATTGTTTTCAAACTCAGGCTCCTGTTCGCTCGATGGTGTCTCCTTGGGTGATTTCTGTTCCTTGGGAAACGGAGAGATGTCGCTGGCCAAAAAGCCTGTCAGAACCTTCGCGAGACCATCTTCCGGGAAAAACTCAATAAAGTCCTTCAACAAATTAAGATCCCACTGCGAGAATTCTTCGACATCTTGCCACTCGAGCACAATCTTCCATGCAAGCTCAAATGGGTGTTTGATGATGACCATGTCGTGAGCACCTCGCAGCAATTCCTCTCGTTTTGCAATTTTCTCTGCGGACGGAAGAACGGCAAGGGTGTCATATGTCCTTTGTATGAGCTTTTCTTCATACTGGCGACGGACCTGATCATCGTGAGACCAGTCCACGATCCCGCGATAAAGCTGTTCTAGCTCGCTCCGCTTAAAAGCTTCCCTTTTCACCTCTAGGGTCACTTGGTCGATTCTGGCCCCTAACCGAGTTCTCCGCTCACCGATCTCTCTGTTTATGAACTCCTTCTCTTCCGCCTCGGTAATATCGATTAAACGCTGGTAGGTGAGGGAGGGATGCGGTATCCGGCCTTCAAGGTAGTTGTAAAGTGGGCTAGATGGCAAATGCACTTCAAGTGCTTGCTTCTGTTGAGAGCGGCTGCCTTGTCTCTTGGCGAACTTTGTATATTTGTCCACCACATCTTGACAACGATGCTTGTCGTCTCTGGAACAGAATCAGTCACATTTCGATCCTCGACGAGATTCCACAACATACTCATCTGCGAATATAAGAGCAAGGTTTACAGCTGCATAGCGGTATGACTCAAGCTTGTGGCTTCCTTGCTTTTCGTATAGGTTGATCAGCCCTTGCCATGCTGCCCGGTCGCCCAGTTTTGCGTGGGTTGCGGCGAAGTATGCGGATTCGGCATTATCGTTCTTATTTAACTTGTCGTACGCGAGACCTAGAAATAGATTCCTAGACACAGAGAAGCAGAATTAGCAAGAACGAATGCACGGAGCACCTGGATCCCAATGTCACACACGCATGATAATTCTGAGGGTCTTGCTCCACAATGTCCTTGGCCTTTTGAGCTGCGTCCTCAAAGTCCTTGGAGTCCAGAGCTGTCCGGACAGCCTTGAGCGCTGACTTGCTCATACTCCTGGAACAATTCCTTCGTCAATAGCGGATTGAACAGAACAAATGGTCGCGACTCGGTGGTGGTGCGGGACAAACCAAGATAGAGCTTCGCGGTTACTATGTTTAGTTTAGCGTCTGTGGGGAGTCCAGAAGGCGGATAACGTCAGAGCTGGCCTTTATCGAGATAAGCGCCTTCGTATTCGTATCTCCGCCTGACCGCACCCGTTGGGAACCCAGACAGCTGGAGATCCTTAACTGCACTACTGCCGGGGACTTTTATCGTTCTTATTTCTTTGCTTCTGTAAATCCTCTCGTGATTACAGATTATTTGGAGCATTTGGACGATATTATTTTTCCCACCAGACATTATTGGAAAACGTGGCAAGGTCGGTCCGCTATACTTCTCGTGCTATGTACTAGATGCAGATCACGGGTAATTGAGACCATTGCCATCGAACAGAATGCTGACTTTTCCCCTGTCACACAGAGAATAGTAGCTATCTAGTGCAGAGTCCGAGCACGCTATTCGTCATATAGCCTTGAATTATCCTGGAATCGGCCTCTGGATACTTCCGTCAACTCCTTAATCCGGCTTCGGAAGACCTTGGATAGAGAAATCGGGTTCTTATCTCTTTCCACAGAGGAATAGGCCAGAGTTTCGGTTAACCATGGCACTTCCGCGCCTTCGAATTGATGGCAAAACATTCAGAGACCCGCAAAATCGGGAGATCACTTTAAGAGGGATCAACGTTGCCGGCGAAGCGAAGTATCCTGCGAAACCAGACGTCCCTACTTATGTTTCCGATAATTTCTTTGATTCCGGTGATGTTTCGTTCGTCAACCGACCCTTTCCGCTCGAAGATGCACACATGCACTTTGCGAAGCTCCGAAAATGGGGTTACAACAATATACGATACGTCTTCACTTGGGAGGCCATCGAGCATGCTGGCCCGGGCATTTACGATCAGGAATGGGTTGCATTTACAATAGAAGTGCTTCGTATTGCTAAGGTATATGGCTTCTACGTTTACATGGACCCCCATCAGGATGTGGTATGTTTCCTGTTAACTATATCAAATGAGGTGGAGGCTAAGAAACACCAAGTGGTCACGCTTATCTGGAGGATCTGGTGCGCCAGGATGGACACTGTACGCCGCAGGCTTCAATCCGAGAGCTTTCAAGAAGACTGAAGCCGCCCTCGTCCAAAACACATATGACAATCCAGCTCTGTTTCCCAAGATGATATGGAGTACCAATTATACCCGGTTCTTCTGCCAAGCAATATTTACCCTATTCTGGGCCGGACGCCAATTTGCCCCTAAGGCCATCATAAATGGCATGAACATCCAGGACTACCTCCAAAGCCACTTCATCGCTGCATGCAAATACCTAGCTGAGAGGATCCATGAAGCCGGGGATCTTGAAAATGAGGTTGTTATCGGATGGGAGAGCATAAATGAGCCTCATAGGGGATTGATTGGTGTTCAAGATATATCCGTGATCCCGCCTGAACAGCAGCTTCAGCTAGGTACATCTCCAACTGCTTGGCAAGCCATGCTGACAGGATCTGGGCGACCTTGCGAAATCACTACATGGGGTTTCGGCAGTTTCGGGCCTTACCAGACTGGACGGGAGCTGGTTGACCCCGAGGGCGAATCGGCTTGGCTACCAGCGGACTATGATGACAGTAAATACGGTTGGAAGAGGGACCCTGGTTGGAAGTTGGGAGAGTGTATCTGGGCTCAGCATGGTGTTTGGGACCCGTCGACCGATCAACTACTCCAGAAAGACTATTTCGCGAAAGACCCGAACACAGGAGAACCTCTGGATTACGAAAAGTTTACCAACACGCACTTCCTGGAGCACTATCGGGCATATAGGGACGCCATCCGGAGTGTCTGGCCAGAAGCTATCATGTTCTGCCAGCCACCCGTCATGGAAGTTCCCCCGGACTTGAAAGGAACGATTGATGACGACCCTAATATGGTGCATGCAGTGCACTACTATGACGGTCTCACTCTCTTGACGAAGCATTGGTAGGTTTCCCAGTATGACTGCACATTGCATTGCTAATCAAAATAGGAATCGCCTCTACAACGTTGACGTGATTGGTGTCCTCCGTGGCAAGTATTGGGGCCCAGCCTTTGCTGTCAAGATTGGAGAGACAGCTATTAGAAATTGTCTGCGTGATCAACTCAAGTTCTTGAGAGACGAAAGTCTTCGGTACATGGGTAATCATCCGATGATATTTACGGAAATTGGGATCCCCTACGACATGGATGACAAGTATGCGTACAAGACCGGCGACTACAGTAGCCAAATCAGAGCCATGGATGCAAATCACTTTGCATTGGAAGGCAGTACTTCCAATGGATTTTCGCTGTGGCTATATTCTACAAGGGTAGGTCTACATTTCTCTTGATAATAAGAACAATTTGGCAGTCACTAATTGATTTAGAACGATCACGAATGGGGAGATTATTGGAATGGAGAGGACCTATCTATTTTTTCAAGCGACGACCTGGAGCTTCCAAGTGGATCTTCAGTTCCATTTAATCCTCAATTCCCTGGTTATTCGGAAAGTCAAAGCAATACGGACGGTCAGCACGTTGGACCGGGAGATCTGAAGCAGGCACTTTCGCCGCCATCGATCTCGTCGGAGCGCTCTCAATCCACAGGTGCAGGGACCGGCCATCGGGCCGCAGAGGCGTACATCCGCCCTAGTCCAATCAAGACAAATAGCCAGGTTGTAAGCCATCTGTTCGATTTACGAAAGTGCACCTTCACCATGTCACTGAAAGCCAAGGAGGCTGCCGGACAGGAAACGCCAACGGAAATCTACCTTCCTGAATTCCACTTCCCGAAAGACCAGTCAGAGATCTCTGTTAGTAGCGGGAAATGGGAGATAGATGCTGAGGAGTTTAACTCGGTAAAGGTCCAGCGTCTGCGGTGGTGGCATGAAGCGGGCAATCAGAACATCAAGATCGAAGGCATCAAGCACAAGCTGAGCGAGGCATCCAACGTACCAGGTGATGATGTCAGCTACTTGGAGCAATGTCAGAAGGGAGGGTGTGTTGTTATGTGAATGCCTTTTTGTTTCTTTGGATGTTCAGTAATCATTGGCGGTGATTAGTTGTATCATGTGTGATAGTCTTGACATTCTTATTATTGCCAACTTGATTGGACAGAAATACATTTGTCTGCTATAAGAGTATACACTACGTATTCCGTGATATATATCCAAAAAGGAACAACTTTATGTCTATAGTTGACCAGTACCACTCCCTCTCCAACCAACTGTACTCTAGAACCCCCCAGAGCATCTCTTCTTTTCTTCCACTACAGCCACCGCTTTGCACTAGTATATTTCTATTTATCGTTACAGATCCCATGACCAGTGAGCGGTGAGGTCCAGACGGTCGGTGTGTGGTGATTGGAGCGGAGCGCGTGGAAACTCCGTCGACTTGCCTCAAAGTTCGTCCGTTTTTCCTCTTCTTACTCTTCCCCATACTGTTTTTCTCCCCGCGACTGCAGAGGAATAGGCACTGAACATCGGAATTTATATAAACAGGAAGAAGATAACGGCTTACAGTCTGGTCTCTGTTATCCCGGCTAGAAAGATTTGATTAGAGTCGCACCTCCGGAGGTCTGACGCGGGAGCCGCTTTTGATGGCTGTTGCCGTTTTGGTCGCCCGTTAAGGAACTCCGATTTCTGTTTGGATACATCCAAATTTCAGATACGACCAGAGTATGGAAGTATTGGTGCTGCGATTGAATCATTGAACATCTTGAGGAAAAAGACGAAGAATTAAACAAGCGCCACAAGGTATAAAAGATCTACGGCGGTCAAACAAACACGCCCACCCCCAAAGCGCCATCCGACAAGGACATATACTGGCCAGGCTTGGCACAGAAGATAACACAAACAGACAGCGACAATAACAATGGCGGCCGCAGAATTTTCCGAGGGCGGCATGGCCGACCTTATCCGTGCGTTGGAGCTCATTCACAGCCCATCATCTACGAATGAGCTGCGCAGAGAGGCGTTGACTTATGTTGAAGCGCAGAAGCAGAGCAAAGCAGCCGCTCACAATGGATTTCTGCTAGCTTCTCGGACAGAGCATGCTCCCCTGGTCCGCTATTTTGGCCTGACGCTTCTGGATCATGTCTTGCGTCATACATCTATTACTTCGAACCAGTTGGTCGAGCTTAGAGAGTTGGTTATCCCATTGGCACAGTCAATACGACAGGAGGATCCCCCGTACATCCGCAATAAGATCCCGCAGTTATGGGCTGAAGTCGCAAAGCGGAGCTGGGGCCTGGATTGGCTCGACATGGACCAGACGCTCGTGCAGTTCTGGAGCGCCAGCTTGGTTCACAAGGAGTTTGTCCTGTCCGTTTTAGAGACTTTGTCGGAAGACATCTTTTACCGCGAAGACACAGTTTCGTCGCTACGGGGAACTGACCTCAACCGGGCGCTCATCGAGATCTATACGCCTCTGTCCGTGTTCGAGGAGGTTTATCCGAAGCGGGATAAGCAACTCGAAATCCGGTGCGGCACGGAAGGTTGGATGACGAGGACGTGTGAATTCTTAGGAGAATGTATCGAGAATGTGCAGACGTCTAAGCAGGCAAAGGACGCTGCAATAAAAGCCCTCGCGACTCTCAAGGCATGTCTCGCTTGGACTATTCCAAAGGCTATCATTTCCACAAACTGCGTTCCACACATTGTTCGGGCCTTTACTTGCCATGATGAGCAAGTATTATTGGTAAGGACATTCTCAGCCTTAATTTTTGGAAATTTTTATTAAACTACCTAGGCTGGCGTGGAAGCGCTGCACTCGTTGTATAGCAGAGCCAACTTTGATATTGATGATTTCCAACCCCTGGTGCATCTGATGTACGAAACGGAGTACTTGGATCTCCTACAGAAACTTTACGAGTGGTCCATCGTTGGACCTGACGATATAGATGACACCAGATACACAATCTCAAAGAAGCTATCAGAGGTACAGTCTACAGCCAAGGGTGGTGTGATTTTTAATAGTGATAACTAATGTCCGGTAGATGCTGTCCTACGTCGCTGGCTTCCTCGAGGAAAAGGGCTTCTCGCTAGAAACGGCACATGGCCTGAACCTTCCGCACTTCTTCCATCTCATGATCAACGTCATCCAACATCAAAGCCTGACCATCTCGATACCCGTGCTTCACATATGGTCAAAATTGTTGGCATCTGAGAGAATCGGAAATACCGAGTTTGTCACTAGTCTCGTTCCCCAATTGTTAGGTATCTGCACCCAGCGACTAGTTCGTTGGGAATCTCTACCGGAAGATTCTGGAAGCCCCACGGTCACTTTTCTTTACGAAGACATTGATACCGTCCCTGAGAGACATGCGTTCGTTGGAAATTATCGACGGTATTGCTCGAACATCATAGAAACTATTGTTCAAAAGAGACCACAAGAAGCCATTCCGCACATACTATCCGGGGTTGAAGTGAACTTAAACAGTCTTTATGATGGCGTTGCTCCATTTAATGGTGGGTATAACTCTCCATCTGCTCGAGCGCCGTGTTAACAGAAGTAAATCAGTGACAACATTCTCCAAGTCTTCGATACCTCTCATGCGCGCTGATACACAGTTCGCTGTCGTAGATGCGACACTGAAGGGATACAACAAATGGGTATCTGCTCACGGGAAGACACCTCAGCAGGATGTACGTATTTGTTTTTATTTTATTTTATTTTTGAGAGATCTATGTAACTAACCAACAACCAACAACCAGGAGCAGAAGCGGAGTGAGTTAGAGACTGCGCTAGAGGCATGGGCGATGAGTCTACTGCAGCGCAACTTCGAGGTTTGTCAGGTCTTTTAGCAGTGGTGAAGTGTATTCATACTCATTGTCTATTAGGACCCCATCTTGAACGAACGAATCATTAAGCTTGCTGTCGATATCTCGTGTCGGGCCTTGGATAAGACCCCCAGCTTTGCGCTGAAAGTCCTCGAACATATCCTCATGACACGTCTTCCTGACCAACCGGAATATCCGGCCTATTCAGAGGCTGTCAAGGAGCTTCACGGTTTGTCAAGTCACGAATTACGTCGTCTGGCAGTACGCTACGCTGATTATTTCTCGGTAAGAACCCAGATCTCTAACGTGAAAAGGATGATAATTGTTATTAACAAGTGTGAACAGACTTTCTATGATGTGCTCGAGCCGAAAATCAAAGAGATCACCATGTCAAACCAAATGGACGACAAGTTGCAAATGGAGCTCACATCGGTCCTTGTGATTATAACGTATGCGATTTCAATGGCGCTTCGCTTTATGTCGTGCTAACCTCAACCTAGACTACGAGCAAGTAACATGGATCAGTATGTGCGCGAGTCTCGTCTTGTCTCTTTCGTACAGCCAGTACGACAGGCTTGGCAGGATGAAGAACTACAGCGCTTGAGTTCATCTTTCGAAGGATTCTGCGCTTTGCTCGGATTGCAAGACGTGGGACCCTACATGCAGGCAAGGCAAGCGCACAAGCTAGAGGACTGGACAGAGGTTTCCGTGGATAGTGATGGAAAACAAATCCAAGAGGGAATGACCCGGAAATTCCAGGTATGTTTAGCCTCCATAACTCGTCGACTAAACTCTGACATTCTCTAGCATTTGCCGCTGCGAGGAACCAAAATCATGCTAGCAATCTCTACAGAGCGGGTGAAGAGGGGGGAACCCGCGTACGACCTTGCATGTAAAACTTGGCATGATACTATTCCAGTCGTCCTACCGTCCCTGTTACAGCTCGTGAGGTAATGATTCCTTGTCCCAGGCTCTAAGATGATGCTAATTCTGTAAAGCAATGCTCATGCCTTCCATAACCCGAAGAATTGGGGAGGTCTTCCTGATGAAATGAAAGCAGTCGTTGAGCACATCTTAACCGATAGGTTCTGGCAGGCAGGAATTTCGACTGGTAGCAGGGACGACTTCTACGCAAAGATTACTGCATCCCGAGGAACTTTGGAGGGATTTGCATCTTCTGTCCGGGGCAAGATCCGAGCAGTCCGTGAGGCTTGTTATTCGATCTTGTTCAGCATGAGTAGGATGCGAGAGCATTTCTATGGGTTTGCCGAACTTCCCGGGCCCTTGTCGGAAGCCCTGTTCAACGATTCGGTACATCTGTCGTCGCATCAATTCTCTGTCTTGCTTAATGTCTCCCGTTGCTTGATCGACGATTGTCCTGTCCGGTTCCGAAGCCAGTTCCTCCCGCCGATGCTCTCGAGTCTGTTTACCCATATCGATCGCAAGGTCACCACGGAGTGGGAGATTATTGAGCAGCAGAAAGCGGGAATGGCGGAAAGCGATTTGACCGACGAGATGAAATCCGAAAGTATTCTCCGGCAACTGACTTACTCGGCAGTCATCATGGTTGCAAGCCTCTTAGATCCGCAACGAGGTGGTAAGTTGCCCTCATTAGCTTTGACCGTCGTGTTTGACTTCGGCTAATATCAACTGGCAGACCCTGATCAAACAGAATCGACAGATCCAAGTGGACCCACGCCGCCGCCATCGATTACTGAGTCCATTCGACACTTTGTTCTCTCTTCGCCAGAGATATTTGAACCGGTCATGTTGTTTTGTACCCATGCCCTTCGCATGCGTGATACCCGGTGCTGCAGCATCATTACCCGTGTTATTAGATCCCTTCTGCAGGACTTTGCACCTCCAAACGACACCCCTACTACTGCCACGATCCGTGAATTCATCTCCTCAGAGGTCCTTAAGGCGTGCATCACATCCGTACACGAACCCTATTTCGTCGACATGCAGAAGGACCTTGCATCGCTTATCGCGTCTATCTGGGTTCTCTACGGCTCCAGCAGCCCAACCCCGCGCACAGTCATATTGAGTCTCCCAGGCATTGACCCGCAGCGTGTGGCATACGCCGAAAATGCCCTTCTCCGCTCTAGCTCGGCACGACAGCAGCGAGCACTGATTTTGGAACTCTTGGAAGGTCTCCGAGGCGTTAGCATCGCGGAGCAGGGCAAAATTCTAGACTCCAGAGTAGAACGTCGCAAGACGCGAAGTGCACTGCAGGAGAAATACATGAAGAATGAGATGGATGGTCAGCAAACTACCAAGGTCGACATAAATGACGGACCTGATTTGGGTGGTATTGCGGATATGTTTGGCTGACCGTTTGTCATGGACGGTATGGGTTATGGAATATGGATGTATGGATGCACGGATGGTGGCATTAGCGTACGAGTTGTAACTCTTTGACTTCTGTACAGTATGAAGTATGGTGTGGTCCAACTTCATTGTGTCAACGTTATCTGTTTTCTCTCTTTTGTTCAGCTTAGTTATTCATTTTATCCTGTGCATTTTGAGCATAACCAATCATAGAAAGCCACTGCTATGTATAGCAAACACAAAACATATGAAAATGTTAGAATATAATTAGCATGGCAATTGAATGCTTTATTACCGACAATCCGTGCATGCGTTCTCTAAAGACATAGCCGAACGTCCGGATATAACAGGATCGTAGGTAAACAAGGATAACATAGACGAAACGAAACAATTGCGACGGTATATCTACATCATACAATGAATTTTCCCCAGAAATCTCTGAGTGGCTTCTTCTTCTTCTTCTTCCTCGCCAACGAACTGTAATGGCCAATGCACAGTCTCCGCGTACAGCCCTCCTTTGTCTCACTTGCTTCTAATTTCGTAACACGCCCGACAACCATAAAAGCGAAATCGAGCGCCGCAAAAGATGCGAGTAATCCAGCATAAATATCCCAAGCACGTAGCAGTAGCGCGTCAAATTTACTGGGTGACGTTGGAGGGGGTATAGACGAATGTAGGGCGAACGAATCTATCCGCAGATATCCCATTAGCAACCACATTTAGCCTAATGCTATTGCTTCTAATTGTGAGGGTTGCACACCTATCCGTGTTGTAGACCTTAGTCTCCTGGCCAAGCAGCTCACGCTCTCGTGCCTTGTCAGCGAAGTGTCGACGGACCTGGTCGCGGTCTTCTTCGGCTTGGAGAAGGGGGAGGATGTGCAGTCTGGACCAGATTTTCTCGCGGGCAAGTTCACTGTATTTGTGTTAATTGATCACGTCTGCTCGGGTTATGTTTCGAAGTGTTGTGCGTGGATTGGGTATATTCGGAGGAAACGTACTGTTGCTCACGAACACCGTAGAACAGCTTGTAGTAACCGTAGGCCATGACCATGTGCATTCCGATCAGGTAGTACATGGGCCGGAAGCCGCGAGCAGGCATGTGGCGCTACATCGCAGAGACAAGTCAACGGATTGTTCTTCGGGCTTGGGGCACCTGTGGATTGAATTCCGGTCGACGCACCTTGTACTGGACGGGCTCGTAGCCCCCCACGGGGGGCATGTCTTGCGGCATGATGAAACGGGTGTTGCTTGGACGCAAGCGTCAATCGTAGGATTAGTGGAAGGGAAAGAAGGGAGAGCAAGATCTCGACCGCGAAGACCGAGATAGTGACGCTTGACTTTCCGGGCGAAGGTTGGATTGGTTGTGTCACGTGGTGTGCTCCAGTTTTGTAATGCGGGCTTGGGGGCGTGTGATTGGCTGATAGTGTGAGAGGATGGGCGGATGCGGGTTCCACCGGGATTTTTGGTGGTTGATTTGGATGATCTTGACTCAATATTTTCGGGCTTGTGCTTTTGCTCGTGTTTTTTTTCTTTTGTAATTTATGGCTATGGACGAGGAAGAGAGACCGAGAAAGCAGCAGAAGCTGGGTATTGAGGGACAGAAGCCGGAGGAGAGTATGGGACCCTCGATGACCAGCGAAGAAAAAGTTGACGACCATGCGACAACAGCTACACACAATGGAAACGAGGAGAGCAAGGCTATCTTTGAAACCGACAATGGCGAAGAAAATAACCCAGAAGCCACTGGCGACCAACAAAAACCCGAAGGCGAAACCACCGCGCCCACATTATCGAAAAACCAACTGAAGAAACTCCGCCGCAGAGAAGCCTGGGACGCAAAAGCCGACGAGCGCAAAGCAAAGAGAAAAGAAGAAAATGCCGCAAAGAAACAACGAAAAAAGAACCTACTAGAGGAGGCGAAGAAACAAGGGAAGGAGGCTGAAGAGGCGATGCGGAAAAAGCTTGCGTCAACGAGACAACGGCATCACCAGTCGACGCTTGTCCCGCTTACCTTCATCATGGACTGTGGCTTTGATGAGTTGATGATGGATAAGGAGCGGATATCGCTGGGGTCGCAGTTGACGAGGGCGTACTCGGATAACAGCCGGTCGAAGTATCGTGTGCACTATGTGATATCCTCTTTTGATAAGCAGCTCAGGGAGCGGTTTGATACGGTGCTCAAGAAGACCTATTTGAACTGGAGGGGTGTTCGCACCATGCAGGAGGACTACGTGCATGCGGCAGAGATGGCGAAAGTGTGGATGACGGGTCCTGAAGGAGGCAAGTTGGCTGGGAAACTCGAGGAGCAATCTGATGCCAGACCGGAGGACGGAGAGGTTGTCTACCTCAGTAGCGACAGCCCGAATACGTTGACAGAGTTGAAGCCGCACAGTACATACATTATTGGAGGACTGGTGGATAAGAACCGCCACAAGGCCATCTGTTACAAACAGGCGACGGAGAGGGGGATCAAGACGGCCAAGCTGCCCATTGGGGAATACATTCAGATGGCTTCGCGCTCGGTGCTGGCAACGAACCATGTCATGGAGATCATGCTGCGCTGGTTGGAAACAGGAGACTGGGGGGAGGCATTCATGCAGGTCATTCCTCAACGCAAAGGAGGGAAGCTGAAGGGTAAGGCTGCTGGGGAGGAGGGTAGCCCTCCTAATGAAAATGCCGAGGGTGTTGAAGACGATGGTGATAATGATGATGATGATGATGCTGAAGCTGCCGACGCCGTTGAGGCAGAAATTGAACAGCAGGAACTCTCTGTGGCTGCCGAACAGGCGTAAAAGGTTGCCAATTAGCGTTTAGATATCCAGTGTATGCCCTGTATCATAGCCTATTTTCCGTCTTGTATAGCTTCATTGTTGGAGTAATGCTTATTCAGCGACTCAGCCACAGCGCCACAACGCCACCGGTCAATGACGGCAGAATCAAAACAACGACTTTTTTTTCCTTTTTCTAGAAAAAAAACTTCCTAAGAAACATTTGCTCTCAATTACTGCAGAAGTCAGGGCGTGCCTGGGTGATGCTGGATCTGTCCTCTTGACTCTATATTTATCCTGCTCTCGCCGTGTTCTCCCCGACTTGAATTTTACCTGTTGCTAAGCAAACGTCGCAACCATGTTTATGCTCCGCAACGGTAAGTAAAGAGTTGTTGACGTTGTTGCTGCCCCGCTGTCACCCCTCTTCAACTATTTCCTTCACCGACTTGGACACTTCACTCCATTGAATCAGTTATACTAATAAATAATTTCTCGACAGTGAGCAAGTTCATCTTCGGGGACACCTCCAAAGAGTCGATCATCGAAATCCCACAGGGTCAGCTGTATCTGGTCCGGCCCCTTTCTCCCAAGGGTTATTCGGAACTCATCTTCAAGGACGCTGCAGCGACCATCCGACGTACTGGTCAGGAATTTCAGTACCAGCTGGTAGTTCAGAGAGCCTACGAGGAAGGTGAAGAGGAACTGGCCGACGACGACGACGGAGAGGGCGGTAGTGACAATCTGGACAAGGACGAGAAAGTCTTCCTTCTCGACCAGTCGTTGCATTTCCGTTCAGAAGTTCGGGAAGGTGGTGCCAAGGTATTAGCCTGGAGTGATTTGAGTGGTGATTTGGGCGACCTGTTCGAATTTGTTTGCGATCCATCTGTGCCATCCGAGAAAGTCGCCACCTTCGAGTTGGCTGCTGTTCAGTGCCAGTACGAGCGAAAATACCGACAAAGCGCACAAAAGGCGACCGAGCAAGAGCTGGAGCAGTTCTCGTTCCAGGAAGAGAAACCGATTCCGTCTGCGAGTCCCATCGCGTCCCCGACGACCAAATCCCGTGCGCCCTCTTTGACGGCCGGAGAGTCAACTGCTACCATGGCGAAGGACGTGGAATACTCCCAGTCCAAGGGAATCATTAAGCCCGCTGAAGAGGGCACCGTTGCTCCCCCTTCTGCGGCGCAGCCAGAGGTCAAGGAGATTTTGGCCCAAGAGACTGCTGAACTGCATCTATTCGACTTCACGACCGGCTCATTCGTCCAACAGGATCCAAAGATTACAGCTACCGTGTCTGAAATTGGTACCTGGCAATATTGGCTTCAGATCAGTGGCCAAGATAAGGAATGGTTGGGACAAGCCGTGGTTGCGGATCTCAACCCTGTGTTCAACTTTGAATACCTCTCCTTCATCTTCAACCATTACACCGAGGATGGGTCAGCTTACTCCTGGTTGTTGCGATTCACAGATCAAGAGACGGAGGAACGGTTCCAGGAGGGTCTCATGCAGGCTCTATGGGAGCAGCTGAATGAGATGAAGTGGGGCAAGGTGAAGGAAGACGACCGGGATTACGTTTTGGACGCCTTCCAGGACCTTACTATGGAGGACCAGAATGAAGAGCAGGGGCAGGCTGGCGAGGAAGCTGAAGCGGAAGAAGAGGAGGAGGAGGAGGAGGAAGAGGGCCAGGATGATGGCCAACGCAGTGAGCACTACGACTCAGACGAGGAGGAAGAGGATGTGGTTACGCGAGATGATGATGGAAACGTCAACTCCCAACTGGCCGTTGGTTACAAGCATGATCGCTCATTTGTCGTGCGTGGCTCTAAGATTGGTGTCTTCAAGCACACACCCAACAACAACTTGGAGTTCTCGACCAACATCTCCAAGGTCGAGACGCCAGGTGGCAAGCTGTTCAGCCCCAAGAAGGTCATGCTGCACGCGGAGGATTCCAACATGATTCTCCAGAATGAGAGTGACCCCAACTCCTTGTACCGCATGGATCTGGAGTACGGTAAGGTTATTGATGAGTGGAAGGTGCATGACGATATTCCTGTGAATATCTTCGCACCGGAAAACGTAAGTTATTTGAACCCCATGAATTCATGTGCATCGCTAACTGGTTACAGAAATTCTCGCAAATGACCTCCGCCCAGACTTTTGTTGGTGCGTCTAACAACGCGCTCTACCGCGTCGATCCTCGTCTGTCCGGAAACAAGATGGTGGATTCCGACTTGAAGCAGTACACTAGCAAGAACGACTTCTCATCCATGGCTACGACCGAAAAGGGTTACCTGGCTGTGGCGTCGAACAAGGGTGATATTCGTCTATTTGACCGTTTGGGTATCAACGCAAAGACACATATTCCCGCACTCGGAGAACCGATTATCGGTACTGATGTCTCCGCTGATGGTCGCTGGGTCCTGGCTACTTGCCGAACATACCTCCTCCTGGTTGACGCGCTGCAAAAGGAGGGCAAGAACGAGGGCAAGCTTGGTTTCGAGCGCGCGTTCCCCAAGGACTCGAAGCCTCAACCCCGACGACTGGGTCTGCAGCCCGCACATGTCGCCCAATTCCAGCACGAAACTAAGAAGCCCATTTTCTTCACACCCGCAAAATTCAACACCGGCGTTGACTCTTCGGAGACATCCATCATCACCGCTACCGGTCCCTTCATCATCACCTGGAGCTTGAAGAAGGTCACCGCCGGGCGCAAGGACCCCTACACTATCAAGCGTTACGGCGAAGACGTCAAGGCAGACAACTTCCGCTTCGGCTCCGACAAGAACGTCATCGTGGCCCTGCCCAACGAGGTCAACATGGTTGCCAAGAAGAGCTTCCAGAAGCCGACGAGGGAGAGTATTGCTGGGCCTCCTGTTACACCTAGCCGTCGTAACACCCGTTGGGGTAACCGGTTGGGCCGGGACGATATTGTCAATTCTCCGTTTTAGTTATTTTGACTGTATTTTTCGGTGTTATTTTTTTTTTTTTTTTTTTTTTTTTTTTTTTTTTTTTTTTTTTTTTTTTTTTTTTTTTTTTTTTCTTTCTTTCTTTTGGTTTTTTTCTACTGATGGTGATGTAACGTGTTTTTTCATACCCTTTTTATTGATTTTAAATGACTGTTCAACGTGAAATGAGATTATGGGAAATGGAAGTCCAGGATTCACTTCTAGATTGGCTTTGATATGGTAGTTAATACAGTGATAATAATTGAGACTCAATGCTTTAAGGGACTCGACTATAGGGTTTAGCCTTTTTCTTTACCGGTATTCGAGTTGAGTAGACCAACGCCGTAGTAGCAGAGATTTATATATGTGAACGACGAAGACGATGCGGAAGAACACGATGGTGAACCAGCCACACATCATGTCCGGGTATTCTGAAGTATGTACACAACGATCTGCTATAAATCTTCTCGAACCAGATCACTTTTAATATACCCAATAAATATAGCAGGCAGAATATATCAAAATAGGCAGTAGGGACCAACAACTCAAGCACCAACATACCACACCTCCACGCCGATGATATCAAACTTGACGCCTTCATCGGAAAGAGGCTCGTTACCGAATGTCTGGCATGGTGCACTGACACCTTTTTCGAGGCCGGAGTCGACCCAGAGACCGTAGTGGCCGTCGCTGTATGTGTGTTAGCAAATAGTCATGGTAAAGGAGCTAGATAGAAGACTCACCCTCCACCAAGACTGAGGAAACCAGTTTCGCAAAACATCATCCAGTCATTCACGCCGCTGTAGGGGAATGCCTTGAAGCGGATGCGTTCTGGGGTGCTCGTCCCCGAGCGGATGCTCCCCGTAGGTGTCTGTGTCTGTGACCGCGGCGGCGCCAGTCGATTATTACTCGTATCAAAAGAATCCTTCTGCTTCGACTCCCCACGCAATGTGGTCGACCGTCCGACGTTCGTCGTATTCGCACTAGGCGGCGGCGGCAAACCAGCCAACTCCAACAAATCCTCCGACGGCGGACGATTCTCATTCCCCGCAGCACCAGAAACATCCTGCAAACCCATCGACCCCGGCGGCGGAAGCACACTCGCCCGCCACAGAAAACACTCCCCAGTCCCGTAATAATGGTTATTCGGATGCGGAGGATCTGTCATGTACGCCCCGAACACCGCGCCGTTGGGCGATGCGTCCCGGACAACTAGCACGAAACCCGCTCGGGGGCTTCGAGATGCGGCGTCCTTACATTTTGCGTAGAGGGTGCCCAGCGATGCGCCGTCGCGATCGAGACTATATGCTAAACGCCAGGTATCGACGAGTTGGAGGCGGGCGGGGATGAGGAGGCGGATTTCCTCTGCGAGGGTGCGGGTGAGGAGTTGTTGGAGGGAGTCTGGGTCTGGGTTTGGTTCTGGTTCCGATAATGAATCGAAGGAGGAGGCCAGTGTGAGGGGTGTTAGGGGTGGTGGTTGGAAGGGAGAGGCTGTCCGGACGGGGGTGAAGACTCCGGGGGTTCTGGAGGTGTTGTTGCTCATGGGGTTGTGCATGTTGCCGGAGGAAGATTCCGAGGACGAGGAATTGTCTGTAAAACGGCGATAGAGGCCCGAGACGACATGCGTGACGGGGTAAGAGAAGTAGTTTAGGGAGTTTGGGTTGTTGTTGGCATGGGGCGTGCGGGATCCAGGTTTGATTGAGCTGGACGACATGGCAAGCGGAGAGAGGGGGATGGATTAAAGTAAATCCATTCAATTGAGCTTGGGGTACAGAAATGTCAGAAAATGGCAGATATAGAAGAGAGAGGAAAATGGTCGAGTAATTGTACTCGGCGAAGTTGGTGATGCGATAAGGCGGCGGAGAGATATGCTAAGTATGGCAACGGTCATACAGGTCTCTCCTACTCAGTAACACATGACTGCTTTTCGCAAACACCCTAATCTTTGTCTTCTTCCCTCATTGACGAATATACTTATTGATCTCTACCCTGTTCTGTTTCTGTACAAGACAATGCACCATTCTAAACATCACTACTAAACGCGTTTGTCTCACGTGACATTCATTGTACTACGACTTGTGGACATGAACCTTCATCTTTCTCTTCTCCCTCTCCATCTCCATTTTCCCCACGAAATGTTTACCGATACAACTCGCGTCCCAGACCAAACAGGCTGGCTTCTCATGTATCTTAAACCCCACGGGACGAGTGCGCAAGCCCAGGCGCCAGCCCAGACGAGATCCGCCAGTTGCAGCCACCAAGTTGGGGGAGACAATGGCGATACGAGCGCCGTCACGACTAGTAGCAGACACTCGTAGGCTCTACCAGAAACCCAGTAAATGACACAAGAAGGTCTCAGAATTGCAATCATTCAACAGGAGTCGGATGTGCCAATCGACAGGATCGTGGGTGCAGAATACATTCTTTTTGATGAAGATCCAGGCAAGTTCTCCCTGACACGCGGAGAGCTGACATATTCTAACATATCAACAATTAGACCTTCGACATTTAGTAAAAATTTTTAAGACTCCTCCATGGAGGACACGGATCCATTTGGTGTTCCCAGCCAGTTCGATCGTCGTTCTAAATTCTTCACAGGCTTGAGTGGGTTCAAACGATATGGCCCGACGGTATTGGTTTCTGGTGACGCCAGCCTCTATGTAGTGGATGATATTATCTGCGAGCTTTGTCCAGATCGATCCTTGGTCGTTTATACCTCCATGGACACTTCTTCTTTTTCTTTCTAACCAACCACTAGAATCTTGAAACAACTGTCTCGCCTTCCACTAATTAAATATGCGCTCAAAGCTGGTAGGGGACTCCGGATTGATGCTTTTATTTTGAAATACTTGGCGAAAATTGTGAACTGGGTATTCTGCTTGCTACTATCTTGGTAAGTTCCTCTTCTCTGTATGGTTCACGCTACGGTACACCACAGGCTAAACAGAAGTGCAAAATCGGTTTAACAGGCTAAACGAACAGCCGATGATTTATAGATGGCGAGATACGAGATCCCACATCCTTTGTTACAGGCAAACATGGTCTTCAATCACGATGAAAGCTTTGGGGAGTACGAAGCGTTTGTTATCAGCATTGAAGATTATACATATACCTTTGTCAAGGCTACCATTTTTCCTTAATTTTTTCAAAGTTTACGCACTGGAGGCCCTGTACACGGTATCACGAAAGTGCTGCGCAGTGGACCTTTCACATTGTTGACAGGGATCAACAGGGACGCACGGAGGGAGTTCCTGAAGAGTCTAATGTCACTTAGCGGACACTTGATCGACCGTCCTGAGTTTCCATTTCCAATGCGGAAATACCACATTGCGAGTTTATTAGAATATATTTTCTTTTTGTATTTGTGCCGGTTTGCAATAGCTGTGCGGCCAGCATGTTTCTTTCCGTTTTGGTTCTTGTATTCTTTGCCATGGGTTTGATCACAAAAAAAGAAAGAAAGATAGGTCCAGCGGTTAACAGAGAAACTGATCACCATAGACAAGAGGAACACCGAGAGTAACAGGGGAACCGCGCTACCGACTTCCTATGTAAGTTGAGCGTTCAATGGATCTTCGTTTTTCTTGTATCTGTATCTTTTTATACTCCATATTAAATGCGTAACTAACATATTAAATGCAGCAATCCCCATGAAACCCCCCTCCAAAAATTTTGCCCTTCGTGAGCGCCGCTATGCGCAACATCCAGATAGTTATACACGGGTATTGCAAGCCCAGCACTGTTCTCGAAGTCATCGAGGACCGCAGGATATGTTCTACCTGGCTGCATGCACTATTGCGCCTGAGCCATGGACGAAACCATCATACCCCAGACGGACCCTACCTCCGAACCTGGGGCAAAACACGCGATGATGACCTTACTACATCTAGCACCCAGTATAAATACCACCCAACTACCTCTCCCGAGCACAATTATCAAAGTCAAAAACATACTATAAACAATCAAACAACCAACAACCTTACAAAAACAATGACAGACAACCTCGCCGCCGAGCAAGCCGCCAACCTCCCCCGTCGCCGCAGAGCAAGTAGCGGCGAGCGCGACGACCGCCTCCAAGTACGTCTCTCCTCTTCTCACTCCCATCTCTTTCCTTCCCACCTCCACTCTCCCCTCCCATCCCTTTTTCCATCAAGCATACTAACAAAACGCAGCGACAACCAGCAGACACCCGCACAACTATCAACACCAGCAACCTGCGCAGCCGACGTAGTTCGCGGCGCCCTCCCACACCGAACCGGATGGCAGGAGCTCATTCGGGATCTGGTGCGAAGAGACGGTCGAAATCCAGGTCTAGGGCGCCATCGAAGTCGAGGTCTAGGGAGAGGAGGGTTGGTGATTGACTTGCGGTGCTTTGATTGGGGTGATGGGTTGAAAATATATATATATTGAGATTGGACTTGGTTAAGGGGTTAATGTTGTATATCTATGTGCATGCATACAGGTTGATATGGGGTGGGTTTTAGGGCTAGTTGCCAGGTAAAGTGGAGTAGAAAGTTTTGGATGGTGATTTTCCCGCTGGCCATACCGCTTTTGTGTACTGGCAAAATACTAGGCGGTAAATAATCATATATTAGATGTTTCTACGATAGTGTGACAATCGAATATTATTTGTGTCTAAATCATGCTTAATTCATCGAAAATCGTAACTCGTCGCAAGCTAGCACAAATAGACAGCGTGGAAAAAAAAAAAATAAAAATAAAAATAAAATAAAATAAAATAAAAGAAAAACCAAATTGCAGTGGTATAGTAAAACGGATTAAATTCTCGACTCAGGCCGCAAATCAACCGTCTCAAATTCCAACCCCTTAGCCTCAAAAACATGGCCCGGCCGTAACGCATCCGTATAAATATTAGTCTCAGAGTGAGGATGGAATAGCCCCGGCTGTGTACAATTCAGCACCGTCTTGAGACCAGGCGGATCTGTCAACCGGAAAATGCCCCAGTCAGGTGTTTGGCTGGGAGCGCACACGATTGCAATGCTTTCTGGTAGCATCACTTGATATCCACAATGTGTGTGCAGGTCTCTTGAACTCATAAAGCAGGTTTGGGTTGGGTGCGTGTGGATCCAGCCTAGCACCATTAGGTCTTCGGAGTCGCAGTAGTCGAAGATGGCGGATTCGTTTATGGTTTCGCAGGTGTCGGATGTGGATGTTTGTTCGGGGACGAGGAGTCTTGAGACGAAGAGTGCGTTGGAGATTAAAGTTCCGCAGAGAATTCCGCAGGTTTCGAGGTTTCGATGAGTGTTGGAAGCAGCCAATATAAGGAATTGTGTCCGGAGATCTGGGGGAAGGAAGACAGTGCGAAGAGGTGTTCCGTTTTCAAGGTAGGCGGATGGTTTGAAGGTGAAGCTGGATGGGTCGAGGTCGGATCGAGATTTTGTATCGTCTTCTGGGCGTACTTTGTCTGGAAGAGCGGGTGGTAGTAATGACGGCGTGGGTTCTGATGGCGAGATCTTGTTTGGGCGTGGTGGAGGGCTGTCCATGAGTGCTGGGCCATAATTCTCGATATACTTCGGAGGTAGCGCAGGAGGATCCACCCGAGTTTGCGGCTTAACTGGCACGACTGGTGGAGAGGTGACGGTACCCAGTGGTTGTTGTCGCGGAACAGTAGGATACTTATAGGAAGACACAGGAGACGGTATAGTCTGCTGTCGCGGAGTAGGCTTTGTATAGCGTTCCTTTTGTGTCTGGTCGACATTGATCCTGACCTCCTGGATCCGCGCGCTCAAGTCGTTCTTATCCGTCGTCTTCTGCCCGTCCTTCTCCAACGCACTCTCCCAATCACCCCAAAGTCCAGCACTGCGTCGAATGCGCTCCTCCTCTTCTGATACTCCTGCCTCCCGTAAAGCCTTCCTTGCTGTCGCTCGTCGGCTAATTTCCGTCCTTGCTAGTTCAACCGCGAGCCCTTTATTTTCACCCGCTTCCAACGGTGCAGCGACGCCTGCCAGAGCCGGGTCATGACGAATGGGGTCTTGGGGTGGTGAAGTCGTAATCGACGGCTGTCTCCGTGCTTTACGCTCGCGCATTGACCGGACATATCGTTCGTAGCGTTTATTGATTCGGGGCTTTAGCGTCTCTAGTTTCTCGATGCTGGCTTTAACCTCGGTCTCTGCCTCAAGTAACGCCTTTCGGTTCTTTTCTTGTTTGGATTCGGGATGTTTCGACAAATTGACGAGTACGAGTTGGGCATGTCTGAAGAGGAGGAGGTAGGCTTGTTCGTCGTTTCCTTCGCGTTCGTAGATACGGGCCTAACCAAGGCATGGTGTCAATTTCAACCATTCAACTACTATGGAGTAAATATAAACACACCTCCCTGACCAGAGTTGTTGCAGTCCTTAACCAATTCCGAAGTGAGATGTGTGGGTTGTATTCGTAGTCCTGAGCTCTGCGAGTGATCTTCTCGACACTCTGAGGTGGGGTAATCCCCAAGGAATCTGAGGATAACTGCGACGCCATCATTCGTGATTAGATCGCGATTTATATTTCGGCTGAAATAGAGGATTGTTGAGGAAATGCGTCCGGACGAGGAGCTCAAGCTCAGGCAGTCGTCAGAGGTTCGGTGCCTGGCGCGAAACCAGAGACGTCGTGGCGGGGAAGAGCCGCATCAAGGCGGCGAGACGAAAGGGGACGACAGTACGAGAGATTTGAAACGATCGGTGGATATATAGGATGCTATATGAAAAATGAAGCTGTTCTGTAAAAGTGGCTTGCTAGAATACCGTCTGTCGCAAGCCGCGGCGGTGGCGGAGCTTCAACTTTCTTCTCCCCTCTTCTCCGTCACCCTGCGCTACCATCATACCACAACGACATCCACTTGTCACTGAAACACCAACAAGCATGGACTGCCGTGTATATTCTGCTTCATAGCATTATACTTTTACTGGCGTATAAGCCAAGATGCCGACGGGCGCCAACCGATGGACGCCCATCACCCGGTTTCCTCTAACGAAGCGCATGAACGACAGGTTTCCAACCGCTGGGAGGAAGAGAACATGGGCTAAATCCGAGATTGTGAACGAGGCTCTTTGCGGTAACACGGCGCTGGAGAAAGCAAGTTAGGAAGGACGAGGTACTAACAACTCACAGATGACATTCTCAATCGCGTTTCACCCTACCTCAATCGCAAATCTCCAATCGATATCCTCGACCTATGGCCAGGTGTTGGCTTATTTTCGTCCAAGGCTAATGATCTTCTCAAACCCCGACGTCATGTTATGATTGAGCCGCTCCTTGATACCTATGGCCCGTTTCTCAAGCCCCTCGTTGCAAGTAAACCCAGTTACGACCTGATATCTCTGGACATACATTCGCACAGGGACTGGGATAGTGTGATATCCAAGCATCTCCCAGAACAGGGACCTTCGAGTGGAGATAGTTCCGGTACCATGACCAAGAACGATACGCTACTGGTCCTTGCCAGCCCACCGCCGAATACCTCGAAACGGAACCACTACACGCCATCGCGATGGTGGTCAATATTCTTGGAGATGTGCATGCGACAAGCAGGATTCCATAATTATGGGTGTGTACGGTTGCTAGCTACACTACCATCGGTAGAGGTTCAAAATATCATCCCTCGCAGCGTTGTGGAACGGAAACGGCCGGCGTTGTTGACGGAAAGTCTTGCGCTTCATGCCTTTGAACTTGCCAGTCCCATGGACTCTGGATCTTGGACAATGACCAAAGGATGGGACGTGATGACCCAGAATGCAGCAAGAGTGTCTGAGAGGACTGCAGCGAACAAGATCCAGATACCGCCAGGAAGGGAGCCTCGCGCCTATACTCTTGCCCCGGAAAGCCCTGAGACAGGATGGAAGCCCGCTCCATATACGCCTCGAGTCAGGACAGATAAACTTGAACAATTGATGAAACTGGTTGAAGGAGTATCGAAGACTTCTTCTGACAGGACTGCCAAGCAAAAACGCTCAAGGGCGCTTATCCAATTAAACCAGGACAACCGCCATGCGTACATCCGCGCGCAACTAAAGGAAAAGAGAATTCAAATCGACCAACTGACCAAGTCGCTTTCGCAGGCGGCCGCAAACCCTAAGACAACATCGGAATCATTGAAGCAGTATACGGACCAGATTGCGGCCCTTTCGTCCAAGATCGAGGAGGTAGCATCTGAAAACCATTACGATACGTTCACCCACTTGTCAGGACTCGTTGACGACCACCGCGCGTCTCTTCACACGGGTAATTTCGACGATGCACTTCTTCACTGGGATAGACGGCCATTCGAGCCGCTCCATATCGACCCGGAGGAACTGTTCCCGCAAGAACTCGATCGCACGGTGCTCTATTTCGAGCCAGATGCGAATTCCCCAGCCATGCAAATCGTGAAACAAGTCGACACGTCGAAACGATCCAACTTCTTTCAGCTCTTCGAATTCCTCACTCTCGCCTTTAATACTCGCGGCAGCATGCCCGTCTCGGAGCTCTTGACCCTGATGTTCCCCACCAGACCTCTCCACGACCTCATCCGCGTTATTCCCAGCTTAGCCACATACGCGGGAAAGAAGCCCAAGCCAGATTTCGACAGTATACCCAAGCCTCTCCCGTCTGAGGTTGATCCCTCGACCACTTACCAGGAGAACATCGACTACGATCTTAGCGAGGTGCGACTACGCAGCTTACCCGTTCTCACGATGTGGGAACTCACACTGGAGTATATGAACACGGCAGCAGATAAGTCGCCGGTGCATTTGAACCGGCTGCTGGGAGGGTCGCTAACATCGTTCCGGACGGGCGATTATAGGGCCTCGTACAAGAGGCTTAACTAGTATACCCACTTCGTGTTATGTTTCATGAGTTCAAAAAAAAAAAAAAAAAAAAAAAAGAAAAGAAAAGAAACAGTAATGAAATGATTAAAATAGTATGATAATTATACACAAGAAGGACATATAACCTCGTAGGTAAATCTAGGGTATCAAAAGCAATATATCATCTAACCGAACACAGCAACCCCATCTATTAGGTGCTCATAACCAGTTCAACCCACTCCCCAGCCCCAATTCTCTCCGCAGGCTCCTTAACTACAGCCCCGCTAACAACTCTCTCTACAACACCCCCTCTAGCAACCCTTGTCCCATTCCCACCTGATCTCGCAAACTCCACAACCCGATGCCCTTCACGGGCCATCGCAAGTCTCTGCATATGACTCGCCCCAGGATACAGCAGCAAATCCCCCGTCGCAGCAGCAAGAAGCGTCACCGCTAATGAGAACACATCAGAGGCAGTTGTCGGCGTTGCGCCAGTAGGCGACTTCAACGCAGCCGGAGAAAGCAATTCCGGCGCTGCAAAGGGCGGCGTTAATGCTGACCCCGGCGCTGGCGAGGATGTCGTAGAGGAAGTGTCATGCGCTGACGAAAAGTCCGCGTAGAGGGGTTCATAGCCGAACCCCTCATCATCGTCAACAGCAGATACCCGCCGCAGTAAAACGTTATGCGGCTTAATATCCCCATGCACAACACCGGCCGTGTTATGCATCCAGTCTAGCCCAGAGATAAGTCTCTGTGTCAGACTACCCCATCGCTGTTTACCCAGCACAGGCTCAAACATGTTCGCCGTGCTGCGCCGTTCCTGCGCCTTAACCGCTTCTTCTGTTATATAACTCGATAACGCCAGCGGCACAGCACCCATAACCAACGCATGAGATCTAGGTAGATACCCCAGAAACGAAACAATATACTGCTCCGCCCCCGGTGTCAGACTCAACCGCGTAAGCACCCTCGCCTCGCACTCTAAGACTGCATGCGCATCTTTCCTGATGGGCGATTTCACAGCGACGATGCGGTTTTTCGAGGCTGGCGAGGCCGGTGGCGTTATCAGCGCAGGATCAGAGTGTGAGTCCGTGGTGGATGGCGCGGGGAGGGAGGAGGCTTTGTAGACGACGCTCCAGACGCCGTGGCCGAATTGGATGGGGGTGGAGGAGTCGGGGTGGTGGTGGTAGTCGAGGGAGTCTGTGTAGAGGAGGGTGTCTGCCGCGTCTTGGGCGGGGTTTGAGTCTCGTTTTAAGGGCGTGCTGGGGGTTACCGGGGGGGTTGTTGTTGCGACAGGTTGGGCGTCCGTTTGGACAGAGAGGTGGTGGTGGTGGCGCATTGTATTATTGTTTTGAATAGCTCGATATAGGGATATACGAATGTGAATGTGAATGCGTGAAGAATTGTAAGCTCGATCAAAAAGCGAGCAACTGAGAAGGCGAAGCGTAGAGATAAAGGACCGTCGCAAGGCGCATAATCAAGCAAGTGGCAAGGCAGAACAGGTTTGAACCGTGGATGTACCAAGGATGACGACTCGATTGTAAAGGAGAAAGAACTGAAAGAACTGAAAGAACGAGGAATGGGGGATATAAGATGCAGAAAAAAGAACGAGTGAAAAAGAAATGAAAATGAAAATTTGAGGAAGATCGCAGGAAATGAGGCGTCCCACATGGTTGTGGCAGTATCCCACATAATGTTGAGATTACTACATTGTGCATTGCTCCTACATACTACTACACTATCTTATCTCCTGCTTCTATCTTCTGAACTTTCCACAATAACGCTTCTCATGGTGTATTTGATCTATTATTCTATATTGTACGGAGCATGTCGTACTGTTCTATACAAAATGTGACACTTTAACTTACTTCGGATATGCCAGTGCATGCATCACGGACACTATGCTATCCCCGGCCTAGTGTTATTCAAGCACACCAATGATAGTCACTGCAAACGCGTCCTGTCAACCCGACGGGTTTCCTATTCGGGCCGTTTGCTTATCTTTTCGTCTCATTCCGGTAGGTTGGGGTGAGGCAAATTCTGAATCCTTCGATAGCTGCCAAACGTTACTACCCCTCCGCACTTGCTCTTTACATAGTATGAATGCGTCTACTCTGCATTATTTTGTACAGACAGTTCGTGGCCCACGTGGGTCTGCCAGGCTCTCGGATAGGTCCACCTTCCGTTTACAGAACACAGCGATTCCCCGATTAGGCGTGAAGCACACCGGATACTGCTTGTGTATTGGCGCTGCGACGCTGCAATCACACTACATGGCTCGTTTGGAACCAGGCCGGATTAGTCTGAGTATGTACGGAGTATGCATGTCTCAATTCAACAGCCCGAGCACGAACCATGAACCCTGCCCGCACTGCACCTGTACCAATCCTGTATTACCTACACAGCACTAACTACTAGCGACATACTCCCTCAACTCCTCCACCCACCTCTCAAACGCCTCCTGAATCACCCTCCCATACATCCACCGCACCGCATACGCCGCATACCCAGCCTGCACCTCCCAATTCCTGACTCCACTCCCACCCTCGACCGGCACGACTTCATGCACGCGTTCCGCCCGCAGCAAGAAGCGCGGCAGTGTCCCCGACGCAGTGTAATCAGCCGCCCATGCAATGCGACCAGTTTTACCCCCCTCCGGTGGCTCGAACTGCGTGACGACCAGGTAGGTGTCTGTTTCGGCGGGTGAATTGGCATCCATGTGCACGTGGAAGGTCATTTGCGTGCCAAGTTGCAGGATCGCGGAGTCATTCTGGTCTGGTTGATGGCGGATGGTTACTCGGGGGCAGAAGGTGTTCCAAGACGGCCAAGTGGAGGTGTTGATCAGGGCTTGCCAGGTTTTTTCGGCGGGGGCGGCGGTGGTGGTTGTGCTGTGGGCGTAGTAGATGGCGTCGCTGCCATTGAGGCCGGGGGTCGATTGTGCCATGGCTGTGATGATGTCGGTATTGATTTTGGCGGAGAGCGGTTCGTCACTCCGACGGTCACGGGATCGCAAGGGGAAACCGCAATATACAAGACTAAGTCCATGGAAATGCTATTATGTTATTGACAATTATTATTACAGGTACAATGCTCGCTCGCGTCGCCCGCTATTTCAACGGCGATCCAACAACGCAAATAAAATCCCTCTCCGGCGTATCATCCAACGCATTCTTCACCAAATTCCACACATTCGGATCATACGCCTCGCCAATATGCCCAACAACATCAAACCGACACTTATCCTGCACCCACACATTGCTCACGCCCTCCTCATGCACAAACGACGTCTCCACCGGCGTAACCAACTCATCGTGCTTCGACGCAATCACCGTCAACGAATTCCCCTCCTGCACAATCGGCTCCCCATCGTTCAACTTCTTAATTGCCTCCCCACCCGTGACCAACTCCGAACACGCCTGGCACCCAACCGTATCCAACGCCTTGTCCACAACACTCTTGGTGTTATTCCCCAAATCTATCGCAAGCTGATACAACCCCGCGAAATTCGTGCCGCGAGTCGGCGGCGCAATCGCAACCAGCTTGTCAATCAACGGCACAACCTCGGAATGAAACTTTGGCACGTAAAGCGTCTGCAGCGCGCCCTCCGAATGGCCCACAACATCCACTTTATCCGCGCCGGTCTTCTCGGCGACTTCTTGGATGTATTTTGCGATTTCGCTCGCGGACTCGGCGATCGGTTTCAATCCGCCCAGGAACGGGAAGCCATCGTAGGCGCCGTATGTCCGCGCGAATGTACAGTAGTCTTTCGCTTGTAGCCAGTATTGCAGCACGTTGATGTCTTCGTAACCCGTCGCTCCAAGACCATGCAGGAGGATCACGGGGTTCGGGTGGGAGTCACTTTTGCAGGAGAAGTCGTTGATCAGGCTAGCTGTTGCTGTGGAGCAGGCTGTCAGGGCCGCGACGAGGGTAGTGCGGAGGGAGGGCATCTCGACGGTAACCCTTGCAGGAACTCAAATTCAATAGAACAAAAACGAAATTCCCGTAAAACAAATAGACCGAAATATTCGCAAGGAAAATAAACTTCTCGAGAAAAGGGAACGCCAGTTTATAAACCGCGAAAAAGCAAAACGAGACTATTGACTATTGCGAGTCGCGGTGGATCTGTAGACGGCCGAATTAATCACGATCGTCGGGGACTATTGATGCGAACTGGCGCGAACTGGTGGTTAATCGATCGTGGCTGGCTGAGCTGTGGATCTACTTTATGACAGTCAATGCTTACAGGTAAAGAGTACTAGAGGGGTGGGTTTGGATGTTGGGATTGTGCTGAGTGGATGCTTGTGCCTGAGTACGGGCAAGTACCCCCAAGGGTATACAGCCGAGTAAACATCCGTGCCCATACATTAACCATGATCCAGTCAATACATAGTTGAGATCTGAGCCACTATCACCTACCTGCATTACATTATACAACATGAAAGAACCAAAGCCAAAGGGAAAAAGAAAAAACCAGCCACTTGCACCGGAGTCCAGCATCCGAGGCTCAGTCTGAACGAACAAACTAGTCGGCTTAGTTTCATCTGGGATCTACAAATTGCATAGGAACTCGCACGCATGATTTCTTTTCCTGCTATTGGTTTTGGGCTGTACGGTGTATTCTGTACAAGTGCTTTGTACCAAATATAAGTACTTTGAGATATTACTCCTCAATGCCAGAACGGCGGTACATGGACTTGTATCTTGACTGGGATTGTTATTCAATGACGGACAGTAGACTGTTGTCAATGTACTTTTCTCTACTATTTCCCATTTGTGAAGTTAGAATTATGCCTAGCGAGGCTATCTAACTCTAGTTATCAACATACAGTGACGGTGTAGATGAGTCAACACTTCAGCAATGCATCCGACACATCAACATCTTCCACCATTGAACTAGACTCCTTACGGAACAAACTAATGATTGCCATACTTTGTACAAGTCTGTACATCAAGGAAAATAACGATGCACCTGATATTCTCCGACAAGGTATATAACCCCCTTAGCCAGTAACTCTTGCTCTCAACATCATCCACAAACACTCAAGATCTTAGCCAAGCCTCACTCACTACCCAACAACAAAACATACCATCAAAATGCTCCCTAAACGCCTCCTCGCAATCCTCCTCACCTCCCTCACCTCTCTGGCTTCTGCATCCTCCAACGCTGCCCTCACAAACTCCATCTCCGAACTCTCCTCCATCAAATCCCACCTCTCTCTCCTGACCGAGTCCCTGGACTCCTATAACGGCGGTGTCTGGGGCCTGCTCACGCTTGCCAGTCGCGTGAACAACGCGCAAAGTGCGATTCGGAGTGCGCGCTTGAACCTCGATCAATTGCCTGTTCTTAGTGGCGATGACTTCGAGGGCTGGGCGGGGAGTTATGAGGAGTTGCATCCAGTTATAGTGAAGGCGTTGAGTTCGACGCATGGGAAGGTTTGTCCCCATTTCTCTCTCCCTCTTAACTGTTAAATGTAGGTTTGGGTGGTGGGCTAATATGTGCAGTCCGATCACTTCCACAAAATGGGCATCAAGCCCGTTGTCGTGGCGCTGATACAGGGTCTTAATGACGAGAGGAATGAGTATAAGAAGACGGTGGAGGAGAAGATGTCGAGTGAGAATATCACGGCGATGGTGGCACACAATGACGAGGTGGATAAGAAGATGAAGTTTGTGTTTGGGTCTTTGGGGTCGGTTTAGGCTAGCTAGGATTGCACCGGGTTGGGTTGGTGGAATTGCTAATGATTTCGGATTGAACTGGGAAGTCATGATATTATCATTATAAGTATAATTTGATTATATTTGATTGTATGTTTGAATAGAGTGATGGTATCATCCTTTGGATTTTTCGTTTTCGTTTTTGTTTTCATTTTCTGTTTCTGTAGCTGTGATGTTTATTGACCAGTCTTGGACGAGGTTATGGCCGTCGCTGACGGGTCAGTGAAATTCATGTATAGAGAAGAGAAATGCACATACCCAAGTCTATTATTCGGGACGAACAATGCGAGTATGACCACCGGCACCGCAATCCCAAGTGCAGCGATTGTCATATACCTACCCAGTCAGCGCATGTATTCCTTCCTGGACTATCAGAAACAGGAGACCTACCCCATAACATCCGAATAAGCCCCATTCACAGCTCCTCTTTCCGACGATCCCCACGCTGGTAAAACCCCCGTAATCGAATTATACAATTCATCCAGTTTGTCATCGCTAACTCCCGACCCAAGTCGCTCTCGTAGCCGGTTCTTTAACGTATCCGTATAAATCCCCCCAGCAATAGCAGACCCAATCCCATTCCCCAAAAACGCACTCAACATAAGCAACGACGTAACCTGCGCAAGCTTCTTATGCGGGACAACAATCTGCGAAGCAACAATAACAATTGTTTCAATGATTCCGCTCCCCAATCCCTGCACGAGTTGTACGATGAAGAGCTCCACAACGGAACTGTTGTTCGTGCGCAGCCGGATCATCACCCCGTAGCCTATTAGCCGGATTATAGCGCCGGCGACGAGGATCCATTTATACGTGCAGAAACGGTAAATGACAAGCCCGATTATCATGCCAGTGAGCGCTTGCATGACGCCATTCGTGTAGGTTAGGAACTGGGCGTCGCGCGCAGAGAAGCCCCTTGACACTGTTGACCAGGCGTATAGGTATGTGTGGGTAACCCCGAAGCCGACATTATCGATACATGTTAGGCAGACGGATGTTATAATGGCGAGGACGCGGAAGTACCGCACGGGTACGACGGGGTGTTTTGTGATGTAGCGTTCGTACGGATACAGAGCTATAAGGCAAACTACGCCTAGGGCGATAAGGGCGTCTACCCAGGGTGTTTTCCAGCGACTTGTTGTAGTAGATGCGATGGTGATCGGGATAAGCAGGAGGGCGAAGCCGCCGCTGAGGAGGAGTGTGCCGCCAAGATCAATGCGGGAGCAGAATTGGTACAGGGTGAGACGGTCCTTGAGGATGAGGCCTGTTTGCTTTGCGCGAGATTGGAACACCGCGAGTGTGATTATGATGAGGCTAGCGCAGAAGGGCATGAGAATGGCGAACATGCCGATTCCCCAGCGCCAGCCGATACCGTTGACGACGCTGTCGACTATGAACGCGGATACCCATGGTATGACGAGGAAGGGGAGGTAGAGGATGTTGTAGGCGAAGCCTCGCCATCTCATCGAGGACAGATCTGAGATTAGTACTGCGTTAAGGACGGTTATACCTGACTGTCCGACGGCGTAGAGGATAACGCCTCCAGCATACGTGCTAAAGTCCTTGGAGGCTGCGCAGAGGATGTACGACACGACATAGCAGCAGACGGTGAAGAGGTATGCTTCTGCGCGGCCTAGGACGTCTGACAATTTGGCGATGGGTGGTTTGAAGACTGCGCCGATGATACTGGTTGCGGTGTTTAGGGAGGCGAGAACGGAGAGTTGGTTGAAGGCTGAGGTTGCGTAGTTGCGGTATGTGCCTACTGTTGCGTTGTCGAGTTCGCTGCTTTATTAGATGTGGTTGCGTGGAGGTGGCGATGGTGGTGGACTTACAAGATGGTCATGATCAGGCCGAGTCTGGACATGTTAGCTCTGCTCTAAAGCGATGTATGCTATACGTACCCGGCATATACGAAATACTTCCCCCTCCATGTGCGCATGGACTCCGTGGCTCTAATTTTGGAGAATGCGACTGCATCGTAGTCTGTGGATTGCGATTCGACCAAGTCGACCTGGGGATCTTTGGTTTCTGAGACATCTGGATTGGTGGATTGCCTATCCCCGAGCCAAGAGCATAGCTTTTTCCAGAATGCTGGCATATTCAAAACGGTGCTAGACTACGGTATCCAACAACCGTATGTCCAACCTTATAAACACTCTATGTAGATATCTGCTCGAGCGATCATAGGTCGGCCAGATAGCGACCGGATGAAAGTGAGCCTATCGAGATATACAGATTCAGGATTCGCAACCTGACAAGGCAGTCAGCTGGATGAAATCATAGGATCAAATTGGAGGACATTATCAAACCGTACTTTTAGTTATCATGAAATGCACCTACAGGAAGAGGAATCACGGAATGGCTACATTATGGCCAAAAGGGCCAGGATACTGATATAAGCAACACTTCCCCCATCTGGCAGCAAGCAAGCTGCTACTATGCTATTCATCCATAATGCAAAACCTATCCCATTATCTCCTCCAATCACATCCCATATCATTCTATATCATGCGCAAGACCGCCCATTGCGGCAAGGAGGAGTGCACGGTGTTGGAGGATCGCTGGATCCGACCTGATAGTTTCTGGGTCACTGAGATCACACGAATTCTGCCGAAGATAATAGAGCCGTTGATCATCCGTGCCCGTGCCATGGTGACAAACCGAGTGTTGATGCTGGAGGAATAAGCGAAAGACCAACACTCAACGAGAATACTTGTACAATAATCAATGCATCAACGCATCAACGTATCAATACATCAATACATCAACACATCATGTGGCGCTACCACGGCCCGCACTCGATTTCATTTATCCCGCATGAGACCATAATGTGCCAATAATGGACCGGGTGCCACTTGGCCCGGCAGTATGCAATGTCAATCATGGCTGGGCTGCTCGACTGACAGGGTACGCGTTGCTATTCCGCAGATGTTGGAGTGTTCGGTTGTATCTTCAGCTGTTGAGGGGGGGGTTTCCATCTGCTAGTTTGTCTCTGTAGAACGTATTATTGAATATGCATTCCGTCGGGTCGACGAAACTTCATAGACGAGAACCTCTGTTTCTAAACAGTAACTATCGGCAACCGACTCCGCACCAAGACCTTGTCATCACGTGAGACTCATGCAACCAATCTCTTTTTGCTTTTTCTGCCATATCAAGCACGGCATAGTACAGTCCTCGACGTGACGCCGGGATACAGTGGCCAGGGGAAGGTATTTTATATATTGGTTGTATGATTTACTACTTTTTGAACGACATTTGATACTCTGCCTTTCTGCCGAACCCCTTGCACGCCGCCATGGCCTCCCAATACCCCCCTACCAATCCCAACTCCAACCCCGACAAGATGATGGATCTCGAAATCCTCCAGCTGCAGGAGGAACTGACCCGGATGCGCAAACAACGAGCTCTATTACAACTGCGCAGTGAAATTGCGAAGGAACAACAGCTGCTGGCCGAAGCACAGCAGAGCCTCGGGTTAGCTGAGCTGCCAGCAGTCCCGTCAGAGCAGCCGGTAGAAGAACAGCTGGCTGAACGGTTGGCTGAAAGGCTACCGGAACGCCCTGTGTTCAATCCGCCGCCTGGCCCAAGGCTGAGGTCGGTTCCTCCGACAAATCCTACAACCGATGACGTGGATGAATTGATCCGAGGAATCAAGCGGTCACACTCAGAGTCGAGCGATTTTAATGGTAGAAACGGGCTGGAGACTGTGCAAGAGCAGAGGCCCATGGGACAGGATAACAACGGGGAGGAAGGACAGCAGCAGCCGCCACTGGAACCTATTTCACGGCAAGGATCGAGTGGTCGCGAGAGGACACAGGATGAACTAGAGGACGTGGAAGTTCCTCCTACATTCACTGTCAAGAGACAGTATCGGGGAGCGAGTCGAAAGGAGTACAATCTTACTATTGAGTTTCTGCAGAGTCACTTTGCTCAATACGAGCACTACTATGCGTCTGATGAGCGCAAGATTGAAGAAGGCTTGCGGCATGTGGTCCCGGACATCGAGCGAGCTTGGGACCTTCATGTGGTTAACAATGACAGGGTTGAACCCACATGGTCGAATTTCTGCAAATTCCTGCTATCAAGGATCATTAATCTTGTTGATCCTACCGTCGCCCGACGGCAGTACTATGGCCGGTCCCAGCGGGAGAACCAGACCGTGCGCGAGTTCTCAAACCACCTGGGGTCATGGGAGTCAAATCTGGAAGAACTCTTGACGGAGGGGCAGCGGATCCAGAATCTGTGGGAGCGCGTGCTACCCTCGGTGCGGGAAGAGGCCATGCCTTACCAGTACCAAAGCGACAGATACCAGGATCATATTGCCCATCTGCAGTCAGTGGAAAGCCACATGCCATCGCGGGCACATATGCAGAAGAAGATAGCTGCCGCTGCCGCTGCCGCCGCCAAAAACAAGCATTACCAGAAATATGGTTACCAGCAGAATTTTTCGAGAAGCGCGCCTAAGCACCCCAGGGCTAAAAGGCCGCGGATGAACAATCCTATCAATTATCCTATGAACAATTCTTAAGAGAATTGAAACAGGATAATAAATCTGAAGGACGCTGGTTCTGAAAGACTGGAGCATGGATCTCCGGCTATCTGTCTTGCATCAGAGTACAATGTACAGTGAACTATTGAATCACTATATGCTCAGCCGGTATCTCTGTTGCGCATTGCAGTCATTCGAGTGGATAACCTTGGTTAACTGCTCAACATGCATACAATGTGAACACAAGCCAGTCGATAGCCGGTAGGTAGCCTTGGGCTATGTGTCCCTCAGATCTGAGTCAGAGCTCTTTGTGGCTGGAAACCAGCCTGGACAAATATCCATCAACTATTCTGCCTTTCGTCTTGCATTGAGCAGGGTGCTAAGTTGATACCCGAATAGCATTGCTTGAGTCAATAATACAGCTAAACATTGTCTTTGTCAGGAGAACTTAGAGCTCGCTTTATTGGTTGACTTCGTAGTGTAACCCAACAAAAAGTACCAGTGAAGCTGGTTTCGTAGACTAGACTTCTAGGGCATTGCCATCCCTCTACGGACTCCTTGCCAGTTCCAGGTCTAGTGGATAGACGTCCTGAACAGTTCTGTTTTACGGTGTGCAACTAAGATCTCCTGCGATACAAGGCAAGCTAATCGAGGTTTATCATATCCAAATCGTCAGAAAGAAATGCTTGCTGATACTGGGCCATAGTTTTAGGCCAGCGATCGTACTCGGAGTCGAGAACATCGCCACATTACCCAACACCCGACTAATCTCAGACTATGAAAGAGACGCGGGACTGTCTCGCAAATAAGCTTCGAGAGATCATATCAGCATGGGTCGGTTGCTTGGCTTCAGCCAGCCGCCAGCCATCAGCCAAAATGATGCCAGACACGGGTCTTGACCTTTCGACCAGTCAACTCACGGAATTGAGACGTCTCTTGCGTATGAGGATAACAATTTCTCGAGAGCCTCGTCCTCCTGAATCCCTCGTTTACACAGCAAAGATCCTGCGATACGGCTGAATCCCGGGGAAACGCGACCCACATGGTGAAAATCCGTTTGGCATAGATGCATACTCTGTGCATACCGACGACTATCAGCTGGACCCCGATCCCACCCAACTGAGGGTAAAAAAGAAAAAAAAAAAAGAAAAGAAAAGAAAAGAAAGGGCCGCCTATTAAACTTTTGCCGGCTTATATTCTGCTTCTGCCGTGCATGGAATGCGAAGTTGACGAATCCCCGTCGTCGTGTTTATCAGCTCCGGGTCTGTGCTGCTTGTCGTATATTACTTTTTAAATGCCCGGTATTTATTTGTCGGGTTGCTAGTGGATCGCATATCTATTGTTTGACAAACACTGATTGTGTATTTGGGTACATAGTCTCATGAAGGGGACCGGGTTGTCGTCTTTTATCCAACGCCCGCGGCGGCAAAATGTCGCTCGTTCGGCGACTATAGCGCTGCTGGGTTTGGCAGGATTGTTGTGGCTAGGGAATAATTATAATAATATAAATAATGGTCATGATGTGAACCCTTTTGATGACATTCCGGGAGCAGGGTTTAGTTGGCATCAGGTTGGTTTACTATAAAGCACATTTTGAGAAAATCAACAGACTGATGAGAGCAGATCACACCATCTTCTTCCATTGAATACCATGACTGTTTCGATGGCTTTCAGTGTGCTCGACTCGAAGTCCCAATGGACTACAACCGCGCCGATGGACAAGGCCGCCGCGTTGCCGTTGCCTTGACACGATTACCGGCCAAAGTGTCTGCCACGGATCCGCGATATGGAGGAGCGGTTCTGATCAATCCTGGTACTTCCCTCCTCTAACCTTTCGGCTAATCAATTGGCTTACACGCAGCAGGAGGCCCTGGGGGATCAGGCGTGATGCAGGTTCTAGTAGCCGGACGAGATCTACAAACAATCGTAGATGCCGAAGAAAGCCCTGACGCAACCGGAAACACACCACATACAAAATACTTTGACGTGATAGGCTTCGACCCCCGAGGCGTGAATAACACAACCCCCGGCTTTAGCTGCTTCCCCGATCTCTCTTCGCAGGTGGCCTGGGAACTGCAGATGGAAGCAGACGGGATGCTGGGTAGCTCAGAGAACTCGTTTATGCGTCACTGGCAACGAGCGCAGGCACTAAACCAAGGATGTTCATTGAATTTAGCGACACCCCCAGCCGGCGAGGATGAAGCCCTAGGAAACCATATCAACACCGTCCCCGTCGCACGGGACATGCTTGAGATCATCGAACGCCATGCAGAGTGGCGCGAGAAACAAGGACAACTACAACAAACCCTCCATGACCGAACACACGGCCACGACCCCGAACAACACATTATAACCCGTACCCGCTGGCACCGCAACGACGAAAAACTCCTCTACTGGGGCCGCTCCTACGGCACCGTCCTAGGAACAACCTTTGCAACAATGTACCCAGACCGAATATCCCGCATGGTCCTCGACGGCGTCGTCGACGTCGACAAATACTTTGCCGATATTGGCCCAAACCCAATCCGCGACGCAGACGCCATATTCGATCGCTTCGGACTATACTGCGACGAAGTCGGACCAGATTCTTGTCCACTATACACAACGGGCGGGCCAGAATCCATCAAAGAGGCCTTCCTAACCCTCGACGAGAAAGTACATAATGCCTCAATTCCAGTAATGGCATCACCATCTCACGGGCCAGAGGTAATTACCTGGACTGATATCCGCAATTTGCTCCGTGTCGCTCTGTATCAACCGATATTCGCATTCCCGCTGTTCGCGCAGTACCTGGCTCGACTGAGCAACGGCGATGGCTCGGCCATAGTTGATTTTAAGCAGGTAAATCATCGTTCCTCGTGCCCGTCTAATCAGTGTCAAATGGCTGGACCGTGGTCGACGGCGTGTCGGGATCCGGGGGAGAATGAGAGCTATGCGACTTCTGCGATTCTGTGCTCGGATGCGGAGTATATGGGTGATGTTGATGAGGATGGGTTTAGGGAGTATTGGGATGAGTTGAAAAAGGATAGTAAGATGCTAGGCGATTACTGGGCGCATATTAGGATGTCTTGTGTTGGGTGGAAGGCTAGGGCGAAGTGGAGGATACCAGGTAACCCCTTCCCCGTTACTACTCTATTGGGATAAATCCATTTAACAATGAGTGGCATAAATAGGCCCCTTCACAGCAACCACATCCAACCCACTCCTCCTTATCAGCAATACCCTCGATCCAGTAACACCGCTCCACAGCGCAGAGAAAATGTCTCGGAGCTTCTCTGGTTCTGTCGTTCTGCGACAGGATTCTGAAGGCGTATGCCTCTCCCTCTTTCCCTTCTCCCACTACCTCCTCACCCATCATAATATACTGATAATGATATAGCATACATCCGGAGCATCACCATCACTCTGTATCGCGAAGGGTGTTAGGCGATATTTTCAGGCTGGTGAGTTACCTGATGCGGATGTGGTTTGTGAGGCGGATTTGAAGCCGTTGCTTGGGCCGACGACGGCGTCGTTGATAGACAAGGAGGAGAGTATGACTGAGAGTGAGAGGGTGTTGATGCAGGCGATGATGAATGAGGTGCAGAGGGTTAGGAGGAGGCCGTTATAGGAGATAGACATAATAATTGCTGCATGCTGTGAGACTACTTGAGATATATAATGTTATACGAGTTGAATTACCTTTTTCTTGAGCACACATTTATCTGTGTTTACCTGCTGTTGTAGTGTAAATTCCTCATAACACAATAGAGTATGGAAACCCCAACATCGTACCCCATAGCCATTACGATTCATGGCTTACCATGAGCTACCAGAAGTACAGGAATGACGCATTAGCATGAGGATGTGAGGAAAATGAGAACATCGTTCCACATACCCTACATGGCCAATTGCACATCGTTATATAATTTACTAGGCATTCTACTCGCAATCGCAGAAGGCAGAAAAGGGATGGACTTTTCAAGAATATCATTTCATGACATCAATCTATCATAACACAATCGTAACGACATCAAATCGCAAAGTCAATTCACAAGCCGCAGTGCATTGCAATCTATATACGAAGCTCAAAACAAAACAAAAACACCCAATATACAAAAACGCAAAAGAATAACTCCAAACAGGTGACCAGACCCATTAGTTTATGACAGTAGTATTTGTTCAATGTTCACGGTAATCCACTTCCGACTCGATTCTTTCCAGTTGGATGAACTGGAAGTCTAAGTCAACAGATGCAGATGCAGGTGCAGTGTTGACTCATGCCTTGCCTCACGGCGGCTCGATTCATTTAGAAAAGAGGGGTGGAGATGACGGCAGAGGTCGAGCTGGCAGGGGTGCTGCTGACCGGCGAGCTGGAGGGAGTAGCAAAGCCGAACTGGCGCTTCTCAAAGAGAGCAGAGGCGCTAGGGGTAGCGCTCGACGAGGGAGTAGCGCTCGACGAAGGAACGTAGATAGAGCCGTACTGGCGCTTCTCGAAGAAAGGAGAGCTGGAAGGAGTAGCGCTCGACGAGGGAGTAGCGCTAGAAGAAGGAGTGGGGTGGAAGTTGTAGGGAGGAGGGGGAGGGAAGGCAGGGTCCTGGCGCTTGTAGACGGCAGAGCTGGTGGCGGCGGGGGTGGAAGAGGAGGGAGTGGCGACGATTTGACGCTTGTAGATAGCTGAGCTGCTGCTGGGGGTGGCCGAAGAGGAGCTGCCGAACTGGCGCTTGAAGACGACGGCAGAGCTGGTGGGAACAGCCGAAGAGGTGGGAGTAGCAGAGCTCGACAACTCAACGGGAGCGGGGGCGCCTCCGAACACCTGAGGCTGAGGGAGGGCGACAGCAGCGCCGAGGAAACCAGCGAGAGCGAAACCGGTGAGCTTCATTTTGATGTGTTTGAGGTGAATGGTGACTTTGGGATAAGATTGAAGATTGAAGATTGAGGTTTGAGGTTTGATGACAGAATATCTAGGGAAGAGGAAACAAAACTGTTGAACCGGAAGCCAAAAGGTCTTTATAACCGCCAGAACAGGGGATCAACCGGTGACGCTATGATAGGCTCAACAAAGACCAGCCACTACTGCAACTGACAACATCTCGGTGCCTGGATTGCTAGCTACCATATCAGGTAGCGATGGACCCTTTGTTGCGGGTACGGACATCCGCTGGCTGGGAGTGGGTTTAACATTTTGAGTTTGTTGACCTCTGGCGCCAAAATGCTTGTACCGGATTGGTATGAACCAACTCCGTCTAGCCTATGAAGATCGCGGACGATAGACTCTTTGATGCATCATTCTTTTTGGCGTGCCGCTGTTGCAGAGTAAAGCCAACGGAACATCACTTAGTGGTGGAACCGCTAGTCGAGACCGGGTCCTCTCAACCAAATCGGCATGCTCTATTGACTCGCTGAGCCGTGTGGGTATCGACCAAGGGTCTCGGCATTTCTGATTCGTCTTTTGGTGCTCTTGGAGGTTCGAATTGCCGCCAATGGACTCCCCATTGTTGATCGTGTGGCAGGTGTCTTTTTCTCCCGTGTGCCCTGCAGTGTGCTTTGTCATAGTGAAACCAGCCACACTGATTTTCTTTTTTTGTTTCTTTCCTGTTGACTGGCCCGTGTGGCTCATGCATCATTCCGTCATGCTGCGCCTGTTTGTTATTCATGTTTCCATTATTATCTTCTTTCAATCATACGGAGTACAGTTTCGGGTCTTAGAGCTCGTTGTGCGGTTTCCGGGAAGGGATACCGTAGTTTTCACGCAAAAGGTCGGTGCAGATCCGCCATAGGAGGGAAAGGTCCACGAGGTGATAGTCCGTATGCCGTATGCCCAGTCCCCTGTGTAGATCGACCAATAGTTTTCAGCCCTGATTTTTCTTTCCCTGCCTCTCCTTATGATTTTATCATCTGTTCCAATCTCGGACCATCCGGCCATAATCATTGCTATCACTCCATATCATGATTTCTATCCTTGCAAGGCCACCGCGGGCGGCCAGATCCCGGGAGTTCAATTTCTTCGGGAAACTGCTCATGCTGGAATAAACTTTTCGGAACACTGGGAACACGGCCGATAGAGCAGAACCAGAACAATCTGTTACAGTCCACGTCTCAGGACGTGGGGGAAAACAAAGCCGAACCTGTCCCTGTTCCTGTCCCTGAAAACCCTGAACCTCGGCGGTCAGCAAACAGCGTAGCATCCGTGGTTGCCGGCAAAAAATGACGGTGGGCCCGAAAGGAATGATCGGCTAGGCTTCTGGATTCGGAGACGGCGAGAAAAAACGAGGTTAGCTCAATCACGGCCCTCTATTCTTCTGGCCTGACCGCCACCGTTGCTGCGGCGGCGAATTGATCTTCATAGGACGACTCATCGAAGTGACAATTCAATTCATGATGACGAGTCAATGGATATATCAAGCAGAAGCCCAGCCAGGTTTTATTTACTTCTAGAAGACGTCAATGGAGGCTGGGGAGGCGAAGCGATGTCCGGGGAAGTCCCGGGCGAAACTTGGAAATCTATGGCCTGTGTGCCTCAGGCAGAAGTCATACTTCCACTAATTCACAGCGCTACAAAGGTCCAGTCCACATCGTACGAGATACCGGCCCGTCCATTGCTAAGACTGCATCTATTTTGCACCGGTCAAACTAGCCATTGACCAGCGGCAAGACTATGAGCGCCATACCCTTACGAGCATTCTGTGCGCGCTGGTTTCATTAAAGTTTTTATGACCTCGCTCGCACTATCCCCTTCCAGTATGTAGCGACCGGACATGATGCCTAATTGGCATGATCGGCAGTTGTGCCATGGACTCTACTGTAGTTATCAGGTTTGTATGCCTGGAGACGGTGGCTTTCAACCGACATCGGATCGTATGCTTAGGGTCAAAGACGAGAAGACATCCTGACTGTCGTGACAGGAGACATCCCTTACGGAGTGCGGAATGCTCTGCACTTGATGGAGAGCTTGTCTGCACCTCATATTCTCCGTATAGAGCCGGGGAGACCACAATATTTGGCTAGATTCATATCCATAGAACCTTTTCGTAGAATTCTCTACTCTGCATCAAAAATAACATCCGAAAACACAGCATCCAAATGCGTCATCGTATGCTGCACAAATTAAATTATCACGATCTTATCTGATCCGTCTCCGGTCTCGGAAACCCTTAACCGCACTCCGGTAGACGAGCCTATCAGTATCATGAAGAAAGTAGTATCTATGGTACGGACTAAATGCGGAGTTTCTCGCCTCTCGCTTGGTTTTTCTTCATTTGATTATACCACGTGGGATGAGAGTCGAGAGGTGCAGAGTACTCGACATTCAGATTTTGTCCCCTGTTCTTCGTACATGGTACGGAGACTACATTCCCTCCTGTATGTCATCCTGTCCCTGCATTAGTTGTTTCAGATATTGTTGACAGCTCGGTGCTAACGGGAAATGGAATCGTGCTAATGTCATGCTTGATTAGCGTAGTTCGTGGTATGATTGCCATAGAACACCAATATTGTCATGTTTCATTCTTGCTGCTGCCTATGTGTTAGGGTAGAATATCACAATATCCCAGGAAAATAAAGAGCTCATAGCTGAGTGGCTGAAGGGAGGTCCCTTTTCCAAGGGATGAATATCCCTGAGCATTGGCCGTGTATGATGTTCATATCTTAGCCCGGGTAGGGTTTGTCTCAGAATAGTACTCCGTATTATTGCTGCTTTGTCACTACTCAGAGTAAGCCAACAACTCTTACTCCGTATAGTACACGGTGAAGGCATGTGATCCATGCTCAGTAAATAAATAAACCAACATTGTTATTATAAAAACAGTAAGAAGCAAGGCATTAATAATTACACCAGGGGAATAATTTGCCAAGCCGGCTCAATGCCCTAGGTAGTCTTCTTCGGGACTGGGTATATCGATATATCGATCGTCAGTAAGCGTCTTTCAAGACCTTCTCATATTGCAAGTCACACCCCTGGCGTGGGTGGTCCCGACAGGATTTTTTCAATTCTGCAACAACACCATAAGAGGCACCCTGGTTGCAACTCTCAGATAACAAAAACCGAGTAGTTTTTCGATGTCGTTTATTTGATGCCAGTGTCAGCACCTTTCGTCGCCATTTATTTGTACGCGAAGCTGCGTCGGCCCGGCGCCCAACAAGAAGTTCTAATGCAGTCAAGTACTTCTGGTCCGAGTAGTACGCCTACCAGTCCCCTTGCAACTGGTTGACATCGGCGCCGTGGTGCAAGCAGGACACCAAGTGTTGTGGCTGCTTTTTCGCGGTAAGCTGCCATTGCTGCTACCTTTAGGCTCGTTACCTTTTCGCCACCCAAATGCTATGGCCATTTGTGATTTGGATTGCACCTTTGGCAACAGAGGTAGTTGATCATTGTTGCATCGCCGGAACTAAGAGCTCTTGACATGACCCCATTCACCTCCTAGGAGTTCGCGCCGATTTGCTGAACAATCGAAATTACTTTGCGCGTCTTTCTCCCTGATATTCCTCCTATTGTTTCGTTTCCTTGCTCCGCTGTTGTTTTTGCTGTTGGTTTGACTGCCTCCTCGCCTGCTTGTTCGGGTGCTTGCGTGGACACCTCGTCTCATTGCTCACCTGATTGCTCAACCTGCTGCCCGGCCACTTCTTCGGCCGCTTGTTCAATTGCCTTGTCAAAAGCAGCGTGCGTTTCTTCGTTTGCTGCAGTCTTCTTCGTACGCTTCCGGGAGGATAGCTTCCTTAGAAAGTATCTGAGTCATCTCCTCACTATTCAAGCGCACAACTTCCGTCACCAAAATCAATTTCTTCGCCCTGGTTGCGGGCTGAGCCCCCTTATTGAGAAGTAGCTGAATAATCAATGGGAACGGTACTGCATGGCACAGAGCAGCAAACCCATGGGTACATTGCCTTGAAAACGAATAGCTGCTGGGTGTGAGAAAATCGTTTTGGTTGAGGTCCACAACACCTTTATCAAAAAGCAACTACACAACCTCTGTATGGCCATTTGAAACAGTTCTTATGAGTGATGAGTTCCCGTAAATATCTTTCATACAGGCGCCATAATCGATCAACAATGAGACTACGTCCTTGTGGCCGTTTTGTATAGCCACCGCAAGTGGGTTATTTTGTAGTATCACCCAGGAACGTTCGCTCGCCTTTTTGCTGTTTTAAATATTCCTTGTGCACGTGGATAAGTATTTCCTGAACAAAAGCAGTCAATCCGTAAGCTGCTGCCGCGATTATGAGAGTGTCCTTATCCTTAAGAGTGCTTTTACTCTTGGATTTGATCTTTATGCATTTCAATAGGATTTCCGCAGCTTTGACATGTCCATGTGCGATAGTCGTTTCCAGGATCTCGAGGGATTGTCCACGGCCGCCCTGCTGGTAAATCATACAAGGATCAACACAAGCCCCCTTATCAAGCAGGAGTTGAACAGCATCGACACCGCTATTCTGCGCCGCATGGTACAAGGGTGTATCTTCCTTATACATAACATCTCGGTCCGGGTTCACGCCAGCTTTAAACAAAAACCGAAGAACCTCGATTCAATGGTTCCTCACGGCTTGAATAATCGGCGCAGTATCATACGTCCCCTCAACCTCGCTATTGATTGAAATAGAGAAACTGTGCGAGAAACTTCACTGACTCCAAGTCCCCCCTTCGCAGCAGCATCCCTCATCAACTGCTCCGCAGCCGTCCCGGTCACCGTTATCCCATACGTATGCCACGTCACACGCACAGGCCGTGCCCGTTTGCCCACATCATACCCCTGACACTTCTTGACATACGAGGAAAACACCTGCAGCACATTCGGATGACCACGCGCCAATGCTTTATGCAGAGGCGACTAATCTCCAATTTCAATTATCCCATTAACCGAGCTAATCATCCGCTTCGGATCCTCGTCAAAGCCAATGTCTCTCTCCAGAAACACCTTTACCACACCAGCATATCCGTAGTATAACGTCACATCTAGCGGGCCTGAGAGTGACCCGTATTCTATGTTCGTCCATGCCCAGTGTCAAGGGCCTGCTCGACAACCGATGCATAGCCGCGGTACAGCGCCTATTTGAACGCTGTGCTCTCGGCCCAGAACACGTTGTGCCAGAATAACCGATATGAAATTAAGTAGTATGTTCGACCGGAGACTTGCATAAGGGCGTTGATGCCGCTGTTCCATTCTAGGCAGCTGACGACCTCTAGGAGAACTTCGTTGGAGACGGTGAGGAGGGGCATTGTGCTTGTCGGGCTGGTTGTGGGAGCCGACGACACGGGGATATTGGTTGCATTGCTCATTGAGATATAAAAAAAAAAACTTTTCTGGGATTGACATTATGATTTTGAGATTTTTTTAGGTCAACGTGACAGTCTCATAGAAAGTTACCGTGTGTGGTAAACTATATACATTGCCGGAAACTACCTTGAGATAAGCATTTTCGACCACTAATCACACCGACTGATCAAATATATGACTATATCATGTTACAATTTCCTTCTATTCCTCAAGGAATTATTTCTTTGGAGGTAATCAAGTAAAAGGAATTAGTCCATACATGGGGTCATATGGGCGGGGTCATATATACCCCCTTGTCCATTGCCTGCCTTCTTCTAGTATCACGGCTCGGTAACCAGTAAATAATAATGAAACAATATTTCTATATAGACTGGGTAGTAGCCTCTCGATGAGAGTGTCGAATCTGGAGAGAAGAAGGAAAAGGAAATTTATCTTGATGATGAAGGGGTTTTATAGTCATTGTGTGACAGGGCCCATGCTTGTATGTACTCTAATTGCTTGTACGGCTTTGTTTGGCGTATTGGCGTCGTTTTTTTAATATCGACCGTTGACGCAGCACTGAGCCGTCACACTAGAGAGCATTCTGTACATTGATGGATTCACCTGCATATCTACCTTCATGGTCAATAGTGTATAATCTATAATTGAGCATTCGCTCGCCAACGTATAATAAATATACGTATTATCCAGAATAATGTCACCGATTTGACAATTTGGTTTATCTTGATCATGGCCATTAGGAACCGGATATATTTATGTCGAGTGAAGGAGGCTACCCGGTGTTTATGGTTCCATGATCTCGTGCAGGCTTGGCCGATATTGATAGTTGGGGTTTTTTTCTTCTTGTCCAAAACCAACTCAAGAAGAACTATGGAGCACAGTAGCACATATCGATATCAAAAGCAATCTAGCAAGACACGTACATACCAGCAACTCGTGAATGGTAAACGGAGAGAAGTACACATAGCCAACCCAGCTCTCAGTTGCAGTGTCTGCTGGGTTTTGAGAATCAAAAGAGAGTACCTAGCCCTCATCATCAGTTTTCAAACAAAATATTTCAAGAGAAGCGCACCAACAGCAATATGGTCTACTTGGGTGCACCGATGTGCACCCCTAGTGGTATGGAAACTTCGTCTCCAAAGGCGAAGACCAAAATGCCAGAGTCGCCATGACCTGCTACTGGTGCCTCCTACATCTGCCTTTTCCATTGAACCAAACTTGGGTTGTACTTTCTCGTGAATGGTACAAGTCAAAATTTCTATAAAAGATGTGTTGATAGTTCCACAAAGAGAACTGTTTGCGGAAGATGACAATGGTCGATAGGGAGATGAAGATGATGGATAGATTGATGGACGGTTGAAGGACTATCAAGCCATCGTAACAAGAGGGAGAGAGAGAAAGAGGCGCGTTTCCTAAACGGTTACCCAACAAGGAAAGGAGTTAAGAAGGCAGGAGTGAAGAAGGAAGTTATCCGGACAAAGTACTGTACACTACAACCACTTCCCAGCAACATGGAATGTTAGTAGTCTATGGTAGGGTATGCCAGACCGTATAAGTGAGGTCATTAAAGAGGATAGTGGATAATTATACGAGGTAGTGGAACCTGGCAGAATATGGGGAGATGCATACTGATGAAGCGTGGCGCTAGCTTAAGGTTGGCGTAGGGAGGTATATGAAAGCTATGGTTTGTGTGTTTGTCTTAAACGGAGGTAGTCTATGGACATGCCACCTCCATAAGTGTGGTGTCATGTAGAGCCGTTTGACATGGTATTTGTCTTAAAGGAACTATATGTATGTAGTGCATTACTTTAACCAATACGCGATTGAGATACTGTCAAAGCGTTAGAGCAACGAAGTGCAATTGAGGATGGCTCTTAGGAGTATTCCATGAGGACTAGGCTTTTTGATATCCAATTTCAGTAGTAGTCAGTTGCCATTTGATCAGTTGCTTATTATATACCAGGAGAGCGAGAACGCGATGCTGTTCATGCATTGCCCTCCTTCAAGCACCGTTCGCACGTACAGGCAAAGGTAAAGAGATCGTGGACCCGTTTTTGTCTTGCTTCGAAATTCACATACTTTGACAGATCGAAATAAGCAATGCAGCATTCCTCACCGGCGGCAATATCTCTTGATGCAGTAAAAAGCATCCGACTGCGATCATCTGGTCCATGATAAACCTAGCTGCGTCAGTATATAAACCTCTATTATGACGTAAGAATTATTGGGGTTTTTACATTGGGCGAACATGAATGATTGGCCATGGTTGCTCTTGGGAAACAGGCCAGTCCGTATTGGATACCTCTCTTTTGTGGCTCACCCGTCAGGGGTACCAACCCTGTGGCACCAGGATAAAGTCCAAAGGTGTTAGCCTCTTCTTTACATATGAGCGTCAAGACCTCCGCAACACCCGGTAGTCCGGGATGATCGCTAAGGTAGATTTCAATCTGTTTCCGCCAGCGGTCAAGCTGTGCCTGTGGCCAGAGATCCATGTTGCCGCGAAGATCTTCCATTGCTTTCCACCCATATGGGAACTTGTCTTGCCATGGGTAATCCGGCCGGGAGCGGGTCCCAGCCCATGTCTCACGATGGCGCCCTGCGTACATCCGGATAATGATCCAGAGCATAGCAAGAGTGTCTTCGTCTTCATTTTCGCGGATCGTGGCTCCATGTTGCTTGAGCCACGCACATTCAAAGTGGTGGGCTTCTTGGCTTGCTGTATAACATTGGTCATCGCACCAGGCAACATCATCAATGCAGGTATTGGGGCAACGGACGGCTATAGCTTGTGGCACCTGTCGACGACAAGTAATATTGCTGCACATGATAGTGTCGCGCGTCGTAGGGTTGTTTGCGGGAACTATGGCATATGGGGCATCCGCCATAAGGACTGTACCAACAGGAACGGGGTTTGATAGGCGCAATGAGCGGCCTTTTATTGGATCATAGTCCTGAACCAAGTGTGGGTGGAGATATAAGCTCACATCTTGAGGAACAAGAGGAGGTGGTGCGGATGTTGCACCTGGCTTATAAGCAACGACCAACTGTCGGTACTCCATCATTCCCGCATCTGCAGCACCAATCTCACTCTTTGGACCACTGAGCTGCTTTATATCCTGGTGCTGAATGCACAGTCCGGCCCGATGAAGGAGCTCCTCCATTTCGTCCAAGTCATATATCCGGACGGAATAGAACAGATCCTGGTACACAGCCGGGGCTGCCACATCGATCACAATCTCCCGGCTAGCAAGGTGCTTCTTATCTGGCGACAGTTCACGCTCCCGACAAGCCAGAAGTTTCATACTATTCGCTTTTCTGCGGAGATGCTCGTTCGCCGTTGTCACAAGGTCGGTATTGAGCCATTCCCATCCACTCTGGGTGGAATTGGACCGCATCCACTCACCATCCACATGGTCAATGACTAAAACACCTCCTGGTTTGAGGGCCCGGTGGGCCTCCCGGGTGACTTGCAGGTTGTCTTGTTCACTACCGTGTCCGAAGGAGTTCCCAAGGAGGATGATCACATCAAAACTATTTCCTGCAACAGGGATCTGGCGCGCATCGCCCGCTCCAAACCTGGTGTTGCCGGTTACCTGTTCGGTCCTTGCTCGCTCACGGGCTAGCTCGAGGAGATAGGTGCTTTGATCAATTCCATGGAAGTGCGCAGATGGGAAGCGCTTCGCTAGGTTGATGCTGTGCCGGCCCTGGCCGCAGCACAGATCCAGGACCTGCACTGGGGAAGAGTCTCTGGCATCTTGAAAGAGTTGCTTGATGCGGGGGATGTGCAGCAGTTCATCGCATTCTTTTGCTGTAATGACCGGATCCTCCACACAATCTCCGTCGGTCCAGATATATGTCTCATTAAAAGCGTCTTTCCACCAGTCTTTCTCAACGTAGGGAAATAAGGAGCTGACACGACCCAATTGGCCTGGTATAGTCGCCATAGCCGTTATTCTTTGGAATAAAATGATTAAATGCTAGATCTCTAAAGCATCTCTGGTGCAATACGCCAGGGCATTATATAGGTAAAGTACTTTTCTCTACCCCTCTTCTCAACCCCTCTTCTTGACCCCTGTATCATGAAATTGCACTTTCCTCATGACCAATGTAGAAAGAAAGCATGTTGCATCAAACTACTGCGCGAGAAATTGGCACAATGCAGGCATCATATTAACTCCACTACTCGGGCAGTGCTGAGTCCAGAACAATCTGTTAGTGTTATTCTTGACCAGGAATTGCTGTGTTTCCCACTATATTCCAGTAAACTGGACAGAAGTGATAAATGCTCATACAGGATGCCAATATGCATGTACCCCTCTTGCATTCATCATCAAATCACAATATGGCAGACAACCCCTCTTTTTCACTCACTCTTGCAGAAATAAGCGGCAGGAGAAGAGATCCTAGCGTTTGTAGTGCAGATATTTTACATCACTCCCACGTACTTTCAGGCCATCGCAAAATGTGGTTTGTGCTGAATGATTAAAGACGGCTACATCAATACTTAACACTTCTACCTTTGCCTCCTTCCTTAGCAACCATACCGCATTCAATAATGGCACAGGCCATCGGAGGCCACTGGTGTGTCCTCACGGCCGTTTGCACTTTGATGTGGGGAGTTTACTTTAGTAAATAGAACCATCATATCCAAGAAACACTTGTACGGATTATCCAGGCGCTAATACTATGGAAATAAAAATATACAGTTTACGACCTCCCTGCCTCACTATCAACTCCATTGCAAACATATCTAGGCCTTTCTGACTCGAAATATGCCTACCTTGTGTCTGCATTGTACACTGCATACGCGGCCCCGAATATATTCCTTCCCTTCTTTTCCGGACACCTCCTACAGCGCTTCGGCGAGAAGTTCGCCCTCTTGTTAACACTCACAAGCGTGGTTCTTGGCCAGTTGGTGTTTGTACTATCTTTTCAGACACGGTTACAATCGGGGATGATCCTGGGCCGGATCTTGTTCGGGCTTGGTGGCGAGGTTATGGGGGTTTTCGGAACTGAGATTACCACCCGATGGTTCCGGTTTGTATTCCTTAACTAGAGGTGGAACCTAAATTGCTAACATAAGGCTGCATGCAGAGATAAACGCCTCTCGCTGGCACTGGCGATGAACCTCGCGTCATGGAGATTAGGTAGTGTGGCCAATTCAATTCTAGTTCCGCAATTGGCCAAAGCCCATGGCGTCGTTGCTGCAGGCTGGTTGGGTACTGGATTGTCTCTCGGGGTTTCTATCCTGAGTGCCTTTTATCTGGTATCTATCAATGACTCTGAAAGTAAAGGCGCCAGTACAGATGAGGGAAATGATGAAGAGGGAACAAGAAGAAATATTAACTTCCTCGCCTCCCTCTCTGATTACCCCTATATGTTCTGGCAGCTAGGACTCATTTGCATACTGGGATACGGCAGCATAAATACGTTTACAAATTCAGCGCAGCGGTTTCTCGCATTTACATTTTATGGTGGTGATCAGCGTGCTGCTGGCTCGGCGACAAGGTAAGAAGCCGGAATCATCGATGGCTTGTGTTCGAGAACTTATTTGTGTACCGCAGTATCCCATATATCTTATCAAGCGTTCTTGTCCCGCCATTGGGCCTCTTATTGGACCTACCATTATTCAATCGCTATCCAGCTTCCCTGATTATTACTAATTTGCTTATGTTCTTTTCACATCTGCTATTCCTGGTCAGTACTGATATCGGACCAGTCTTTCCATTGAGTTTACTGGGCATTGCATACGCGCTTTTTGGGGTTGCATTTTGGACAAGTCTCACACGGTGTCTTCTTTTTGTGGCTAGGTCGTGGTCTGCAAAATCTAGAGGGATAGTACAAAGTGCAACTGAGAGACAGTACGGGACTAATGTCACCAATGATGGTAATCAGGACAGCACTGACCCTGTAATTTATCAGGAGGTAATCACGTTTGGGTTTGGATTCATGACAAGTCTTATGAATTTGGCTACTGGGGCTGTTCCGATTCTTCTCGCTGGTGCTGAGAATATCGCGGGATACATGGGTTTGGAGATGGTCTTTCTTGTACTTGCAGTCTTAGGATGTTTAACTTCGGTGCATTTGGCGTGGATGTGGAATGGCATATAGATTCCAGTCTATAGAGTTAAACTACATAGATATGACAAGATCAATTTTCAGTAGCTGAAATATGTAGTATTTGTGGCTCATAAATTGGTCCACAGTTGTAAAATGTGAGTTTTTGCTGCTTTATGGCACCAAACCAATGTGTCAGTTTTGATGAAGTGAGATTACAAGCTCGGCTTTGCATGTTTTGTTTGAGTCCCTTGTCGGGGGTGCGGTGACCCAAGCCTGAGTGTTCGAGGTATGCTCCTGAATCGCTCTAGACATGTACCACCTTGCTCCGGATACACTCCGGGCTGCTTAGGGAGCCAAAGCCGGCGAGAAGTCGGACTGAAAACGGAAAGGTCAGGCTCCCAGACTTCCGCATAAAACATCTACAGTAGCTAGCCACATTGGAATCAATTAATTCTTAGTTTCCTACTGAGTATAGATATGCTAAAGATGGATAAACTATATGTACTCAATGGTAGTAGGCGTTTGCTGACATTTGCACTCACTTCGGTCACATTTCATGTACGATAACTTTTCTACAATTATTTAAAGAATTATTCGACTGTTTATATCTATTGGGTGGCCATCCAGTGAAGTTTTCTAGAGCGCTTCGAAGCATCACTTATACAAGTCATTGAAGTCATGACAAATTGATAGCAAATTGCTTGCCGCTGCTAAGTAGGGATCATGGTTTGTCAACAAGCTGCATGCTAAAGAGTGAAGTGTATATACGGGAAGATTTTTTGGTTTTTATTAACTATCATATAGATACTCTCGTCAAGTGTTTTCATAGTTGAATGCCAGCAACCGAACTCGCAACAAAGGAAATGACACCTATCATAAAAGCCCACCAGTTTTACTGGGTAAACTACTCGCATTTATCCTTGTTCACGGTGATTGTTTTGAGAAGCACTTTGGTGAAGGCGATACAGTTGTTGCCAGCAACCTTGCTCATGAAGTTGTGCGGCTGGCCCTCCTTTTGAAATCCTTCTACGGAATAAGATGTCAGTTCTCCAGATCACTATAGTATTGAATATTAGCAAGCTACTTAACTTGCTGCTGGAGGTATTTATAAATCTCAGCGAGAGTATACTTCTTTCAAAGAGCAACAAGTTGATTCGGTCTTCGAATGTGAAACCCTCGCAATTTGCTGTTGGGATACAGAAACGCGTTGAATTGACTGATGCCAAAATCATTACGAAAACTTTTCCTTCTGTATAGTATCAACTAACCTCATTTGCATCCGTGATCATGTTTCGAACGACATCAGCAAGGTCCTCCAAAGCTGCCTTCTCGCGTGGAAGAACATGCCCGGCTCCATGATCAAATAGATCCGCACGATCCTGATTACAAAGGTTATACAGTGCCAGTGAAGCATCGATATATGGATCATTACTGCCAAGGACATGGCAGGTATGAACCTCAATCCTTTCTTCCGTCTCATCTGCGTACACATCACCACCGGAAACAGGATGAACAGGCTGCCATCCTCCAATAAATATCGCACATTTAATATGAGGAGTCCGCCCCGAATCCTTCTGTCTCTGGTTCTCGTCCAATATCAGTGAAGCGGCAACACGGGCTCCTTCAGAATACCCAATGACGCCATCTATATCCGGCTCCTTATCAAGAAGCTGAGTCAGGTAGTCGAGGGCAGACCGAACACTCTGGAACGAGGAAGAGACAGATTGCTTTGTAATAGAGCGCAAAGTACTTTCAGGGGTTTCGCCACGTGGGAAATGTCGGATATGCTGGAGAACGGCGTCCCGGTTATTCACCTCGAAGAATGCGTAGTTTGGTGGTGGTCCAAAAAAGCCTGTATATTCTTGGGGTATGTCGACGAGGACGTTTCCCTCTGCAAAGTGGAAGGTAGCACTTTCGTCGGATTCAAGGATATCACATAATGGCTCTGGAGATGATAGGTTTTTGTATTAGTAGATGGCAAGGGAGATGTGTATAGATTTGGCGTACTGAGCTGTGCCTCGAATGTCTACTGGTAGACAGTGGTTAGCACATGATACTCCTTAGAATAACCCATTCCTATCGAGCTCACCTTTGCGTTGTTAAACGCGCCTGGAAGGCAAAGGAATCGCATTGTTATTATTGGACTTGAGGTAGCAGTGTGTTCAATTCTCTAAGACCTGGGGGTTCCCCCGGCTTTTTAATGCGATTGGACCCCTACCGATTGAAGCCATTGGATGCAAGGGAATTGATTTCGAACATTGGCCTATGGAAAGCTTAAATTTTCCAAATTCATGGCAAGAAACGCATTCAGAATGGGCTCCTTACATGTTGACCTTTTAGGGTCCTTGAAAATGGGTTTCCCGAAAGATGTATATGCAATCCCTTCATCCAGTCCTTGCATGAACCAATTTGAAACGTATGAGTCCGAGTATCTGTTCTATTTCATTTTCAAAAACGCAATCAAAAGAATATCAGGTGTTATTCTCACATGATGCGATATGTCTTTTTTAGAAAGCCGCCCTGACCCCACGCGTGAGGCGGGGTTATCAAGCATCAACATTTGTACCTATCCATCTCTCCAGACTCTCAATGTACTCATGTTCTAACTTTTACGATGCTTGAGCCACAGATATATCAATTGACCGTCGGGTCGGCCTTCCACGGCCTGAGCGGCGAGGAGCAACTCTATGCACACTACATGGCTAAGTACTGATGAACGAAAAGCCTTATCTAGGAGCTGTCTAGCTAATGAGGGTGAATATAATATTAGAGCAGCATGGAGTGGCACCAGAGTGATTCTCCGACAAGTATCTCCGGAAGCTAACGACATCTACGATCTCATAATGGCGTTGTATCATAAATGTGATGGGAATTGGGATACTCTCGCGACGGAGGCACAGGTTGATCCCACTGAAGTTGGAAAGTTCCTCAGTTACGCTGCAACGTTCTTGTCTAATATCGGGAATCATTTCGTAAGTAATATGCGCACTTTCTTTGACTCTCACTATAACTTTTATAGGGCTCTGGAGACCAGAAAATTTGGCCGGAATTATCTAGCGAGAGCCTCGGGAAGCTAGCTTCACTCTCAAAGAGCACTAATGCTATATTTAACCGCATCAATGAAGCTATGTTCGCAGAGGCTCCCAGTAGCCTGGACTTCCCCGGTCGTTTCACACAAACTGCCTATTATCTAGGAAATGAATGTTTGGCATCTCGGGAAGATCTAAACGCTGTATCAAATGTTATGGAGGATAATGCCATACTACCAGAGAATACTCGCCTGAGAAGACCCGATACCCTTGAGAATCCCAGTTACGAGATCCTGCAAGCATCAGTAGAATAAGATGAACACATCGTCGAAGCCAAAAACAAATCATCCTCATTTGCTCCTGTTAGGCTAGTAAGAGGTGACCACAAAGATGAGCTTGACAAGTATGCCATTACTTACAGGAAGCAGTTCAACACGCCTCGAACGATACTCAAAAACTGATGCTGGAAAAAATACATAGAAGCTTCTTGACCGGCGATCTTAGAGACTATAAAGAGTCACAGAGAATCTGAGTCACCAACAAAGCACCCACAGTTGAGACAGTGCTTAGATTTGTTGAGCCGTACAGAGACCCTTTAGGTGTCCGTGCGGAGTTTGAAGGAATTGTCGGAATAGCGGACACTGCAGAAACGAGCGGACTGCACAAACTTGCAAGCACGGCCAACAGTCTTGCCTACAGGCTTCCATGGGTGGAGGGTCATGGAGAATTAAAAGGACCCTTTGAAAAGGAAATGTTCGAGCCCCCGGATTTTTCGAGTGTTCAAAGTAGGTCCCCTCACGTCTTAGCTGAACGGCATGAGCTTACTTCGTCCAGGTCTCGCTTATTGCTCGAGTCTAAACTTCCCGGACATCAATCTCTCAAACGTGAGAAGTACTTCAAATTTGGTTACAGGAAAAGCCGCTAATGTAGACAGTATAACGACATTCGACAAGAAACGGGATATAAAAACATTATATTCTCAAACCGCATGGTATCCGAAAGTAGCCGTGCATGAGGTCTGCATATGGTCGATCCAAATGAGCAGGACACATTCAAAAAACACAGATTCTACTCGTACTATATTTGGGTGGTCCTGCATCAAATACTGGGACACGGCACCGGAAGGTTCCTAAGCGAAACATCTCGGAACAGCTTCAATTTTGATCCTCAGAATCCACCACTAAATCCATTGACCGGGAAGCCGATTCAAAGCTGGTATCATCCGGGACAGACATGGTCTGGTGTTTTTGAAGATCTGTCGACTACCGTGGATGAATGCAGGGCAGGACTTGTTGGTGCTTATCTGATTGACGAACCGCAAATTCTAGAGCTCTTTGGATATACCAGGCAAAGCGATGTTACGGCTGATGACGGTAGGTTATCTCTGGGTTATATGAAGGTTGTTTTCTGACTCTGTTACAGTTATTATAGTATGTACTTACAGCTGGGCGTAGACGGCTTGCGAGGCTTAGAAAACTACGACCCAACTACAAAAGTAAGTTGCTTCCTTAACAGAGCGAAATAAAAATTAGGCTAACTTTCGTACAGAATTGGGGCCAGGCGCACAGTAGAGTAAGTTGATATAACCGATACTACTTGTCCAAAGTCTAATATATCTACCAGGCTCACTATGCGATGCTCCGACATCTTCTCCGCGACAGCGACGGCCTGTACACGATCCAGTGCGACCCCGAAACCAAGCGTCTGACAGTAAAAATACGTCGTTCTGAGGTTCTTCAGAAAGGCAAACCATCTTTGGGCCGCATGCTCCTACATCTACATATCTATCGGTGCACGGCAGACAAAGACAGCTGCCGCAAGTTGTACGAGGACTTGTCGCACGTGGACGAAGAGGCATTGGCGTGGAGGGATATTATTATTTCCAAGAAAGACCCTCCTCTGGTATTTTGCCATGCGAACACATATGTCGAGGACGAGGAAGTGAAAATGAAGGAATATGAGCCGACAGCTTGCGGGGTTATTCAAAGCTGGTTTGAGCGAGAAATTGACTTGAAAAGTATATAGCTGTTAAGCGTTCTTTTTGGCTATACATGTGACGACCGTGAATACTATCCTATAACATCCTCTTTACGTTGCCATTGCTGCTTGATCAACTGTACCAGTTGCAAACAACCTGCAAGAGAGCCATGAGGGACCTAAACGCCCCAAATAGAATCACTGCCCAAAACGTCAACCAGTTTGCTGAGTCTGTTATCTCGCCATAACTGAACCCATGTGCGAGATGTTGTGTTCGAAAGATGTCCTTGCAAAATTGCTAAGCGATACCGGATAAAAGAAAAGTCGCGAAGAAGAGAGTATGCTTCCTTATCTGAAGGACCAGGGTAGATACCCAGGCACGTATTGGTGGTACATAGCGCCAGCAACAGAGGATCCCTAATTTTATCCCTTGAGGAAGTCTTCTTTGAATATGAATTGATTGAGTGGAAAGCATTTCGAGACTTCCTGGTCTGACCGAAAAGTAGCCGGCAGGAAAGAAGGACTTCACCAAGTAGTTGGTTGATTTCACTCTCTGTTGCCCACTGACAACGCAGATTGCTTGTTGTAGGGCACGCATGAATCGGGGCCCGATCGCCATCATGCACATAGTGCGTAAGGAGTGACTCGCAGAACGAAGGAAATCGGAAAAGTGAGATCTCCCTAGTTTTCGAAATGAATTCTAAATGGCATACAAGCGCGTCCACCCACTTGATCCGCAGCCCCGCTACCGCACTGAGTAGGTAAACATTGAACTTTCCTGTGGAGATATCTGTCTTTTCATGGAATTGACGTTGTACATTTAGGCCGTCGTTCAGACACATATTCTTCGAGGGAAGGAGGACGCCAAATCCCATTAAAAACTCGCTGATTGACTTGCTTGAACAAACATGGCTAGCCTGTTGTATCGACATATGTCTGTATTCGCAGCAACCGTTGTCTTCGTCAATGGCGAGCATCAATGATCCGTGCATGTTTTTAGGAATGCCAAGTGCTGGAGTGTAAAGCATCGTCTGCCAGGCCAGAGCACAGAAGACAAGATACCGAGCACATTCATAGTGATGCTCACAATTGGTGACAGTATCATTTGCTGGAAGAACCAATATACCTTCATCATACAACTGTGTTATCATCTGATCGATGGTGATAGTAATGTTTGATATCATGCACTCCTCAATCTTGAGAAATGCCGACAGAAACGATTGCCAAAATTCATCGCGATGGACCCTTTTCTTGTCACTATTTGTGGGAGGAGAGATATCAAACATTATGCTGGGTAGTTGCTGGAACCGTGATTTGAGCCACGCATTGTACCAGCCAAGGACTTGGCTATCATGATATAATGATACCAGCTTTTCCCCTCTGGTATTCGTGGTATATATTTTTCTACGCGGCTGGAAACAGACACCTGTATGTTATATTCTGTTTTTATGATATTGATTGATATTTCTCAAGGTATAGTGAAGGTTTAACATACTAGGTTTGAGTGGTCGCTTGCTTAACAATAGTTCATGTATTGCCGCCATGGGGCCCACAAAGCGAAAACGACAGCGCCGAGTTGTGTTAGTTATCTAATCGAGAAAAGAAGTAGGCAATCACTTGTGCTTAGCATGCCTCATATACGGCTATATAAACCAGGGTGCGCCTTTTAAATATCCAATTCGTACAAAAGTATAGCCACCCAAAGCAACAGCGTGCAGTAGTTTTTGCATGAAAGAAGAATGCATGATTTTCAGCTAGCCGTTGTCCAATGATATATTGACTATACGATGCCAGCCTTGTTCTAAAACCATCGGTCATCATATCAGCGGCTGATGATATATTGCGCAGCATTCAATTGAGATCCTGGCGGCAAGACGTGTCTGTGCTGTGCAGCAGACCGTGTTATATTCTAAATACAAACAGAGCGTTAGAAGAAATGTATTTGAATGTATCTATTTTGCTTTTCTTGTCGATCCAATGTCTCTACCATAACATCCAGGGAACAAAGCTCTCAAAATCGGTGATGCCATGCGGAAAATCTCCGTCGAGTTTGTATATATCATCCTTTAGAGGGTATGCTCTATCGAGACTCGGTGCTTTCCCGATCGTTTTCAATGTGCTTCAGGGTATGCGATAATTTGTGACTTGCGCGAGCAAGGTGGCGCAGTCCTACAATTTGCGGGAGGCCCTCTGCTATCTTGATGCACTCCTCGAGGGGTTGGCTAAGAAATCGCATTAGCAAAGCTGTGCTAGTTGATAGCGTAATATGTGTACTTACATCGACAATGCCGGGTTGTTTCCTCGCTCAAGAAGACTGGCTACTTGATACAGTGAGTCGCAGACTTTGAGGCGCTCTCCTAGACATTGCCATCGGAAGCCCAGAGCTTTCGAAGCAAGATTCAAGGATTGGTCGTATCGACCCTGTACTAACCAAATTCTATCAAGTAGGATCATGCCACTGTAGCCAAATTGACCATCAGGATTGCCAGTATCTATCCTAGGAATGCAATCCATACCCAGAAAACCGTGGATTGCCGGTCTTGAGAGATATCTCATCCATAAAGTCTTTCAGAGACAGACACTGCTTCAGCATCTCTTCGGCTTCATCAGCCCGCTCCATACGGAGCAATAAACTGGAATTGTTGCTATATGAATTGCCAACCCAATCGCTGTTATGCTGTAGCCAAATGTCAATAGATTTCTGAAGATATTTATAGGCCTCGTCTAGCCTGCCCAACTCAGTATAAGCGAGACCAATGTTGACCAGACTGGCAGCGAGAAATACGTCGTCGATCGGAAGGATGGCTGCACGGATCTTGTGCGCCTTTTGAAATGCTTCCAGAGCGGTCGCAGGGCGAGAGATATCAAGGTCAATCAGGCCTTGCAGACCAACGGCACTAGCATATGCAAGAGTGTTCCGATCAGAGAGATACTGCAGAGCAGTTTTCACAAAAGATCTAGCAATGCTGTAATCTTCTCTTTCATACAGATACCAGCAGAAGCGCAACAACAGCTCTGCGAATGGTTGATTATCTCCTGGTATGATACTGAATTCTGCATTCTTTTGGACAATGCTTTCCAGATGAGACAGGCTTCGCTCACATCGTTCCCAGGAAGCGACTTGGTGGCCAATATCGGAGCTGTATGTATCCGGTAAGTTTTCCCCCAAAATCTCTACTAGAATGGAGAACATCTGCTGCCGCTCTTCAGATGTCATGCGCCGAATGACCGCTGTTTGCACAAGTCTATGCATGCGTATAACACCGCTCTCAACGGATTTGTCAATAAAAGAGATCTGGAGTAAAATTTGCTCTGCGTCCAAGAAGCTGTCGAATTGATTAGTTTAATGAACCATGATCGTTCAGGAATACACCAAAGACATACTCAATTTCATCTCTGGCAAACTGTAACTCCGGAATCCCAGTGTCGTTTGCTCCGTCTTTTAATAGGAATTCTTGAATATAGTTGGGGCCGAAAGGGGGCACACAGCATAAATATATAATTGGTTGACTATGAACTGTTTGCAAACGAGAATACACTATCACATGGTTAACCTAAGGCACTGTGGTAATTGTCTGTCAGGCTGTCACATTGACCTCACTCAAGAACAAATCCATAGACAATGAAGAGGCCATTCTCAGACAATATTACCCGGATCGCAAATAGTCCACAAGATGTCTCCTAAGCCTATCAAATGAACTGCTCATGGAGATCGCCGACTATTCAAGATACGAAAGCGATATCAACTCTCTTATGCAAGTCACTGGCCGACTATACTACCTGTTAAATCCATATCTGTATTGATTCAACGCTCATTATCATAAGGGATCGATCACCAAATGGGTATTCAGGAGTGACATGACATCAGCTGTTCAAAAAGCCCTAGAAGCCACCATCTCCAAATCTGGGAAAACACCGGAGAATGGTACTGGAACGAAGTCGATGGAGGGACTGGTTATCCCCAATCCGGGGTGGAATCAACAACAGGAAAGCGAGGGGGATGACGGCAAACTCAAATACTGGCTTCGGATCAAGGAGGGCTTTTATATAAAGTGCTGGTGGACAATCAGGGGCCCGTGTTGCAGGTCGTGGTAAATTGGCGTAAGAAGGTAAATGAGGGTGAGGGATTACAACAGAGCGTCGTTTCGGACATGAAAGAGGCCTGGGAGAGTCATATACAACTTGGTTGAGCATAGCCATGACCGAAAGGGCTGGAGAAGACCTGTTGTGGGAGAAAGTTTGCGTGGGAGAAAGTTTGCAGGGGAGACCTTGGGGAAGTGAAGTTTCTCGTAAAGCAGCTACCACTTGCAATAGTTAAACGCGCATGCGATAGTGACATACTTTTGATGCGCACAAAAAAAAAAAAAAAAAAAAAACTAGATGAAAGTATTACAATGTTCGTTCACTTTTCTGGAAAGGAACATGTACCCTTGGTATAACTGCCCTGTTCCATGCGGCCCCCTTTCCGTCAATATCAAATTGTTATTTGAAAGGATCCACTCGATCTATGCTAGGTTTACCGGTGCATTTGCCATGAGGACAGAGGACGTACGTTCCGAAGTCCAGAAGTGATCAACATACTGTTGAAAAAGGGCTTCCTACTTGAAATGCCTGCAGAAGGTCAGATCTATAAACCCAAAACACCATAACCTACACCAGAGAGAGTAAAGCTCCATGCGAATGATTGCCAGGACTGATCCGAATTTGGCTTATGTGAAAAACATGTTGCGGTGGGCCATCGCGCGAGGGGATATAGTGATAATTGACTATCTCGAACGAGATTGTGATCAAATTGAACATGGGAACTGTTTCCGAGATGAACTATCCGTTTGGAATTAGCAGGGAGCGCATTTGACTCGAAAGCGGCTGCGGTGACGTGTAATGTCTTGTTGCGTCACGGGGTCTATGGATCAAATTGAAACGCCGTTTCAGGAAGATGGACGGACGAGAAACATCTAACAACCATTCGGGTTTTCTCAAGAGTGGTGCCGGTCCCAATCCAGACAGACGTGCATGGGTCCAAAGAGTTCTGTTGCTGGTGGTGGCTAGACCTAGTCCTCATGCGAAGTCAGTCAGTGCTTGCTCGAACCAATCTGTACTCAAGGAATATCACTTAATTATTCAGAAGCTGCTACACTCTCTTGAAGAGCAAGTGCAGTACGGAGATGATGGAAGGAGTCTCAAAAGGGTTTTAGGGAACGCTTACTGGCATAAGAAACACCCTATGCCATGAAGATGTGCCTAAGGTCAGAGACACTTCTCTTCCAGCACCATTATTGTATTGATATAGTGTTTTCTTCGAAAGGAAGTTCGAATGATAGCTCCACATATTAACTTGGCTGAAATACTTGGTAGTAGAGCTCTACTACTTGAGATTCAGACAAAAGAGGAGTGCCAGAAAATGAACAAATTAGTATTGTCCACTTGCAGGACCTCGAAGTGAAGAATATGGTATACAGGATCAAAAAAGCCACATACATCCGGAGCTAATTCCTACAACAGGTAGGGCAAAAGTGACTTCCCAAGGGACTTTGTTTAGAAGTCGAAGTCGGAGAAATAACACTATACAAGTCCCTAATATTACGAAGAAGTGGTTCGCTGTCTTCGGGAACAAAGCTTCGTTGCACTCTGTATGGCTCCTGTCCATTTGAAGAGGCTTTTGAACAAGATCATAGTTTCAGATTCAAATGGCTCGGCTTGTTACGTTCCCTTTCGATAGATCGGTGGCGAGGAATAATGTGGAGTACAGCATTTGTGATATGATAACAAGTGAAACATCTGCGTCTCAAGAGCACAGGCCACACACCACGATTCGTTGTCAAAGACCTCCGGGGCTATGGGAAACACGGCGTCCAGAGGATTACAAGTGGCATTATCATGGCTTTATGCAAGCTGTCGGCTGTCGTATTGAATGTTTGTACTCCGGTATTTTCATTCACGGCTTAGCAAGGCTAACTTTGATATTATTCATCAAAGGAAAATATTCTGGTTACGGGATACGGTGGCATCGTGGCACTGCTTCTGCAGCTAGGAGCAGGCGAGTAAATCGTGACGCAGGTGTTTCACGGGTCGACGTGGTCCTTCATCGACATTTCGAAAGACGAGAGAGGAAGGTGAATGCAGGCCCATGAATCAATTCCACATACAAAAGGTTGTATGATACAGCAGAGTAAATAGACAATCTACGGTGCGACGACCCACGTTTGATAGCGACTCTTCGAGTCAAAGAAGTAATGCATTGGACTCAGCGTCGGATCATTGTGAACGGGGCCAGTTGATATACCAACCTCGCGGTACCAGAACTACGATTAACTCGTTTGACCGAAAATTGAGATGCCTCGACAGTCGGGATTGAAACAAAGGGCTTTTATTTTGAGATCTCGGTAACACCATAGTCCTTGCTGGGTATATCTTACTTGAGCAGAGGATGAAGCTATATAAGCCGCTTCAATCACGCCAGAGTCGATTAAATCCTCGCCACCATCACTTACAAGAACTCAATTGAAGACCTACAGTCTACAACCTCTACAACAGCCAAAATGAAGCTCTCTCTTGCCTTCCTCGCTACCCTCTCCATCGCCACGGCCGCCTCCGTCCCCGCAACATGCTCGGACATCCCCGATTCCTTGGGGGACAAGCCCCAGACCCTCCACAGCTACTTCGACCAGCAAGTATGCCAGAAGAGCAAATGCGATACCACCATCAACAACAGCATCTCATTTCTCCAGAAGACCGTCCTCCCGGAGGTCTTCCAGCAACTCTCGCAGAGCCTCGGCATCACCACCGGTAACCAGGAACAGATCGAGAAAATCACCAAGGAAATCGGGAAAGCTGTGCAGCAGAGCTGCTCGCAGCAATACGGCAACAAGAAGGTGTGCAATGACGACGACAGCGTTCTCCAGTTCGGCCAGTGTGCGGCCAAGGCGGCCGAGCCGGTGATCAGCAAGCTTGGCCAGGGCGATGACGACGGCGTGCCTTCGGAGGAGGACTGCCAGAAGTTGAAGACGGCGTTGACGGATGAGCAGTTGTGGTCGAAGACTTTGCCGGGTTATGTGGACCAGTTTGCGAAGAATTGTAAGAACTAGGTCCTACATGTATATGTACCTTTTCCACCTGTTTTCGAGAACGGTACCATGCATAGCACTATGCATGGAATATAGCAATATACATAAGTTAGTCAGAATGGAAACCAGGCAATGCAATAAATCCGGTCTCAATGTGAAACTTTCCTGGCCGAGTCGCAATCAAAATGGGAAATTCGACGATCCCGAAACAGGGACGGCGATTGACCTTCGGGCGTTCCCCATTGAGTATGCCTGGACTCTGAAACGGTGCCTTTTTTAGGTCCGCATTTAGCCCTCTCATTGGGCACTTAATTAACCGTGCTTTGTGGTCCCTCCTGAGTCCCGGCCCTTTTATTTTATCAAAGGGTCTAGTTTAGTACGCAATACTATTAAAGGTTGATCTGCCCACCGACTTTCTTTCACTCACAAAAATCTTTTTCTTTTCTTTTCTTTATACCCTTGTTTCTATAGAATACCCCAGCGGTATTCAATCCTAATATTCTAATCCTATTCAAGACAGGTCTTGAATATGCGTTTTTCCACCACCCTTCTCCCCTTGGCCCTGGCGCTGCGCGCCTCCGCCATGTACGACGACTGGTACTTCGGCAACATGTTCGCGCTGGGCCCAACCAGCAACAACGTCCACATCACAAAGGCAACTTACTCACTCGTCCCGCCGGCTGTGCCGTGCGGATCGCAGCAGAATGGCAGCGATGAGGCGCCGTGGTTAGCGATCTGGGTTGGATTGAGTGCCAGCATGTCGGACCAGACGGCGGATTTGTTTCAGCCGTTGTTGAATTGGTCGCCGGATCAGGAGAGTCAGGCTTGTCCGGCTAGTAACCAGGAGTGGTGTGTTGCTACTAGTACCTATCATTTGTGTATGTTGTCTTTCCAGTTTGGATGTTGAGGAGTATGGGGGAAGATGCTGATGGAATGATAGCTGGCCAGGTGCAAGACCCTTACGTGCCAGTCCCGAACGACTCGCAGCTTGATTTCACCATTACCGTCGACCAGGCGAGCAACAAGATCATCCAGCAGGTTTCCGTCAACGGCAAGGAAATCTCACACCAGGCTGATGGTACGCCTTTTCTTCTCCCTTCCCTCCATGCGACATTCAATGCTAACAGCCACAGACAAAACAATCAACCCCACCTACATCTACTCCAGTAACGAATGTTACCTAGACGCCTGCGGTACCTTGGCCGCATACTCCTGGAAGAACATGACCATCCACCTCAGCGACGCAGACCTCAACTTCCAAAACACCATCGCCCTGGACGGCGCGCGTGACAGCGGAATGACCACTCCGGACAACGGAAAGACCTGGCACATCAACTCAATGCGCATTGACCGTGATTACTTCTATCCGGACCAGCAGGACCACGAGTGCGGGTCTGACTGAGCGCGTTATCTAATCGTGTGTAATTTAACTAGTGTATATACACTTCAAAAAGTAACCACAGGATGGCGTGTGCATATATGTATAGTTAGTGATCGATAACGCAAATCAACTTGCCCTTTGTGGCATTGCTCTCCAATAGTCGGTGTGCGTCTGCGATTTCGTCGAAGCGGAACACCTTCTCCACGTAGACCGTGAACGACTTATCTTGGAGCTTGGGCAGCGCATGCTCAACTAGGGTATCGCGCAACTTCCGCTGATAATCCAACTCTCGACTCCGCAGTGTACTCCCCTCAACGCGAACACGCTTGTACAACATCGCAGAGATATCAGCCGTCCCGGGCACTTTGCCACCGCCCATCAATCCCAACAAAACGACCCGTCCGTCGCGCGCAGCCGAGTTCAGATCATTCTGGAAATACGGCCCACCAATAAAATCCACAATTAAATTCACACCCTGTCCGTCCGTAGCCTGGCGCAATTCCGACGCCCAGTCCTGTGTGCGGTAGTTGAACGCGGCGGTGACGCCCATTTTTTTCTCAAGGAATTCGATCTTTTCTTGCGATCCAGCGGTCGCGTAGATTGCTTTTGCGCCGTGAGCTTTAGCGAGTTGGATGCCGGAGAGGGAGACGGAGGAGGCGCCAGCGTGCCAGAGGACGGATTGGCCGGGTTGGAAGTCGCCGATGAGGAAGAGGGCTTGTGAGGCGGTCATCCATGTCTATCACAGTATCTATTAGCAATCAATCGCAATTTGCATGTTGGCCCATTTACCTCAGGAACACCAGCCGCTTCCTCCCACGACAACTCAGCCGGCTTATGAACCAGCATCGCCGGCGACACCACAATATACTCCGCATACGCACCTATTCCCAATTAGCACCCCAATCAAATCCAAGCCACTCCACCCCCATGAACAGGGACTCACCCCCATAAGCCAACCCAAAAACTTCATCCCCGGCCTTAAAGTCACAATCTGTCCCCTCCGCAACCTTCTCGATAACACCCGAGAACTCTACACCCAACGTCGGAGGCGCCTGCGGAGGAACGGGATACTTGCCCTCGCGCTGCAACAGGTCCATGCGGTTCAAACCGAAGGCTTTGATCTTCACGAGGGCCTCTCCCGCAAAGGGGGAGGGCTTGGGGATGTTGTCGATAAAGAGGTTTTCGGCGGGGCCGGTGTTGTTTTTGATTCCTGGTTACACGGCTGTCAGCCATTGGGGGATGAAACAAAGCTGAGAGGGGCGGTACCGATTGCTCTCATGGTGGACGACATTTTGGAGGATGCTGTGGTTGTTATGGTAAGGAATTGGGGGAATTGATGGTCTTGTATATTTCTCTTAGGCTAAGCTTTGATTTATAAGCTGCACCCCACATGACGTCGTTCCCCGCGGTTCTATATCAATCTCTTCCGAGATATCTACTCCGACAGTACTTACAAGAGCTTCTTCATTATAAAGTTTGTCTCTGGTGCATTGGCTCGCTGTTCGGCATGCAACCGGGCCTCATTTGCCATTCAAGTCTACTGAGACATCATTGTGACAATCTGCCTGTGATTCCAGTCCCGAACACAGATTTTTCACGTCGACTCTCCCTCATGAGCCGGTTTAATCGTGGCTCGCCGTATACGGTGTTTCGGATGCATCATTGGCGATCCATAATGATGTCTGTGCTTGGGTATGGGCCACGTGACGGGATAGGGTAGTATGAAAGAGCACGGGGTCGGGGAGATGTGTTGCTGCTTAAATGATGAGGGTGTATTGATATAATAAATCAACAAGCTATGATCATGGGCCCATGAGCCCATGACCTGCCATTCATCAGTTCATTTTTCATGGCAGATTGGTCGGCGATATGGTGCACTGTCGGTCTCTGGGTGCTGTTAGTATGTGTGGGACTGCCTGTAGCGCGGCACGTTCATGTTTGAACGCTATATAGCTGATTCTGGCTGGAGTATTTGCGGCACATGGAACTGCCGGACGTGAGAAATGGTTGGTCTTAGATGATAGATGGGATAGAGTATGTAGACTTTTGGGGTCGTTTGCAGCTTTCCAATCGAGGTGAACCGCGTAGAAGACGGCGTGCAAGTGAGGAAGCTAGCCCAGCGAAGAGTGAATTAGACGATAGTGAAGTCAATGAATTGGTCGTTACTGTATGTACGTTTTTGTGCTGCAAAAAATAGGGCTCCCATTCCTCGTGGCTATTTACATATCCGTATCCAGAAAAGCGTATGTACAACCCGACTCCCTACTCATCATAGTCTAGCTCAACTACGATCCTAACAGCCCCAGCCCCAACAACACCTCCTAGCCCATCAACCCCAGCCTTATCACTCGGATATGCATTCTCGACCTTCTTCGCATCTGTTGTAATAGTAGAACACTTGTCACCATTCGACAAACACATCCTCATCCCCTGTACCTCTTGCCCGGCATTCTGCGCCTGAATACACGACACATCCCACCCAGACATAGCATGATTCTTCACGTCACCAAAATCGAACTCGCCCCAGGTACTAGACCAGCCACCCCACTGATCAATAGGAAGGTGATCACCGGGTACAGCGCCAAACGCACCCTGCGAGTTCTCGTCAAAAGCAACGTATTTAATCTCGTTAGGCAACATATCAAACTCAAGCGCAGAGTGCTGGTACCACCCAGACATTTTTCCATCTGGGCCGATCTTGTTCCAGAAGACAACTCTCCAGGATTCCGCATTTTCATCTTTGGGGCCGTGCAGCTGCGCGACGTACTTGTAATTTGGAGCGCTGGTCTCGGAGTCGAGTAGGATGATGTTGCTACCCCATGGGTCGCCAACGTTGCCTTTGTAGCCGACGCCGTCGCCTTGGGACTGCGTGCGTCCGCCGAAGCCGACCCAGGTAAATTGGCCATGGGGGGGAGTTTGGTCCCAGGCTGCGGTTGCTTTGATGGGGTGCGGGCAGGGCTTGCTATCGTGGCCGTGGGGATGGCCACCGTGACTGCCATGCGGATGATGGCCATAAGGATAACCTCCTTGATGACAGTCGTGAGAGGAAGAACCGTCGTGAGGACCGTCGTGAGGGCCATCGTTAGGGTTATCGTTGGTCGGAACGAGAGTCGCACCAGGGAGGATGTCGAGGTTGGTAGCGAGAGGACCGATGCCGATAGTATTTCCATCGACATTGATAAGAGCCCGAGGGTCAAGAATGGTGCGAAAACCGATGTTGTCGTTATCGTTGTCGTTGTCATTGTCGTTCTTGACAGCAAGGTGCTTGCCATGAACGTGGCGACGATGGTGGCCTTGAAGACGGGCAAAGGCTGACTCGGCCACGAAAGCGAGCAGCAGAATGAACACAAGCTTCAGATGCATGTTTTTTTTTAACCTACGTCGGTTGTACAGCAGGCTGTCGATGAAGCTGAGGGTAAAGAGTAGAGAAGAGAAGGTGGTTTGGGAGGAAGATTGCCGGGTGACGAGGGCTCTAAGTACCCTATATTTCTGTGAAATGAGTGCCTTTTGACATTGAATAGCATCAAGCAAGCGAGAGAGTAAAAGGAGTGAATATAGGTCAGGCACAAATGAGGAATAAGAGGTAAATGCCTCTAAAGGAAAGTCATTTTCCTGTTTAGGAAAATATGAAGCTGTGGTATATTCACTGCATAGAACAGCCCACGGGGAGAAAAAGATATAAGTGCAGCAATAGAACAAGGCATGAGAAAAAGAAATAGATTTAATAGAAGTAAATGACCCACAAAAATTCCCCGAATCTCATATTTGTTGATTCACATTCCATATCTCCCACATTCCTGGCGCTAACCCTAAGCTCAGGTAGATATTAAAGAGCACAATGGTGTAAACAACGCCAGTGCAACCTAACAAAATAAGAAACTGTATATTCAGCTAAATTTCTCAGAATTGAGTATTAAACACTCGACTGGTAAGCAAACAGTCCTTGCTCAAACTACTACGTATAAGATCTGGACATGACCTCATCTCCGCATTCCTCACATTCCGGTAAACAACCCCGTACCGACAAAATTTCAGCCACCATACTCATTGCTCCTACTCCTTAAAATGGGCCAAAACAGTTGAATTCTCTTCAATTGTCCCACAACCACAAATCCATCCCCAACCCTCCATCCATATCCACCCAATTCGCATCCAACTCCTCCGTGGCTGATAACATTTGATTCAACGATGCCCCAAAATCTCTCCAATCAAGAGTTAGGTCCTCCTCATTCGCATCCGGTATCCCAGTAGCAGTCAAAGATGGTGTCGCTACAACAGGCTGCACGTCTAGGTCGTGTAATACAGGGACAGTCTCGCTTCGCGGTGTTATCAGTGGTTCAGGCTCCTCGATGACCGAATGCGATAAAGGTGTTGAAGGAACGAGGAGTGGCTGGACTAGCTCTTCGAGAAGTTCGATTTCGGATTTGCGGAATTGGGCTACGCGGTTGCCACGCTCAATCATGTCATCCAGGAGGCTGAAGGATGTGTCGCGGTAGCTGTGGTCGGGGAGGGTATCTGGAAGGATAGCAGAAGTCATGGATAAGATCCAGGATGCAGAGAAAAGGTTCTCGAGGTCAAATGGGAGGAAGGATTCTACATCATTAGTGATGTGCTGGCACCGATAGGGGTGGTCCGTACCAAGTAGGTTCTGGTTCCGCAAGGCTGTGAGCAGTCGCAAGGACTTTATGGCGGAGTCGATGCAGGATTGTACAAGTGTTCGAACAGGTGCTGATAATGGGCGCAAAGAGTCGCCGCTTTCGTGGCAGCTTAAGCGCTCCCATAAAAGGCTGAGGATGAGGGGACGGACGGTTACGATAATGCACTATCAGGTCAGCATGTGAAGAGTAGGCGAGTCAAAAGACATACCAAATGGCAGGACAGAGTCAGCCTTGTGGTGACACCTGAGATCGCATCGACTGAATTCTGAAAACGGTGCGCGAAGACATTCTCAAGCTCCCGAGAGAGATCTGTCATTTCATGCAGGACGGATCGCATCTTGCGCAGAAAGACGCCTCCCAGTTTGCCATCCACACTATACACAGCTAGTAAAGTTAGCGACGAAATATAGACCGTATTGGGGTATTTACTGTTCAAAACGCGCGTGACGACCTGGGATATCTTGACATGCAACGTCAACGCAGCGGCTTCCTGAGAACAGTTTCTCAGATCCCAAAGCATAGCAGTTATATCCTCATCGTTGACTGTATTAGGCGTCCCAATCAAAGAGGAAAATCGGCAGTCGAGAATGTATATCGTCCACCAAATATTTTTGCATCTCTCAACCATTTTTTCTCCCAGTTGTTCAATAGGAAGAGCTCGATGCCAGCCTTCCACCAGAGCCATGCGCATTGCATGACCAATCTAGACAATTAGTCTGATACTCACAGAATAGGCTCCGATATACTCACATAACAATAAGCAGTGTCCCTAATATCCACCGAATGAAAGTACAGCGCAATCAACGCAAGCACCTCAATTGCCAGAATAGGATCCTGCCACAACCCCGTAATATCTGGCAATAACGACAATGCCCTAGTAAAGAACCGCGTCCAGTTTTCCGTGTTTTCTGCCGTCCTCACGGGTGTCAAAAATGCCTCTCCGAACGCCAAAATCATCAGAAACTGTATATACCACAGTCGCGACTCTTGTGCCTTCACAGGAGCATTGTCGTAAAACTCATATAAGTTGCACAGAAACTCCTTCTCGTCAAAGAATCGGTACATCGGGCTCAGATGGAACTTGACGGTGCTTAGCATGTATAGCGCATAATCGATGGATGGGAGGCCGCTGATATCGGGTGGTTTGTTGGAGCTTGCTTGGCCCCAGTGTATTTGGTATGCGTCTCCATCAACGGCGAGGGGAATCGGTGTGGTACTGTCGGGGTGGATGCGAGTTTGAATGATGCTCAGTACGCGACGACTGAAAGACCATGTCGATGTTGGGCCGAGACATACTACAAATGTCAGTCTGGGCCGGGACGTTGCATTCGGTCAACATACACCATGCGCGTTGTGTCTGTCCATTATGCTTCAGGTATGAAGCTGACACGAGTGGATTCGATACGAATCGTTCTTCAGATTGTCGTGCTTCGGTGGTTTCTGCTCTTGATTCTGCTGGCTCTGATATTATCAGCGCCAGAATGGACACATAATGCGTGCATGATACCTTACCGGAGCTATCCAATAACCGAGTCCGCTTATGGTCAATTGTCACATGGCCGTCGCGTTCCTCCAATCTTCGCTTCATCGACAAAAACAACCTGTCTCGTTAGCAACCTCTATATCATGACCCCGTGAGTAGCGTACCCCTCCGAAATCACAATCTTCCGATCCTCATCAAACACACAATCCTGCCCCCGCCTGCGGCAATGCTCGCACGGCTGGATACCGGAACATTTGACCTTGCGCGAGCGGCATCGCTGGCATCTGGTGGTCTGTCAGTCACGTCCTCTCAATCACAACCTATATACATACGCATTCTGGGTCCGTCGTGAGCGCCGGGAGCGATCCATGGTTAACAATTTCATTTGGTCTCAACAATGGCCCTGATGGGCATATGAGGGGATCTTATCATGTGTCAGCTAGTGTGGGGATGTTCGGGCCGGGTGTCATACCCCGCATAAGGATGATAAGGTTAATTTGATAAGACGAGTGCTATCTAGCAGGATAAAGAGAGATAATTAATGCAATTGTAATCATTTCATGATAGTGTGTTCGGCGGATGTTTGTTGTTCCTGCATCGCTTGATATTCTATGCCGCAATCGAAACTTCGGGACCCAAGCAATGGATATCTATATCTACTCCTGCAGTCGCTGCCATTCCTCCCTAACAATTCCCGGAATTTCATCCTGGAGCGAAGGCCCACTAGCCTCCCAACCCAAGTACTCCCTCGCCCTCTTCGCACGAGACCGCATATTCAACCCCCAACTCACAGTCTCAAAACCTGCCAACTGACGCGCAGTGTCAACATCCAAAGACTGTACCTCAGCAGATGGGATAAATCCTTCATCTACAGCGACTTTTCCAACCAGCCTGGCTACATCTCCCCAACAGTGCTCGCTATTCGCGGCTATATAGTATGCTTCGCCTCCCCAGAGTTTATTGTTTTCGTCGCCGCGGTGGGCGCGCTCGAAGAGGAGGACGAACAGACTGGTCACGTCGGCAACATGGATATTGCCGCCGATTGACAATCCACGGCCGATGATAGGGATTTTTCTGGTTTGCAGTGTATATTTGGACATTTCGTATATTTGTCGGCTGCGCTGCGAGCAGACACCACGACCGCGACCTGTGTTGAATGTTAGATAGATCCGGCAATTGTTTTCGTGTGTCAAACTCACCATAAACAGTAGTCGGAGAAACGATTGCGGTCTTCAAGACCTTCAACTGTTCCGCACCAGCTCCAAGGACGAACTTGTCCACGTTCCGATGAAATGCATGATCGGGGAAACTGAGGATCTCTTGAACACCCTCTAGGTCATTATAGAGCTTGTCCCGCCTCTCTCCATACACTCCATTTTCCGTATCGAGAAACGAGAGAATCCCAGTTCCGCTCGTATGCAGGTAATACACAGGATGTTCTTCATCATGGCCCTCCAAAGCACCCCGAACAATCGCCTGCGCCGCATCGAGATGATCTGATGCATCGGCTGTGTCTAGGATAGAGGTTAGGCGGGAAAGACCAGAAATACTCTCATATGTCGGGAAACTTACGAATGATGATATCCGCCCCGGCGCCTTCGTTCCGCAATGTTTCCAGATTGTCCAAATCTGACTGTACAATTTCGACCGCTGGGAATTGAGCCTTTATCAATTCACTGCTTTTCTCGCTCCGTACGAGCGCGCGGTAATTGTAGTCCGGATACTGGACGGTCAGCACCGACAACAGGTCACCGCCAATGTAGCCGCTGACACCTGTGCTGTTGGAGTTAGCAGGGCATCCGAAATATGGGTATAATATCACTAACATGAATACAGTCTTCATATTTTGGATATATGCGATGATATGATGGTTTATGTTGAATTTATAATCGTATGCGGGGTGGAATTATACCCCGGCACTCCCGAGGAAAATATATTCCGCCTTTAAGAAGACTACTCACTACTGTAGGGACGAGTAATTACCTGAGTAGCATAGCATTGAGATAGTATATTAATTTAAAGAGACCTCAAATTAACGAATGTATGGAGTACTAAGCAACATATATTGAGTACTTCCCTATAGCATTTCCGGTACAATCCATGGTGATGGGATGAACAGTAGCATTTCACCAAAAACTTCAAACCAGACAATTCCTGGAGAATTTATATCAGGTCGAAAAGAATGAGATTGATATATCGCAAAGATTGTCCAATAATGTCAGTCTTACAGCTCACGGTTGGCACCAGTTCGATCCAAGATCTATACAGTGAATCGACCGATATATATATTTTAGTCTCCTAGTAACCGATCCGTGAAATCATGCGAACTCAGATATGTGGAGATCACAGTACAGTATGCTATATAATTCGACGATTACAGCAAGGGTATGGGATAATGACCATATGAGGTCACTAATATGAGAAAAAAAAAAAAAAAAAAAAACCAAAGCATTGCGTCACATGTATGCAACTCATTGGTAGCCAAATATATGAATTGAGGATCCGCTTGTGCTTAGATCCATGACAGATAAACCGACCAATTGACCTGTCTCTCCTCGTTTGACAATGTTCGAAAGCAGAATCACCCCCAGACTAGACGTCAAACCATGCGCGGTCCATGAAACCGTCTCCAGATCGACGGCAACCAATAACATAGTCGACATCAGCTCCGAGAACATAGAAACCGAGCTCCGAAGTTCTTTACAAGATAGCATCCAAGCAGCATGTCACGGGGAAGCTGCTATGCCCGACCTCCTCCTATGGGATAAGAAGGGATTGCAACACTTTGAAGATGTGACCTATACGCCGTCATACTATCTGACAAATGAGGAGATTGGTATCCTGGAAGAGAAGAAATATCAGATCGCGCAGTGTATTCAACCGGGGAGTATGCTTATTGAATTGGGGAGTGGGTGAGTGCCGCTACGAGGATGCCAAAGATATAGAGACCCTAACTACCCAGCAACCTACGCAAAATCAAAATCCTCCTCGAAGCCTTAGACGATCTTGGCCGCAATGTAGACTACTTCGCCCTCGATGTCTCTCTCGCCGAACTCCAGCGCACTCTCAACATGGTCCCGCCGGGTACATTCCGACACATCCGCTGCTTTGGACTTTTGGGTACCTACGATGACGGCCGACGGTGGCTGCAGCTTTCCGAGTTCAAATCGCGCCCGAAGGTCCTTATATCGCTTGGGTCTACCGTGGGAAGCATAGAGCGATCCAAGACTGCGGGGTTTTTGTCAAGTTTCATGGAGCCCGAAGAATCGAATCGATCTTTCCTGCTTGGCCTGGACGGATGCAAAGATAGAGAACGAGTATTAGCAGCGTACAATGACAAGCACGGTAATAATCACAAATTTATCAAAAATGGACTGGAAAGGGCGAATGAAATCCTTGGCCATGAAGCCTTCGACCTTAAAAAATGGGATGTTGTTGGATCTTGGAATTGGGAGAACGGGAGCCATGACCAGTACTATTATCCCAAGACAAATGTGTCGCTAGGTGGGGAGGAATTTCCAACAGGAAGGAGGATATTGGCTATCCAGAGCCATAAATATGATGCGAATGACACCCATACGCTGCTGGAACAGGCTGGATTGGGCGTTGTTGATGCGTGGGGTTCGCGGAATCAGTATAGTAAGTGCTCTTTTCTTCCTTATTGTCTTACCTAGTTTGGCTAACGCTATGATAGACCTTCTTTTCTTGAAATGTACATGAAATTGTACAGTATTTTCATGATATGTCGCCATGTCTATATAGCCCGACACCTTATTGGGTATAATATTTGTACTTGGCAATTACTTTCCTGTACTACCTGTTCAATGTAATGGAATGTGCCTATTTCGAGAAAGTTGTACAGAAGCCCGTTATACGCGAGGGAGGACATAGATTCAAGTATACATCCTGGTCCGTCAACAATGTTCCACCAACGGTTATATGAGAATTACCAAACTAAAAAGGCTCGTCCACAACGCCGAATGCAGGAAAGAAATAGTGAATGCTCAACCGTTGGGAATTATTACCAGTCCAATCGGAGTTACTGGACTTCTGCAGGGGACATATCATTCACATTCCTTGCATATGCAGCCCACCATGGGAATCTATCCCTCCCTTGGTAATTTTTCATATCCCGAACAAGTTCTCTTTTTCACGTAGCTATTCCCAATGGCTATTCTTTGTGTGGCACATTGTATACTGCCAATTGTGGCTTGAAGCTATGAGGGCTTTTAGCATGTTGGCGAACTCTGTCTGGGTATACCTGGCTATATTATGGTGGTTCATCGGGGCCCGGGTCAATGCCATTGAGCTTGACGTAACTGATCAAGGTGAGCTATCCTTTAACTCCTTAAAGAGAAACCAGTGTTAAGGCAGAGCTAATTCAAGTGACCAACAGAGAGCATCAAACATGTCGCCAGTCAACTCGCCTGGGATCTCGTCAGTTTCTACACCGGCAACAACACAGGAGATGTACCTGGGAACCTCCCCGATCCGTACTACTGGTGGCAAGCAGGCGCCTTTTTTGGGACGTTGATCAATTACTGGGCGTACACTGGCGACACGACCTACAATGACATTACAAAGCAGGCCATCCTGCATCAAGCAGGCGAGAACGGCGATCTCATGCCAACAAACCAAACCAGGACAGAAGGGAACGATGACCAGGCTTTCTGGGCATTTACAGCGATGATGGCGGCGGAGTCCAATTTTCCAAATCCTGAAGAAGACCAGCCATCATGGTTAGCGATGGCGCAAGCGGTATTCAACGAGCAAGCTGCGAGATGGGATATGAACACTTGCAGCGGGGGGTTGAAATGGCAGATATATTCGTTCAACAGTGGATATCAGTACAAGAACGCTATTTCGAATGGCTGCTTCTTCGACCTCGCCGCACGACTGGCACGGTATACGGGAAACATGACATATGCAGAATGGGCGGAAACTTCCTGGGACTGGGCCGAGAATGTGGGACTGCTCGGGGAGCAATATGAAGTGTATGATGGGACGAGCGAGACGAACAATTGTTCGGATATCAACCATATACAGTGGACGTATAACAATGGGGTGTTTTTGCACGGAGCAGCCCATATGTGGAATCTGGTATGTTTCGACCTTCATTGACAACTTCTAATACTAATGAAGCAGACAAACGGAGCTCAGAAATGGAAAAAGCGAATCACCGGTCTTCTCGACGGACAGCATGTCTTCTTCTCCAAGAGCCAAACGTCGAAAAATGTCATGTACGAGTCCGCCTGCGAGCCCCAAGGAATCTGCACCACCGACTCGACCTCCTTCAAAGCGTACCTGGGCCGGTGGATGGGCGATATCGCTAAAATCGCACCCTTCACGCGCGACACCATCGTCTCTCGTCTTCGACCCAGCGCCAAAGCCGCTGCAGCGCAATGTCTCGGTGGCAATACAGGGACATATTGCGGTACCAGCTGGACCAAAGGAACCTATGACGGGACAATTGGTTTTGGCCAACAAATGTCCGCCTTGGAGGTGATCCAGGCCACTCTCCTCGACACGGTTGGAGGCCCATTGACGGATAGAACTGGTGGATCGAGTGACAGCGATAGTTCTGCCGGGACAGGAAGGACTTCCGCTGAGCTGCCGGGACAGTGGAGACCTCTTACCCTGAAGGATAAAGCGGGTGCGTGGGCTGCGACGGGCGGGCTGGGGGCAGTGGTTATTGGGTATACAATATTTATGTTTTTCTGAATTGGTGCTAGCCTTCTATTGTGTAAATATCACATGATAATACCATGAGCATTCTCCCATCTGACTGGCCCTATTGTACTTTTACCCCGGCTCTCCTCCGCATTACCCGATTTGGCAATATAGAGAACCCAGAATACCAGCCAATCATAGGCTCTCTCCTAGAGCTACGCTAAACCTACCACGGCAGGAGATACGCCGAAGGAGATATAAGCCAATCACAGGCAGGAATCAGCTCGACTTCTGTTCCGCAGTGGGACAGGCGATTAACAGCCAATCAGTACGCGGCAAGGCAGAAATGCATGGCCAATACCTCGTCTATATAAGCCGTCATCCCTCGCCTCTTGGTATTCCTTTATTATACTTACATATTCTACCTTCTAGTATTTATAGGTGGTTAACACCTGTATCACCATGTCCGGATTACACCCTTTTGACCCCATCACACCCGGGGAAATCCAGCTTGCCACCAAGCTCCTGCAGACCGCCCTCCCTGGCGTTGACCTACGGTATAAGCGAATTGATCTTCAAGAGCCCATCAAAAAGGATGTAATTCCATATATTGAGGCTGAGCGCCTGGGGAAGCCTCTTCCGCCGAAGCCAGCTCGGTTGCTGGTTGCTTTGTTCCACCGGTTGGACACCGGGGCTTTCTGTAAGGCGTTGCTGAATGCTTCGACGAGGGCCGTTGTGTCTTTGAATGAGATGCCAAAGGATATTCAGGTACATTACTCGCGGCTAAGGAAGAGCACGGATGCTGACGTGACAGCCCCCGGTCGACGTGGACGAAATGATCGAAATCGAACAACTCTGCCTCAACCACCCTGCCGTCCAAGCAGAGATCGCTAAGATGCAACTTCCATCTGGCATGAGAGTTTGTAATGATCCTTGGATCTACGGAACAGATGACCAGAATGAAACCCGTCGTTTGTTCCAGTGTTACATGTACATTGTTGCCACGGACCACCCCCAAAACAACCACTATGCACACCCGTGCAAGTTCTCGCCTGTCTTTGATGGTCTTACCAGACAGCTGGTGCGGATTGATTACTTGCCTTCTACCCCTGACCACAGCTGTGTTGAGACGCAACCATGGAGACCTGTTCCAGGGATCCAGTATGCGCATGAATTGCTTGAGGAGCCGTTGCGGAATGATCTGAAGCCATACATTGTGCAGCAACCGGAGGGTGCTTCGTTCTCTGTGAATGGAAATGAGGTTTCGTGGCAGAAGTGGAAGTTCCGAGTTGGATTCAACACTCGTGAGGGATTAGTCATTCACAACTTGAACTATGACGGACGGAGCACATTTTACCGGCTGTCCGTGTCGGAGATGACGGTGCCTTATGGAGGTATGTTTTTTCTGTCCTTTGTACTAGAATTCTCATGCTGACCGATAGACCCCCGCGCTCCCTTCCATCGCAAGCAAGCATTCGATGTCGGAGATGTCGGCTTCGGTATCACAGCAAACGAGCTCACGCTTGGCTGTGACTGCCTTGGTCATATCAAGTACTTTGACGGTTACCGCGCCGACTCAAAGGGAACACCGATCGAGCTGAAGAACATTATCTGTCTCCATGAGCAAGACAACGGCTTGCAACATAAGCATACAAACTACCGTACCGGTGCTGCGACGGTTGTCCGGAATCGCCAATTAGTTGCTCAAATGATCTGCACAGTTGGCAACTATGAATACATATTTGCATTTATCTTCGATCAAGCTGCCAACGTTGAGCTCGAGGTGAGAGCAACTGGTATCTTGTCAACCGTTCCCTTTGACAACGAAAAGCCTGGCACAACTGTTCCGTGGGGGACCAACGTTGGTCCAGGCGTTATGGCGCCATTCCACCAACACATGTTTTCCTTCCGAATCGATCCCGCCCTTGACGGCAACCAGAATACTATCTACTACGAAGATTCCGTCCCCATGCCCGAGGATGAGAACAACCCGTACAATGTCGGCTACGTCACTGAACAAACCGTCATCAAAACAAGCGGCACAGCACAAACCAGCGTCGACCGCCACCGTGTATTCAAGATCCGCAACGATAATATCATCAACCCTATAACTTACCATCCCATCTCGTACAAGCTGCAAACATCACCCGCACAGATGATGTTAGCAAGCAAGAACTCTTTTGGTCTGAAGCGTGCTGTATTCGCCACAAAGCCGATCTGGGTGACTAAGTACCGCGACGGAGAACTCTTCGCGGCTGGTGAGTTCACGAACCAGAGCAAGCAATCGCATGGCGTGGAGGAGATGGTTGATCGAAAGGATCCTGTTGAAAACGAAGATGTTGTTTTGTGGCATACGTTTGGACTCACGCATAACCCACGTATCGAGGATTTCCCGGTCATGCCCATGGAAAAGGTTAGCGTTATGCTTAAGCCGGACGGGTTCTTTACGAAAAACCCTGCGTTGGATGTTCCGCAGTCGTCTCAATTGTTCAATAAGTCAACGCTGCATCCAGAGAAGGCATGCTGTGCACCGGGGCAGGTGAAGCTGTAATAAGTCATTGACTAGATAGTATATACAAGTCACGTTATATACAAAATTTACACTGCATAAAAGCGCAGTTACTGAATCTGAATACAAACCTTCGAAAAATGCCCCTGCCCCATCATATATCCATACGCCTCCCTCACCTCAAACCCAAACACCCTCTCGTCAACAACTGGCTTCACCCCCTTCTCTTCCATAAACTGATTCATCTCCTCGAACTGCTCTCTACTTCCCAGCACCACACCCCTCGCAACGCAAGCATTCACCAAGCACCCCAACAACGTAGCAGTCTGCGCTGCGCCGGGCAAGTCACCCAGCAATCCAGTCACAGAAATTACTCCTTCCGGCCGCACGGATTCAAGTGACTGGCCGATCGTCGCAAGTCCGCCAACGTCAACAACGACATGCACGCCCTTTCTGTCTGGCGTGAGTTGTTACGCAGTCTCGCCCCAGTTTGGGTTTGTCTTGTAGTTGAGCACATGATGTGCACCCAGAGAGGTAAGTTTCTGGGCTTTGGACTCGCTACTCGTCGTTGCGATGATAATCGCTCCCACCGCAAGCGCAAACTACCCTTTATTAGCCATAGTCCAGCTCCAAGCCGAAGAATAGAAAGTAACCCACCTGCATCGCAAGAACAGAAACACCCCCCGTTCCTTGCACAAGCACGACATCCCCCTCCTTAATCCCCTTCAACCCGCGTAACCCAAACAACGCATTCCAAGCCGTCAACCCCGCACACGGCAACATACTCGCCTCAACAAATGACAATCCCTCCGGCATCACTACAAGGGCTGTCTCATGGAAAATCCCATAAGTGCATAATGCCCCGTCTGTACCATGGCCCAGACCGGTCAAGATCTCGGGAAGGATTGCGGTTCGGCATATGGTTTGTTCGGGAGGAGATGCGTGCATACTTTAACACCGGGCTTGAAAGTCTTTGCTTTTGCGCCGGTTGCATGGACTATGCCGGAGCCGTCGGAGGTGGAGATTACTGGCTTTTCGAGGGAGAGGCCATGCAGCGCCTGGAACCAGAAGCAGTCGTGTTAGTATCAAGCCAATTTGGTTCAAGTGGTTGTAAAGGGAATACTTCGGCAATAGCAACATCGCGATGATTCAACGATGCAGCATGCATCTGCACAAGGACGTCATGATCGCCCAATACGGGCAGTTGTCGAATGCTGGTTCTCTTTAGGCTTTCGGTGCTATTTTGGCCGTCTAGGATCCAGGCGTTGGTTCCCATTGCCTCGAATTGTTTTGAATTGAAGTCATTGGTAAGGTAGCGCTTAACAATCTCGTTGTTCTGGTTTTAAGGGGAAGTGGAGAATTGATGTAACCTGGCCGTTTTGCCCTGTGAAGAGAGCTCTGTGACCTAAGCCCTAGGCGGGTACATTGCTAGTCAGACTGGAATAATGTACGGGCCGAAAGAATGCCATTACGATTCATGTCCCTCCGCGGCGTCGACATACTGCCTTCCTCAAGCTCAATACATTATACGTCTGTATTTCAGCTGCTTGTATATCCTACAAAAAAAAAAAAAAGAAAAACAAAGAATCATCAATCTAACCATGCCTCTGGGAAATAGTAGCGCGAATACCATATCCCAATTCTACCTTCCGCAGCTCATCCAACGAGACATTTGCCGGCGCCGAAAACCTGGTATGCATCAGCATATAATTCAATCGGAGAAATAGTCTTCAGCCGTACGAGGTCCTGTGAGCATAATGGAATCCTTCTGAGCTTCTGTCGAAGGGTTCAAAGCCCGAAGCACCCTTCTCACCAAATCTGTCTTTGACGCTGTGGAGTCGTTAAAAGTTTGCGATAGTGTATGAAGGGGCGAGGGGGGGTTACATACATGGACTCTACATTCGGGTCATATTCTTCATAGTACCTGGGACTATTGTAGTGGATATCGAGCGACTAGAAGTAATAAGGGTTTAGTACCCCGAAAGCATCTCCGGGGTCTGACATTTCAAGGGAACTCACGTATTTAGGCATTGTTTACCGAGATTGTAAGAACTGCCTGGAGAAGACACAAAAGAATGGATTTCTATCGTAGCTCTGGCAGGACCTGTCGTCCTTAAATACCCCCAGACCCATTACAGCTGGCGTTTGCGGAGAGCCACGATGTGCATACTAGTATCTATGCGACTACGTCATATATGCAGGTCACTTCGCTGGTGTTATGCGAAATTAAATCATTGATATTCCACTAGTATCAGATCCCCTGGGCCCGAAACTTTGATCTTGCGGTAAGCAACTGACTCAAATGACAAGTCTTATTCTCCTGTACCATTTTTTTTATTTTGGTATGGATATGGACATTTCTCTTTCTTAAGGCGAGGTATATAACTGTAACTCGTAGTGCTCGCAATTGTCCGATACGTCTTGCCTTATGCCTTGTGTCTTGCATTTACAACCACGATCAACCCTCAATTAAAGACCCCTGGCACGCGAGGGCAGATTTATTTAGCCTGACCATGAGTTACAGACCAATTCGATGTATATTTTTCCCTCATGTCTGTTGTTTGGTTTGGATGTGCAACTGGAAGTTATTTCCGTAGCCAATCTTGTCCAGTAAGGTGGAGAACGAAAGTGCGATTTAACACGTCGATCGAAGAAGGAATGATGTTAATCAAGATACACGGATGGAAAGCGAGCAGAGTGCCTGGCAAAATCAAATCCAGACATCAGCAATTCCGATGCCTCCAGCCCTTTTGTTTCTAGCTCTGGTCCCACTAAAGCAGCTCCTCACTATTTAATCGACTACTGATCTATACATTGTTAGTGAACAATGATTGGTAAATTAGATATAGAATGGAATGAATGTCTGTACCTCATCGGTGCCTGGCATTCTTCCAACTCTACTTCGAAGATTTCGTTTCTGTGGATACCATTTGATTTTTTTTGAGTATTGACATTACTTATGTCGTTCCTTGCTAGACCGACCCTCCAACAGCATCCGCTCGCTCAACTATCCACGGACTGAACACCAATAACGATACCATCTGCCAGCTTCACACTCTGCAGGTCTTCCAATGAGACGTTGTCTGGTGCTTGAAACCTGATTTCGTCCATTAGTATTGAACAACAACAACAATCAAGACTCGGAATGCTATTCATACGTTAGACTATGGCTAGGAGGAAGACTGCGGGTGGAAATCATGAGAGAGAATCCCGAGGCCCCCTTCTGACTGAGCTTTTCCTGGGTCCTACGAGACTATTAGATATGGCTTTTGGCGGGATAGTATCTGTGAGGGGGTAGTACAAAGTCTCGATATTTCTGCCATGTTGCGCGTAGGCTTCATCTTCTGAGTAGCGGATGCTGGCTCTCTATAAAAGGTTGAATATGTTAATATCCTACTTTCACAGAGCAGAAAGAGACAGATCAACTAACATATCCTGGCATTTTGCGCTAGGTTTTAGCTTGGCGATTAATGAGATGATTAATGAGATGATTAGTATAGAGTCCTTTGCATTTGCATGAGGCCCATCTGTTTAAAATACTTCATTTGGGGCTATGTCATAGCTCAGCCGAGCTGACTCCAGATCCCAGCTGACTAAATGAGGGGTTCATTCTGCGCCATCTGTGTTTCTTTGATTGGCTCAGGTAGGCCCATAGTGGCTGTGATTGATTGTGGCTGGTTGGCGATCCTTTGCTGGCATCAGCTAGACGTGTTCGAGGAATGTCCACGAGCTTCCAATTTGCTCCGTACATGAGGGGAAGCTATGCACTACGATTGAAGCCCTATGGTGTGAAATCACCGTCTTGACTCACCCAAGATATGGGGTACCGGGAGCAGTTGAATGTCCCAAATGTCAGGTTCGTGATAAATTGCTGGACTTGTAGGAGATCTATCGGACAGTAGAACATAACTTCTATATATGACGTAGTGGTCTGAAAGACGTCAGCGCTGCTGCAGGAAATTGAATGTACTGGAATTGAATGTACCGATACAATGCTTCCAGTACCTCGCCGACCAATACGAACAAGTAAATGTAAGACTGGCAAATTTAGCAGAGGGATAAATACCAAAATCAGAGATGCTGAGATGGTTCGAGATCCCGCGATGCAGGTCCGTCAGATTTGAATTCTTGAATAGATATTATATATAATACAAACCAAAGCCAGCTCTGCCCATGGGCGTCTGAGTAGCCCAAAGGCATGTATTAAACTGCAAACATTTCTCCCTCTCATCTCTAATATGATCAGTCCTGACACTCTATATATCTACCGATCCTCCGGCGGAAACATATCTGAAAACCGTTTGATTTAGCAGAGAATGCTCAGCTGGTGTATCGATCATGGGAGAAAATTTCAAATCAAGCGGCAATGGACGTCAATAATAGTCTGGTCCTCAGTTTGTCGATTGCTATCTCTTGATCATGCTTCAGCCAAAAGAAGAGGCTGATAGAGCAGTCGTTTTCGAGGCTTGAACGCAATAATAGACACACGAGCATTTATATGTAGAACATAAAATACTTATCAGCTTGCCATTTCAGTACCAGTACTCCACTTCCGTCTGCTGAAAACATTCATGTACTGGCATTCGGTCCTCTTCGGGTCAATAAAACGTGTGATTCTCACGTTCAGATATGGAAATGGTCGGAATATGTTGGTAGAAATCGATGGTATCGAAGTAACAGCTACATTTATCTCTCTGCAGCACGCTCGACTCGCTGTACCTGAGTCATAACACCCTCTGCCAATTGGACACTCTGCAGCTCCTCCAAGGAAACACTATCGGGTGCCTCGAACCTGCCCTTCTGTTAGTACTCACGCAAATAACCAGCCCCGAGAGACCTAGACTTACAGTGTGATATGAAAGGGAGGATACCCTGAATTAAAAGCGAATCGTTGGAAACTCAGCACACCCTTTGCACCGAAGTTACTTCTCGCTCTAATGGACTGTTAGAAGACATACTATGGTCGTAGGAGAGGGCCTGTACATATTCTCAATACCTGAAGCATGTTTACTATCGGCTCCGGGGGCGTAGCGAATTGTTAATCTCTGAGGGCAGTATCGAATTAGTGATTCGTCTAAGGCTAGGCAAAATTGAGTGGGGCCTAACGAACGTATTTTGCCATTTTGAACTGTGGTTTTTCCTGGGCTGGAATTCAAAAATGAGAGTGGCAGGACGGGTGTTTGTCAGGGTCATGGTTAGGCTTATCCCTTTATATGCCATTTGAGCAAGGAGTTGTGGGGAAATCATGAGCTGCGGGGGGACACGTAGCATGCACAAGATGTACATCAATGCTTTAATTGCGCCTGATTGGATAATAGATCCAGATTATGGAGATACGTCAAATGGTTAGGAGTTTGCACTATCACATAGATAAAGCGGCAGGCATAGTGTTACAGTAATAGAAATCGAATAAGCTCCATTTGACGCCAAAGCCGGATGACTATCTCTTTCAACAGCCATGCTCAGTATGGCTGATTTACTTGTTCAGAATGCCCTATTCGTCCTCTTCTACTCTCTCAACGCTTTTTTTGTGACTTGTTGAGGACCACCAAGATGTCTCTGTGCTTGATGCTGGCGTGGAATGCCGTTGTGAGAAATTGGGGTTTCCCAGACTCAGAGGACATCAGTCACCTGTGATAAAAAGTGAGGGAATACAAAAAATACTGAAAATGGAGCTCTATAGTTTCTCGTCTAACGCTCTTTCCGTTCAAAAATGATTATCCGCCTATTCTTCAATCGCTTCCAAACTACGCACTAACACCCGGTGATTATCAGATAGCAGCTATCTCACAATATCACTTCAGTAACCTCAGTCCGAATACCCGGTGCTAGTTGTACGCTTCGCAGATCATCAAATGGAACACTTTCTGGTGTCCAGAACCTAAATCACGTTAGTATCTAGCATGGCTCGGAGGATGCCTGACATACATGGTGAAATGGCTAAGTGGGCCCGGTCTCGGAGTCTCAATGAATTGATTGAAATTCAAGGCACCCAGTTCACCAAATTTGACTTTTGTTCTAGTGATTCGTTAGACGTACAACATAGCTGGTCGTATGATCGAAAGTAGTACATGTGTTCAATATCTTTGGCATACTTGTCGTAAGCGTCGGGACTGTAAGTTATCATGCATCTCTAGGTGTAACGATCAATCAGCACTCTGTTTTTGGAAACTTCAGCAGGTAGCAACGAACATATTGGGTCATTTTCCCCTGCGCTCCTTTGGGCTGCGGCTTAACAACGAGGGTGATTGAGGTCGATTGACTTCATAGGACTTGTAGATGTTTGTTTATTATATACCTTGAGCTTCGAAGTTTCTGTCCTACAGACTGACGCAGAACGGTCTGGCATTAGGCCGACAGGAAAGGAACAAAAGCCACATGGCACACTGAAGGCGTGCTTGTACGCTGCCTAATTGGATCAAATCCTCATGATGCAGTGTAGACTGGGGTAAAGGACACGAAGGAATCAAATTAAAGCTCTTCGCGCGCTTGTCTAGAATAAAAGCCTATGTTTCAGAGTCAATGAAATCGCCCGAAGCATACGATAGGTCTGCTGCATCCAGCGACATGCAGCGGTTTATTTGCGCTACTACGTGGACCGCAGGCGCTTATTCGTTAGAATTCTAAACGATACTGAGTTCCGATCTCACCTAAGCGTCTCAAATCGTGCTGGAATACTCTTCATGCATCTGCAAAGAAACGGCCTGGAAGCTGCTTAATTGGACCACGGTCGCTGCAAGTGTCGTCGAATTATGTTTCGAGGAAGTCGGTCCGAATCAAAAATTGTACACATTTACAAGCTACGTCATCAGGATAAACGCAGTAAAGTAGCGAATTTGTATTCAAGTCTATTGCTTGTTGCTTTTTTCGCCTTGTTTTGAGCAGTTGTCCCCCTATCTTTAGGTATGCGTCGTCGTATTTTAAAAAGTGAGACAATAATATTGCGACAAAATCAGAACGCAAGATGAGAAACCGTACCATAGACAATGATGAGAGCGAGTTTAGAAGACGAATAAAACCTTTCCTTGCAGAGAAAAACTTCACCACCCGGTATAGCCCTAATTCTCATGACGTTGATGCATCAAAACTTTCACTAAAAGTACAAAATAAAGAAGCGAATGGGAGAACAATAGAGAAACAAGAAGAAGAAACTAAAAGTGGAACTATTAGTGACTATCACAAAACCTGTATAACAAGCGGATGAAGACCCTCTCCTAGCCGTATAGCCTGTAGCTCCTCAATTGGGACTGCGTCGGACACTGTGAAGCTGTGTCTCCAATTAGCGGTTGCAATGGACAGAAAAACAATAGTCATACATTGTGCTCTCAGAAAGACCCGTTCCTGGTGTCATCGGTTGAAAGCCTGAAGCGCCCTTGCTACCATATTTTGTTGCCAGCCTGATATATGGTTAGATTAATGCATAGCTCTAAGACATAATATAAAAGGATTGAGAGAAATACAAATATCCTAAGTTGTCGTGATACCTCCGAAACGCCGTAGCGTCGGCGTAGCGGACGACAACTATCTAGTGAATTACTTAGCATATCATTCATCATACTAACATTCTTCCTAGAGAGTATCGACTTACAAGTCTTTGCATTTTGCGCGAGTGTGGTAGATCACAAAATGAAGACCATTCGATTTGATTAGGGGATGGTCAGTGAAAATCAATTTCTTGCTGGGCAGAAATTTTGTTAAATACCATTTTCGTCGATTAGTGACTGTGCTCTTAACTGAGGGGAAATTGCAATTAGGACCACATGGAATGCAGCACAGATGCATCTTGACAGAATAGTTTATGCACACTATATCTCACCTAAGCAGATCAGTGGGTACTGCACACGTTGTCCAATTGATCAGCCCAACGGCACATCTTGAGCATGATAAGTCAGACAAATCATGGATATTAGCATTGATAGCAATTGTTTCATATCGCGATCTATATTAGCCCATGGCCTCCTGCGTCCGAGCCCCCGGGAGCTATTTCGTTGACCCGAAAGGGGCTCATAGCGTGCTCAGTACAGTTAGCGCGCACATACCCGTCTCCTGATAGGGGTTGTGTTCACTTTTAAAGGCTCTAGGGATTGGAACTACTTAGTAGACCTCAGTACTTACAATTTCATAACCTGCTTTACAAATTGTACATAGAACCATGATCTCCGATAGCAATAGAATACGCCATTAGGATGCTTAGTGACATAAGATTTGCATTTGACTTCCGGTTTCCGGTGTATCAATGCCAGTAATGACCTGCCATTACACCGAGCGGTCGTTTTTAGACAAGCCAAATCAATCAATAGAAACTGATATAGCAAAAAATAAACCACTGGCCCTGCATACCAGTGACTAGGCTATGAGTATTTGCTAATTGACATTTTTGTGGAGCGAACAGAGGCAGGTAACACCTCATTGACTTCATTTCGAGCCCTAAATTCCTCCAAGCCTGACAACTCATCATATCCAAAAACTTGGCGTACTGATGCCCGAGGCACGCTCTTCTAAATTGATTCAGAAATCCAGCGATTGAAGTTCAAACCTGATACCCCTCGGAAAGTCTATCATCTTCAACTGATACACATGGACGCTGGAAGGCACTTCTATCCTGGAATTTATCAGTAATTATTTAATAGATTACATCAAGAGCATAAATCATGCAACTGAGGTAGTACATACACAGTAGAGATCTTGGGAGGATAGTTCGGAAAGCGCTCAAACGCCGCAAGCTTTGCACCCACTTCGGCAAACCTGCTTCTCATGCTGATGGACTGTTAGACCTATACTTCCTTGTACAGTTGGGCAGGAGTATAGTACACATGCTCAATGTATGCACATTCCGAGAAGTCGCTGAAGCGCACGTTAAGGCGCTAACGGAGGACCATATCAGGACTTGTCTTGAAGGGCTTTCGAGATTGGACTTACAAGGTAGTAAGTCATTTTATAGACTAGCCGTCTCTTCAAATTGCTGGTAAAAATAAAGTCGTGTACCTGATTGCTTTATAGCCTATGACTTAGTGTCGTAGCTGGAATTGACGGAATTGATGAAATCCAGCGGTCTGTCTATCAGCAAGTCGGATGACGAGGAGGATTTGGATATGTTCCGGGAGGCCGAGAACTAGGTGATGGCTACTGTAACGGAGAAGCCGGAAGGATTGACACGAGATGACTAGACCCGAGAGGGCTGTAGTGAACATCACGTATAATGTAGAAGTCATTTCACCCTTTGAGCTCAATTAGCCGACGGGTATACGCATTTTATGGCTGTGTAACATGGACGCATAAAGAATACTATTGTTTGCCGCTATCCCAATGTAAAGCCAAAGCAAGTAAGCGCTGAGAAAATCTGCAGTAGCCAATTATGTGACTGGAAGGAATAAGGCCGAAGTTCTGTTTGCCATCGAATCTGCATCATGGGCAACGATGAATGCGTGAACAATTGAGCATATTATTGGAACAATACATAACCAGAACAAAAACGTGAGTTTAAATGTCTGACGAACATAATCCCAGACGCTCGTGCGACCTTAATCGCTCGGCATATTTGCACCCCGAATTCCGTTTATCATAAGCTAATATTGTTTAGCAACCTGAATCAACTATCACGACATATACAAGGGAGCAACTAATCAACACTAAGCCAGCCAATTGCTGGGTAGACTTTTATGTCGGTACAGATTTGCTTTTCTTATGAGATCACTAAGTATCTGGCATTCTGGACCGAGACGGATTGTCACTATAGAGCTGCCGTCACCCGTAGGCTACAACAGCTTCAACTATAGTGTGTTCACATAGCTGTCTATTTCCAATTCCCTTGGGATAACAATGAAAATTTTATAGCAATTGACTTCTTATATCTGAGAAGTAAACAACAGTTACAATACCCTCCCCGAGTTTCACACCCAGCAGATCATCCAATGGGACATTACTCGATACGACAGAGCTGATATCGATTAGTACCCAATGCGGTAACAACACTATGGATGAATGAGGTAGTATAGGTTCTCAATATCGTTGTGGTGTTTTTCAAAATAAAAAGAGAACTACTTAGCGGATACAATGCACCTAAACGTAGAGTTGAATTATTATTCCGCTATGGAAGACTGGAAGGTCAACAGACGTAAGAAAGCATGTTGCACCGCCGATGCTTTTCCCTATTGAGTAATTTTTTTGTCCTTGTTTACGCTTAATATCATATAGGTTTATATTCCACAGTTTAGCTGACGAGAAAGCCGCAGCGTAGCACATATGCCGTCTGCATTTTTCTTTATCTACAATTGGATGGAAATCATATCGTATAAGCATGCGATAACTGTGCATATTTGATACAGGAGGGTTACGCTGGTTATCGCCATGGAGGGGTAACTGCATGTAGTCTGATAATACCGGATGTCATGGAATAAAGATTCTTATCTTTCTCTGATATATATCAAAGCATGCTACAAGTCTGATGGCAAGCTGCTCGGACATTCGTATCAAGTCAGTCCCGAGGCTAAATTGGTACCTTCTACCATACTACGACGAGCTTATCTCACAAGACCGGGATAGAATGTCCCAACTTGCAGCAATATAGGCAGCATCATTTGATGGAGTCATATCTCATGAGTCTCTTGTTATAGGCTGGATCGAAGTTAGTACTTGATGACTTAAAGGAGACCGGAGCGCAACGAACATATGATGTGTTTTGGAGTAAAAGCGGTAGACGTAGCGGTGCTCTAGAGATCTCAACTAAAACCCCGAGGTTGCGGTTATCAAACTATGGCCTTTTTGCGCAAGTACCAATGCCCGGGGACTGAACTTATTTCTTTTGTGATATAGAAGTGCTCAATCTGAATTCTTGTTGCCAAATGTTTTGCAAATAGCACCGCATTTCATATTTCAAATGTACTGGAATTATATAAAGTAATCAATGATTCAGTTCAGCTGGATGTGCCGATGTTTCCAAATCCTTGATTATAAACGCTGGGTCGCCGGCGCTACGTCGGTATAGGAGATCTCGGTAGGGCTGCGCAGGACACGGTACGGACAACCGAAAATTGTATATCGCAAATATTCGGTCATGGCTGCGCGAAATGTGATAACAGGAACTTGCGAAACAGCGAGGAATTTGAATCAATTTGCTTTTGGGTTCGACAGAATGCGGGATATAAAACTTCATGGTTCCCGTCCAACCTCGCCTACCGTTCCTACTAGAAACAGAAGCCACGCCACAGTGTGGCGGTAAGTCTACCAATCTACCAAGCGATACTAGATCCATATACACCCAATATTTAATCTATTCCAACGCTAGTCACAATCATTCACGAGGAATCCTTGTTGGCCGTATTATACAGCGGGCTCACTCACAACCCTCCTAGCACCCGGCGGCTTCGTCGGCAACGACAACCACAATCCCAAACAAACACAAAGCATCACCAACACCATCGGCTGTAGAACCCCAATACCCTGCGATTTCGCAATAGCGCCCGTGATAAACGGAAATGTACAGCCTCCCGCACTGCCTAACGCACACGCGAATCCCACCGCAGCGACATGCAGGTGCTTCGGGAGGATTTTGGTCTGCGCAATAACAGCTTCAGGGAAGAGCGGACCAAGGAAGAATCCCAGGAAGGTTATTGCGATGGCAGACGCGACGTAGTTATCGACTGTGTAGAAGATGAGTTGTGCGGCGATGCAGCCAACGAGGTACACCGTTACGGCGGTCTTTTGTTTCTTGAGGTATGGTGTTAGGAAGCCAAGAACCACACGTCCGCCGGTTATACCGGCCCAGTAGGCGAAGTTGGCAATTCCAGCGGCAAATGGGGCTGTCTGACGGAGGTCGACGAGGAAGGTGATGAGCCAGCCTCCGACTGTGACTTCGCTGCCGACGTAAACGAAGAGGTAAGCACTGATGATCCATGTGGATGGCAGTGTTAAAGCCTGGACCGTGGGACTCTTTTGCTGTTGCAGCTGGGGTTGTTCATCGTCTGCGGGAGCGGTGTCCTCGGCATGGCTCTCTCCCTTGGCGTTCCAGAATGCCGCGACGGAGGTTACAAACTCGACAGCTGCTGCCAGCGCCATGATATAGTAAAACTCGTACCACTGCCATCCGCTTTTGGTAAACAGCGTTGTCGCAATCAATGGCGCCAACGCCGCACCCACACCATAAAACGCGTGCAAAAGACCCATCAACATGCTGCTGTCAGCCATTGCGCCGATCCAGGCATTCCACGAGGCATCGATGACGCCATTTCCGAGACCGGCCAGGATGAAGATGGCGATCAAGATGGGGTACGGTGGATGGCGGGTAACTGCGAGGTAGGCAATAATGTGCATACCGCATCCCAGGATCGCGACTCCGCGCTGGCCAAATCGGACGTGGATTGAGTGGTTGAATAGTGCCGCCGTGGCATAGCCGATGAACGAGGAGAGGAAAACCACGGATACGGCGGCGTAGTCGGCATCGTAGTATTTTTGTAGCTGTTCTGTCAGTGCGTGTTGAAAAAACATGTGATTCATTCAACATACATAAGGAATTAAAGCCTGCGACGAGTCAGCCAACCTCACGAACCTCGAGGGGATTGATACATACACCATACGAGCCATCATTGGCACCCACGACTATGAAACTGTAAAAGGTCGCAAGAACCCTCCAAGCATTGATACGAGGCTCATTCCACCTCTCCGCCTGGTGCTCCGGCTCCTCCTGAGTCTCGTCCGTCTGGCGGTCTGTCGCGATTCCATAGTTGGCTCTGCCCGTATCGCTCGGCAGCAGAGGTCTTGTCTGCTCTGCTGCGTGGTTATCTGGCGCCATTGCCGTTCCCTTTAACTTCCCAAATATCAAGGATAAATGCAGAGATATAAAAAGGAAGAGGAATTAGTCGTTGAAAAAGAATCAGTCAATTCACATGACATAACTCAATCCACACAACCCCGCCATAATCTCAGACCCCTCTTGGCCGGGAGAACTTCGGCGCATACTACCGTAACAGGGGAATCAAAAGTCAAACAAGCAGGTGCAATCCTCTTGAAATGCAGTATATCGGTGCATGACCAATCAGCACCAGGGTTCATGCGGAGGAGATCTGATATCGATCCCCGCGTCTCCCGCGGGCGAACAGCGGTGAGAGTTGCAATTATGAGTCGGGAGCAGAGAATATTAAATTTTCCGAGAAGGAAAAGGATGCATCGAATAGGTGCAAAAAGGTGATTTCAAAATTTGAAGGGAAAAAAAAAGATGTGATATTGACAAGAGAGGGATTCGAACCCTCGCACTTTCGTACTGCGGATCATACCATAGCATACACTACGGATAACCTAAACACAGCGCCTTAGACCACTCGGCCATCTTGCCATGAGATTGTTATACTTACTTTTGTAGTAGTGACTTATAACTCTCATGCATAAACAAGTATCTATTCTATCCAGCGTTTCTGCTAACTGCGTCATGCTCCTTGTGTCAATAAGCTACTCATATTAAAGCCTCTTTGATCTTCCCGAGTTCAGAAAATCAAGGAATGTTTTTCTTTCACAGTTTCCGCTATACTTTTCTCCGGTTATATCGGGTTGAGATCGTGTATCGCGCTGGCCAGAGTGCAACAAAGGACCGTCATAAAAGTCTCATATTGGACTAATTCCATGTGTTGGTGGATCCCTCATGGAGTATTACGTTTGCTTCTTGCAGTAGAGTGATATATATATTAAGTGCATCGTAGAGCCAAGACAGATGAGAGTTATCCGGTGTTCAGAGTGTCACGCCTGAACGGACTGAAGCCTCGAACCTGTTATAAAACATATGTCAGCTTAGTACAGTGCCTGCTCGAAGGGAATTCAATATATAATATATAATCACCATCCAGTTGGTCTAACTCTGCCATCTCCAAGAGGATGTTTGAAAAGACAGAAGCGCATAGATACTATTAACAACCATAACAGGATGGAGCTCTTCATGGGGCTTATTCCTTCCGAAGCCTATCTTAACGACTAGTGAATGGATTATATTTTTGAATAGCTGGAGATTTCCATAAGCAATGAATAGAATGAAAGTATAGACAGTGAATTGAATCAGATACTTTCCTTTTGGAAATGCGGCTAAGCGAGAAGATACCGACTTGTATGTCCTGTTTGTACCTCATTCTGTGATATAAACGCTCAATAATCTGCGCCTCTGCATTTTTCTCACCATATTCGCTTTCCTTCTCACGGATAACACTCCACCTTCCATGCTGCCTTGTGATCCAGCTCACCAACTGCCCCCACAATGAAGCTCTTCCCTCTTTCCATTTCCGTCACCATGGTGACTGCCATTGCTCTCCCGGTTGTCAAGATTCTTGTCGATGGTAAAACCTCGGCTTCAGCCCCAGTCTCAGACCCATCGAATCTTCCAATACTAACCGCTCCGCTCCTACAGAAGCCGCCCTCCCAGACTCTATCCCCAGAGTCTTCCACGAAAACGAACGCATGAATCGTACTTGCACCCGCCATATTGATTGTGGCGCTGGTGTGTGCCGGGATGGCCATTGCTACTACGATAACCGTTTTGGATGTTTCCCCGACCGCATCTGTGACATTGGAACTTGCTACCACGGTTACTGCTATGTCGACGAAGATCACATCCCCTGGGACGATGGGGGTATGCCCAACAACTTTGATAACGATAATGACAACGGTGATGTTGCCAAGAAAGACTTCTGGAGTACTGGCAACGATGACAAGACCTTTCGCGAAATGATAGATGATATTCATCAGCGGGCCAAGGCTAGGCCATCGATGGCTAAGCGCGAGGCGCAATGTGAAGGAATCGACATTGACTGCCAACCCGGCCAATTTTGCAATAGGGGTATCTGCTTCTTTCCCAATCTACCGGACATGGCAGAGCGTAGCGAGCAAGGTCTCTGCAGCATTCCCGGTGAATGTGCTCCCTACGATTATGGCCCAGATGATCTAGAGAAAAGCAATATCAACAAGGATGTTAACTGCCACAACGATGAGCAATGTTCGCCTGGAGTCTGTCAGGATGGCATCTGCCTTCTCAAATAGGTTGGGTTCTTGCGTCTTATGTAGGTAGAATCTTGCTGTGCTTCTTTCTTTCTCTGCTTACGGTCTTTAGCAAGATGGTAATTGGCATCATAGAATGGTTCACTAAAATAGTCTGAGTTTCAAGATTGGGAATTGGGGTAACTGGATTTGCTTGTATCTACTGATTTTTTTTTTTTTTTTTTTTCATCAACGCAAATTGGATATCTTATTGCTTCCTCATACTTGTCTACTTTTACATAGTTTTAGATACTGAAGATTGGCCAGTCAGTGATCATTCCAATTTTCATATTCGTGCATATCTTCCAGGGCCCTGGTTGAGATCCTAATAAACCAACCGACGCGAGTATCAAATGTGGAGGCAAACAAACATCGAAGTGAACGAACAACCAGTGAAGGCTTAAACCGACCGTCGTTTTTTCGGTGGGTAACTTTAGATATCTAACGTTTGATGGCAAATTGCCTCTATACTCCAATTCTCTCTCTTATCTCTCTCTCTCTCTCTCCCTCTCAGTCACTCTTCCCTTCTCGAAACCGATACCTAGTAAGCTACTGATCTACATCGACTCCGAAGAAACAGCCCAATTTTCAGCTCATTGTACTGCTCTCTCGTTATAACAGAACAGCATTTATAGTATTAGAATTTGTGGTAAAGCATTTTGATACCCTTGATAGCTGTAGAATATCTATAATCAGGCCAAAGTACGATATCCCCTGGAGGATCAGGGCCGTTGGGCACCGGGGTCCTCACCATGTACTCCACATTCATACAACATCTATACACGACAATTTCTATATAAACTGGCCGTTTCATTCTTTCAAGCGCATCGAAATGCATCTCTATAACCCCTAAAATAAAAATGAATCGCCGACTCGGGCTCTCGGGCTTTACACCCCGCCCAATCGGCGACCCCACATTACCACACATATAATCCCAACCGACTTCACCTCACCTCATCCCATCAACCTCACCATTTCTATCTTCCACAAAACAAACAACTCTTACAAACAAAATGTGCAAGAAAGCCACCTGCTCCAACTGCAGTACGTTCCCCACCGTATCCACGTAACAGATAAGGCGTAAATATTGACCAAGCAGACAAAACCACCTGGTGGGGTTGCGGAAGTCACATCCCCAGCGTCATGGATGCGGTGTCGCAGGACGAGCGGTGCACATGTACGCCGCAGGTTGAGCGCGAGGGGAAGGCTTATCCGCCCAAGGCGGAGAATCCGTGACTGGCCGGTTGCGTGATTCAGTGAGGGTCGAGGGTGTTTACGAGATGATGGAAGTGCTCCGGTGGCTATCAAAGTGTCTGTGGGAATACTCGATCTATGGTATATAGGGAACTTATTTTTTGAAGAGTGTCTCAATCGAAGCCAAAGCTATCCATTATCTTATTTCGATCATTTATCGCAAGCTAGAATTGGGCGCGCTAGACGATAGCAAGCAACCTCCGGTTTTGCGCCAGTCGTGCAATAACTAGAAGAACAGCGCCTACTAGAAGACTCACTCCGGAGTAGGTTGAAAGCGCCAGGTATCCGTACTTCCCAGCCAGCTGGCCGCCGATCGGAATTCCAGCCATTGCCCTGGACAGTTAGTAGCAAACTAGGGAAGATGGATGGAGAAAACATACGATAAAGAAGTAGAGCCCATAACAGCTCCGATAGCCAGCCCGAGAGTCTGAGATGTAGCAACCTGGGCTGCGCAGGCTTGTTGCAGAGACAAGATACCCTAAACGGGTTAGTATGGAACCAAATGGTTCAAGGAGAAAGGGACTAACCCCAGACGCAAACCCATAAGCAGCAGACCAAACCACCAATCCCGCTACAGAAGTCGCCTTCGTCCAGCATAGTGCAATAATTCCCGCGAAGGAAGTAGCCACGATACAGCTATTGAATTTTCCATATTTATCTGCGACGATACCGGGGAGGATACGGCCGAAGAACGATGCTCCGTTAACGATCGAGACGGTATAGAAGGACAAGTCGTCCGAGAACCCCATCTTGACACCGTAGGACGTGGTAAAGAAAAAGGGAGAGAACATTCCAAAGTAGATGATGAAGAAGGACAGGCAGGTTAATTGCATCTTGGGTTGTTTAAGGATGGAGAAGTCTGTCTTTGGGAGTTTTTTGGGTTCTTTTGAAGTCGACGATGTTTGATCTTCGTTGGTTGGCTGCGGCGCGGGTGCGGGACGACAGCAGGTACAAGAGATCAGGAGAAGAGGGAGCATGATAAATCCTGAAATCCGCATGGTCCATGGAAAGCCGATGTTGGGCTTCTGCAGCAATTCTCTAATCACGATAGGCCATATGACACCTCCCAGAGAAGAACCGGCGATGACAATCCCCATGGCAGCAGCGCGTTTGACTTTGATATGCTGGCCGACAAGGGCGAGCATGGGAGTGACCAGGAGCGCCATCGAGACGCCAAGTAGGATACCCTGAGCAAGGATAAACTGCCACAGCACTTTGCACAAAGAGGCCATCATCATGGCGAATACGGTTCCGACGGAGCCCACGTACAGCATCAACTGTACTCATTAGTCTATCTACCTCTCTAAGATGTTCATAAATCAGGCTTACCCCCGGGCCAAAGAAGTCAAGCAACGGACCAGATATGACCGAAATGGAGAAAATGAAGAAGACACTGAGGGCTCCGATCCATGCGATAGTAGTTTCTGTTTCGTTGGCGAGTTGGTACTGCATATAGTATGTTTCGAATACACCGAACGAATTCAAGAAACCAACTGTGCAAAAGAGTCCGGTGAAGGCGCCGAGGATGGTCAGGTTTGCTCTGAGTCTGTTATTGTCAGTCGGCCAGCTTGGTCATGAGCATATGCTGCTGCGAAGAGACGTACGTGTACTCGCTTTGAGGCTGAGGCTGGGCCTCAATCTGCGAGTTATCTTCTGCGCCCATGATGTTCGATAATTCGACTTGGTTGGATAATTCGATGTGGTTGGATCCTCGGTGGTTTTCTGGTGTCAGGTATGGGACGAGCAGTAGCTTTTATAGATAGCATGGCAACTGGTAACAAGGAAGTTAACAGAAATGACAGTCCGGAGCGTCCGTGGGACGAAGAAATCAGGTATCCGGAAGCAAAATTAGCCCTGGTGATGATTTCCCTTTCGGGTTATCGTAGTAAGGCTTCTCGGAGAGTCCGCGGAGGCTCCGAGGCGCTGAGATCAACATCATTTGACCTTTTCACACGTATATCCGGCGGGAAAAAAAAATATCTAACCAAATCCCTGTGCTTCTCTCGCATTTGCCCTTGTTCGAAATTGTTCATACTTGCTGGTATTTTGTTCAAAGACAAAATTTTGCCTCTAGCACACGTGATTTCCCGCTTCGAGCCTCAGGCAACACCGTCACCATTGTCAACCACTTCATCTCCCTCGATGAAGCGCAAACCATCTGAGCAGGAGGGGACTCCTTCAAAACGCGCACCAAGACAGGACCCAGTGTCTTGCGAGTTATGCAGAAGAAAGAAACTCAAGTGCAACCGCCAGCAACCATGCAGCAGCTGCGTGACGCGACAATTGCCCTGCAGCTACGGGGCATCGGTATCCTCGTCAAATATAAGTCACGATCAACCAGCTGATAGTACAAGAGATACAAAGGCGATATCAGATGAGAGCCGGGTTCCAACTGCGAATATTGTTGTCGCACGTTCGGATGGTCAGATATCGCGCGACAGAAACGAGTCCGTGATGACAGCGGACTGGCTCGAGAAGATTGTCTTGGGGGATCGAGTTCCGACGGGCATGCGAGCGACGCGAAGGGGACTGAATGAACCTTCAAAGGCCGATGTTAAGAGTCCTGGGCAAGCAGTCGCGGGGAATCCTCTGTCGATATCCTGGACGGCTTCTTCTGAGAACCCCGCGACGGTTCAGTTGCCTTCATTCCTGCCAAAGAAGGCGGAAGCAATGACTCTGTTCCAGTATTATAACAAATACATCGACTATCTGTACCATATCATCCTACCAGACCGGGTAAAAGAACAAATCGACGCCATCTACCAAGCTATTAAAGACCAGGAACAGCTGAATTTAAACCACCTGGCTCTTCTGTTCAGCATAATCGCAAGCTCCCTTTTCCTACAATTGTCTATTGAGTCTTCTGTCCATGCAGAGGCATGTAGTCGAGAATATATCTTCTTGACAGGTGCTGCTTTGATGCAAAGTAACTACTCTGCATATCCGACAATCGAGGGACTACAGGCGATGTTAATAGTGGCGCATAACTTATCCAACACGAACTGTCATCCATCCGTTCGTGCGGTTTTTGTGCATGGCGCAATTGTTAGTCAAGCGAAGAGTCTCATGCTACATTGTATCGACTCGCCTCAGTTCGAAAAAAAGGCCGACGCTGATATGATGGAAGTCGAGCTCAAACGGCGCCTTTGGTGGGATTTGGCGTCATATGACTGGTAAGCTCCCATGGAATATTAACCCAGGCGGCTGCTGACCTCAAACGTAGGTTGTTGGGCTTCCTCAGCGGTCCGCAGGAAAACACATATCTCATCCATCCGGACCACATGAACGTCCAAAGACTGGCAAATATAGATGACACAATACCAGACAGCAAAGAAGAACATTCGTTGCCAACTTCAACGCCAACAAAAATGTCTTATTCTCTCGAGCGGCTCAAGCTCGCAGAAGTGTGCCGAGAGATAGTTGATGCAATTGCCTATGAAAACCTGCGAGGAAGAGAAGTAAGCTACGATAAAATTCTCGAGCTGGATCGTAAACTCCGACAAGCCTATGATTTTCCGGCCTTTTTCCGTCTTGATTCCGTTTCCAGACATCAATATGCATCTCTCTATCATCACCGACCAGCAATCGCTTGGCAACGATGTCTCCTACATCAAGCTTACCATTCACGCTTGTGTCGACTACATCGCCAATATTTGATTCGAGGGGCTCGTGATCCGACATATTCATATTCCCATGTGGTCTGTCTCCAATCAGCGCGCAAGGTGCTTGAAATCAAGAGAATCATGGATGATGATGAGCCGACATTTATGCCGCCAAGCTCAGTGGTCTGGTCAGTTATGCATCATGTATTCATGGCTGCTGTTATCCTGTTGATGGACGTCTGCTTCAACTGGGATGATATACTTGCGGACAAGAGAAAAGAAGAAGTGCTGGATGCATGTCGCATGTTGAGTAAAGCACAGCAATCCTCATCTACTGTTCGCGAGGGAATCAATGCAATGATGGAGGTTCTGCAGAAGCATTGGAAGGTATCCAGCAGCAAGCAATCTGCGGTAGCATCGTCTCCTGTCATAAACTCTATGGAGATGGGTAATCTGGCTCGCGATTTATCCCCGACTACCGAGTCGCAAACTGCTGATCTCAAGCCATCTCTGACAGATCTTCCAAGTAGTGCGATGGACGGTACCGGGGAGACGCTTGAAGATATATGGACCGAGATGCTAGACAGCAGCGGGAATCTGTCTTTTGATACGCCAGACTGGACGGGGCTATTAACCGAGTTAACAAATGCCACTGTATCTTATTGATCCCCGGGAAGTTCCAACACCAAGAACCAAGTTCCGTAACGGCTGTCAACTATGGTTCATGGTTGACAACCTATGATGCCATCATTATGTCGTCCAATTGTCATGCGACTTAGCACTTATGGAATGGAAGCATGATTCTAACACGGCAACTCGCTTGTCAACGTCAGCATGCAACGACCAAACAACCTCCCCTACATCCGCCGCTATATCACGACGCACAGCAAAGATGGCGAAGCCGTCTTCCTCTCCAATACCCAAGTTCCCAATTACATCCCCTCCAAGCCCGCTGGCCAGGATGGTGAACTAGCCCTCCTCTACACAACATCAGCCACACCCGTCGATCTCACCGATGAGGGCGACGTGGCCGACTACGATGACTTCCTCCATACACCACCGGGCCTGACCACTCCACGAGGCACGGTTATGCGGACGATTGACCTTCGGCCCGGGAAAGTTTCCCCGATGCATCGGACTGTCAGCTTGGATTATGGGGTTGTGCTTGAGGGCGAGGTCGAACTTATCCTCGATTCTGGGCAGAGCCGGGTGCTGAGACGAGGCGATGTTAGTGTGCAGCGGGGGACGGCGCATTCGTATAAGAATCGGAGTGAGACGGAGTGGTGTCGGATGTTATTTGTGTTTTTACCTATCAACCAATTAACTATCAAAGGGAAGGAGTTGGAGATGGAAGTTTACGATGAGCAGTATCAAGACGGTGGGCAGGATAAATGAATATAAATTGCTACCGATAAACAACGCGATCTATGTAAGTGAGTTGGTGAAAAAAAATAAAAATAAAAGCAACTACAACGAAGATTCATGATGCTGTCCATACGGCCAAAGTGCCTTCGCATCAATACCAGCATTACTCCCTATCCAGTCAACTTTCCTCTTAACATCCCCCTTATACCGTCCCAGAATCATCCCATTAACACGATTAAGTTCCCGTCCAACATCTATATCCAAGTCCTCCAAGAGTCTAATACAAAGGGGCGGAACATAGACGTACCTGTTTGCGCAGTTCTGAATGACCTGGTGGCTGTCCATGCGATGCTCATAGAGATCATGGACCATCTTGCGGATAATCTGGGGCTTTACTCCAGACTTGGGCCCTCTACTAAGTAGTTCTAGGGTTTCATCGAGTTTCTCCAGCACGAGGTCGTCGCAGTAGGTGCCGCAGACGGTTGAATGTCTGTATTCGGCATCGCGGAAACGTTGTATCCTAGAGCGTAGGGTGTGGATGAGAGCCGCTCGTCGCCTCATTATCCTCGCTACCCTTGTTAGCGTTCACCCGGTAAACCACATTCTGAAGAAAGAAAGAGAAACTCACCACCAACATTCAACGGCACACACGTCCCCTCCAACTCCACATCAACCCCAGTATCCAACACCAACTCCTTCGTCGCAAACCGAAACGCCTCGCTCATATTGAATGCCCAACTAACACACAACAACCACTTCGCCACATCCCTCAGCGACGCCCTCGGATTCCCAACCCTCACCGTAGCAACCCACGTACTGAGCATCGTACTCACACTCTCAAATAACTCATACTTATCTACGACCACTGCGATATCATTGAGTAATTCGAGTTTTATTTTCCTCCCTGGCACCGAGAAGAAGCGTCCGTGGACTGCGTTCATTACGGCGATCATGGCAGTGGGGTTGTCATCGGGGAGGGCTATTTGCACATGACCGTGGGTGCGGAGAGTGGTGGCTTCTCTGAAGGGACCGGTTAGTAAGGCTCGGTAGTAGGAGGAGGCGGTTATGAGGTGACGGGAGGAGACGAGGAGTCTAGTGGGGGGGTTGGTGGTTGTGAGAGTGAGAGTTGTGTCACCGTCTGGACAGATGTTGTGGATGGGCATTTTGTTGGCTTGCATTGATTGAGCATATAGATTAATTGTTGGATGCGTTGGATGAATCGGAATTTTGTCAGATATCAAAATATCTGTTCCGTTGGTGTATATACAGCACGGACAAAGGGGCATTGTTGAACCCTAGTCTTTGAACATTGGTATGCATTATTAGAACAAAGCTGCCTTCATTCATTTGTATCTCTAACATGCATTCAGTACCTTGTTGTGCTTCCCTTGTGATCCCATTGCGCTCTGTTTATTATGCTGTTTATTGTTACTATTTCAGGGCTGCTGGATCTTATCTCAGATAGCGCTAATCTCATGTAGACATTTCGGAATGTCGGAACGCCATTGGACAGCCAATTCATAAATATATAGTGCTACTTAGTATAAAGATATCCATATTGATATTTCTGCAAAACAAGCCCATGTTCAATTATTGTTGTCTATATTACGCCCTACCCGGTAAATATCTCACCGAGCCATCGGACCATTCCGAATTCCGACGGACCTATTCCGCAGTGCCGACCCCGCCAATATAATTCTCATTCTTCTGCATCTGAGACTGTCTGTTCCTACGCTCACTGAAACCCAATCCAAACAGGTAAAGATGGATCACGACCAATTCAGAACCGCTGCCCATTCAGCAATTGACGATAGTAAGTCACCTCCCAGAGCCATCCTACAATCACCCTCCTAACCGGCCTACCAGTAATAAGCTACTTTCAAACTCTCCCCTCGCAACGCGTTGTCCCAGCCATCGAACCCGGCTACCTTCGCCCCCAAATTCCCTCCAATCCACCCACGGACCCAGAATCATGGCCCGACATCCAAGCCGACATCGACACAAAGATCAAACCCGGTCTCACGCACTGGCAATCACCAAACTTCATGGCATTTTACCCAGCCAACGTGACATACCCGTCTATCCTGGGAGAGATGTATAGTGCTGCATTCAATGCGCCAGCGTTTAATTGGTTATGTTCTCCTGCATGCACGGAGTTGGAGACGATTGTTATGGACTGGGTTGCGAAGGCGCTTGCATTACCCGGGTGTTTTCTGAGTGATTCGGAGAATCGTGGGGGCGGAGTTATCCAGGTTTCTGCGAGTGACTCGATTGCAACTGTTATGGTTGTCGCGCGGGAGCGGATGGTACGGGACCTTGTGCTTGCGGAGGGGTTGAGAGAAGGCACGCAGGAGTTTGAAGAGCGGATGATGGATTTGCGGCCACGGTTGGTTGCGTTGGGGAGTGACCAGACACATTCTAGTACGGCCAAAGGGGCGATTATTGCGGGGACGCGGTATCGTAGCGCCAAGGCGCGGTTAGAGGATAATATGGAGATGACCGGGAAGGGTCTAAGGGGTGTATTGGAGCAGTGTGAGCGGGATAACCTGACGCCGTATTATATCACCTTAACTATGGGGACGACGAATACATGTGCGTTAGATCGGTTTGCGGAGATCAAGGCCGTGTTGAGCGAGAAGCCCGCTTGGCAGAGGATCTGGGTGCATATCGATGCGGCATATGCGGGGTCTGCGCTGATCGCAGAAGAATGGCAGCACATCGCGCAGGACTTTGCAGAGGGCGTCGACTCGTTCAACACAAACATGCACAAATGGCTTCTCGTCAATTTCGACGCGAGCTGTCTCTTCGTCCGCAGCCGTCAGGATCTCATCGACGCACTGGACATCACACCAGCCTACCTACGCAACACTTACTCAGAAACCGGCCAGGTAATCGACTACCGCAACTGGTCCATCTCCCTGGGGCGGCGGTTCCGCGCGTTGAAGATCTGGTTCGTCATGCGCAGCTACGGTCTTACTGGGATGAAAGCGCATGTCCGCAAGGCTATTACCTTAGGAAACACCTTTGAAGACTTGGTTCGAAGTCGCACGGACTTGTTTGAGATTATCACCAGGCCTGCGTTTGGATTGACTGTTTTCCGGATTAAGGCGCCTGGTGCGTCTGCTAATGGATCTGTTGTGCAGCCTGAGGAAGCATGCAATGCTTTGACGAAGAAGGTGTATGAGTTGATTAATGCCCGGGGAGAGATTTTCATTACCGCTAGTGTTGTGGCGGGTGTACAGGCGATCCGGGTTGTGAGTGCCAGTGAGGCAGCTCAGGAGTCGTATATTCGACGGGCGTTTGACATTATTGTCAAGACTACGGAAGAATCGCTGTAGACGTTGTATATCGATACTACCTGTTCTGTTCATAGTATGCACATACTACTTGGTGTTCCATGACGAAATCATCGTATAGTTTGACTGATGTCACCCATCGAGAACTCAGGGTACATTAGATCGAGTTCAGCATCGAACTCTTTAAACATTACACTATCCAAGATTAAAGAAATGTATTTCAAATGTATCTCAAAAGCGCCCTTCAACTATCCCTCACCAGCACTCTCCTCCCCCTTACACCACTCAATTCCACATCCCCATCCACCTCACCAACACCGCAATCAAACACAGAACCCGGCTACTCCATCAACACACCCTCAACAGTATCCGGAACGCCGCATTTTGGCCAGAACTACGCAGTCCTCAACCTCGATCTAATTGACGGCCTCGTCAGCAATGTCAACGAGACCGATGCAGGGAAGATATGGATTAATGCGACTGCGAATTGGATCAATGCGTACGCTTCCCATTTCCTCCATATAAACCAGACTAACAACCAAACCAGCGTCCATAAACTAGATTCCCCGCCACTAAACATCTACACGAGAATCTACTTTACGGAATCCTGGAAACCCGAAGTCACCGCCGACACCCCATTCTCAAAAGTCGTCACACCACTAGGAAACATCACCGCCTCAGATCCTAAATCCCAGATTTACCCTGCCTTTCAACCAGCCGGTAACCGCAAAGACGCAGTTCTGCGCAAATCGAGATACTACGCCGGAGACGCAAACTCGCTAGAGGAGATTCTCAGGGTCCAAGGAGTTGACACTGTTATTCTCGTATGTCCTCCTTTTCTTCTCTTTATGAGGGATGGAGGAGAAAATATTGACGAAAGTAGTCAGGAATCCGAACCTCCGGCGTCGTGCTCAGTACCGTATTCCGATTATTCGATTTGGATTATAACATGTAAACCCCCCCCTTCTTCCCTTCCCTCCCCTTACACTCCATACAGGTATAGGCATGCTAACACACCCAGATACATAATCTCAAACAACACTCTCGAAACATCATCAAACGCGCAAACCATCAATGACATAATCCTAACAGGAATCCTGCCCAAGATGCCTGTGGGCGTTATTTCACTCGAGCAGGCGATCGCGGGCATAAAGCGGTCTGCTAGTCACGATTAGCTTCTAGCCGTTATTTCCCTCCCCGTTTCTGCAGATCAGGTCTCCATGATAGGCGTGGAAACATTATCCGCGAGGCTTGGTTGTCATGGCGAGTTATGCATAAATAAACACAAGCGCAACTATGACATAATTATACATTGATTTTGCGTCAAGTCGGAAAAAGTGCATTTGTTTTCTATGTACACTAAATCAATCTATAACAATGCTGAGTCAATGCTAATCAATAACATGGCCTTTTAAAAAAAAAAAAAAAAAAAAAAAATAACAATATCAACATTAGTATGTACTGTACTCTGTACGCGTATTGACAGGATCAGGATTAGTATCTATCATAGTCTCGTCCGCGGTCGCAACGCCACTAACAGGGAAAACCGGAAAATAACAAGCAAGAGACAAAAACAACAAAATAAAAATCAACCCATGCAAGCGCCGTAATGGTATTGTCGTCGGCGGATCGTGATATGTTATATCGGAGGCGACTAGAAGGAAATAGAGAGGTAGGATGGTGGCGGCGGTGGTGATGGGAGAGGAAGGAGACTACCGCTCCGGCTTCTGTGCGATAATGCGATAACTCGTAGTGATCAACCGCTTATAATCCATCTCCACAAACGCCTCGCCGTCCATACAAAGCCGGTTAATGAGCGTTTTAAAGTGCGGCGGCAACACGCGCACCTTGACCAGCGCAAGGATCACCCCGCGCATCGTGCGGAAGTATGTGTCCACCGTCTCGATCAACGGCGCCTGCAACCCGTCTAAACTAGCATTATCTGATCGCACCACGCTAAACCCGGCGTCGCTAAGGGCGTCCTCGAGGAGCTTGGGGGTGGGCGTGCCGACGGCGCCGATGAGCGGTTTCACGCGTCGCATGAGTGCTTCGTGCTCGGGGTTATCCGAGTCGTAGGCGTCGAAGCTTACCCAGTCGAGCATGGAGAAGCGCGCGCCGGGTTTGAGAACGCGGAAGATCTCAGCGCATAGCTTGCGCAGGTCCTTGCATAGACTGAATGCTTGGATCTGGTAGAAGGCGTCGAAGGAGGAGTCGGCGAAGGGGAGCGGGAGGGCGTTGAAATCCTGCTCGACGAATTTGTTTTCCGTGAAGCCCTGCTTTGTGTTGAAGTCGCGCGCCTGCGCGATCTGGTTCGGGTCGATGTTGAGGCCCGTGATGTGTGCGCCAGAGACAGCGGACATGTGTGCTGCGACGCGGCCACGACCACAGCCTAGATCCAACACGCGGTCGCCGGGTTTCAGCTGGAGATCGCGCGAGATGGACACTTCGTAAAGCAACTGGTTCTCGAGTACTGAGGCCTTGCGACTCATGAACGGCGGGATGTACATCTTCTCGACGTCACCCAAGGCGCAGAGGTGATTCAGCACACCATAATAGGATTTCAGACAATCGCCAACTTTCTCCTGGTAATTGGGCCCCAGGGTCTCGACCATTTGCTGCTCGTCGGACCAGTCCAGGTTGTAGATGACATAGGAGGCCATGAAGTCATCTACCTCTTTCTGGTTAAGATTCGCCAAGTAACGGAAGGCGGTCCAGAAGCTTTTCCAGCGCTTGGGAGCGGCTGCGGTGTCATTAAGCTCGGAGAGGTCGTTTCCCTGAGCATCCTTTTTGGATTTCCGGGACTTCTTGGTCTTGGTCTTGGTGGTGGCTGTGATGCCGTTCAAGGCGAGCTTCTGCTTTTCGGTCGCAGCACCGTCCAGCGAGCTGCTATCGGAGCTCCGGCCAGAGTCGGGAGATGCGAGCGCGGTGGCCATTGTCAGGTTTCAGATGAAAATAGGAAGAGCCAAGAACATGCGTCTATACAGTGTGAATGAGATGGAAGGAGAAGCTCTGAAAAAATTTCAGAGAAAAGAGGAGAAAAGAGGGACAGAACAGGTTATATAAGCAGCATAGGGATCAACAACAGCGATTTTCATTTGCCCCGGTTTGGGTAAAGAACCGGAGAGAGCAAGGGAAAGAGACACGATGACTCGCCGGAAGTGACGGCAGGGCCTGTCGGGCCGGAATGTGAGGCCGACCTTTATTGTATATTCGATGTGCTTGTACTTGTGTATATAGTGCAGAGGAGGACTACGGATATAGATTGATGGAGCTCGGACGGAAATGACGCATTACCGCTTTTTGTATGAGTAGAAGTATACAAGATCAGTATGTTCTTCCGGATTCTTTCACAATCAGCTCCGTGCTAAAGCCGTGATCCGACTCCGTATACTCCGTACACTCCGACGCCTCTTATAAGTCAGCTTTACTCTCTACTCTCTACATTGTACCATGGTCATAACACAGAGTTAGTTTACCAAACACCGGCCGGGATAGACGGGTGTGACTAAGCCCATCACCTGATGGACCCTGGGATCGGCAAATTGGCATGCACGATGATGCAATGGCAGGACGGGTGAAGTACATGATACAATACACGGGTACTTGAAGCTACAAACAAAGTAAAGAAACCAGTATGGATCTATGGTTACCGGTAAGTATCTACAGGTACTCTTGCACAGGTTTTCAAGATAGGCTCTGTAGTTAAATAAAATTCTGCAGTGGGCCCGAACAAGGTTAGCGCACGCGCCGGCTAACTCGGCCCAGCCCTCGTGTCACCTTCCATACCAGGCAAGTACCTCCTGGCGCGCGCTTACCTAGGGCTGACTGGCCGGAAAACCCCCTTTCCTATCATGATAAAGGCGCCCGATACTCTAAATAATGAATACTGGTTGATTACCTGCATGTACGGAGTATCGCTATACCCATGGTATTTTCTACTGCTTGACCGTACACGCTGATCCCCGTGCGGAGAAGGATTGCGATCGTCCGATCTCCAGGTCGCTAAGGGCGTCATTCTGCATACAACTTGAGGAGGAATACACTGTCAAGAGTCTGGAGTGTGGAGAGACAACTCATTGGCCGCATATGGAGTACTATGACATACTGAATGCCGGTATGATGTATGAGGTCTGTCATATTATCGTCGTGACTATGTGTATAAACAAAATGCTATCATATAAACCGTAAACATCACATCTTCCTTTACATTTTCCTCCGATTTTTTTTTTCAGTCAGGTTAGATCTGGTGAGGATACCCCTGTGGGTACTGAGGGTACGCCTGTGGGGACCCTTGCTGAGCCGCCTGCTGTGGCGTCAACAGCGGCGTCGCATTGACCTGAACCCCTCCTGGCCCTGCCCCAGCCGCGTCTTGTGGCTTGGGGTCGTTCGCAGCGAACATCATCGACATCCGATCATACTTGACCTCCCCGTTCGACGCCGCTGCTTCATCCGACACTGGAACCATCGAGTACGCCGACGATCCAGCCTGCAACAATGCCTTTTGCTCCTCCTTGCGACGGCGTATAATGCGTTTACGAATAGCGAGCGCAATAAAGACGATCGCGATGATTCCGCCAAGCGAGCTGAAGGTTGCGATCGCAGCGATGTTGCCAACACGGTTGCGCTCGGCAATTTCCGGGGAAACTGTGCTGGTTGCGCTGGAGGTGCTGGTTGTGCTGCTGCTGGTGGAGGTCGTGGATGTGCTGGAGCTGCTGCTGGAAGAACTGGAAGAGCTGGTGGAACTGGTTGTCTCCGACGAGGTCGTGCTGGTCTCTGACGAAGTGGTTTCGGAAGAAGTCGTCTCGCTGGAGGTAGTTTCTGAAGAGGTCTCTGAACTAGTCTCAGAGGCACTATCCGCAGTGGTTTCCGCAGTGGTTTCGGCGCTCGTTTCAGCGGTCGTCGCAGTATCAGCTGTTTCCGTTGCGTCCGCCGCAGTGTCGGAGTCGTCTGTGGAGTCGCCAGAGTCCCCTGTGGAATCCGCTCGCTTCTGCTTGACGAGCGTCGTCCATGTTGGGGCGCTGCTGGGTGGTGGTGTTGGGTCTGGAATGCTGACAGTGCGCGCAGGGAGAGCCTGGGCGGGAGTTTGCGCCGGTTGGTCGGCGCATGCCAGCAGACAGAGAGTCTGTAGGGCGAGAAGAATTGGCAATTTCATTTTTATTTTCTTCTGCTTTTATCCTTTTCTTCTTTTCAACCTCTTCTCTCTCGCAAAATCGGAAGCAGTGAGGAATGAAGGAGAAAAATCATCAAGGGAGGAGAAAAACAATGAGGCTGAGCGGTCTTTATCTCTGCAGCCATTTAGAGCCCGCCATGAGACACGCACCAACCAACGCGGCCACTCCACTGCGAACTGTTCCAATGGGTATAGGGCAGTGTATTTTTAGTATAATCAGGTTAATTATTTAGCCAGCTTTGCACTATGGTCTGATTTCGGCGCGATATCTCTATCTCTTTATATTAAGAGAACAAAAGCACATCATGCACGTGATAGTACCTGACACACACGTGATATCACCTGACAAGCACGTGGGGGTGGCTGGCAGTGGAAATTTCTGCCTCACATTTTTATGGCGCTGCTGCCTGCCTGCCTGCCTGCTGCTGAGTGAAATGGGGATCGGGGGCCGGAGATGCGGAGGAGTCGAATATCCGCGACTAACAAGGTTGTATACACAGATGTCCAATTTTAATGAGAGAAGTATATTGCTACTAATGCGTACACCCACACAGCTGGTTGAGTGCTTGTCCATCTAAAATGTGTGTACAAGTTGGCCTATATCATCGGGCCGGTGGAACTTACCCAGTCGGTCCAACGTTATTCCTTATCACTGAGCACAAGGCTGACAGGCCATGTGATTTTTCCGGCAGATGTCGGCAATATCCGATCATTATGGGACCCGTTGGGTATACAAATTTTTCTTCAGCCTCAACCTTTCCACATTGGGTAATTATGCCTGTACGGAATACGGACACCGACCACTATGGCAGAACGGTGACTCAAGGCGCAGGATCTCTGCTAAGGCCCTTAGCTCCTTGGCCTTGGTTACTGGACCAATGCTGAGCTTTCGGTGTAATTTGGTTTGCTTTTTTTGACTTTTTGAGGCTCGTATTTGGGTGCTAAAATGGGGTTTAGAGGGTCTTTGCGCTCAGGACATGCCTTGCAGAGTCTGCCTTGTAGTGTATATAAGAATCAGGATCTCGGGATCTTCTCTGAGTATCCTCATCAGACTACACTGTTGATCAAAAAGCATACATTTATTACTTCTCCAAATCAATTGGGCACTTCAACACCAACCAAATGAAGTCCTACATCACCGTCCTGGCCCTAGCCGCCACAGCCCTCTCCCAAACAACCACCCTCAAAGTCTTCGACGCCGGCGAATCCGCCCTCCCCCTAACCGACGTCGCCGCCAGTGTCGTCGGAGTGAACGCCCTCGAAACAACTCTTGCCCTAAACTGCGCCCCCAACGCCACAGCATCTGTCTGCCCCCTGGAAACCCCTTTCACCCTTACCTACGGCCCCTCCACCGCAACCCTCAACGCCGCCTACACCACCAAGATCAGCGGCGTGCAAGCCAAGCTGTCCCTCGTTGAGGGCTGCGACATCGTTTCGTCGACGCAGGGCGCATCGTGCTCGCTATCTATGGTTATAGGTGTGAGTCTGCGGGGTACTTCGACGTCCAGGAAAACGAGTACGACTACGTCGTATAGGTCAGAGGACATTACATATCGTGATTTGGCGGTTACCGCGGGTGTGAGCAAGTTGACTGCTCCCGAGGCTACGCAGACGCCGGAGGGAGGTGCTGCTCCTGGGGCTGTTGGTAATGGGAAGGGGATTGGGGGGTTGGCAGCGGCGGCTGTTGCGGCAGCTGCTATGTTTGTCTAAGCTTGGGCTTATGCTAATGTGTAACGGATGCGTTCTGGCCATGAGCCTGCAGTGATGCTTTATTTTGATTTCTAGTACAAATAATCTGCTTTTATACCCTTGTCAAATATGTACTAATTCGGTTAATGCATACGAAATATCTTGTTCACTGAGCCTTTGTGCATACATATACTTCAATAAGCCCTGTCCCTGTCCTCAAACCGTATACTGCACCCATGGATAATTTCCAAAGTTCAGTCTCATCGGGCATTATGTCGTGCAAAGTTCTCTGGAATCCTTTGTGGAGGAACTGCGAGTAAAGGCACTATACTCGTATGCAGAGCCCTTCCATTTCTGCTTCGTGTCGTGAATTCCGGACCTCTCCGACCTCCTTTGCAGAAGCATTATCACGCGGATGCTTAGATTTTTTTTTTTTTTTTTTTTTTTTGGTTTTACTCAGCTAGCATGGCCATGTATCTCTCCTCCTGTCACCCAATCTGCTTCCCTTTTGCAACAGTGCATCCAAGTCGGCAATGACTGTGATTGCTATAAAGATCTGCATGATGCCTTGCCTTCGAATACAGAGCGAGCTACCAACCCAACCCAGTCGGTACAGAACCCCGATTTGAAGAATTTCTCCTGCTACTAGTCATGTTTCGAATTGGAATGTCAGAGGCGTTGAATTGTGCTGTCCTTTGCCTCCCCGGATGTTCAGTTTCAGTCTAGTTTTACACTTGGCGGGACCTCATCTCGCTTAAACTTAGTTGTTCTCTGGCGTTGTAGCTCATTATCACAAACTCCATCTTCTAGCTATTTCAAGACCCTCCGCAATAGCAACTACCCGCGTTTCTATTGCATATCCTTCACTCTCGAGTCTTTTCAAGCTCGAAAAGAGAGACGCCACAGGAGTAGTAAAAGCCTCGATAAACTCGTCTTCCTCCAACTCCGGCCGAGGCTCCTGATTCTCTGGAAGCGATAAATCCACATCCACGTAGACGTATTTGAAGTTATTGTTAGAAAATGCAGGTGCTGTGATGTCAAGTCAGAGTCTCGTAGATTTTTATCAGAACGGTAGATAGGTCCAGAACTCACAATTGAACAGAAGATTCCCTTTACTCTCCACAACTACACCCACAAACCCCGTTTCCTCCTTCAACTCCCGTACGGCAGCTTGCTCTGGACTTTCCCCAGCATCAACCATACCTCCAGGAATCTCAATGGCTATCTTGTCGATGGAAGGTCGGTATTGCTTCAGCAGCAGAAGTTCCGGACCCGTGCTCTTGGGAATGATGGTTACCACGCTAACCCCGATGACTGAATTGATATCTGTGTGTCGTTTTTGATACGTGCCGGATTCCCAGGAGCGTTGGACGCCGTTGGGATCGAAGTATGTTGTTTTGACTAGGCGTTTCCATTTAGCTTCTTCGGCGTTCTGCCTGCGTCAGATGGGTTTCGTTACGGGCAGGATTAGGTTAACACGTACCAACGGGCCCCGAGAGAGGATTTTGGGCAACGGGTATTTAAAATCTGGCATGATATCTCTATTATTTATGCTGTATTTCTTGTTCTGTTAAGTGGCAGGGGTTGACATGAGAAACAGGATTTTGTCCGGTCGGATGCGGGGCAGCGGAGTCCGATTATTTGCGCCCGGGATACTATTCTCTGCCCTAATACCTCACGGAATCAAGTCAATAGCTAACTTAGTGTTGAATTGGTTTCATGAATACAATTAAATATTTACACTTGAGTGCTGTCTTGTCGTGCCTTGGCGATTGCGCACTCGCATAACCTCACAAGTTCGGTGGCGAACCCATCTAGGAATCGCAAGTGGATCACTTCGCCCAATGTGAGCTTCCGGATGGGAATTCTGCGGATCAAATCAGGGACTTCATGGAGTATATTCATGTGGTGGTTGATCTCGGAGTCGAGAGGGTTATGGAGGATGTTTCGGAAAAGGGTGAGAATGGCTGTTATAGCGTAGAAAAGGACAACCCTGGGAACAATCAGCACTATGGCATCTTCTGAAAACGCTGTTGGCTTACCAGAAGCACTCCCCCTTGACTACGGGCAATGCAGTTTTTAAATAAGAGAGCGTGGACCGGCTGGCATTGATGGTAAGGCTGATACTGGAACGGATTCCATCATGTTCAGGTCCATGTTCTTCAGGGTATTTGCATCGTTCACTTGCTTGGTGGATGATAGTCACGCAATGGTAGTACGCGAGTCGCAACATGGTTGTCTGCGTGTTCATCGCAACAGCAGGTGTCTCAGGTGAAAACCACAGTGTCGGACGGAAGTCCAAATGTAAGGAAAGTCTCCACTGCTCCAGCGCCTCGTCCAGCTTTAGAATAGCTGACAAGATCTTAGTATCTGCTTTGCGACGCGCGCTGGCGGAGTAAAGCGCTTGGTATGCTTCGGACTTTATCTGTGAAAGACGCAGGTCGAAAGGATAGAGCGGGACAGTATGGTCATCGATCGATAAGGTATCTCGTAGGATATTCGAGTCTTGGAGCTGTGCGTAGCCTGTTGGGAGAGTGAGGTCGCAACACATATCGTGGATTGAGGGCGGTTGTCCGGTTCTTAGACAGATATCCTTGTCGAATGAATAGCATAGCCAGAAGAGATCGCGCAGGTGGCATTCTGGTATACTTTTATCGTATGATTGGAAGTGATCAGGTGGTGCATGAGCACCGAAGGCGTATAGTAGTCTGGTAGCGATTGACACAGAGACTGCAGCAGCTTGCAAATCTCCTAGGAAATATTGAAATTGGACCTGACCTTTATCAGTGTTGTTTCTCTCCCCGCATAATAATTTACGAAAGAGCATTTACAAGCATTATCAAGGACTGTAGCCCATCAAGTGTGATCTCCTGCGTGATCTGAGCCATGAAGCTCTGAGCAGCCGAAGCATAAGAGCCACAATCCATAGCTTCGTGTATATCATCATTAAGCCCAAACTGCGTCACCACAGAGAGGAAAGCATAAATGCATGATTTAGCACTGGCTGAACCCACAGCCTCCGGTCCGTAGGCAAGATCTAATGTCTTGGTAAAGAGCGACCTGCTGATCACGGGGAAGACGGGAATATGGAGCGACGAGCAGTACATCTCCACAAGTTTCTCGACGGTTAATCGATTTGGAAGTTTTGGGATACTGGACTCAGTATACAATCGATGTGTATTTGTCCATGGAAGTTCAAGCGTCTCGATGTTGACCTTTTCTCCTGTTCGTGATTCGATCCATTTCCGGCCTGTATCGGAGAATAGATCAATCGCAATTCCGTTAAAATGGACCATGCTTCCGGCTCTAATTTGCGAGACACCTGCAGAACATTAGCTTCTTCAATGACCCTGGATAAGATACACTGACGATTATCGACATGGGTCTCTATCGCCTTCTTGGAGGGGGACTGCCGGCCTGGATCTCTGGTACGAGGACATGTTCCTGTATCCGCAACTCTACTATATGTACAAGCGAGATTATGATGCTTGCACCAATTGCACTGTGGGGACTCTGCATCGCATTGTATCTAGAGCGGTTAGCATCACTCAACCTCCTGTACAGTGATATATACCTTTTTCCGGAAGCATGAATCACACGCCTTACGCCTACGCCTCTTATACCGCGATGGTTTCGGTACTGGATCTTTCGGCATATCTGATACTACAAACGCCTGGAATTCGAATAGTTGACCGGTGACTGTGTCTCCTTTGGTGTCTTTATATCTCGGCAAGAACCAATAAAATTATTTTCCGCTGAGTAATCGGAATTCAGCAAATTATAACGTCATGATACAAAAAGGATAGATTTCTTCATTTCATTCAAGAGATCTACCGGGAAAAGACATGTGCCCTCTTTTTCCAACAGAATTCAACCCCTCTTAACCGGTAGCTCATTCTCGTGGAGGAAATCAATCCAAGTCCGGAGGGACAAGCCCGGGATCTGTTCACCTGTTAGTTGACCGTCGGATATGAGAGAATCCACATACCTCTCTGGCTTGAACAAACTCATACCGAGCATAGATATTTCCGAATTCCTCGAAGATCAGCAATTGTTCTGCAAAGTCCACCGCCATTTCCGCACACATGCCGTCCCGAGATTCGAGTATCTGCTGAAACTCGTCGGCGTTGATCTTGCGGTACTGTGTTGGGATGTTGTATCCTAAAAAAGATGGTCAGCCGTGTTTCAGATGGAGGTTTTGTAGCGACATACTCTCGCCAAGTGCAGCCAGCTTTTCCGCCTCAGAAAGGGCTTGGGAATAGAATGCGATTGTCTTAGTAAAGTATTCCGAGCCGCCCTCAAGAACAATCCGCACAAGTTTACCTGTGTCAGCAATCGCAAAATTGGGCATTACCGTGTCTGGACTATGCGGGAATGACAAAGTATATACCCCATTCGCATTAGGCACAGGTAGATACCTCTCCGGGGATGTGAGGCAATTCTCGAAATAATTCGGAAACAGGATGGTCGTAGTCTTTGCCCACAACTCCGGCTTTTCATGCTGGATATACTCAGCGACCAAACTCTTGCTTTTCCAGTGATTAACCTTCATAAATCGGCCACCAGACAGCCTCTCCGGGTCCGGTAGTGCACTCCAGACAAAGTGCTCGAGAGTCGGGATCTGGACCGCGGCGTCTGCGATGGCTTTGCCCTGCACAATTTCGGCAGAAGCGGATTGCTTTTGCCAAAAGTCGGTCAGGGCGTAGATAGCATGCGCGCCGGAGAAGGCGGCGGCGAGAACATTAGTACCAGCATCGAGGTCGGCTCGTTGGACGTCGGCACCTCGTGCGGCGAGGGATTGGGCAGTGGATTTGGTAGGGTCGCGAGTGAGGGCCCGGACTTTGAAGGTGTTGGGGTACTGGAGGAGCTCTGATACTATGGAACCGCCCTGTAAGATGATATTAGAAACAGGCTTTGTAAAGAAGGAAGTGTATGGGCTGGAGCAGACCTGTAGGCCGGTAGCACCGATGACAACAACTGTTCGAGGGGCCATATTTGCTGGTATTGAAGATCTGATAGAATATGCTGGGACTTGATGCGATTGATCAATATCAGATTCCATCAGGACAAAGTGGTCTATTTATGTCCACACCCCGCGATAGAGGCAATTCCGAGTTTGTCATAGATCTTGAATCTGGATCTACATCTTGACAAACATGGGGTCTCTTTTGGGTGCTTAATTTGGTTTGTGCCTTGTAGATCATCTCAGCTCCGCTTAATCATCGGATTAGGTTGCTTGATCACTGTAGATCCAGGCGATCGAGATCGGACTCGCTGCATAGCAAGCCCGAGTTCCGAGGTCCTGTATGTGCAATACAGTATAGATTAAAAAGTCATGGTCTTCAGATTTGAGTCATTACACCGGGTCTGTCGGTGTCCCGATACCCTTCTGGTCCATATCTTTACAGAATGGATATCGTCCGCTTAATCATCGGAGCTACATCAGGGTAAGGGCTCAAATAGATGAAGAGCTCACAAACTAACATCGTTACTGAATGGTATAAATATGTCATGCTCTCAGTCTTTTTCCCGGGATATTGAATCCCACATCACAATGACCCAAACCGTCATCCTCATCACGGGTGCAAATCGAGGTGAATCCAACAACTCCAACACACTACTAGTCCTGATCTAACTCTGTCCTAGGTATCCGAAAAGCTCTCGTAATCACGTATCTGGCCAGAACAAATACCGCAGTTATCGCGACAGCCCGGGAAGCATCATCTAAGAACACCCAGGAACTTCGTTCTCTGCCAGCAGGCCCTGATTCACAATTGATCATTGTTATTCTCAGTCTTGACATACCATCCAGCATCAGCGACACAATTCCTCAAATTTTAGAGCATCATATTGGGCACATCGGTCTTGTCATCGCCAATGCCGACATCTGCAACCACTGGGGACCGGTAGTGGACGTAGAAGATTCGGACTTGATGTCCCATTTTGAGGTGAATGCCTTGGGTATTTTGAGGCTGTTCAGGGCCACTACTCCATTATTGCTGTTGAGCAAGCAGGCCAAGTTTGTTTATATATCTTCCGAATTGGCAAGTATCGCGATAATTGGCCAGTTGTCATCTTTGGAGTCTCGAAGGCGGCGGGGAATTATCTAGTTAAAAAAATCGATGCTGAGCACACGGATATCGTTGCACTTTCAATTGATCCTGGGTATGTGGTCTTATCAATTGAAGGTGTCCACGTACTGACTTGGCATATGTGTAGGTTTGTTCAAACAGACATGGGGAATCGTGGCGCGCAGTGCAATGGGTTGGAACGAGCGCCGATGACTATTGCTGAGAGTGTCCAAAGGATTATCGATCAGGTATGTTCATGTACTTGGATCCAACATAACGCAGTTCTGACTTGGTTTCATTTTCCAGATAGACGGGGCCACCAAGTCCACTATAGCTGGTCGGTTTATCAAATACAGCGGTGATCGGTTGTCGTGGTAGGTCGTATAGTCCGGAAATATTTGTAATTGAATCATAATATATCGGATTACATTCGATATTCAGTTAGCCGTCCTTAGCAACGTTGCAAGTAATGTGACCAAGTATACATTCATCACGAATACCCTGTCCAAGCGCTAAAAACCCGCATCTACACGTGCACAGTAGGACGGAGTGGATGTAATCAAACGTATGTATATATTGGCAAGCATTCGCAGTATCAGCCATAAAAATCTATCAAATCACTCCACACTTGTATCTTCGCAACCTAGTTCACAAAGTCTTCAAGATGCTTGCCTATTTACTCACAATCCTCTACTTTACCGATGAAGTCTCGCAGAAGTATGCAGATAACATTTTGCCTATGTGCTACTTCCTTGATTTCTTCTATCTTTATTGATATCTAACGCTTTACAGGGTCCAAGAGAAATTCAGCCCGTTGGCTGCCAACATTGAGCGAATTGCAGGCTCTCCTAAACAAAGTTCGATATATGACTTGAGACTCGCGGAATTATGATTTCTGTTTATTGTATTCACTACTAACCAGGAGCAGATTCAAATCAACTAGGAGATTTTCATTGAATAGGCTCAAAGCTGTCAATCTAGGTGATGATATGTCGATTAATGTTGAGGTTTGTGCAATATTGAGATGTCAGGCGATGTCAAGTATGTCTCTTTTAAAATAATGTCTACTTTGATTAATAGATCGGGGAGTTACACCTTATACCCGGAGATTCAAACATTTCTAGATTACTGCGTACCGCGCGGACCACATCCATAACATTTAGTACTCGCCATCTCCACATCTCCAAACTCGCCCACTCCCCACAACCTCTCTGGCATAGGAGGCGGCTCCTTTATCTGCTTTTGAATGCGTCTAGAAGCCTCCAAAAACCTTTCTCGCATCTTTTCCCAAGCTATCACCCTATCCACCAACTTAAAGTTTCGTTTCCGGAACTCTCCATCAACAAGCACATGCTCAACATCCCCCGGGTTCGCATGCAACACCACAGCCGCGATGGGATCACTCCATCCCAGCATATTCGGCGAGTCGCCGTTAAACACCACCAAGTCAGCTTTAGCACCAACCTTTATTACACCGATATCATCGCGGCGCAGGGCGCGACCGCCTTGTCGAGTTGCCATGAGGAACGCTTCCTCCACGGGGAAGGGATTCGTCCTTGGCAGTCTCCCTGCTTCCAAAGTGCGATGGGATTTAGTTAATCGAACGTTTTGCAGCCAGAGACGGGTTTGCGAGAGCATGTCCCCGGAGAATGTCCAGTTTGTATCGAGGCCTAGGGATGCTTGGTCGGTGATTAGGTGGCCGGTGGTTTGGCCGTGGCCGAAATGGAATTCGGATTCCGGGGTAATGGATACAAAGTGGTCTTTTTCGCGGAGAGCTGTCTGGTCTGAGTCTGTGAGGAAGGGGGCGTGGGAGTAGATTATGGGAATGTTGGTGGTCTGGAAAGTGCTGAGGTCGATGTCCGAGGGTGCGGTTTTACGGGCTGTGCTCGTTAGCTGGCTATTCAGTTGTTCGTCGGTAGTTGGCATACCAGGCCAGGGACCTCCCAAGTGATGCATAGTGATGGCTTGGATGTTTAGCTTTCTAATCATATCTGGCACATAACCCAAGTGACCACCCGGATCATTGCCAAACAACCCCGACAACCCATCAACCGAAAGACCCATCTGCACCAGCGACCCCTCAGTCACTTTACCACCAAGTTTCCCCAAAGCCTCCCACTGCTCCTTCATCGCAAACCCCTTCCGATCAGCAACATCATAACACCACCATACCCTTGCACCACTATCCATCGCCGCATCGAACCCTGGCTCAACGACCGTCTCTTTCCAATTATTATGCGCATGCTCAACGTACGACGTAACACCGCCATGTAGTCCCTCAAGATACCCCGCTAACGAACTGATATACACATCATCCGGTGTGAACGCCGCAGTCGCACCGGACATATGACCCAGCCATTCGAAGTACTGCGATAAGAAGACATTGGGTCCGATAGTGCGGTATACCGTTTGCCAGGTGTGGATGTGTGTGTTGATAAAACCCGGGGAGATGATCTTGCCGTAGACGTTTAATACTTCTGCATTTTCTGGAATTTGGAAGTCGGGGTTCTCTGAGATGGCTGTGATGCGGCCATTTTCGATTAGCACTGAGGCTTTTGGGAGGACGCGGATTGATTTAGTGGTGTCGTCGAACATGAGGACGGTGCCATCTTTAAGGACTTTAGACATTGTGATCGTATATGGTGAGAAGAATCAGTTGCTGGGGACAGTGCTAGCTACTCTTTATATTGACGATTTATGTCGACCTCGCGACCCCACGGTCGGTGTTCGGTGATGTCGGTGTCCGAGACATCATTGCCGGATAAAACTATATCGCCATAGGAAAAAAGGAATTGCTTATCAATGTAAATTCAATGGAATAGTATATGAGCGAAGCTAATGATGCAGAAAATATATACAGCTCAGGGACCGCTACCAAGAAACAAATATTTGGGCGAAAGCATTGATGTCCGCGAAAATCTTGCTCCATTCTCACCAACACCAAATCGAAACCCGATCTTGAATAACACCCTGCGCGTCAAATCCATTCGCATGTGTCCGATCAGGCTTCCAATATACCACACGTTGAAGGCCGGGCTGAGTGAGATGCTCAAGGTAATCTTCCGATAGTGCCACGTACGGCGGTCCCATTTCCGAAGGATCTAGATGTCGAGGGTATTCGAGACAGATGAGACGACCGGTTGGAGCGAGGAGTTGTGCTTTACGTTGACCCCATTGAGGACGGATGGATGGGTTTAGTGCGCAGAAGAACTACGCCTGAATGAGTGGCCGACCAAGAATGGGGAGCGGAGCCGATGGAAACCTACCGAGTGGTCATAAATCACGTCATATTCTCCCCGTCCAAGCCCTAGCTCTTCTAGCCATGCATCATCGAAGAAGTCGCCCTGCACGAAAGTGACATTCCCCCGACCAATCTTCTCATCTCGGACTGGGTAATCATCCCGCGCGTTGCTTCTGCTCTCCTCCGCTTTGCACGTCTGCACTGCCGAATGACTGTATTCCAGACCATACGCATCGTATCCGAAGCTGGCGAGGAGAAGGACATCAAGGCCACTGCCGCATCCGGGTACAAGAGCTTTCTTTCGGTATCGCCGTCCGTGCTCGTCTAAGGTTATTGGACCCCCAAGGATGGACCGATGCTGGAGGAGGGTGTCTTCGAGTGCTGGGTTTGAGCATCCCATGTCCCAGTCCACATAGTTGCCGCCTCGCTCCCAGAGGTCTGCCCAGCCCTTAGTATAGGCATCTTTCCCGTACTGGGCGAGAAATTGGGGGACAACGGATGTGGCGGCGGCGGCGTTGGTGATGGTGGTTGTCATGTTGGATTCGAAATGTTTCCTTTCTTTTTTTCATTCGCCGTGATTCAAGTCCAATGGATTCAATTCAAAAAATGATTGGGGCTTCTGGGGCCTTTTATATTGAATTTGACCTGAATGTTCATTTCTCTTTATTTGGAATCCTCAGCTGCGGGGTTGGCACTGCTGTGGCTGGCTGGGACGGCTGAGAAGAAGTCTGCTGTATGCAGGCCATGGATCCACCCGCCTCACCAGTTGTCTGGCTGTTGAAAGCTGAACACTTCATCCAGCCTTTTGGGGCTGCAAACATTCCAAGTGCTAGGTGCAGTGGTTGCCTGTGTTAGCCGTGAACCGACAATAGGCGAATGTCTGCGGAAGTTCGGAGGGGTTGTACGAGATTTGGAGGGTTGCACTCGGATACGAGCATCAGCAATACGGACTTGTTGAAGACTGTACCTTTGTCTGGAAATATGCCCAGAGTTTTGAAGTAGAAAGGGTTGATTTGAACATCTGCATAGGATTCGATTTACATACACCGACTTCCTAGGCACAACAAAAAAAATTTAGCTAGCCCCATTCATCAAAAGTGATGCTCTCGTAGGAAGTAGTCCCGCATTCTCATAAGACCGGAACGTCTCAATCCACGTCTCAAATGTGTTATCCGTCCTTTGCCACCCAAACTTTCTCGCCTTGGTAACCGACGAAATCGTACACCAAGACTTCCCAGTAGCCCAGTTGAAGAATCCCCAAGTCCCGTAGTCAAAAGCTTCAGGTTTGCCACCGTACTTCTTGACAATAGTCTCCCACACAGGACGCTTGTCCTTGGCCCATTCGACCATGTCGATTTCGTTGGCTAGGGTGTCGGCCTGACCAGCTGCTTTCTCGAAGATGGGCTCGGGGGCCTCGATTCCAAAGTACCTAGCGGCATCTTTCCAGAGATACTTCCAGACAAAGACATCGCCGTTGCAGTGGTTGAATACTTCATCCTTGCAATGCTCCTGAGTCGCTGCATAGACAGTCAAATCAGCCAGACTAGGCGCGTACGAGTTATCATCGATCGAGTTCCAGAAGTACTCGTTTCCGGGGAACTGGGCGGGCTGATTGAGTTCGCGGCAGATAATGAAGTAGATTGCGAGGGTTAGGGCCTCGGACATGCCGTTTGCGTGGGGTGCGAAGCCGTTAATGGCGTTGGGACGAATGATGTTGTGCGACCAGGTGTTGCGGCGCTTTTGCACTTCGCGGATGTAGTCCTCTTGGTTATAGTAGAAATTGTAGCCCTGGTCATCATAGCGGGGGAACCATTCTTCGAGGGGTATGCGGACGGGGCCGAGGTGGACGCCGTAGTACTAGGCCCCTATCAATGAATGTTATCTTCAGACGGAAAACAGAATGAGGCACACCTTTCCACCCGTCTGCAACGAAACACGCTGCAACTTCGGACAAGCCGTATCAACTGCATCCATAAAGTTCTTGAACAGCGGGATGTTCTTCTCCTTCAAGACCTTGAAGTCGTCGGTGTGGACGTAGGAGGTAAAGAACGCGTGTGTAACCTCGGTGCAGAACTTGTTCATGATGTTCACGATCATCTCGATGGGGTCGAGAAAGTCAATGGCAATGAACTCGACTCGATGGTCGGTCCAGGTGACAGGCAATGGCCGTCTGGATGTCACGATGATCTTGCTCCTGTTTCCGTTAGCATACAGATTTGTACTTTGAAGTTAAAGAAAACATACCACTCGGTCTTGTCCTTCTTGACCAGTTGCTCAATAATAGCGTGGCCACTGATGCCATTGGCACCGGTGACAAAGGCGACCTTTCCGGGTTGCAGGACCATGGTTGAAGTATGCTTTGGCTTGAGGTCAAGAAGTATTCATGTCCGAAGTCAATTGACCCTTGGGTCTCTGCGAGCATTTATACCCCTTACCTGAAATGCTACATTTATCAGCGGCAGTTATTTCTCGCCATTACTAGAGAATCATAACCAAATTGAATGTGCTTGTTGTTCCTCCGTGTATTCCGTGGTCGTCCATACCGGGGCACGGGATTTGGGCGGAATTATCACATTTCCGTGGGAATTCCGACACACATACTAGACTACTCAACCTGATTATCTATAGTTACATATCTCTCTAGTTCAGCATCCATTGGATTGCTTGACCTTTCTGTATATTTGCTTATTCCAAACAGGTGAATAAATCAAACGCCGAGTCAATGCAACAATGGCGCACAAAAATAATGTTTCTTCAGCCAGTCTGTATCTATCAGCCCAATCAAAATCCGGTGACGGTTTAGTAGCCTCCAGGGACCTGTCACAACCTAGCTTCCCTCGTATCGTACCTAGGGTTCTAGTTAGTTGTATTTCGAGACAGGACACTTACCCTAAGTGTCTTCCAAGTAATCGTAGGTTCAATGACCATCCAGGTCCTCTGTATATCACGTCGAAGGTATCTCGCCCCCTCCAGGCTCCGCAAGGTAGTCAACAGGTAGAATCGGTAAAGGTAACGAATAGAGAAACAAGGCCAACCGAGCACGTATGCTGGGTTGTTGGTTAAGTGCGGACGAGTCAGAAACTAGAAGGTAACCAATGCTTGATTAACTAGATTGATTGCAAAGAACTAAACTAAGTACATGAATGAGTGTCCTTATATATTATCCGTCTGTATATCATCTTTATACCGTGCCTCCACGGTATATCGGGTATAGCCAATAACAGTCAGTCATGATGGTATACTGGATATACTGCTGCTATCATAGATCATAGGAGTATACGTGATAGACAATCACGTGACGGATATGACCAGATATCAGTCTGATCCTTGTCTCTTCTTGCATTTCCATCATTGCTTATGATCCAATAATTCTGCCTTGACTTCCCGCATAGTCACTTGAGACTGATGTGGCTAGGTCTGTAACATGACCGGTCATCATTGACGAAAATGGTCAGATCGGGATTGCTGGATAATCTCATCTGATAAATCATTCCGAATGCTGCTCTTCCACACTGCGTCCCTGCCACACCGTGGGAACAGATCATGAAGAGCTAATGTGTCTGTTATTTATCATTCCTTTTCTAACAGACACCAAGACAAACAGTTGCGTATAAAAGTCCTCTCCCGTCCAGCACTGAGCTCACTTCTGTTAACACCCACTACCATATCTTTCCTTTTGGACAACTCGAACTGTGACTGAGTACAGGCATTCACCAACAACGCGAGATGCTTGTATACTTTGGCCTGTTTTAATATAGGGCAGGAACCCCCTTCGCATACTAGATAGTGCAGCGCTGGTAGGCCCAGCTTCTTTCTTTCCTTCTCCATGTTAGTATTTCGATAGAAAGTCTACCAATAAATTGATATTGTTCGAGGCCGTCACAGAACACTCTAACCCTCTATACAACAATAACGTATTTCACCACCGAGTGGTCCACCCGCCACCACTGTATATTATTGAAGTAGATTTTTTCAACCAAAACGCCGTTATATTCAAAGATCTATCTAGCAAGACATGCATTTGCCTTATGTCCTATATCCTTACACTTTCCACATGTTGGTAACCGCCATCTAGCTGGCTGTGTAGCCGGTTAAACTGGCTGTGCTGGCTGAGCCGGGGGTTGTTGAACCAGCTGAATTGGTGGAATCGGCTGCTGCATTAGCTGCAAGGCCTCTTCCACAATCAAGCCATATTCATGTAATATCTGCTGATTCGAACGTGTGGTTTTTTGCTGCTTTTTCTCATTCATTGTTCGTAGATCAGCATTTTCCTTTGTTAATAGCACAACGCGATGCATCACAAGCTAGCAGCGTTTAATAAGCTGGTTCAACGCTGGATTGGTAGGGCTTGGAGAGCTTTTTGAACGTTTTACTACGAAAGTTTAATCGAAGAAGCTTGCTTGTGCAATTCAACAATATTTTGTGGTGTTCTTGGTGTAAAAACGCTTGGTCTGCTGCTTGGTCGGCTACCAGGGGGTGTAGGTGCTCGTAGGGATATATTTAACTTGAAAGCACACGTTCCGCATTAATTGATACTAAGCCAGTTGCTGCAAAGCTATTTTGACTATTCTTTGGTTCAAAGGCCTCTCTGCGCACTTCGGGATATGCTGTTAGGAAATCTAGCTTGTCAATATGGTTGTAACCTGTGCGTGCTTTATTCTCCACTAAATGACCATAGGCACGTTTTTAAGATAGCAAAACACCCTATATCAAGTGGTTGTAGGACATGGGACGAATGCACTGGTAGGCAGTGTGGTATAATAGCATTTTCATTGCAGATTTGATCGAATTGTGATGTGAGATGGCTACCATGGCCATCAAAAATCAAGAGTCGATATCTTCCTTTTGTACGTGTAGTAGTAGCTTGAATAAAGAGCTTTTGAAGCCACTGAAGACTTATTTTATCGGTAATCCACCCATTTGCAGAGAGCTCAAAAGCAAGTCCCTTGGAAGGTCATCAAACCATCATTGAATAAACCTTTTGCCCTTGAAAATTATGCATGATGGAAGCCCCCATCCAGATGCATTGATTGACTCAACCACAGTCACCCACTCACGATTTCCATGCTGTAAAACCACTTGCCGGCCATAGTACTCAGCACGAATAACCACTTTAGCAGTAGAAATCAGGCCCATTGCAAAGTCTGTCTCATCAAAATTATAGTGTTAAACCACTTGCCTAAGGCTGTTGAATCCTCATTTTGGGCACATTGGTAATCATAACATCTTGTGACGGCCTGGTCACGTTGGCTCGCTATTACGTGAGATGCAGTTGTTTGCTTTGTTGATGAATACGGCGTCACCTCCTCTCTTCCTTTCTCATGTTGATTATTCTCGTCGATAGCTACCTAGGTAGAACCCATGAGTTGGATGTTCCATTATCCTAGTAGAGCGCCGTGACACCGGCTATTTGTTCCACATCTTCTAGGCTCTCTGCGCGGAGGATGATATCCTCGCTGGAAAGAATGCGGCCTGTACAGACTGACCGATGGACAATCATAGCGTTATCAGATTCTTTAATGGCGCGGTTTGCTCGCTCCACAACCCTCGCCTCCTTCTGGTGGCACAACAGGTCGACGATTTGGTGATCAATGCCTCGGATATGGATCTCCAGGTCTGTTTTCAGTGGAAATGAAAAATAATGAATAAACCTATTTTAGTACCAGGTATCTAGAGTATCTGGTAATTTACTATTCTCTCCAACCTCAACAGTCCAAGCATCCTGATTTTGCTTCTACCACAAAACTCCAAACAATTCTTCAACATGCGCTTTACGTCTATTGTTTCCCTCTTGGCTCTGGCCGCCTCTGCCAATGCTGCGATCAGCGCCTCGGAATTGATTTCCAGCATTGATGCGATCACAAAGTTGTCGTTTGACACCAATGACATTGCTAAGGACATCTCTGCCACGAACATCCTCACCAAGTCTCCTGTACGATGAGTCCCCGACATATTTACTATGCTAGCATAGCCATGGATATGATATGTAGATGCTAATTGAAATTATAGCAATTGCTCAACAACCTCAAGCAGATAATTCAGTCTGCGACAAAAGATATCAATGCCATCAACAGCGAGCGTTCCCTTGAGGCCCACCAGGAATCTCCGCAAGATGCCGGCGAGGCTATCAAGGATCCATCTGAAAATTTTGGAGAGATACAGGACCCTTTCCCCTACAGCGACGCTGAGCAGCTACGCATTTGCGATTCTTTCGAAATCGTGAGTCATTCCCAGGGAAACCGTTGTCTTTGCCATACTAATGGAAACAATAGTTTACGGCGGCGAAGACCCTATATCTGAATACTTTGGTTAAATACGCTGGCCTTTTGAATCGGCTCCCTTCCAAGTTAGTCGCTGCCATTTTCACCAATATAGAGAATTATGTCGTTGATCCCCTTGCCTTCTTTCTCATTGACAAAGCCCCGGCATGCGGCCATGATGTCATGAAGGACGAGAACGAGTTGGATAGAACTTTTAGTAACAATATTGATAAGTTCTCGATATAAGTGATTTAATTTGACCAAGGAACCTGATATTTGTTGGCCAGAGGGATATCCTGGATCTTAGTGAATCTGCAAATGATCAAATGCTGTTTAGTGCCTACTATCACGGAGCATGAGCATTTGCTCAGTCACATGAGATGTCTGGTTCCTTTGAGCTGATTCCTTTGTTCTGTGTTAGAGAGCGAGTGTCACGGGCTCGGGAATAGTAGATACTGGCGGAATGGTATTGCTCTAAACTATTGCGGCCATCGGCGAGAATATCGAGTCTGGAGAAAGAAAAGAAAAGAAAACCTATCTAGGGATGAAGTGGTTTTTATGACAACTGTATGACAAGGTTCTACTCATGTTGGTGTCGTCTGTCATTATTAGTCTTATACGTAGCGTCGAGCCGTATGAACTATGTCAAGCCGTCATACACATAGATAGCAATTGGCTTATTCTCCCTACCTCTTTCTTGGCAGTGAAGAATTGCGAGCCCTAACCTTTGACGATCCATATCTATAAAATGGAGAACCAAATGGATGCCTCTACTACTCACAGCCAAAAAGTTATCAGAAATATAAAAAAGACTGAATTCGACAATGTTGTAAGAGTTGATAAACGCGGCCGGGAAGTGGTAAGAAGTCCTGCGGCTGTCAGGAGACTTCCATGCAAGAGGCCATGGTCATTTGAAATCTGCATGATCTCCTTCTGGGGTCTGATTAAAGTAGTATCTCTTTCATCATGAATCAGCGGCATGTTAACACTGAATAGGCCTGATCCTCAATTCTTGATGTTATCCTCTTTGCTGCCCATGACACTCATTGTGCACCACTAAATGTCACAATGTCATCTTCACCTGAGATAATACTAATTGGTATGCCTGTATAGTCTAAAGCATTGGCAAAGCAAAAGTAGATACGGCTTGCTAGTTAAGAGTGACAATGGTAAGAGCGCTATAAATAGTCCCCAGGGCGACGAATTTGTGGCGGGAACGGTCTCGAAAAAAAAAACAAGGAAAAAAAAAAAAAAAAAAAAAAAAAAAAAAAAGTGATTGAAAAAAAGACTTCCGGTGGAAGATTCAGAGAAAACACCCGTTACTTCTCCACCACAGAAAATCGCGGGATCCGGTTGGACAAGTGTGTGGCGATCAATCTTCCACCGGAAGTACGGATGCAGTCCAACTAGGTGTATTTCTCATCTACAGCATAGACTGCTAATCCTCCCGCTCCTTCACATTCAACAAACTAATAATTAATTTATCTCTCCTCCTATCTGCCCCGTTCCGCGCCGCAGCAATTATCTCCGTCCCTCGAACCCATTTCTCCACCAGCGCCTCTCCGTCACCACCATCCAATACTGGATTCTTTGGTGTATACCATGACATTAAATGCGCCATGAACTTGCTCACATAATCCCTCGCCCCTCCAGGCCCGCCTCCGAGATGCATCAGCAGCGATGATCCCATAGCACCCCATCTCAACCCAGGTCCGTATTCCATAACCGTTTCTATATCCGCAACCTCCGCGGCGCCGGATTCCAGCAGGGAGAATATCTCCCGAAAGAGCGCGGCCTGTAGGCGATTTGCAATGTGGCCCGGTATCTCAGCGTGTATATGCACGGGGCGTTTGCCGAGCGAGGTGTAAAAGGCCATGGCGCGCGTAATGGCCGAAGGGGTAGTGCGTGCGCCGCCTACCACTTCTATCAGGGGGCTTAGTTGTGGGGGATTGAAGGGGTGTGCAACGAGGAAGTTTTCCCCCACGGGGTGGTGGTCATTTTCGAACGCGACCTGTAGTTGCGAGGGGCAAAAGCCGGAGGCGGAGCTGCAGATGAGGGTTTCCGTTCCTGTTTCTTCGCAGCGGAGGACTTTCTGGAGAGTGTGGAAAGAGATTCAGCTTGAGTTGAAGATTCTCGGGCGTGTTTTCTTGGATAAGTCTGTGGTTGCAGCGGCGGTTACGAGATCTGTTGTGAAGAAAAGGAGTGGGCGGAGGTCTTCCCATGCGAGCAGAGCTTGGTATCGAGTAAGTTGGGAGAGTTGGGATAGGGCGGATTGTACTTGATTCAGGAGGACGGTCTCAGCATCTGGATTGGCGTCGTAGACTATTGTGCGGTGGTTGTTGGCGATAAAGAGGGCTACCCAACTTACTCCGATGACGCCTGCGCTGAGGACGGTGACGGTAGAGATATTCATTAGTTGTGAAGGCGTATATGCAACTCGTGAGTAAATGTTGTCATTACATGTGGTTATCAATGGCGATGGAGAGGCAATATTCATGAGGAATGTATCAAGATATAAATGCTGTGAGATATCTATCGAACTCATATCCGGGAGTTCGACGACAATTCCGGCGCAGTGACCCCTATACTTATCAGTATGGATATAGAAAGCATCTAAATACCTCGGTCAGCCTTTCTCCACCGGATACTTCACGTTCCGACATGATATATAATCACCCCATGGTGGTCTTTATCATCTTTACAACAACCACTCCCCAGTGTTCCATACTGTCCTTAATACTGTCTGATTATGCCCCTCAACAATGCTATCTACCGCATGCCTCTCGGCTACGGTCCCTTCCCCGGCCCCCGTCAAACCGCAGCCGGAGACCCAGTCCCAGGCTGGAACGATGTCCAAACCTTCACGAGCAGCGTTGTCTTAAAGCCCCAACAACAGAACTGGCCACTTTCTTCCCCGACCATACTTCAGAACCGAAAACTATGACACCACCACCACTACTACTACTACTACTACTACTACTACTACTACTACGCTAGGTGATGGTAATAATACATCGCCTGCATCCATTTCCTTCACGCGACTAGAGAATCTGCCCTGGCTAGCTGGACGTGACTACAACCATTGTAGAATGTACATTCACAACATCACATGTCACGGTCGGGACGAGTCTGTGCGTGAGAAATACCTCAGTGTGTTATTCGAGGACCGCGCAGATCCTATCACCAGTGGCCGGGAAGAGTTGGGCTACGCCAAGGTGTATATCTCTTTAGAAGAGGAAGAGGAAGAAGTAGGAGAAGATTATGCGAAGAATTGGGCGGTCAGGATGAGTTGGGAAGGCACGGTGTTCGGCCACATGCGACTGGATGGCCTGATGGAGGTAGAGTCGTCTGGTGAAATAGGAAGTAAAGCGGCAGCGGCAGCAGGCGATGAAAAGGCTTTCAAGGCACAAAATCTCCTGAATTACAAATATATTTCACGCACTGGGAGTCCTGGTGTTTAGATGTCGAGTATCCGACTGTGTCTCCCGTTCCGGCCTCCGGGGGTAAGGTGGAAAAAGTGTTTAGCGTGGGGAAAGCGAGTGTGGATTTTGAGGCAAGCCGGTTTAGTGAACTGCAGACGTTACATCATATTGCACAAAAGCTGGCTGGTCTTACAATTCTGGAGGTTGTCGGGGGCAGCATAGTGGTGGGTACGGGGGGGGATTGCTATTTAGGGTTGTAACTAGATTCCTTCCACCGGAAGACAGATACGACGATGCGGGAAAATGCGCCATGGAAACAAGAAGAGGTAAAACAGAGAGCAGTGAGTGAATAAATGATTCAATATTTACTTTTTTTGCGGATACATGATTGCTGAAAGTGTCGACGTAGAATTATAGTCTGATGTGCAGAAAGTTAGATCGGACCAAATGGTCTAATATAAGCACAAAATTCGGAACGACGAAACCCTTGTTCTGGCCTGGTTAGTATCTTCTGGAGCAAATTTTCGTATACTTTGGTATTCGCCTATTCTTCAACTCTCCATGATCCATTAACCCACATAAGAATTTTGTTAATGTGTGACGGTGCGTCGCCAGCAGTGAAGTAGCTGTATGAAGATAAATACGTACTCGCATCTGGAGCTTCGACCCGCACTTAGAGTAGCCTAGTAACACAAAAAAAATGCAGTGAATGTCTTAGCAGACACTTTGTGGAGACTCAGAGCTGATATCTGATATCTTCTTGAGAGCTGAGATGTGTCCAGCTCTCGCATTCCCATTGCTTCCAATGCTGTTTTGCTTTTACAGTACTAAGCGAATGATTGGCTCGTTGTTCTTCGTTGTAGAGCGAGATGCATTGTCGGCCAGGGTATCCCTACTTTTCCACTTTCCACCACAATAATAAATATCAAGATACTGAGAAATAAAGCTGTGATTAAGACATTCTCATATGCTGTTTAGAAATGCCGTTTGATACTCTCGCAAATAAGTGCCATATTACTTCAGGCTCTGAGTCCATAGGTATCGGTAGCTGCAAACAGCATGCTTGGTCTCTACCGTGCTTGTTGGAATTTATTTGAATATTAATAAATTATTGATGATCAATTGCAATCCATATTCCGTTTATTTACCGTCATAGACACCTACTAATCCCAGGTTGCTTATCAAAGTACAATGATGTAACCAACAAGATATACACCTAAGCTGGTACATGTAGTGTAGAACATATCAAACCCCCTTTCTATAACGCGTAACTTGGGACCCATCACTAAGTTCGACTGCGATAGGATAAAGCTTATATCGCAACACCCAGGGTAGCAGGACGAATCTCAGTCCATAATACACAAAACCCAGCGCCAGAATGGAAAGTGATACAACAGGCGAAAGCCAATAGGGAATCTGCCCTTCAGATTCATTTGCGGATGGAGGCACAAAAGGCATGATGATTAGGAACTATATATCCCATGTCAACAAAATGATGCATAAACATCAAATCTAGAAGAAATAAAAATGGGACAGAGCTTACCAGACTACCCGCTAAATAAAACCCAATAACAGGCCAAGGCACAGAGAACGGTGAATAAAAGTGGTTGTCTTTTCCTAAACGCAGCTTAACGAGCCCGATTGTGGTGACCGTCAGCAACACAGTTGATGGGTATGATGATAGCTTTACAACAAAATTAAAAGCCTCTCCGGCCGGCGGTGCGCAGATGAAAATAATCGTTACTGTTAGGTGGATAAACAGCGCGACTATGGGAGTGCGGAAAGGCCGGTTCTGCATGACAACGCTTGGAAGGGGGGCGATCCCATCTTTGCCGAGTTCCTGGATTACGCGAGCTGCGACACTTAGTATAAGGAAGACTTGGAGATCGGAGAGGAAAGCCGTAATAACATACGAACAGTAAAGGCGATGCCAAGGAGATGGCCTAGGGCAGATATAGCCACCAGAGCTGGGAGGGCCTTGGTAGCAGCTGATTGCCCAAAGATGTTGTTGAACATGGACGCGGCGATCGTGACGTCTGAATGGAGGAATTGGTCTTTAGGGACAGCAGCGAACTAGGTTACCATGAGTAATGTTAGACATGGATGAATGAAAGGAGAAAAAAGCTCACGTATGCAATGTTGGCAAGGATATATAGCAGAGTGACCAGGCCCATCGCGGTGGGTAGAGCAATACGAAGGGTTCTGGTCGGGTTCTTCACTTCAGAAAGAACCGTGTTGAGGTTGTCGTAGCCATGGAAGGCAAATATCGCATTCAACAAGGCCGTGCTGATACTATATCCGCTATTAGAGGTGCCTTGGAAGGAGGTCGAGATGCTGAAGTTGTGCGGATTGGACACATGACTATGACCTGCCAGGGCCGCAAACCCAGAACAGACAATAAACAATAATATAAAAAGTTTGACGGCACTCAGTATATCCTGTAGCCTTCGTCCGCCCTGTGGCCATACTGTATGGATCCCAACAGCAAATGCGGATGCGGCGATGGCCAACCCACGTAATCGCCAGGTTGTAGAGGTAACAGCAGCTGCTTGGAGCAGGTAGGATGATGTCGTTATAGCGTTGCTTGCGGATACCTCTGATCTAGTTAGGCTTTACTGCGGCTATTTTGAGATATCGGGTAGCGAAGGCACTCACGGAGAAACACACAGTAGAACAGATAGATGCATGTGACAAGTAATTTTGGTGAAAAGGCTCGCTCAAGATACACCTTCATTCCACCTGATCGAGGCATGCTTGTACCCAGCTCTAGCATAATCAGTGCGCCACAGGTAGAGATCAGGCCTGCAATTGCCCAAATGATCAAGGTCATTCCAACACTGCCACTGTTTTTGAATATCGTTGCTGGTGTAGAGAAGATCCTGATCAACCAAGCTTAGCTTATTGACAATAAAGACATAAAGATGCATGGGGGCATACCCTGCGCCTACGATCTTGTTCACAACGAGCGAAACAGCCCCGAATACGCCAATGGTCCTTTCCTGCAGCACATGAGATTCGTCTACATGGAGCGAATCTTTGGTCTTAAGATCTGTACTAGACGGCTCAATCTCGTCCATTTCGGCTGCTACACGGATCAGTAAGTAGACATGTGGAAGATTACCAACACTTACATATTGAATCAGTACGCGCTGCCATAACTTTTGCAGTGCAGGAACCAGACACTTCTTGTTTTATATTTTACGCTTTTACATGTCCAACCCTTTTATATATCTCTCAAATCTGAGCATTGCTTAGTGACTTGCGTGAGCAGCATCTCAGATCACAACATGCATGAAGGAAATATTTATTACAGAAGCATAAATGAGCCGTCTCAACTTGGAAAACGAGACGATGACTTTCTTTTTATTTACTTCGTTGGAATTTGTGTATTCGCAAGTAAATTAAGAAATCATGGCATGGGATGACGCCTTACAGATCCACAATGGTGCTGAATGCGGAGGATTCATAGTATGTCTTCAAATAGCAAGGGGAGCAAGTGGAACAAGTCTTTTTCCCCGGACTTTTTGCATAAATGCAAATGGATACAAGACTTGTACTTCGGTCTTTTGTTACCTTGAAGTTGGATAGCATTTCAATCGTATGCATCTGCAGTACTTCCAACTACGCCAAGCTTTCTTCAAGTACGAACTTAACACAGTCTGTAGTTTTTTTTTTTTTTTTTTTTTTTTTTTTTTTTCTGGGATATCATCGGTACCAAAATACCTAAGGAAATACCTGAATGGAAATACCCCGAGTGCTATTCGGTTAAAAGAATAGAAAGATCATGAAAAGGAGTATTGGAGCACCCATAAATAAGATTCAACGTGAAGTCTGTCTTCTTCCTCCCTGTTCTTTTCACTTAAGCAACGCATTCACTGGGGGGCCTTCAATTTGACAACTATTGGATTGAAAGTATGTTGGGCTACAAGGACTTTTGCTGGAAAGTCTGTGTTATATATCTGGCTTCTGAAGAGTCACAGTGAAATGAATTATGCATTTTTCTTATATGAATATATTGAAAGTGTCTGGTTCAAAGGGGAACAGACCTGGTCTTTTTGTGGGAGCTCTCTGGACAAATCGACCCACTGTAATTCAGACCAGGTAGAAGTTTTCTCTTACATTGTGTCCTTACACATAATGCTTTGTGATAAGGCAGTCAATTACTGTCCAAGTGACATTCCATTGAGTCCAACAGAATGTGGGTGAAAAGGCCTAATGCACACCACTTGGTATCCAATGTACCAACACTTCTTGCCCATAGTCTGGCAGTTCTTCATTGTTATTGGCGACATCCTTACAGTTGGATAGCCCGAATTCAAAAACTATCCCAATTGGGCAAAAACGTCCAACTAGACTTCATGCAGAGCGAGACAGGGAAAATGGCAAGTGACCTTGATATTTCAGGTCTACGTGCCAAATATAATGTTAATATGACAGACGAATCCGATGCTTCCACAGGGGAACTGGAGTTTATGGTAAATATGGCAATTTCCTTCTGGAAACAACAAAAGATCCATTATACAGAGTTAAATGTGTTTGTCGACAGGCTCCAGGAAAGAGCAAAATTCCTGGTACAGGATAAAAAGGCCTGGGCTGAATTTTCGAGAGTTAGAGAGTCAAAGTAAACAGTAATTGAATCCACTATCATCCAACATGTAGAAGTATCCTTCAATGTATCTGGGAAAAATTATTTATGAGAAAAATCTCTGACCCATGGGACAAGGAGAATCAATAAATCTTTTCCATCAAGAGCTCTACCAGTGAAAATCATTCAATTGAGTTCTGGTCCTCATGAATTTCACGTCAACGTAGTTGCCCCGACCCGTGTTGCCGACTACTATAAAGTCCCGATCATCCCCACAAGCTCATTCAATACTTGCCCAAATGGCTCCACGGCCAAGGAGCTTACAGACATGCTTCTAGGTACACCTATGATCCAGGACAGGCATGAAAAGAAAGTGCTGGTCAGTGTAGTGAGTCATCTGTCCGGATATCAAGGCCCGCGAATTATACTTGAATTGCCTCTAACTAAAGAATGACTTAGCCATTTTATAATACATGAATGGCTAGGAAGTTAAATACAACAAAAAGTAACTCGTTTCCAGATATAAATCAGTAGAAAAAAATGGCGAGTTCTTGGCCAGCTGAATGGTTAGACAATGTTTTTTATTGCAGTCCGGTCATATGCCATGTCATTCTCTTTGCCCGATTTCTGGGAATGCGCTCACTCGCACGATCCTTGAGCGTCACCAGGTGTTTGCTAGATGCATCACGCATTAGTCTGTAGCTTGACTAAATTCTTTGCTTTTAACACAACATACCACACACAATCCTGATTCACAAACTCCCAGACTTCCATCTTGCTTGCATGGCGCTTTGCTAGGGAGCTGGTCACTCATTAGTAAAGCCAGTGTATATTTATTGTTATCTTAATCTCACCTTGGCTTGAGCAAAAGCGGTTCCAATCAGGAAGACAGTGGAAATCAAGGAGAATCGCATCTTGAAAGAGGGCTTGCGAGTGTATTGAGAGAATTGTTTTCAAAATGATTTTTAAATCGTGATTAGATATAGTTTCCTCATCAAGGATGTTAGATTGAATTTATATTCATGATTCTCTATGATTCAACGGTTTCTAAGGCTTGATCAGGCAACTATGCTCTCTTCTATCCCGAGTGCAAATAGCAGCATAGGCGATTGACTTCATAACTCCTAGAGTAGTCAAAATCAGATAGGGTTGTGATACTATTACTCCGTGTCGGCATAGGAATTCCGAGACTAGTGGCAGTATGCCGACTAAATTTAGCCGGCATGGCTAAGTTTGCCTTGTTTGCACAACCATGAACCATGCCCTACCGCAGTAACAAATTGTATAAATAATCTTTTACAGGAACAATCCATAATAATACTCCTGCCATCGAATCAATTTACACTCTCACAACAGCAACCTTCCCCCACAATGACATTCGTCACAACCGCCTCCCCAGCAACAGCAACCTCAACGACCTGCGATGGTTCAGGGCAGTACGAACTCCCAGTCAAAGATGCCGCCTGTGGCGTCCCAAATATCAAAAATTACCAGTCCCTCTTTGACAACTGCGCGAAGCCAGCTGGTTCCCGACCATATTACCACGACTGTGCCCTGTGGGGCCTTGCCGTCGACCAGTCTGTCCAAGACCTCACCGATTGTCTTTACAAAGCTGGTGTCGCTTGGGAAGATGTCTGGTGTCATGGTGATACCAACGGGACCGCTACGGCGACGTCTTATCCTACTCCGACAGCTACGGGTACATCTACCTCAACTGGGAAAAAGAGCGGCACATCTTCTACCTTGTCCTCGACAAGCGAGACAAATATGGCCATCTCGTCACAAGGCCAGATTCCGACTAAGATTGCGCTAGGACTACTGGGGCTTGTCTTGACGGGTGTTTTTGTTTGAGTGTAAGGGATGGATGAGAGTGGAGATGGGGAGTTGGTGGACTTTGTTGGAAGCAGAAGCAGACCATTTGTTATGATGCCTTTTCCTTTTTTTTTTTTTTTTTTTTTTCTTGTATATTAGTACACTTTAATATTAACATGTTTGACTATCCTCCCAGCCAGTTTAGTCCTTTCAGATTTGCCATTAAGGATAGAGAAGACAACTGTTCGCTAGCGTGTGTAAGATAGTCAAGGCTATTTGTGCAATACTCAGTATCAAATTGGATACCTGTCTTTAAATTCCTATTTTTATACTATAGTCTCGAACTGTCCATGACAATTTACTCCCTATGTCAATCCGGAGCTCAGCAATCCTTCTTATAAATCACCAACCTGATGTTGCTTTCAACAACAAAGTAAATGGACCTTCATATATAATAATTATTTGAAATTGGCCCGGTCTTCAGGCCAACAGAGAAATGTATTTATGTGGATTACCTCGCTCCTCACCGTCGAGGTACAATAATGAAGTCGCATTAACTAGTATTCAAGCAAATATCATTATCTTCATCATAGATCTTCCAGCTTCGACTCCTTGTCGTCTGACAAGGGTGTCGGATTTTCAACAGAGAATAAGGCGGGCGACAAAATATAAGTCGTGAACTGAAAGTCAAATATCCTCAACTAAGGCAAACTTCAGCTTCTGTGATCATACAACTCAACGCTCCAAGGATAATAACCTACATTGTTCCTGCCGAATTCAATTCCAAGCCTTATCTCAAGCTTGTAGCTCCGGCTGATATTACACGTTTCAAATGTCGGGGTCAGATGTAGCGGTACACAATGCCGACTCCATAGGCTGTCGTCGAAGCTCAATGTCGATCCGACCATGCATCGTGGCTCATATTGCACGCGAGTGGTCGTTTGTATGACGCAGGAACGGGTATGAACTTCCATGGAATCTCGTGCTCGTACCTCTGTAGTTTCGATAAGCATGGTCTGAAAATTGTGCAGAAACACACCACTTTTGCATTCGTCCAAATTCAATTTAATAACATCCACATTTAGTGAGATTGGTTGCCCCAGCAGAAGGAACGGCCCGTTCAACAACTTGGCCTCTATTTCACAAGTCAGTGGGGAAAGCGAGGAATTGGAACCGGAGCTGCAAGTGACAGTCTCTTTGCCTGTCAAACTAGGTAAAATGTGGCTGATGGTAGATACATGGCGGAAATATACGTCGCGAGTCTAATTCATCATGTTAAGGCTGATCACGCTCAACCCTCAGGTGCGGGATAACTCAACGGCTTTTTGAGTCCTGCATAGGATACCATCCGGTCGAACAGTTGCTTCGAGAAAATACTTTATCTCCTCGGGCGTGGTTTTATCTCCGGACGAAGGCGGGAGTTTTCGCAGTAGATGGTGTGTCCGCCTACTTGCTGGTCGTTTGCCGCAGACGTCTGTGGTAGCCTTGTAGCATTCCGAAACCTGGGGGAACTACATTATGCCCAAAACTAGTGAGATTATCTCAATGGGATACAAGGCAAAAGTCAATTACTCACCCTGATCGAAAATGGAAAAGCATGTTCCCCCGGAGGGATAGTCACCTTGCGAGAAGTGAACCAAGTCGCATACTGGCTGGGGGGAAACGCTTGCTCAGTCCTTTCAAAAAGCTGCATTACATTAAATTAGCGTTCTGGCGATGGAAAGAGAGAACAAGAGAGCATACCTGATGTGATTGAGTTAGTTTGTTTGAGTTCAATCTTGATGTTGCGGACCCAGAAAGTTTTATTGTTATAGCTGTTATATCCAACTGTGCGCCATTTCTGAGCATGACATGGCCGGATACAACATCTTCATTCGTATAGGTAGGTTGCTCCCTATCGAGATGTATTCGGATATCCATATCAGATGGTGATTTAAGGAAACGCTCCACCTGGGACGGCATGAAGGGAAGATAATAATGACAAGAGATCAATCTAGCAAGCTGTCACTTAAGCACGGAGCCAAATATAAGGAAAAATATTTCGCTAGCACCATGCTCGAGTAACAGATGACAAAACATTAACCCAGAAATAGTAGCATATTCAAACTTGGTTTGTTCTCTATAAAACGGTTTCCCTTTGATCTCAACGGCTCGCCCATAAATGCTACACGGTATTTGAAACTTACCCAATGTAAAAATAGACCTTTGAATGGTTGCAAGATCATGGATTACCGACTATAATTGACATCCATCAGACATTCCGTGATTGGCTCGGCATAAGAGTGGGTACCCTAACATCGAATTAAAACAGCACCTAGTATATGCTCTCCACCACCAGAAGACTATCTAATCTTGTTTCGGAAAGACTATAGAACGGGATACACACTCTGTAGTATGGTCCTAAGATGGGTTAGGGGAAATGTCCGAGACACCATCAAATAGACGTAAAGATTCCAGCTCACAGCTAGTGACTTTCGACTTTCCGGTTCGTCGTTAACTACTCTTGTGTTCCTATGATCTGTCTATGAAGTATTAGCAGAACGAGGACGCCATGGAATATGCTCACGATGAATCTTTCCCGCCTCCTTCCTTGATGGCAGGTAATCACTATTCACTTCGGGAGCTTACACCTGTCACTGTGAGTTTTCTTTCGAAAGAAGTATGTTTTCGAAGCAACCAAACTGACCTATTTCTAGCCCGAGCGTCACAGTATCGACGAGCATGGTGATTTTGCGGAATCGTTACTACCTCCGCACCCTGACAACCCTCCCACTTTTTCCAGCCCGCCATGGCACTCTGATGAGGCTCCACGACAAAGTTCTTCAGAATACTCTCGTATGGAGGCCAGTTTCGAGCCTCCGAGCATCAGCTCCTGGCAACAACGCCAGACTGCGCCCACATCTGGAGGTCTGCGCCGGCACCCAACTCGCAGAATCAATTTGATCCAAGGCTCTGTATTAAGTGTCGATTATCCCGTTCCAAGTGCTATTCGCAACGCAGTCGAAACGAAATACCATGATCCCAATGGATCAAGCCCTGAAGAGTTCACACACCTAAGATGTAAGAGATAGATAAGAAGGAAAAGATAATGGCAATGATACTGACTGACGCTACACATTAGATACGGCTGCTACCTGCGACCCAGATGACTTTAACTTACGCAACGGCTACAACCTACGGTCTGCTATGTATAATCGACACACCGAATTACTCATCGCCATCACCTATTACAACGAAGACAAGGTTCTCACCGCTCGAACTCTACATGGAGTTATGCAAAACATACGAGATATTGTCAATCTTAAGAAAACCGAGTTCTGGAACAAAGGGGGTCCTGCTTGGCAGAAAATTGTGGTTTGTTTGGTTTTTGATGGAATTGGTCCTTGTGATAAAGATACACTCGATGTTCTAGCAACTGTTGGGATCTACCAAGATGGTATAATGAAGCATGATGTTGATTGCAAAGAGACCACGGCACACATCGTTCGTATTATCTCCTGATATCTATGTGGTTCATTGTGACTGATTATTGGTGTCTTAGTTTGAATATACCACGCAATTATCGGTCACTCCTACACAACAATTAGTCCGTCCTCAGCATGATGATCCGAGGAACCTCCCACCAGTCCAGATGATTTTTTGCCTGAAACAAAACAATACCAAGAAGATCAATTCACACCGCTGGTTGTTTAATGCCTTTGGGCGGATCTTGAATCCAGAAGTGTGTATATTGATCGATGCAGGTACAAAACCAGGCCACAAATCCTTGCTTGCTTTATGGGAAGCGTTCCATAATGACAGAAACCTTGGTGGCGCATGTGGCGAGATCCATGCCCTACTTGGCCGTCACTGGAAGATGCTTGCAAATCCATTGGTTGCTGCACAGAACTTTGAATACAAGATCTCAAATATCCTGGATAAGCCTTTTGAGAGCATGTTTGGATACGTTAGTGTCTTACCTGGTGCATTTTCTGCTTACCGTTACCGTGCCATCATGGGTCGACCTCTAGAACAGTATTTCCATGGTGATCACACACTGTCGAAAAGGTTGGGCAAAAAGGGCATTGAAGGGATGAATATTTTCAAAAAGAACATGTTCTTAGCCGAGGACCGTATTTTATGCTTTGAGCTCCTTGCGAAAGCGGGGTTTAAATGGACATTGAGTTATGTGAAAGCTTCTAAAGGAGAGACTGATGTCCCTGAAGGTAAGTTATGACTCTCCGTACAAGCCTCTTTAAGATGTTAATGATTACATCAACAGGACTGCCAGAGTTTCTAGGCCAAAGACGAAGATGGCTAAATGGATCATTTGCCGCGAGCTTGTATTCCGTCATGCACTTCAACCGTGTGTACAAAAGCGGTCATAATTTCGTCCGATTGTTCTTCCTCCACATTCAGTTACTCTATAATGTCTGCCAGCTCACTATGACATGGTTCTCTCTTGGTATGGTTCCCTTCAATTGCCTGGAAGACAGTAACTTATATGTGTTAGCATCCTACTGGTTGACCACTTCCGTGATTATGGACATTGTCGGAACACCAAGTGCGACAAATAAGAACCAAGCATGGCCTTTTGGAAATGAATCATCGCCAATTTTGAACAATGTCCTCAAGACTATTTATTTGGTGTTTCTCATGCAGCAATTCTTTTTGGCCCTTGGAAATCGACCTAAAGGGTAGGTGCGCGATTGCCTCTTTACGCTAGGGTATCGACTGATAGTACCATGCCTAGATCCCATCTTGCCTATTTTCTATCCTTTCTCTATTTTTCCATCGTTCAATTATACATCTTACTTCTCTCATTCTACCTCGTGGCACAGGCATTTAGTGGTGGCAACATAGACCTCGATTTTGATAATGGGGTGGGAGGGTTCCTAGGTTCATTTTTCACTTCGACCACAGGCCTGGTGTTAGTAGCCCTGGTATCGACATACGGGACTTATTTCATAGCGAGCTTTCTCTACTGTGATCCTTGGCACTTATTAACATCTTCCTGGGCATACTTCATCGGAATGCCATCGACGATCAACATCCTTAACGTCTACGCCTTTTGCAACTGGCACGATGTTTCATGGGGAACGAAAGGTTCCAATGAGGCGGCTTCTCTCCCATCAGCCAATACACAAAAGTCAGACACCAAGGGGAAACGATTTGTCGAGGAGCTAGACAAGGCACAGTCGGACATTGACACAGAATTCGAGCGCACCGTCCGACGCGCTCTTGCCCCGTGGCAGGAACCGACAGAGCAAAATGATGTGCAACTGGATGATTCATATAGGGCATTCCGAACTAATCTGGTGCTCTTGTGGGCTTTGAGCAACTCATTGTTAGCGTTGCTCATAAACAACGCTGGCGTGAGGAATCTATGCTTAACGGTATGTTCGTCCTGACTCCTCGCTCGGCATGGTATCCTCTCGTCCTTTTGCTGATAACGTTGCCAGACCTCATCGACCGATCGCACGGCTTGGTATTTCAAGATAATTCTGTGGGCTACGTCGGGGTTGTCGGTTTTCCGATTCTTAGGTGCTCTTTGCTTTCTGGGAAAGACAGGGTTGTTGAATTGTTTCTCCCGACGCTGACCGCTGCTGTCATACAACCTAGGGCTGATCTTCTGCCATGAAGCTCCGCAGTCCCGCAATTTACTACAATAGTTTGTACTAATACCATTTTGTCACTCTGTGGATTCATCGGTAGTACATGTTTAGATAGTTTCGTATTTCTTGGCATTCGTGGTCCCCGGAACCGGGAAAGAAGGTAAAAATAGAATTTTTAAGGCCGGAAATTTTCACAATTGGCCGGCCTTATTTGACATGGCGCAGACTTTTCCACCTGAGGCTTGGCGTTTACCTTCTATTTTTGTTTCCTTTTTACCCTTTAGCCTCGGCCCAGCAACTATAAGATACCTGCCTCCTGAAAAGAGCGTCGTGTAGTTCAATCAAGGCATATTCCAATACATTGATCTCTGTGAACGACTGTCCGCTGAAATGTTGCGGTCTCGGGTGGTATGCGATCTGTCCCTTGTAATGACTTCGAGATTTGAACTTCTCTGATATCAACTCCAGTGCGACTCGTGCCATTCGCGAAAGGTACAGATTCCTCGTTCCGGCCTACTTTTTCTCCTAGACATCAATCGCTGTTCTTTCGCGGGAGAATACATACGCTACTCCGCGCCTACCTGGCTAACAACTTGGCCAGGTTCGATGCGACGGAAATGAACCGTGTGGAAACTGCCTGGACCAAAAGACCACTTGTACTCGGGCACGGAATATGAAGCGGCTCCCGAAAAGAAACCTCGCTCAGATGCAGAGAAGGGCGCGCCAGCATCAAGCCGACGAAGCTCTTGCCCTCCAGCCGTTGGCCACATCTAGTGGGTCATTAAAAAGCCTTGTTGAGCAGTCAAATGGCCCTTCTATTCCCAATGTGCTTCCTCATCAGATGGAAGACAGGTTTTTAGTGGATATCCTAGAAGATGGGTCATCCATGCTCCTGGAACATCTCGACATGAACTATGGGCCTCCAAGCTGGATGTCGTTTGTTCCTCTGACAGATGATCAGATGGCCAACCGGCATCAAGTGGGACATTCGCAGGGCCTTGCTTGGAACAGGCGCCAGGCACTGCAGTCTGCATTATCAGTTGCAAGCCAGCTTTTAGGCGGTATGAAAGAATGCAGAGAAATGGCTCGGGAAACAGCAAATAGTGAAGAACAGCGCAACATTCCCTCTCTTGAATTCCTATACTGGATGTTGAACGGTATAGTACATCCTTACTGGTCTTACCTCCCTATTACCAGAAACATGCTCATTTGTACCCCTTAAATAGACCTTTGCAGTGACAAGTTCGGCTCCTTTGTTTTGGACTTTTTCAGGCACATTGGCAAACATACTCTCAAGCATATGGGACTGTCCATTCTGTTTAATACTGCCACGTCTTGTGATTCTATTCTCTACACCGTTTGCGTCAATTCCGTGGCTTATAAGTTTCTCAACACGGTATCCGGGACTGAAAGAGACTATAATTTGACTCGGGGGCTCCAGCATCGCGCACTTCTCTACCGAGAAACAGCAATAACAGCACTGAAGAAGATTCCACTTATGACCAAGCCTTCACTTTCCCTTTTGCAGGCCCTATTATGCGGGGTAAGCTACCTGAGCTTTGAAATTTTTTTTTTTTTTTTTAATTAAAACTAACAAAATGGCAGATTTTCTTACAGCAAGGAGCTGGCGACACTGACGTTTGCTGGGAATTGACAAAGACGGCGTGCAGAGTATGTATGGACATTGGCCTCCATCCTGCAGGCTGCTCCGAGGAGGAGTATTATTGCTTCATGTGGTGCTACGTGTTGGACAGAAACTATGCCTGGAAACTTGGAAAACCCAGAATCCTGGCCATTGAGCCTAATACCGATATGGGCCCTCCGACCTCAAATACAGTGGCTTCAGAACTAATTTTAATTTATTTGGACCTGGCCAAAGTCCAAGATAGAATGATACCATTTCTCAAAGACTCTGCCAAGGCGGACAGGAATGCCTTTCAATCGTTCCATGGCGTCGGAACGCACGTTTTGCGGGAGATGGAGAGCATCCAGAGAAACATAGATCAGGTAGGCAACATAAAAAGCTGCTCTAATACAGCATGTTGTAAAGACGGGCTTTGTTTGACGCAGCTTTTGCCGTTTAGATCAAGCTTCCATCCACGAACTGGGCAGGGTTAGATTTCCACCACGAAATTGCCACTCTCGACTTCGCCTATCACTCGATTATGACCTGCATCTTACACCTGCATCTAGCCACACCAGACCAAAAGGCTGCAGATAATTATCTTGGCTCAGCGCGAAGCGAGCTGCTAGCCTTGATAGCCATATGCGCATCAACCGATACGCAGAAAACCGCCGCCTATTTGCATTGGTCAGTCTCTTCCAAAAACTAGATTCGAAAGCGGGAGGGCGCATTATACTGACAATACATTCCAGGACCCTTCTCTATTACCCTTTAACTGCTTACTTTACAGTTTTCTGCAATGCCGTCGCAACATGCCATGCAGGGGACTTTCAGATCCTAAAGGCTCTCGCGAACTGTCTGGCCGAGAGCGGGGCGATAAGTCAGCCAATTGCCACAATGCATAATCTTTTTGAGCAATTTGTCTCTCTCTCGTGGTGCTTTTTTAGTGAAGAAAACACAAGCATCTCTGCTGCAGATGAGTGTGTCGTGCAGCCGCAGTCTTCTTCTCACCACTGGGGGGGTATAGCTGGAAGTTCCTCGCCCTTATCATTGCCTTCCTGGATGGAATCTGCTCTAAGCCAGGAATTACTAACTACACCCACGGTGAGACAGGCTTTTGAACCTACAACTACTTCCTCGGCACTTGAAAATGCCTTGTGCTGTGATGATCCGACGTTCTCTTTGCAGATATCCGCCAATGACCCGGTTTGATCAATTGTAATTGGCAGTAGTCAATTGCAGGGTCTATTTTCATTTCATTCTACTAACTAGTCAGCGTGTGGCTTGTGGCCTGCGGCTTAGGTTTGGCCAATAGTTTGCTGGGTGCCTGCCGGGTGGGTTGAACCACACAATCTACATTAAACCTCTTGACTTGAGGGGGAAACATATGATACTAAATCAAACCATATGGTTAGTTTCAGGATTGGTTGGATTCGCCAAATCCGCATTGGTCTGGTCGCCAATCACCCAATTCATCGAACACCTAGAAAAATAGGATAATTGACGGGATTGGATTCAGTGTATATAATCATGTGCAGAATTATTTGCTTGCTTTTAGAGCAGCAGTTAATAAAAAGAGCCCGCCAAGGAGGAAATTCAAATTCAACTCCCATTTTTCGCACTTTCGCCAACTTGCACAACAACAGCTTCTCCTTCTCCATCAGAGTTACTCTCTCGCGATGATACTGTAGCATCCCTCTTCTTCTCATATCTATAAATAAGGATAGAAGCCACAAACCCAGCCCATAGAAGAAAGTAGAAGACAAACGTCACCGGCCATCCTTTTCTCCATCTCGGGGCGCCGTCCGGGCCGGCTGTTGGGAAGAGAAGAAGGGGGACCCAGATGTTGAATGAATAGCCGAATGTCATCATGGAACCCTGCAAGTTATCCAGCATTAGTATTTGATAGTTGGTATTGTTTGGGGTGAGCATACCAGGATGAGTGCCCGCTCCTCCGAGTCGTCTTTAACTATGGTATTCACGGTTGAGTATAAGATGGGACTGGCGCATCCCGAGACACCAAAGAGGTACCAGGCGAAGAATCTACTTTTGTTAGAGTTTGAACATCGAGGTCAATGAAGTACTGACTTGAGAGCAGTGGGAATGTTCCAAATGATCATGCATAATGTTGAAAACAAGCAGCAGACAGAGATGATCGTATAGATGATCCACGCGGGATATATGGAAGCAAGGGTCGATCCCAGCCATGAAGCAACGATTTGGATAGCATAGATGACAGTCGGAAGATTGTTTACTTGGGTGACTGAGTATCCCGCTGCCTTGAGCCAGAGACTCATATAGGTAGTTGGATAGGCGGATATGATCATGCAGCTAATTCAGTTAGCATCTTCGTAACATCTCTCATGCCAAGAGAATATACTCACGCATAACAGAGAATAAAGACCCAAATGTGCCACCGTTTCAACGACCGCTTGAAGACATCCAGTCCCAATTTTCCGGGTCGTCGTATGTTAGCTCTCTTCGCCCTGTCCTTGGCCAATACAATATCATTTTCCGTCAGATAAAACGGTCTCGGTGAGTCTGGGATGCCGGGGAATACAATGAAACCGATTAGTGCGACGGGAATGGTGAATATTCCGTCGATAATAAATAACCATCGCCATCCTGGCATGCCCGATACTCCAGAGAGATTGGTGTATGCTGCAGATTGTAGATATCCGCTGACCATCGAGCCAAGCGGGTTACATACGAACCACATTCCGGCTCGCTTGTAAAGTTCTGGGCCGGAGTACCATGCTCCTTTGTATCGTTAGTTTTTACACGTGGTGTTATATGGAGTACACACCTAAGATGAAATGAGTCCCCGCAAAAACAGGGGCTTCCAACATGCCGACTAAGAACCGAAGTGCATAGAGGTGACTGACGTTGGCCACGCGACTTTGTGCAAATGTGCAAATTCCCCAAAGTACTTCGAGGCCAGGAAGAAGCCAACGAGCTCTAGATGGTCAGTGACTGTCGATATAGATAGTAAAGAGATCGTTACAGTTTTGGACGCGACATCAAGAGCAGACCAGGAACCTGGAATACTACATATGCGGTGTAATAGCAGACATTAAAATAGTTGAGCTGATTCCCATTGAGATCAAGATCCTCTTTGAGGCCGCTGACGTAGGCATTGGTGATGTTTGTCTGGTCTGTTATCGGTCAGTCTTATGCGGGTTGGTTGCTGTGAGAGACCTACCCAGGTACTTGACGAAAACTGTTTCTGTTAGCTAAACATGCGAACGGTAAAGATCATGAAGAACTTACAGCAAAGACAGGCAAATATCAGAATAGAAACATCCAATTTAAATAACAATCTGCAAATGTCAGCCATGAAGTATTACATGCATGATGCAGTTCACTCACTTTCTTTCTTCTGACGGATACGAAGATGGATACCAATTGAATATCTCCTTAACCAGTCGGACAAAGGTCAATTTCTCCGATTTCGAATTACCGTCCGACATAATGGCACAATCACCTATAACAGATCATTGACAATGGCTATCTTTATGTCCAACTTATATCTACGGAAATTTGACCATTGCCAATTGGTGTAATTCCCCCACCTCTTGTCGCCATCAATGGCAACTCGGAGATAAAATACAATAAATAGATAACTTAAGACCACTTAGAGTTACAAAAGATCTTATCTTCGGGGGTATTCCGTGAAGTTTATTGCACTGACACATGGCGTGCTGACATCCCGGTATAACAACAGCATCGAGGCTTCATGGATGGATTGCGTGCTTTGATTGATAATCCCAACAACATTGGTGAGGGGTAAGCAATATACAGTTGAATATTTAAACGCAGGTATGTATAGGGCTATACTGTTTCATTTTGTTGGATAAGTAAACAAGCGCACACTCATCATGCCTGGAAAAATCGAAATCGATCGATATGAACATGTCCCCGTCACAAAAGAAGAGCGTAAGTATTTCCCGTGTACATTTATGGTCATCTTCTAAAATAAACAGTCGACTGGGCTGAGTTGATTACTCTCGATCTTAGTCTGTACGAACAACCAAGAGGGAAGGAGGAGCTTGTGAAGCAATTGGACCATGCCGTTCGACATGTCGGTAAGTATAAGTAAGCCTCTTGGATACAAAATCAGCACTAATATTGCAGGTTTCTTCTACGTCAAAAACTTCAACATCTCCCAAGAAGAGGTCGATCGCCAATTTGCCCTAGGACGCGCATTCTACGCTCTGCCACTCGAGGAGAAACTCAAGTATCACAACAGCAATGATTTGGAGCGTGGTGAGTACAATGGATACAGACCAGCTGGTCACCGCATGTAAGGTCCCTTTACTGTACGGCAATAGGGAGACTTGAGACTGATTTATCAGCCTTGGAAACGGTATCAAGGATAATGTGCAGGTATACAACATCCCCAAGTTCGACGGACACCACCAGCGACAACAGCCTGCGATTCTAGCCGATCACCTTGATGAAATTGAGGCTTTTAGTCGGGTATGCCATCCACAAGTCCATGCGTAGATTAAATGAAACCATATTAAGCGATGCAGAAATGCCACACAGAAGTAGTGGAGAAGCTCCTCCGTCTCTTCGCCATCCTCCTCCAACTCCCAGACGAAGACCAACTCGTCCGCGACCACAAGTACGACGCCAAAGGCGAAGACCATCTCCGCTACATGCACTACGCAGCCCGCGGCCTAGAAGAGAACAAAAAAGTCGGCGACTTGTACAGTCCCGGCCATACAGACCTAGGAACAGTCACTCTTCTTTTTCGTCAGCCCGTCGCGGCATTGCAAATTCTGAACTCAGAAGGCCAGTGGAAGTGGGTGCGTCCTCAGGATGGGACCATCACGATCAACACGTGTGATGCCTTGACGGCGTTAACGGGTGGTCTTATCAAGTCGAGTATTCATCGTGTGCATGCGCCCCCACCAGATCAGGCTCATGTCGATCGATTGGGTGTGCTTTATTTTGCACGGTAGGCTGACTTTCCGACGAGAGTCTTAAGGATTGATGTTGATGTTGATCTATAGACCCAACAACCACGTGATCCTCGATCCCATCCAGAACAGTCCATTGCTCAACGAACTGGGACTGACTCAGAACGCCTTTACGGAGCTTGGACAGCATCTGACAACAGAGCAATGGGTCAAGGTCCGACAGACGCAGCAACAGCGGCGCAGACAGGAGGCTATAATTTCTGGCGATGGAAAGTATACTTATGCCCCGAAGGACCTTGAGGTTATCCCTGGTTTGCATGCAAAGGTGTACAACTAGGTGGGGTATACAAAATTGCTAAGTATATTGAAAGCTTTCAGTATATAAATATTTACTTGTTCCTTTTCTAGCTTGCTTCTCTTATTTATTCATGTTCATCACAAGATATAGATACATACTTATAGTCCCGAGTCTGCCGTATTCCCGGTCTTATCGCTTCATATTATCATTACTGGTTATTAAAGCTATGACAGACCAAGTTTCGTATATCAGGATCAGTGTATTTATATAGCGGAGACCACACCTAATGCATCTCTCGATTGGCCAGGCTTTGCATGGATTAATTTCTGGATTGAGGTTTCCATCATGTTATCTTGTTTGGAATTGGAAAACACCTTTCTCACTCTAAGCACCCGGCTTACTTGGTGCAGAACCTTCATGGAAGTCCAAAACTTCACGGTACCTTTAAGCACGCATCATGTCAGCCCATGCTACCATGTAGGCAGGGAAACACTCACATTATCTTCTTCCACTCCTCCGGCGAAAGTTCCACTTCATCATATGACATGTTAATTTCTTCACTAGCCTCAGGCTCATCTTCTGGATCGTGAAAGTTCACAAGATATGGATGGGACAGGGCATCTGTAGCAGTAATCCTCTTGTATGGGTCAAGTTGAAGCATCTTCTCAATGAGATCGACCACTTTCGTTTGTCAGTTTGACCTCTCGTTCAGGGGCGGGAAGGACTACAAACCTTCCTCTTCAGCACCCGTGAAAAACGATGAAAGCGGATGTGGCTCGCGCGGTGGTAGTGACTCCAGGAATTTCAGTGTCTGTATAAATATCAGCGCCTGAAAGTTCTGCTAATTACTAGACCCCTACGTTTCTGCTGTATACCCTTTCAACAACCTCCTGGGGCGGGTTTCCCAAAACTTGCGTGATAATCGTGAACTGGTCGATATGGTTTTTGCCTGGGAAGAGAGGCTTCCCCCGGAGCATTTCGGCAAGAATGCATCCTACGCTCCATATGTCAACTGCGTAGTTATATTGCTGCCATGTTAGCATGACTTCTGGGGCCCGGTAATATCTTGTCACGACATAACCGGTCATTTGGTGATCTTGCTCCCGCGCGAGTCCAAAGTCACAGATTTTAAGATCACAGTTGTTGTTGACGAGAAGATTTTGGGGCTTCAGGTCACGATGAATAACGCCGGCTGAGTGGATGTATCTCAATCCTCGCTGACGCAGTCAGCTAAAAGGTTCTTTCTTCACCATGCAATAAGCATACCAGGATCTGATAGGTAAAGAACTGGACAAATTGGCCATCCAACGTCGTCGTTCGAATAACCTGATACAAATCTGTCATCATAAAGTCTGTGACCAGATATCTACATATATTAGCATTTTGCGCGATGGTTCTCAAAGATTCAAGATACCGCCATACAAGTCCTCCGATGGGGAGATGAAGATATCATTCATATTGATAAGCTGGTCGATATCAGCCTCGATTCATGCTGGCTCTATTGGGTGCCTGTACATTATCATGTCGCAGTTTATTCAACAAATGCACCTCCCTGAGTGTACGCTTAATAACAGCGACATTATCAAACGGATTCGCAATCTTCTTGAGCACTACTGGGAGGTTGGATAGCGAATCGTGTGCGCAACTAGTGCCCTTGTTAATTATCTCACGGTGGAAGCTCATACAATTGATGATGACGTACCAGATTACACCAGAAGCCCCGAAGCCTCGCGGCTGGAGGTCGCTATATCTAAATAAAATGTGAGCTTACTGCAGAAAGAAGGTCAAGGCCGTCTTTACCTCTCGGTGATCTCATAAGTAGTCCCAAGGACTTCTGTGCGCACGAATTCACCCATGTTCTCGATAGGCCGAAAAGAATAAAAAGTGACCGATGAGAAAAACAAAGTAGCCAAAGGATGTTCGGGGAGATGCGATCATGTACGCACTCCGTATTCCGGAGTACGCATATCTATCTAGCGATGGAGCTTTCTCGCCCCTCATTTCCTTGATACCGGCCCAGCTTACCGGATTTCCATGGGCTATGTGGAGCGCAATTGGGTCATTCTAATCACAAAATCGGACGGCTGTAGCCTCTGGGATAGCTGATTGGCTTCGGTGGGGGCCTCTGACTTGGGATTCTTACATCTCGGTAGTTTCTTCCATGCAATCATGGCCCGAGCCTGCGGTTAACAAGTACTCCACGCCGTTTTTACTCCGGAGTACATTGACAGTGCTGGCCCCGCGATCAACTGACTACAAGAACAATATCCTATTTGCTAGTGTTTTCACGTTATTTTGAGTGAGCAGGCGCATTTATGCGTCGCCCAACACCTCAACCCACCCCGAGCGGGCCGACTAGCTTTGCGACATCGAGAGAACGAGAGGCCCTGAAGTCAGTAAAGAAGCTTCCTGGTGTAATTCTAGCTGCGGCGACAGACAAGAACGAGTGATCTAATCATGCATCCCCTTTTCTTAGATATCTGCCGTCATATTGCTCGCAGGAGCCGTTCAGCCAGCATTTCTCGAATAAAACCCGGTACGATGAACATGTCGCATGGCCTTCTCCCGACTCGGCCCTTACAGCCTTCACCCAGCTGGGCGCATTGAAAACTGAGGCCCGATGGGCTATGATTTCGCTTTTCGGCCAGAAACACCAATATATCATTGCTGAAGCCACACCAACATGCGGGTTATGGAGCGAAAGCGACGCGCGCGACAGGCTATGGCATGGCGCCTGCATCGTTCCTTATGAGCGCAGTTTCTGCCAGTATGCTTTGGAAATACCTGTTGCTGTTCAACGAATAGAGGACAGTGTGTTTGTGTCAACGGACCTTACGGAGGATAATCGCTTCAAAAATCTTCAAGGTGTTCTTGGTGTCCCCCATGCGCGCTCTGTAGTCTGCACTCCGATTGTGTCCCCGAAAGGTCTCACCATCGGGTCTTATACGATAATAGACGACAAGCCTCGCCCTCCAGTGAGCGAATCATTGGTGAAGTTTCTGAAGAATATGAGCCAGACAGTCATGAATCATTTGATAAGTTCGCGGGCCAAATTCCAACATCTGCGGGCGGAACGAATGATCGTGGGAATCGGGAGCTTTCTAGAAGGAAAGAGCAGCCTTCGCAACTCATGGGTCGAAGCTACCATGGAACAGGAGAAGACCGAAGACGACAACGAAGAGGCATTTGAAGGACAGATCAATCAAACGCAGCAGGACAAGCAGGTGGCGAATGACACGGCGCAAGTTATGCGACGAGGTATATCACCCTCCAACAACCTACTAGCACCACCGCGCGATCGCAGCCGGCGCTCAAGTGTCAGTCAATCTCGCTCGCGACAGGGACGATCAACCAGCACAAAAGATGGCCGAACTGGGCCCACCAAAAGTCAACCTGGAAATAAGACGAAAAGTGAGGATTTGTCAGGCCACATATCCGAAGCATTTTCCCGCGCGGCCAACATCGCCCGGGAGTCCTTGGAAGTAGAAGGTCTTGTCTACTTTGATGCTAATATCAGTTCCCGCGACAGTCTTGTCGACTATGAACATTCTGATTCAGATGACTCTCATAGCTCTCAGAGCCATGACGAGGAAAGGGTATCAGAAATCTCTAGATGCAAAGAACCTCACAAATCCAAAGTGAAGTCAGATCCGTGTCATATGCTCGGATTTTCCACCACAAACTCATCCAGCATCAATCACGAGCTTGAAGGCAGTGGGATCAACAAAATCCCCGAGTCACTCTTAAAGCGTCTCCTGCGCCATTATCCGCAAGGCAAGATCTTCAACTATTCAGCAGAGGGCTCGGTATCAGAAGACGATTCTACTGACAGCAAGTTTAAGAATTTCTCTCAGAAAACCTCTGGTGTCCAGTACAGGAGCCAGAAGCCTGTGCGCAAGTATAAGAAAACGCGCGGACTGGTCTTACGAGAAGACGCTGCCTCTCTACTCCTGTTGGCCCCTTATTCACGCAGCATTATCTTTGCGCCATTGTGGGATCCCCAGAAGAAGAGGTGGTATTCGGGCTGTATATCGTGGACCAGAACCCCGCACCGTATCTTTACGTCTGATAACGAACAGAGCTTTTTGTTTGCACTTGGGAACAGTCTGATGGCCGATGTCCACCGGTTGAATGCTGAGTTTGCCGGGCGTGCAGCGTCAGATTTGCTGTCAAGTCTAAGTCATGAGTTGAGATCACCGCTGCACGGGATATTCGGCACTGCAGAAATTTTACGAGACACAGCTGCTACTCCCTCTCAGCTGGCAATGGTTCATACAATCGAGTCTTGCACCAACACACTATTAGATACCATTGACCATCTGCTCGAGTACGCCAGTATCAACAAGCACTCAAAGTCAACCAACCATCTATTGAAACAAGACACGTTGAGTGACTCGAGATCTTCAGTCATGCTTGATGAGGTTTTCGAGGAGGTCATAGAAAGCGTCTTTTCAGGTTTCACTTTTCTCGAATTTGGATCTGTTCTCCAAAAAGCAGCGACGCCTGGAGGCATTGCACCGCGGGGACACGAAAACTCAGTATCTTGTGCGAACCGGAAGGTGATTCTGGATATTCAGCACGGAATAAATTGGCACTTCTTGACCCAACCTGGCCGTTGGCGGCTTATCTTGATGGATCTTTTCGGAAATGCTTTGAAGTTCACTCGGAGTGGATTCATTCTCATAACTGTCGTTGCATCTCCTGTTACTGCCCAACAAGATTCATTAGAATCGGCAACTGAGAGCAAGATCACATTCACCGTGAAAGACACAGGGTCCGGCATCGATCCTGAATACTTGCAGCATGATCTTTTCGAAGCCTTCTCACAAGAAGATGTCCTCTCCAGCGGAAACGGCCTAGGCCTTCATGTGACCCAACGAACCGTGTCAGCTCTTGGTGGTGACATTCAGGTGTTCTCCAGAACTCAGTGCCAAAAATCGTGAGTATCTGCTCACGAATTCCACGCTAGCCACCGATTACAGAAGCATTGCGATCGCCAATCCTATGCCCGACTTCAGTATGGGGGAAGCCCCGGGCGCCTGCGAATCCCCGACTGCTTCCCCTCGGGAGCCCACCACCCCGAAGCGACCGCCCAAACGACCGAGACCAGAAACACCAAAGAGAACCACACAACCTGCTCCTACCCTCGGGAACTGGCAACTACCTGGCCAGTCTGTTCAGGACACGCCCCCAGCATCCCCCTCCCACGAAACCCCCCAGAGCCAATTGGGCCTCGAGCTCCGAAGCCACATTGCAGCAGCGGTAGCATCCCGCACAGCGGAGATAAAAACTACAGGAGATGAGGTCCTGGACCTTGTGTCTATGATCAGTCAGAAAGTCTCCAGTTGGGAAGAAAAAGGCCTTAGGAGCGCAGCAGCCTTGGGCAAAGACTTTA